AACCCTAACCCTAACCCTAACCCTAACCCTAACCCTAACCCTAACCCTAACCCTAACCCTAACCCTAACCCTAACCCTAACCCTAACCCTAACCCTAACCCTAACCCTAACCCTAACCCTTGGTCCGAGAAGACCGTAAACTAGACCCTTCGCCACGATATACATGCTCGTCGGCCTCTTCTCGTCGCAAGACTACCGGCTGCGAAGCCTTATATCCACTATAGTCATAGACCCTCCGCCACGATATACATACTCGTCGGCCTCCTCTCGTCGTAAGACTACCGGCTACGAAGCCTTATATCTACTATAGTTATAGACCCTCCGCTACGATATATATACTCGTCGGCCTCCTCTCGTCGTAAGACTAACTACTACGAAGCCTTATATCTACTATAGCTACTACGCTATAAAGTACCTAGCTCGGCTGCGAAGCCTAAACCTACTACCCTTAACGCGAGTTACTACTACGAAGTATTATATTAATATATATCTCTAAGACTAGCTACGAAGCCTTATATCTATACTCTAAAAACGAGGCTAAACCTTATATCTACGGCCGGAAGGACGTACTAAACATGTCGAATTTACTAGATAGTAAACTCGACTATCTACTACTATAGAGTAATATACCTATATAGTATAATGTAGGATAGTAACCCTATATATATATCTAGCGAAGACTCTAGGAGGCCTACGGCGAGAGTATAACACGACTCCCCCCTAGTAGACCTTAAGTCCTCCGGTATAGCAAATAGCCGTAAAAATATACAAAACCCTACGATCCCTTAGGGAAGTTTAATATAGCGACTATAAGCATATTATAATAGTAGACGGAGAACCTAGTAATCCTATAGAGTAGTAGCGGGTAAATATACTCTTACGAAGACTAAGGCTATATAGTAACCCTAGATCTCTTAGGCGGACTTACGAGAGTATATCTCTAAGGGCTATACTCTAGACGAGGGATAACATATACCCGAGTGTAAGCTATCTACCGACCGGTATATATATTAGAGTCGGGAAGGTCTGCCGGAGACGAGCGGAATATTCGAGGGGGTTAGGTAGTATTTCGACATGTCCCGAATAGCCCTATAATAACCCGTCACTCTCTTTTAGGCGGGTCGTAAATTCCTTCATTATAGGAACGAGATAAGCCTCGCTTGTTACTAATATAGAAACCCTAACCCTAACCCTTTATAAAGCTTATTATTAATTATAATAGAGGCTCTAATTAATTAGTCTAGTTCCTTAGTAACGCCTCTATATTTTATTAGTTCGTCCTTAACCTAATCCTTTAGGCCTCGATAATATATAGCTTATAGGGCTATATTATTCTAGTCGGTAAGTTATAAGTATTTCTTAAACTAGGTTATATAGTCCGACGTAGATTTAGTCTACTTAATATCTTAGATAATACGGACTATATTCTCGACTTCGTTAGAGACTATAAAGACTTATTATAAGATTATCTTAAGTCCTATAAATACTCTAAAGATTCTAGTAATATCTTCGTTATATTCTAGGTTACTATCGAGGTACTTAGTAAGATATAGTTTAAAGTAGTACTAAGTATAGCCTCGAAGGAAGGCTATTATAAATAGACTTCGCTTTATAGGCTTTATAGAGTTAAACTCGAAGAAGATATATATCTAGTTAAACTAGTCGTCGAGTTTCTCTTAGTCTCTATAGTATAAGTTAGGTTTAGCGACCTTCGCGTTATCGTTAGATCGATTATAGTTAGTAGAGTATACTATATTAGTACCTCCTACTTTACTAGGAGTAGAGATACTCTACTTAAGTCTTCTAGTAATAAATATCCTTAAAGGTATTTAAAGTGTTATATACTATTATACTTATATAATAGAAGTTAGATAATTCTGTCGTTATAAGTAGAGTTAGTACTCGTCGGGTAGTCTAGTAGTCGATAGTAAAGTATTACTTAGCTAAAGTATAATCGATATAAGAGATCGGAATAAAGTAATAAGTTAATTCTAATTAGTCGGTTTATAATATAAATTAAATATAAACTTCTAACTACGAAATCTATTATAACTATATATAAGGAGATTTATATCTTATACCGATTATCTATTATAATAGTCGCTTAGTCGAATAGGTTACTTAGTTAGTCGACCGGTCGTTTAGTAGGATAGTTAGTTATATAACTATATAGCGTTACTAATTAGCTAAGACTAACCCGCTATATTATATACTATAATAGTTACTTTATCTTTAGTCTTAGTTACTCTATCTTAAAACTTAGTTACTCTATCTATATATTTAGTTACTCTATCTTAGAACTTAGTTACTTTATCTTAAAACTTAGTTACTCTATCTTAAAACTTAGTTACTCTATCTTAAAACTTAGTTACTCTATCTTAAAACTTAGTTATTTTATCTTAAAACTTAGTTACTTTATCTTAAAACTTAGTTACTCTATCTTAAAACTTTATTACTCTATCTATATATTTAGTTACTTCTTCTTAAAACTTAGTTACTCTATTTAACCTTTAGGTTACTTTGTTTTAGGGTTTAGTTACTCTTTTTATATACTTAATTACTCTATCTGGAACTTAATAAACCTAATATATATTTAATTTATCTATAAATAATAATAAGTCTATTTCTAAACTTAAACTCTCTAACTTTAAGCTTAATTACTCTAACCCTAGATCTATTTACTTTATTTATATACTTAGTATACTTTATTATAAATAGGAACCTCTTTAAATATTACCTCTATTTATATCTAATATATTTAATTATATATATATACTATCTTAACTATATTAAGTACTTTAATAGTTTTTAAAGTAACCTCTAACTCTTTACTTTTACTAACCTTAACCTAACTCTATACCCTTTAAATAACTAGATATAAATAGTGTAACTAAGTTATAATAGTTTAAACTTACTTCTTTACTTATATTTATACTCTATATACTCGGAAATTAACTTTAAACACTTAATTTTTAGTTATACTAATCGATTATTTTTTAACGGAGTAACTAACTAAAATTCGATAGTATAACTCGGTCTACTCTATTTAAGTATTAGGTAGATTTTCCTTAGATTTTCCTTAGATTTTCGAGATTTTCCTCGAGATTTTTCTATTTTTTTTAAGTTTTTTTTATTATTCTTTATATTTTTAAGACCCTTTCTAAACTTTTTAGATTTTCCTTAGATTTTCTAGACTTTCTTTATATTTTTAAGGATTTTCTTAAGTTTTCGAGATATTCTCTAAATTTTTTAGATTCTCTTTAGATTTTCCTTAAATATATCTTAGATTTTCGAGATTTTTCCGAGATTTTCTAAATTCTCCTTAGAAATCCTAGGTTTTTCTTAGATTTTCTAGATTTTCCTTAGATTTTCTAGATTTTCCTTAGATTTTCTAGATTTTCCTTAAATTTTTAGAATTTCTTTAAATTTTCTAGATTTCTATTAAGACTTTCCTTAAATTTTCCTTGATTTTTCTAGATTTTCCTTAGATTTTCCGGATTTTTCTTAATTTTTCTAGATTTTCCTAAAATTTTTAAGATTTTCTTAAGATCTTCGAGATTTTCTAGCCTTTCGTTTAGTTTTCGAGATTATTTCAAGATTTTCCTAGATTTTCTATATTATTATTACCGTTTTCGTACGTAGGAGGATAACTGTCGCTACGATCCCGAGAATCAGAGTACTCGCACACCCTCTGCTTATCGGCGCCTATAGCTCCTCTAGCGTATGTCTATCCGTAGAGGCGTAGCTATCCTATAGCACCGTATTACGGCCACGTACGTAGCGCGAGGTTTGCGATAGCCTAGCACATTTTGGTAAAGAGAGGCACCTAAGTGGATCGAGTCGCCTCGAAAGATCTACATCTAGACATAAAGCGACCTCCAGCGCCACCGCTAAATTCACGGTAAAGCTTATAGATTGGACATTCGCCCTACTTATGCAGCGATCGGGTCGGAAGGCCGTTCTTTCGCTGCTCGTTCTTGCTGTCGCCTCTTCGCTTTTTGCGCTAGCGTCTCCGTCGGCGCATCTGGCAGCACTTCGCTGCGGAGCACGCCGTCGGGCGCATTAGGCAGAACAGCAGGTCCATTAACCTCCCGTTCCAGAGCATCAAGCTCATCCTCCACCTCATCTTCGTCATGGTTCGACATCTTGCCTCCAAGCATCTCGTTAATTTCCTGCCATCACGTATCAGTAACCACAAAAACCTCCCAGGAATATCCACAGTGAAGGATACCTCTTGATAAGCTCTCGCCTCCTGACTCTCACCCAGGATTAACTCCACCTTCTCCAACCCACCCATTTCCTTATGTATCTCCTTTAGCACGCTCGTGCCCTGCTGCAAGCCGAACACAACATCCTTTTGCACGAGCGCAAACTCAACGTCACTCGTAAGGGCCTCCAGCTGCGCAAGTTGTTGATCCGTCTTCGCCAGTAGACTCTCTTGGTATTTCTTTCGGCGCAATGCAAGTAGAGCTTTCGACTTGTTGCCTTGCCGCAGACACTCACGCGCGATCTCCGTCTCACGGTTAGTGATGACGGTGATGCGCTTTTGGTACTGGTGTAGTTTGTCCCGCTGGACCTTCATATCAAGGATAGCTTTGTCTTGGGCGGAGATCTTGTTAGAAGACGTGGTGTTGCCCATGGTTGGTGTGCGGTGAATAGCGACTTCGACCTGGTTTAGGTATACAACATCAATTCATACTCGAATGTTACTGCCATACGATATGGGAGTGAGAGACACCTGTCCCTCTGTGCAATGAGCCTGCGGAAGGGTCTTATGCGACTGATAGTATGCTCAATGACAATCAATCGAAGTGGGATACCGACTGCGATCTATCTCGGCAGATCGTCATCTCGCAGCCGAGACACATGGTACCGGCCCGAAACACTACGTGCGCCATCCCGCATCGCGGCTAGAACATCGAAAATGTGGCAGCCAGTCACTACAACGACATCAAATACTGCGCCGCCTTGAGACACTGAACACTCGCCGTGATGGCCCGCTTACAAGGCGCCCTCGACAACGACATCCTTATCATAACCAGGAAATTCCTTTCCGAAGGTACGCCACCCAACATCGACAGTCTGTGGACACGAATCCAACAATCCAATTCGAGCCTTAAGCGCAAACCAAAGAAAGTTCTCCAATCTAGCCTGGAGCGTGTCCTCGACTTCATCGGTGTATTAGGACCCCAGGAAGACTCTGAAGCAGAGATTGAGCAGCTATCGACAGAACCAGCACCCGATATTATGAACCGCTCGTTGCGCGGAAGCTTGGCACCTCAGGTTCCCTCGCAGACGAATGGCGATGGCCTAATCTATCCCCAGAAGCGACAGCGTACGGCGAATGGAGAACCGTATCCCAAGCGGACAAAATCCGACAGGGCTATGCCAGCCTCTCCACCGTCCAACATCTCCCTCGATGACATCGGTGGGATGGATGACGTGGTATGCCAGATGAACAAACTCTTGGTCCGCCCTCTACTCTACAACGAGGAGTACGCCGACCTTCACGTTCCTACGCCGCGCGGTTTACTCCTTCATGGCCCGCCCGGCTGCGGCAAGACCATGATCTCCCGCGCCTACGCAGCGCACATGCACTTGCCGCTCATAGAGATGCTCGGCCCCTCCATCGTGTCGGGCATGTCCGGCGAATCCGAGCGTGGGATACGGGATAAATTCGACGAAGCAAAACGCCAAGCACCCTGCATCATCTTCATCGATGAAATTGATGCCATTGCGCCTAAGAGAGACACTAGTCAAAGTCAGATGGAGAAGCGCATTGTGGCGCAACTTCTTGTCTCAATGGATGATTTGGGGAGCGACCCTGAAAAGCTGGTGATCGTCTTGGCTACCACCAACCGACCTGACGCTATTGACCCAGCATTGAGACGCGGAGGCAGATTTGACACAGAAATCAATATTCCTGTCCCTAACGAGCATGTTCGGAAACGCATACTTCAGGTGCAGACTCGCAAATCACCTCTCGCTGACGACGTGGATTTTGACGAGTTGGCGAGGAAGACATCGGGGTTCGTGGGAAGCGACTTACATGATTTGATTGGCAAGGCAGGGACATGGTAAGCGAAGTTTAGCAACTCTTCCCCAACGTGATACTTGCGAGGTAGCTAACCTTGTCACCCGCGTGCTATTAGGCAGCTGGAGACCCGTTTTGCGACGATTCAAGCCTACGCGAAGACGCACCTCGCTCCCCCAGATACCACTACATCAACAAACGCAAGCGCCCATCAGGACTCGCCCATCCTCGAGGCAAAACGTAAGCCCGTCACTCCGCACACACACATCTCCCACGCGATCATCAAAATCACAGCTAACGTCTTTACCCGCACGGTTGCCAGGACTAATCCACGCCGCCTCACTAAAAGCAGAACCGGACTATCCGCACTCCACTTCTACCAACAGAATAACCATGTCCGCCTTCCTTTCCGTCCTCCCCACCATCACGCCCTCCTCCAAACGCGAAGGCTTCGCCACCATTCCCAACGTGTCCTGGAGCGACATCGGCGCACTCGCCGCCATTCGCCGTGATCTCCAAACCGCCATTGTGAATCCGATCCTTCACCCAACCCTCTACAACCAACTAGGCATTACCGCACCTACTGGCATTCTACTCTGGGGCCCACCAGGTTGCGGCAAGACATTACTGGCAAAAGCCTGCGCAGCGGAAAGTCGGGCGAACTTCATCTCCATCAAGGGACCGGAGTTGCTGACGAAGTATCTTGGCGACTCGGAGGCGGCTGTTCGCCGAGTCTTCGCCCGCGCGCGTTCCAGCGTCCCATGCGTTATCTTCTTCGACGAGCTAGATGCGCTTGCGCCGCGGCGCGATAGCGGCTCCTCAGGAGAAGGAGGTGGTGAGAGCAGCAGTAGTCGGATCGTCAACACGCTCCTCACCGAACTCGACGGCCTCTCCGACCGATCCGGCATCTATGTCATCTCCGCCACCAACCGACCCGATATCATCGACCCCGCCATGCTCCGCCCCGGAAGGCTTGAGATACCGCTGTTTGTCGACTTGCCCGATCCTTCCGCTCGTTCCGAGATCCTGCGTACAATTCTTCGTTACAAACCGGTCGTCGCAGATGATGTCGAAGCTGTTGTAGAGTTAGGGCACGGAAAGGAGTGCGAGGGTTACTCGGGAGCGGATCTGGAAGCGCTGGTGAGGCAGGCTGGGTATCACGCAATTGGGAGACTTGCGAGTATGCTGAATATGGAGGATTTCAGGGCTGCGGCTGCAAGAGTAAGGCCGAGTGTAGGGGATATCAAGCGGTATTACGGCATGAGGGAGCGGCTAGCACAGCGGTATTGATGCGAACGTGGTAGAGGATCGTAGATGGGATCATACAATGCGCTTAACCTACAGAAGCAAGGCAAACGTCAGCCCAACGCACCCTTGTTATAACTCGGGCGACTGGGGTCCTTGACCTCGAAGAAGCGCTTCAACCACCAGACTTGGAAGATGCCTTCGCCTAAGAGCACGCCGAGCTGGAAGATGGACCACCATTTCACTCGACTATTGGTGGATTCGGCGGTGTTGCGGTGCATGCGCTCACGAACGACGATGTAGGATTGTTCGTCCTTGACTTGTGCGAGCAATTCGTTCAGTTGCTTGACTATTCCAATCGTTAGTTTCACTTGCTGGGCTCACAATTTGGAAGAGTAGGGGGAAAGGGGTGGGTCAAATGTACCTTCCCGTTCCAGCGGGTCCTGACTCGCCTCGCTTTCAGGGACGTAGACAATGCCGTGAACGTTGAAGGACACTTCCTTGCTATTGGCGGCCCAGTTCTCATTGCTGAAGCAGTAGGTGTACTTTCCGTCCTGCTGTGCTTCGAAGGAGTGGTCGCCAGAGCTCACGGTGGTCTCTTTGACTGGGAAGCCACCGGCTGGGTCCTGAACCTGTGCAGATACGGAACGTAGATGTTAGCCGCAGCCATTGTTGTATGTGCGCGTGGCTCGGTTGTAGAGTGATGGATGCATACCCAAAAGTCAATGTCGAGATTGCCGCTACCACCAAACTCCCGATCGCCGACTTGAAATGTGACGGTCATTTTGTCCTCCTTGTGCAGCTCTTCGTGGAAGCACTCGCGCGAGTGCGCTTTCATTTGGATGTTGTGCGCATAGCCTAAGCGTGGGAGGGCAGTGAGGGTGACGGAGATGATGAGGACGAGGAGATTGAGGGTGAACATCCTGGCAGGTGTATTGAGGAGTATGGGTAACGATGTCGGATGTGTGCTGGAGGGCGGTGTTCGAAGCCTTGCTTCTCATGTTCGAGGGAGCGGAGCCAACTCCGTTACAGACGGGCTTGGCAGGGGACACTGCTTCGGCCTCACTTCCAGTCACCATCACAATTACCCTCGACACCTGAACTAAGCATCACAGTGGCCTTACTGGAAGCGCCTGGAATATTGCTGCAGTGCGAGATGAATTGGACAATGGCAGCTTCTTTTGCTAAGTACCCAAGTCAAGCCAACTTACGCATGGTTGCTTGCTCTGTCTCCCTCCTTGCCTGAAAGTCCTGTTACCCAAAATCGTCTTGCAACCAAGGACGACACCAACTCGCAGCTGCTTGCTTGATTCATAACAAGACCTGGTATGGTGTCACTTCGCAAGCAAGACCAGCTTCCTCTTCACAGACGTCACATTAGCACATATCCTCCACGCTTAATGATCAGGCCAACGTACAGTTTGCACCATATCGAATCTCAGGACCTCCGTAATGCCCAGCATCGCCAGTACCTTTGGATTGCCCATGTTCACGCCGGCGGCCGACTCGGCAGGCACGAGGAGCTCCTGGTCCACTAGCTTCGGCTTCGACCAATCTTCCCGCGGTGAGAGATACGGTCTGAGAGATTCGTCAGTCAGACACCGTGCAAGCTGTATTGTGATGTCTACGAAGCGAACCTGCACATGTCGTTTTCATTGGCAGCTCTTGCGCCTTCTTCTAGCAGTAGGGTTGTGGCCAGAGGAGCCGATTGCCGCCGTCCAAGCTTCAACACTGATAGCCGTGCTTTCGCGCTCGCAAAGTCCAGCATGCTGATCTGCAGGATTCGAAATGCTTTAGCATCAGCTTGGTGCTGTCCGTTGACGTGAGCTAATTGAGGTTATGGAGCGTGCACAGCACGGTTATGTGCGGAAGCCGCCATCGTATTCCGTCTTGTGAGTGAACGTGAACATCGAGAAGTGAATATTGATCAAGGACCCGACAAAGCAGCATTCCGGAGTGAGAGTGAGCTCCTCCCAAGCGTGTCGCACATCATTGTTACACCCCAAAAGGCCGCAGGCGTCCAGTCAGAGGGCTAGGCAACAACTTCACTTTGCCATTTGCGAAAGCATACCCTGTCAGCCTCAAACACCATCTCCCACGGTGCGAAGACAGCTTTCATTACCACCTCTTCGCCATAACGACGACACGTTGGTCGACAGCATGGGCCGCCTTGCAACTCACCTCGCTGCCGTGGCCACCGACGCCGACAATCTCCCGCCCATACAAACGCTACCAAACATCTCCTTCATCGATGCGCTCTTGCCTCGCTGTCTGGTCAGCGTCGGGTCACCCCCGGTAAGCGTAGTTGCTATATCAGTCTCCGCCCTGCATCAATGGTACAAATGGTTACGCCATGCGAAACGAACAAGCGAGGCGAAGAAGGAAGGCGCGATCGCTGTACCTGCCTTCTCCTGTCATTCCTCCAACTGCCTCCAGGTTATCACCCTCGATAATCCGTGTCTTCCTGCTACTCCATACACCATTATTCTTTCAAGAAGCAGACGCCCCCGGCCTATATCACACCATGCCCCCACTAGCTTGCCTCCGCTATCTCTCCGGCGCGAATCCTTTTCGCCTCGTTGCCGTAGACGCTGACACCGGCAAGCCCATAGACCCGAACATCGGACGGAAGACGTACGTCACTTACTACGATGTCAAGAAGGATAAGAAGGGCAACAAGGTTATTGAGCGGCATCGTACTCAAAGGGGAAGTCAGGTCGGCGAAGGGCAAGGTAAGTGATTACTTTCAGTCGTAGTGAGGGTGCGAATGGGGAAAGGTGAGTGTGCTATGTGAGCTAACAAGCTTGTTGTAGGCAAAGACGAGCAGAAGAAGTGCTGCAAGTGCGATGGAGGCGGTGAAAAGAAGCCTGAAGGCCGGGTCGGAAAGAAGGAAGGTAATGGTGACGGCGGTGACAGCAACGTGAGCCTTTCACCATCTTAGTCCTTGTTTGGGGACTCTATGGCCAAACTGTAAAGCTGAAAATGTCGCAGGAGAAGACCGGCAGCGGCGGCGATGATGACAAACCCTTCACACCCGATGAGGACGCCAAGATCAAGGCCATGAAAGCAGAAGGTAGGACCTGGAACCAGATTGCCACCGAGCTGGGCAATGGGCGCACGAAAGGCGCAGTCTCTGGACGATGTAAGGAGCTGAGCAAGACCGAAGGGCAAGGCCTCGGCCGCAAGCCGAACGCAAGCGGCGAAAGGTCCAATGAGAAGGACAATACGAAGCCCGCCGCCGCCGCCAATAAACCAGCAATGACGAAGGCCGAGAAGAAGACCGCGAAGAAGGCCGCCGCGGCTGAGGCTGCCACCGCCGCCACAGCCAACGCACCACCACCCGCGTCCAAGCCGGCCAGCACCCACGGTTCTGCCCCAGGCTCGGAAGTGAGGTACACCCTCTCCGAATGGCAAACCCTACAAGAAGACTCCACCTTCTCCTTCGGCGAGCTTCAGTGTCTGAGCGAGATCATCAACCAGGACCTGACACTGACGTGGGGCCGAGTGGCGGCAAGATTCTACGATTTAACGGGCAGGAGGATTCATCCCGATGAAATTAGGGAGAAGTTCGAGGCGATGGTTGTGGGGACGTGACGAGGGTGTACTGGACACCAATTGCTTTAACGGAGAGAGGAGCTGCCGAAGTTGAAAGCAGAAGAACCTTTATACAGCAGGATGTCGAAGCACCGCGAAGGAAGGTGGAGCGATGCGAGGGTGGTATCCCGAATCTCCAGGCTGCTAAAGAGGGCAGAGGAGTTTCGCGAAGGATGAGAACAAGCGAGCAAGGTGCGAGAAAAGGTGCAATACTGGTCGGCTCCTGACTCCACCAGACCATGGACCATCTACCCAGTTGTTGCTCCTAGCGTCGCGAACCTGAATTCGCTTAACAGGTAGTGAAAAGACTTCTTGCACTCGTTTGGCTAGAAGCTCTCAAAGGGCATCGTTTGGGCCAGAAGAAGATCTTACAGCTCGACTTCCATGTCCGGTGGCGCAGCACCTTGTCCCCGCTTGTCGCCGCCTGCGAACAGACCTTCTATTCGGAGCGGCTCAGCCATCTGCGAGACAATCTGCACTTCACTCTTGTTGGACACCGCAGGCGGCTTCTGAACAGTATTGATGGGTAGTACAAGCCTTTCCTCGTTGAGATCGCTCAACACCGTAAGGGCCGCTGCATGCATATTCGGCACGCCGCCACGACTTAGCCGGCCACGCTTCCTCGCCACCTCAACGAGGAATCGAGTGGTGGTGTCGCTACCTGCAGTCACGAGCGGCGGTATCTGATAGTGATCTATGAGCCGCTGAATACCGTCTTGTGTCCGCTGAATGCGTTCCATGAGTGCATTTACGGCTTTGATGGGGTCCTCGAGTGCCTGCTTGGGCAGTACTTTCTTAGTAGCCTGGCCGGATGCAGAGATTGCTGCGTCATCGATACCGTCCCATTCTCCATCATCATCATTATCATCAGCACCGCCGTCTGCAGCGCCGTTGTCTGCGACTTCGTCGGCCTTGCTGTACGCTTGTGCGCGTGCCTGGGCCGAGGCCAGTAGAGCTGCCATGGGATTGCCCTCATTCCGCACCTCCATCTCGTCGACTTCATTTGTTCGGTCGTCATCTTCCTCGTCGAGCAATATCTCATCATCATCATCTTCCGTAACAGTCTTTGCCACCTGGGCCGTCGCGGCTGTACCCATTCTCTGCGCCTTTGCAACTTCCCGCTTCTTCTGCGCGTCCTCCACTTTCTTTCGTCGACTCTCTTCGATCTCCGCCAGTACCTGCGCCTTGAACGGGAACAGATTGGGGATGCCTGGGTCCTTCTTCAGGCGGGACACCCATTGTGGGTTCTTCTTCGCTTCTTTGCGCTGTTTGCGCTGCTTTGCCGCTGATGCCTTTTGGATCTTGTGCCGAAGGCGTACCGGCACACGCTTGGATTGGGGTTTGCCGACCTTCATCGTGACGGTACTGCTGGGACAGTCGGGCAAAGCTCTGATGAAGGGAGGTTCGCGGTTCAAACGACTCGACAATTAAATCTCAAAAGCGGACAGAATTCCGCGCCAAGATTTCGCCCCACTTGCAGCCAGTAACATTGACTTTCACGTGCTATCAACATCCTATCTCGCGAGCGATCAGTCACTCGATGCATATTCGACACTCTAGACAAGGCTGTTACGTTCCAACAAGGCTACGGTAGCCTTGACCTGGTCGAGCCTCAGGTAACGGGCACATCATGAACGGCAGGCTGCTAAAAGTCAAAACGTACCAATCCCCTTCTGTGGTACAATGCGCATGGTTTGTTGGGGAGTTGCGGAAAGTGACGAGATCCAGGGAGAGAAGGAGAGACGGTGAAGTAAGGTTTAGTCGAGATGTTGGAGCATGCCGTCCTGCGCTAGGCGCCAATGCATCGCTTAACCCTCTTACATTCACAGTCATTCCCACAGCTCTCAGTGCGAGCCTCTCTTTTCATTACTCACTCATTTCCTCAATCCCCCTATCTCTTCGACGTTGCAGCAAGCAGCGCATCGCCCAAGTTGGCCACCATGGACGTCGCAAGCCTGCGTGAGCAGATCCTGGGTAAGCCACACAGGCCAAAATCAACCCGCGGTATGCATACTGACTGCCCTTAGCCAACGCGGCCGAGTTGATGTGCAAGGTGAACCCGGACAACACGCACCACATCAAGGATCATCGCTTGATCGTGCGCAAGTGCAGCGGTAAGAAACGCGACAGCATCAGCGGTGACGAGAAAGGTCACGGCTACAAAGCCGTAATTATTGATTTTGACACCATCCGTATTGAAGGTCCGAAAGGCAAGGATCTGCAGGAAGCGCTCGAGCTCCTGTTCGAGTTCACGGCAGACAAGCTGAGAGACTTTGTGAGAAGCTACGAGAACATGCAGTTCTCGCATATCGAAGGGGAGGAGTTGCGGAAGGATGGCGGTGCGCGGATTGCCGTCAAGCAGGGCAAGGCGATGACGGTCGGAAAGGGCGAGGAAGTTACGGATGCGGATGCCACACCGCAGAAGTCCAAGTTGAAGCGGGACCGAGCTGAGAGTTCAAAGATGACCGTATTCGATGTCACGCCAAAGAAGGCAACGTTGAAAAAGGAGCGGGCGAGGATGCCAAGGGCCTAGATCCGCTTACGGTGTGAGCTACGTACCTGCCACGAAGGTGGTTCAGTGCAGTATAAAAGCGCATACGACGGTATTGACCTCGAGATGCGTTGCCCACGCAGAGGCTTCCACCGCGAGCGGCATGTCACTCACGATGCCGCCTCAAGGGCCCTTCCAGGCGTGGTACTCCTCGCGTCATATCGAAATGCAAAGTCATTGCACTGACTACTGCCCCTTCCGCATTGTCAGTCTGCGCCTTGAGATCGACCCGTGTCTCTCCATCACATGCCCGTCAGACCTGCTGATCATCTGTCCGCGTCGTGACGCGCGAATCACTTTGACAACATTTCCGAATGCGATTGCGACGGAACTGGAGTCAAGGGGGGCGACAGGGCCTGCGTTGACAACGTAAAGCGAGCCGGACGCCGAGGACCCATGGTCAATGCTCGTCGAGACAGCAGTGGCCTCGAGTTCACCATCAGTGTTGAACTTGTAGGCTTGCCACTCATCTTCAACAGGCGCGCTGCCAGGCTTGAGCCCCGGACTACGACGACGGCCTCCACGACTGAGAAGTTGCTGCTTCACCGTCTGCCCATCGATATGCCTGGGCTGCTTTCTGAGGCCCAGGACAGCATGTGTGTCAAGAGCCTGCCAGGCGCCAGCGACTGCGAGACAGTGCGTCTCCGATTCAGAACTCTGGCAAGGCCGACATGCTGGCTTACCCATGCGCAGGCAAAAGGGCGTTTCGTCGCTGTTTGGCGAGGAGAAGGATTGTAGCTTTACGTCCTCTCCTTCAGCCGGAGCCGCAGTCATTGCCCACGAACGGAGCGCCACTGAGCCACAACTTGGGCAGGTGCTTACGGGCCCAAGCAGAAGCCGATGCGCTTGGGTCGGTGAAAGATCAACTTTACTCATTATTGCCAAAGAGCTGCCTTCTATGAAGAACAGTGCCTCCGGCATCGTTACGACAAGTAAGTCCTGCCCCAGCTGATCGTAGGTTCGCACGCTGACTTGGAAGCCGAGCCTGCGGTTAGTCACTGGTAAGGGAAGAGTCTGCGAAGCGGACTCTCCCCAGCATCCATTTTCATGGCCAAAGACAATAAGCTTGCCCACCTGTGTGATCGTCACAATCCGGGCTTTCTGTCCGAGAGCGTCAAAGAGCACCGCATGTACCAACTCTAGTGAGGTAAGTCGGGTTTCACTCAATTCTGCGTCATCTTGTTCAACAATCCGCGTAAGAAGCCGTCCAGCAGAGGTGAGAACGAGAACGACTAACCTCAACACGTCACCATAGAAGATACGAGCGAAGCGGAGCAGGACAGCTGGAGAATCGTCAGGAGGGGAGAACGGCTCGCCCACCATCTCTGCATTCGAGACGCCGTACACGACTATTTTGTTGTCCGCATCCTGACAGGCGAGCCACTGTCCAGTGTCGTCAAGGACAGCTGTTTGCACTGGCCATCGGACCGCCGCCAGCAGATTCAAGTGCGCGGCAATTGGAGTGTAGCACTGTTGGGTGCGATCGAACAATGACACCACGATCGTTCTGTCGAGCGAGACCGTCACGAAGTGTCCCTTGTCAGTGCCCATGATCTTCATAATATCCAACCGGTGAGGTAGCGCCACTGACTGTACAGTGAGCGCCTCCTCATACCTCTCGTCACCCAGCCCGTGCTCTTCGCCAGCTTCACTATAGAGCAAGAAGTTCATCAGAACTGCAACGAAAGCGACCGCGAACACGATCGCGACAGTGACCGGGTAGAAGTTGTGAATGGTGAAAAGACGGACCGTGTGCAGCCAGGCTTCCGTGCCTAATGGCGCACCTGTCCGATCTGCGCCAGACAGTACGACGATCAAGGGCGCGAATATGCGGATTACGAAGCTGTCCGCCCCGGGCTTGGCGAGCCGCATGACTTCCCGTGCAGTGTCGAAGTCCTGCATCCGCATCCATTCTCCCGGGGTTAGCGTGGCGTTCATCGGTGGCGGTGTGAAGGTGTCGAACTCTGCAACGTTCCGAGGCCCGCCGCGAGCGAGACCAAGCAGGTGTCGCAGATTTGTACCTTTCTCGTGCCGCTCGAAGAAGTGGTAATTGAGACTCAGGATGAAGGTCGTGGTGACAGCTGTGCCGGCCATGCGAGTGCTGAAGGGCAGACGGCCATGGACAAGCGCGTCAAACCAAGTGTGCTTTGAGGATGGTGACGGCTTGCGCTTCGTGCTGCTGGGCCGCTTGTTGGTCGAGCGAGCCAGAGCATCTTGAAGCTCCAGACGCCTGATGTCCACATTCAATACTGCCACGAAGAAGGTGAGCAGGAAGAAAGCGTCGAAGAGCGTGGCAATGCACGCGAAGGCGCAAAAAGCGGCAACACCAGGAGACACAACACTGCCGAGAACAGAGAGTATAAAGACATTCTGCGCAGCCGTAAGAACAGAGACAGGTCCTACGTCGCCAAGTGCATTAGCGATGCGCAGATCGGTTGCCATAGTCGCCGGATAAGCAAGGATAGCATTGATCAGCCGAAACATGTTCTCAAGGCCGATGACCAGTACGACGAATGGGTATGCATTCTGCGGAATCATGCTCAGGTTGATCTTCAGGATGGCGCAGATTGTGAAGGATGCCAGGATTGAGCATGTCATTTGTGTGATGGCAGTAACAACAAGGCCGAAGCGGCTGTGAAACGCTTTCAGACGAGTCAAGCTAAGAAGGACATACGCGGCCATGAGTGTGTAGGCGACGGCGAGTATGACATTCTCTTGTAGACTTAGAGGCATGAAAGAGAACTCGTACACACGACTGCGGGTTACGTCACCGTCTGACGGGAAAAGTGTGCAGTTCTCGCAAGCGCCGGCAATGGTCTTCATTCTTTCTTGCCATTCGCCGCCGACTTTGTCAGAGACGGAGACCTTGTTCATGAACGTCAAGATGAGCGCGTCTGCGGCGCGCAGTTTTCGGCGGTTGAACATCTTGCCTCCAAAGACGGAAGCTGGCCGTAAGGCAACATTGAGCGAAGATGAGGCGTGAGAGTGGTCGTTGATAGTCTTGACAATGTCATCGTCACGATCCACCATCTCCGCAGAGCTGTTCCAGTACATCAGCGGCGAGTGGTAGCCCCAATTCAGAGTGCTAGATCGCAGCTTTTCATTCAGAGCTGGTATCGCGTCCAGGCGTTCGCCACCAACGACTGTTTGCTGGATCCTGAGTGCGTCCTTCAACACGCCTTTGTCGAGTGCATGCATGTAATTCCCGTGCACCCACACCTGACGCATCTCAACGTCCACAAAGTCATCGCCGCCGTCAAATGGTTTAGCGGACGTCCAGACATGGTGAGGGTAGGCGGCAAAGCCTGCCGTCGGACTCTCCGCCAAGAAGATGGTTGGGTAGGAGAACCCTACGGCAATGGCAACCGAGACTAGCATAGCAATCATCCAGTGCTGGGCTGTTGTCTTCCCATGGCGATAGAAGGCTCGTCGGATTGGATGGTTGGCCGAAAGCCTTGGCGGCTGCGTGGTGCCTCGGAGTGGGTACAGTATATACCATAGCATCTTGGAGTTGCAGGGGAGATGTTCCGTGGGATTCAGATGACAGCTTGTTCAAGGGATGGCATACGAGCAGGTTGAGCCTATAGCACGCCTATTATTGCGTCGCCTGCCGCGGAGAGCCTTTGTCAGAGGAAAGTGCATGGTGCTAGAACAACCCCGTTCCGTGACTGATACGCGGATAGAGTGTTTCATCCATACACATGCAGTAGCCACGCCGTCCTGCCAGGGAGCTGCAAGATTCTATGTATCTGGTACCAAGTCGTTCATCCGGCCGCTCTGCAGTGACACGAAAGCCGTTCAGCCCTACCAGGCCGGCTTTACGGTCGGCTAAAACTGTAGAATGAGCTCCACCTATCGGTGCGGCAGCAGAAGCAATGAACGTCACTGAGCATTGTGCATAAACAAGCAACAGGGATGCACTGAGTAACGAGCAATCGTAAGCTTTCAGCCTTCACGACTACCCAACAGACGAAACAGCCATGTCGCTCAATCCTCCCGCGTATATTCAATCGCTGCAGAACAACATCCGAGCACGGCCGATCAGCTGGGAGGGCGCAGTACGAGCGAAGACAATCACCGAGTCGGACTTGAAGAAGATCAAGGCAATTGACAAAGTCCGGAAAGAGCAGCGACGGCAAGCGATCGAAGGAGATCTTGACACTTATACGGCACTTCTGCTAGGTAATGGAGACACGAAGAGCATCTTCGAGAGTGCGGCGAAGCGGACGGATATCCTGCAGTACATGCTTGTGTTGGCTGGGGATTTGATAGAAGGTTTGTGTCGCTCTAGCTTGACTGAATCTTGGAGCTAACCGTTCGAAGACGTACCACAACTGGTGGAGCGACTAATCAATCACCCGCACCCATACAAATCACTACTACCGCTGCTCAAGCAATCGAATGCTGCCGAGGACCCCATTCCACTGCTAACGTCGGCAGTGCTCTCGTCCTTATTATCGCGCGCAATCTTTGCGCAGCCGCAGTCCAATTCGGAGATCGACGAGGCACTACCCAAGCTGTATTCCTACATCGCAGCCCTGTCCAACACCACCGACTCCAACCTACAAGACATTGCCGTGCAAGAGTACAGCGCTCTCTTACGGACATCCAAATCAAGGCACCAGTTCTGGCAGCAACGGAAAGAGACGCTCGGCCCGCTGTTTGATGTTCTTCATAACGCAACCGGCGGCAAGGACTCGGACAGTACGCTATACAATGGCACATCCGCCGCAAGCAGCATCCGAAGCGCTGCCGAGTCGGCCAACATCAAGCTTGGCGGCGGTGTGGGCCTTCAATTACTCTACCATGTCCTCATGGTGATATGGCAGCTCTCGTTCGAAGGCAAATTAGTCGGCAAAGGTTTGGATGAAGATCATGATATCATCCCGTTGTATACACAACTTTTGCGAGTGTCGCCAAAGGAAAAGACGACGCGGCTGTTGCTCGGCACGCTGCAGAATCTTCTCGCTTCCAACCAGGATACGCTTATGCCCGCCGCACTCCCTGCGCGCTTGCCAACAGTTTTGTCAAACCTCAAGACCCGCCATCTCACCGACCCCGATCTTCTCGAAGACCTTGACAACCTTACACAGTTGATGGATGCTTACACCTCCTCGAAGACAACGCTTGACGCTTACACCTCAGAATTGGAATCCGGCCATCTTCGCTGGTCACCACCACACAAGAACCCGGACTTCTGGCGCGAGAACGCTCGTGCCATCATTGAGACCGAGAACGGCGAGCTGTGCAAAAAGCTGGCGGAGATTCTCAGCAAAGACTGGAGCAGCGATAAGCAGGTGCTTGCCATTGGGTGCAACGATGTGGCTTTCTTGGTCAAGGCATGCCCAGAGAAGCGAGCGGTGCTGGAGCGGCATGGACTGAAAGCGAGAGTCATGTCCTTGATGCAGGATGAGCAGGAATCAGTCCGATGGGAATCACTCAGGGCCGTAGGAGAGTGGTTGAGGTATAGCTTCGAGGGCGGAGACGCTTAGGATGGGTTGTTCGCAAGCGTGTCATCATGTGTGGCGTATCAGCGAGTGCGACAATGTATAGAATGGGCCTTCAATTGCGCTACACCGTAACGTGGCGTCATATGTGGTCTGCAAATATTGATCTTCTCGGCGGCTCAACCTCACCAAACAATGCTTGGCGTGTTCGGAGGTTGACCACGAGTCTAAAGCGTCGTAAAGTATCCGCATTGCATACGTATGGTGAAAGAACCGGTCGGAATGGTCGTCTTCGCATTCTGCAGCGTCTGAAAGACCACTATGCCGTCAGAGCAATCAGATCTGGACCGGCAAGGCTACGTGGAGGATGGAAGTAAACTCGCCCCGACGCATGTGTTGATGTTTGGTTGGAATTTTAGCCACAGTGGCGGTGCAGATCCACAAAAGGCTGAGACCTCGCCTGTCGTTTCAGCGGTCTTTGACAGGTGACGATATTATGTACTTTTTATTTTGCTGTAGGAGCTCTAGCCAAGGACTTGCCAGGCAGACGATGCGTGACAGCATGACAGCGAAGGACAGCCAAATCATTGGAGAGGTTGATATCCAAGCCTACATACGTGATGAAGCAGTCTACACGCGGCAGTGACGGCACGACTACATCCTTTTGACCCTGCGTTCGCGATCCTAAGGGCACAATTCAAGGACAGACCAGAGATATTGCAACTGTCAGCAAGAAGCGGACGTCGGACTACGATCGCGAACGTCTTATCGCTGTATATCCGACGCCGACCACCATCGGGCTATTTCGATGATGGAAGGTCGTGCTTGAAACCGGTTTCCGCGCGCACCCAACGTCAGCTATGCGCCGCAACCCTGTCCGCCTATCAACACCGGTCCACAGAGGACCCTTACTTACGCCACAGATGGAGGTAGGCGAATGTAGATCACCTCATGGCAACAAGGTCGAGAACGCCTCTTTCCCGACGTGCATGATGAGCAGGTTGTCATGCGCCACATTCTCGACAGCGCTTGTCCCAACAAACTGTGGCTGTCTTTGCGCATTCTAACCCCATCCGGTCAAGCCTGCTGTCTTCCAGCCACAGAAGCCTCGCCAACGGTCCACGTTGTCCCCGCCCTTCCTTTAGCGACCGGCTTTCCTTGTCTACTAACGACATGCCTTGCCTTTCCTGCAGATCTGGGAGGTTGCGGACAAGCTCCGTCACTCGTAAGGCCTGTTCTATTCGTTCACCCTGCGCCGGGCTGGCTGCGGCAGGCTGCGGGTCTTTGAACGCCTCTTATGCACCAGCGTGGGAACAGAATATTGATGTGACTCGGGCAATACTTTCCGACGATCTCCTTCGCTTACGATATGCAGTACCCAACCTCATGGTGAGTAGCACCCTGCCGCAGCACCGCCTGCTTCTCGAACTGTTCGATTGTCATCTGTGGTCCCGGCAGAGGGCGTGGAAGATCTCCTACCACCCGTTCTGTCAGAGACCCTTCGTTTCAGCTGTTAAACTCAATTGTGGCCCTCTCTCCTTCATATCTCCCTCGTTTGCCAGATTCTCGCCGTTGACCCTTCAAGTGCGGAGTGTACGTTATCAACGGCTCGTAGTCGGCTCCGGAGCTGCCACCGTTAACTTAGCGAAACACATTATCAAACAAACTCGGCGATATGGTTCGTACCAGCAACGCGAGCAGGCTTGTCGCCTTCTCTCTGTGTGCCGCGCTCGCGACGGCGCAAACATCGACTCAACCAGCGTCTTCCAGTACTTCGGCACCACCCAGCAGCACTACCCCTCTCCCAACTCTGACCGCGGCCGCAAATGCGTCAACGACCACAGACATGCCAATGACAATATGGGACATCGCAAACTCTCTCTTGTCGTCGTACTACCCGTCGACAACTCTCACCCAGATCGATACGCTTACATGGCCTGCGACTGTGGTTGTAGGGTCCTCAACCTACAGTGTCCAACCCGAGAGTACAAGTACACCCACAACATCGTCAGTAGCATCCAAGTCTCCTGGGAATTCAGCGCAGTCAGGCCCGAAGCTCGGTGGCGACGAGAAGATCGGCGTCGCTGTCGGCGCGGCAGTTGGAGCGGTCGCTGTCGCAGTATTGGCAGTGGTGCTGTGCTGTATGTACAGGAGGAGGAAAGCAACGGGAAGCTTCTTTCTGCGAAGGCCGACGCCTTCCGTGACAGGTAGCGATATCGAAGCATGGCGATCTCCGATAGACCGACACTCTTCCGTTCGATCCAATGGGCCCTCATCATTGTGGGCGGAACGCTACGACCGCCTCTCTGACGAACCATCTGGACATCTGCAGCCACCGCCTATGGCGATGCATCCGGCCTTCGCACGCCAATACTCACAGCAGTCGCTGTCTGAGAAGAACCCATTCTTCACACCCGAAGAACGCTCTCACGAGCATTTCGAGCTGGACGGTGCAGGTGTCGCCACAAAGCCAAGCCATGAGCCTATTGAGCAACACGCTGAACGGGGTGCAAGGCCGCCAACACCCTTCTCGCCCATGCTCCAAGTGGATACTACTACATCCCATGAGGCCTCGCGGATCGTCAATGAGAACCCATTCGCGAGTGAGGAGGACGAGGAAGCCAACGACTTGGTGTCTCCTATCGTACCGCCCGCGCGAAGCCCAGAACGAAGATACTCGCCAATGGTACACTATCCATCATGGAGCGAGGTATCGGAGTTCGACTTCAGCGGTGAGGGGCGCCGTTCGACCCGAAACACGTCGAGTAACGAGGACGTTAGTGACGGGTGGCATCCACGGCGGGAGTCGGTTATTGGAAGGCATGAGTTGGACTAGTGATTGGCACTTCTTGATTGGGCGTGTCGCTGGCCCTCATACTTGCCTTGTTCTGATGAAGACACTACTTGAAGATGATGATGGAATAATGCCTGTATATACAATCAGATACCCTCGTGGCGCCGCAGCAATTGTTGGTAGCTCAATGCAAGCCAAATGAATCTCAACCTCTTCGCTCAAGTCGTCCCAGATCTAGTGCTCTGTATGCACCCCGCCTAGCATGTAGCTTACATGATATAGTAAGACCCACTACTTTTCCGTAGGGTGGACAGGAAGCTCCTGCCGCGTGCTTTGCACGTTGCCCAGCTCCTGCGGGTACGGATGTGCCTTTGGCGCTGGCAGCTCCTGTGGGTACTGCGCTTGGATCGCATACTCAGGTAGGCTATACGATGATCGGAGTAGGTCGAGTATGGAGTGACTGGTGAAAACGTGCGCTGGTGTTGCAACTGCTGCTGCTCTTCCGGGTGCCAGGTTCTGTCACGATTATCATGGGCGGGTCTCCGTTTACGTCGAATAAGGCAGAAGACCACACCGCCAATGAGACACAGAGCGACGACGCCAGCTGCGACACCAATGCCCGCCTCAGCGCCGACGCTGAGGCCGCCGTTGCCGTCACTGTCGCCATCGTCGTCCGAAGAGACTGCTATGGATGTCCACGCTGATGGTGAAACTGCGCTGAAGAATTGGTTCGTTGGCGAGCCGTTGCACGCACCGTTACCGCAGCATTGCCATTCGACTTTAGTCGAGTTCCATTGGATCCAGGTATTCCCAAGCATGGCTGTCTTCATTATCAGCAAACTATGGCTCGCAGACACGGCAGGGAGTTCTGGTTGCGCCGGGACTTACTGCAGTCACTTCGACAGACCGGGTCGCCGTAATTCGCATCGGTGCATCCGCCAACATCTGAGCCAATCAGCCTTGATCAAGCGTCTGAACTGTATTGTGAACACGACATACACCACCCGCTACCGCCTTCCTGCTGGTCCTCAAAGTGACAGATGGAGTCTTGACCGCAGTAGGACCCGACAAGGCAGCATAGCTGTTCGGTGCCATCACCGGTTCTCGTACCTGTACCGCAAGCATACCACCCGCTGTTCTCTGCAACAACAGTCCCGTTCGTTCTCCAGTAGCAATTGTGGGCTTGAACCACTGAAGCGCATAACATCGCCAAGGCGACGCCGCTTCGGACGGTCATCTTCTATGGTGGTGGCCGATAGGCTGCTCTGACCAGACTCGGTTCGTTGAACGTTGCTCAGATGTATGCCAGCAGCAATCGAACAGACATAGGTATGAAACAGACGCAAAGAGAGCAAGGAAGTAATCACTCATCTCCTCACGGTCGACGATGCATCATGCTTAGAAGCGTACCACCTACTGCGCCCGGCTTGCTACCTCGAACAGCTGTACCAACAATGCCAAGCGACGCGATAGCATATTCTCGACTCCTACTCGCTCCTTCAAGGCTGAAGCTGCTGCGGTGCTGCTTACTGCCTGGCGATCGGCGTATTTTGTGCCCTAAGCACACTCCTTCGAAAAAGTATCGACGGCCCCAACACACCTTTACAGCATGTCTGGATTACAAAGTGCGTGTACGCAACACTCGGGACGGCGGATCAGCAACATCCAGGACATAATGCGACCTTCGAGCCTAACCGTCCAAGCATCCGAATGCATTGGGAGGGTTGGCGGTCGAATATGGCAACAAACATAGTAGATGAATCAAATGCTGCTGTCCCTTCCAGAGTCAGAACCATTATTGCGAGAAGCTGCTTTGCAATAAGTGCATTATCCGGGCCAAATCGCTGAGCTCCTCAACATTTCGGAACGCACCTGGAAGGACTGGGTTGTTGAACGCTTGATAATTTGGCAGCATCTCCGATAAGGCATCTTCTTGAGAAGCACAGTCGTCCATGACGGGCTTGAGCGTGCAGAAACATTCTGGGATCAAGCAAGGAATCCTACTGAAGGATTTTAGCTGCTGTAAGTGCCATGATCATGCCCGCAGTAGTCGCAAAAATCGTTCGGTACCCGTGAACAGATAGCGTGTATGGCAAACGCTGCAATATCTGAGACGAGGAGTGCGTGTCGAGTGGGCGTCAGACACAAGGCTCACGAGTAAACCCTCAACATGCCCCGCCAAGACCATCGTCCCCCAGATGACTGCAAGCCTTGACTCACAGAGGAAGACATGAAAGCTTGTATCCTTCATCAGTGTAGGCACAATCTGAAGTATGGGAGGTGCAAATCTCAATGAAATTCGAGAGTATGACCTCTGGCGTGCAAATCCGCAAACTGCCCAAGCTCCTGCCAGCGGACACAAGCGACGCGAAATGGCTCGAAACTGCTACAAAGTGTCGTGCACTTCGCCTGCATGCTCTGAAAAGCTCTCCGGAGGCCTTTGCGTCATCATACGAAGTCGAAAGTCAGCGAGGGTTAGAAGCAACCTTTGAGCGACTTGGCAACCCGAAGGCAGTCCACTTCCTGGCGGTCCGTATCCATGATAGTGGTCAGAACGGAGCAGGTGGGGCAGATAACTGGCTTCCAAGCCACATAGACGAGTTGGTCGGAACGTTGATCTTGCTCGGGCCGCTTGAAGAAGACGCCTCGTCAGGATTGACTGCGAGAAGCAGTCCGTTCGCGAAAGCCACTGCTCCTGTCAAGAGCTCCGAGCCTGCTCACCAACCGGCTTTGCATAGCCTTGATCGTCTGAGAATATCTCACTACCATCTGAACGGCACGTTCGTCCATGAGACTTGCAGAGGGGCCGGACTCGGTTTGAGACTTATTGAGGCGGCCCTGTCTGAGGCAGCGGATCGGACGCGCAGCGCAGGCTGGCAAACATACAAGTGCTCCGTTCTCGTCAACCAGGAGAATGATGCAGCCCGCAGGTTATACGAGAAAGCCGGGTTCGCAATCGCCGGCAGCGAGACGTACTCTCAGCAGCGACGCACGGTAGCGGGGGAACCGCAGAAAGTTGAGCGGGTGGCATTAAGCATGGAGCTGACGCGTGATCTTGAGACTAAAGAATGAAAACCAAGACAGGCCGACGAAGAGGCTGGTCAGTGTTTTGTGGTTGGTTGTTCAGGGAGTCAGATGCTTTTCCATTAATGCCAGGCTTTAAAAAGGAGTTCTACCGACCTGGCCAACACCATATCATCTTCTGCTCCACCTATAGCCTTGCACACTCTGACTTGCGCGCATTGAACCAGCATCAGACAGCGATAAATCGAGTTCCATAGATGAGGCCATGGACTGAATATTTGGACTCCCGGTGACTTGTGAACGAAACCCAGATCTTCTCCACAAACTCAATCTTGGGTCCTTCGATCTGCCATGCCACATGCGGCCCACTTGCTTGGACCTCGGTGTTTGAATGCACGCCGTGACGACATGTCTATATGCTCACATGTTGAGAGGAGTTGCCAACGGTGAGCCAACAGTGTATGCTAACTTCCCTTTCTTCACATTTGCACCAGAAGCCACAAACAGATATCTTCGGTACAGCGTAATTATCGATCGCCATGGCACCATCAGTACGTCTGAACTACCACGCCATCGAGTGATCGCGTCAATTAACCATGCAATAGGATGACAAGTCGCTCAAGCAGATTGCGAAAGAGAAGCAGACCGCAGCCCCATCTCAACTCGGTGACCCAGTCAGCTTGAAGGCAGAGACGTCAGACAACCAACCCACAGAGCAAGACAAGCCGAACAAGGCGCCCAACAAGCAAGACAACAGGAGTCTGAAGGAGGTCGCTCAGGACAAGATGAAGCAGAACCCTTCGCAGCTTGGCGATCCGGTCAGCTTGAAGGCGGAGACGAGCGACACTGAGCCAACTGCGGACGATAGAGGGACGCTGGGGACGCAGAAGACTGGCAAGCAGACTAGCAAGCCGAAGCTGTAAAGACAAGCACAGTATTTCGTACGATTACTTAAATCTCTTGACTTCGATGCGCTTCAATGGTCTCCGGGCGGCGTTTGCTCGTCGTTGTTGTCAATTAGGCGTGCCTACCAAAGGCGAGGTTGCAGCCTTCACTTGTGGTGAAATCAGGACAATCACTTGTTCGGCAGCCTGCAGCAAGAACACTTTAACACATGCAGATCTCAGCAGTACTCATATCCCGCTTCGGTAATCTTAGCCGTTTACTGCACTCCTTCCTGTTTCTATCGAACATTGACCAGCATGACTCTGCTTACTCCGCCACAGTTACAGCGCGGGAAGCGTTATGGCTTAGCCTACTACGAGGAGTTGTATGGTGAGCAGAACGCTGATGAGGCATTCGACCGCTTTCCCGACGAGTGCGAAGACGACTCAAGCAGCGGCGACGACGAGAGCAACATCAAGACGAAGACGTCGGGGTCACCTGCAATAGGCCGTACCACCGGTTTCTTCAAACCATACGCTGGGAGCATCAACGGCACGGGAGGTCAAATCAGCAAGCGAGGCAACGAAGGTACGACAGACCTCACTTCACGACGTTTGATTCACATGATTTCCACCAAGCTTTTGCGTTTACCCTATTTCTAGCTCGGCCTCCCTGACTCCGTGTCAACTGCGCAGGCAACAATCCGAACACCGACAAGGAGCGCCAAAGTCAGTATATCATAGCTCCATCCATCAACAGGAAGCATTCGATAGTCGTCTCTCCGTCAAAGAAGCTCAAATCGAAGAGGTTTGGTCTATTTGGCAACAGCCTCAGTGTCGCGCCTGCTCAGTTGGACCCCGAGCCCAGCCAACCCAACGACATGTCTGACACACTTTGGGCCGGCGAATACGAGCAGGTTGGACCCAGTCACACAACCCATCAAGAGACCCAGGCAACAGTCTTCGAAGCATTGCACGGCGACGTGATCACGGAGTCCACCACGCTTGAGGAGGAAATTGACCTCCCTACCACTGCGCATTTTCAAGCCGCCATGCGCAGCTTGAAGAAGTCTGGTCCAGAGCTTCTTGCTACGGCTATGCAGCCGGCGGCAATGGCCATGGAGACCGCAGGCAGCGATGCTGATACTGGCGACCATGCGCCATTGACGCCAATCTCCGGAGACGAGGGGCCCGTGGCGGTACGCGAGCGAACAATGGACAAGACAGGCAACGAAGAAGATACCGGCTATCAAGCGGATAACGACGAGACCCGAGAGGAACTCGCTGAGCCTCGGCCGAAGCGTATCGGACGCCCACGCAAGACGGCCGGCATGCGCAAAGGGCTGGCGGTCACGGTGAAGCAGAGCCAGCTCGGTCGAACTCGAGGCGCCACGACTAAGCAGATTCTCGACGAGCAAGCGGCCAAGGCTGCAGCTCGACCGCGCACTCGTCTGTCCGCAGCGGCAGCCACTCTGCTCAAGCCGAGCACAAGGGATAAGGCGACGGCTCGTGCGGCCACATTGAAGTCAATGAAGGTAGCTAAGAGTCGCCGGGGCCGGCCTCCCAAGCGCTTGATGCGCGGCCCAAACATAACGCCATACTGGCGCAACTGGAATGGTCAGACGGTCCGGGTGAAGGATGGTCAGGGATGGGTGGATATGGCGGGTGAGATGGTGGACGTGACGCAATATGAGAAGCACTTTTGATTTGACCGAAAGCGAGGACACTCTGATTCGGGCCGTAGAGGTCAGGCATGAGAGCCTCAATCCGTCGATACCAGTGTGAGGAGGGCATGAAGAGGGAGAGCCTATCGCGGAGGCGACAAGGCCGGTCACGCTAGGATTCTAGCGCGCATCCGCGAATAGCGATGCCATCATCGTGCATGCCACTCTTCACATACACTACTATGTAGCAGAGACAGATCTATCAATCATGCTAATCTATACGCGTTCAGCATACAGCTCGCGGTAGCCGCATGTTCTTACGCCTTACCCGTCAATGGCTTCGATATGACTTTGCAAGACACCGGACGCCGGTTCGCCACAGTCGGATCGATCACACAGCGGAGCACGTGGGCAGGCGTTGTGCCAAGGTGTTGACATGCAACACCTCGTCGAGCCAACCTGCTTCCTGTCCCGCGGGAGTCTTGTGCGCCTCCGACCATCGCAGAAGTAGGCACTGCTTGACTTTCCTTGCACGTCTCTCCTTCCTTTACACAACACATTGCTTTTCTTGTTGTCGTCGCTCTTTCTCCTGCTTCTCTTACATCCCGCTGTATTGCGCGACGCGCCTATAACGCCTGGTTTACCAGACTTGTCCATCAGCACCTCATATCTATCAGTATGGCAAGCGACATGGAAGCGAGGCGAGCACAAGGTAGTTCTTATCCTACGCCGGATAACGTGGCATCATCGAAATACGGCGCCGGAAACAATGGCTCTGGCAGAGAGCAAGTCAGAAGTGTCCACCCTCAAGCAACGCAACAGAGAGTACCCAATGGCGCTCATGGCATGGGTACCGGACCCCAAGTTCGCAGCACGTCGGACCAGGTTGAGGTAGTTTGCGGGCCACTGCTCAACTACCGGCGCATGAGCGGAGAGCATACGGACAACCCAGTCTGGCACGGCAGCGTCTTGCTCGTCACCACCCCCGGCCAGCAACCAGATCGATTACGTGTAAACAAGCTTGGATCGGCTGTCAACAGTGGCGAGACTCAGTGGCACTCCGCCGACCTTGAGCGGATGTCTTCGGGAGTGAAACTCTATGAAGATCGCCGGAAAGCGTTCTGGCAGTTTGACATCGAGATACCGTTTCAAGAGCAAGAGAGCGCATGGGAATACAGCGTGCCGCGTCTCGTCTCCGCCAAAAGCAACCGGCCGAACATTGGCAAGCCGAAACGCTTCTTCGTACCATCGAAGCGCGAGAGTATGCGGATCATGTTCCACTCCTGCAACGGCTTCTCAGTAGGCACGGACGAGGAAGCATGGTCCGGTCCAGCGCTGTGGAACGATGTCATGCGTGTTCACGAGCAGCAGCCTTTCCATGTCATGATTGGAGGTGGCGACCAGATCTACAATGACAGCGTGCGCGTTAAGGGCCCGCTACGCCCGTGGACAGACATTTCCAACCCGAAGAAGAGGCGAGAGTTTCCCTTCAACGAAGAGATGCGAGCCAAATGCGACGACTACTACTTCGACAATTACGTGCGGTGGTACAACATCGAGCCCTTTGCGAGCGCGAACGGGCAGATACCGCAACTCAACATCTGGGATGACCACGACATCATTGACGGCTTTGGCTCATATACCGACGGCTTCATGAAGTGCCCGGTCTTTCGTGGCATTGGCGGCGTGGCGCACAAATACTACATGCTCTTCCAGCACCACATCCCACCGCCAGTATCCACATTTACGAGTGATGCGCCGCAGACGATGAGGGCGAATGGTGGGACTACCGGCGCAGACTCCATTCAACTGCAAGACACCTTCGTCATGACCGGCAACCGAGAAGACCCCAGTTATATAATTGCCCGACAACCGGGTCCATATGTGGAGGAGAAGAGCAGGAGCATATACTGTCAACTGGGGAAGCGGATGGCGTTCTTGGGCATTGACGCGCGAACGGAGCGGACGCGGCATCAAGTCAACTACCCCGAGACGTACGATCTGATCTTCCAGCATACGAGCTCCCGGATTGCGGCCTCGAGAGGCGAGATAAGACATTTGATCCTGCTCCTCGGCGTGCCGATAGCCTACCCTCGCTTGCAGTGGGTAGAGAACATCCTGCAAAGCCCCATTATCGGGCCCATACGCTTCCTCAACAAGCGATTCGGCGTGGCAGGTGGCTTCTTCAACCAGTTCGACGGCAAGCCCGATCTGCTCGACGACTTGGACGACCATTACACCGCGCACCAGCACAAGAAAGAGCGCAAAGCCCTCGTTCTCCGCTTGCAGCACCTAGCGAAGGAACACAACATCCGCATCTCCATCCTCGGAGGCGACGTCCATCTCGCCGCCATGGGCCGCTTCTACAGTAAACCCAAACTTAACATCCCCGCCGAGCAAGACTGGAGATACATGCCCAACATCATCTCGTCGGCGATCACGAACAAGCCGCCTCCGCAGGCGGTGGCGAACCTTCTTGCGAGGAGGAACAAGATCCACCATCTTGATCACGAGACAGACGAGACGCTGCTGGAGATGTTCAATGAGGAGCCCGGAGAAGGAATAGAAGGTGTCAAGCCCAAGAGGGCGGAGAACAACCACGTCACGATGCCGAGTCGCAACTACGCAATCATCTGTGAAAGTCACGACCATACAGGCGGCGTCGCAACGAACGGGTCCGCTGCACCGATGTACGGTGCAAACGGCGCCAATGTCCACGTCAACAAAACCATCACGAATGGAAAACACGGCACAGCGGCTTCCAAAGCTCGCGAGAATGCCAAGAAGAACCCGCGCGAAGCCCTTCACCTCGGCGAGGAGCACGCGGGGACCACCCACCCGGCCGCGGACGGCACGAAGAAGACGGGTCTGATGGGCGAGTATGGGCTTGATGTTACGATTCGCGTGGAGATTGATCCGAGTGATCGACAAGGCCATACGAGGGGGTACGGGTTCAGTGTACCTGCGCTTGAAACTGGCGCGGCGGTGAACGGGCTGAGTGAGAAGAGGTAGGCTCAGTTCAGGCGGATTCGGGCGTGGGTGGAGGGCGAGAAGCGGCAGGGAGCCGACGCGGTAGATTGATAGCTTGGGCTGTTGTTGGGTTTACATGTCAGTGCGGGAGGCTTGCTCGCTTTACTTGGGCATGTGGACTGGAAGCGGCCGTATCGATACCCTGTGCGATTAATCTTTTGAAATACAAGCATTGCGGCTAGCATTGGCTTGTTCGCATGCGAAACGATGGACTAGCATTGCTTTGTATGAATTACTGGCAACCACTGCTGCTTCCGTGGCGAGCATTCCTTATAGCTGGTCGCTTATGAGCATGAACATTAGCGTTCGCCATACATACTCAGGATCACACCATGCCATGTCAACCAGGAAATCGTTCTTGCAACGTTCGATCGATTGTTGACAGTTTCCGCCCGGGCGGGCGGGTATAGATATCTTCCGTCATCTCAACTCTATATACAAGCAGATACAGCGCTTCGCTCACATAAAGCACGATAGCCAGCCAGCCAGCCAGCGCCTACGTTGGGCCTGGTCACGGCTATATGATCTCAAACTCATAGAAAACATACGGCTCGTAGCCTTGGTCGCTACTAAAGCCCGCACCGGCCATCTCCTGCTGCATATTGCCATCGTCCTTCTTCGGCCGGCCCTTTTTATCTCTACTCATGGCATTCCCGCCGATGTCCGAGAAGCGCGCGTCGAGAGATTGTTTGGCTTTTTTGCTGCGCTTCGGGTCCGTCTGCCACACACGTGTATTAGCATACCCTTCTGCCTTTCTGAACATATACGACATGTTTGGCGCGGCGGAACTTACCTTGATAACACCGCAAACATAACTCAGAGGCAACCCATACCGTAACACACTCTCCACGAACACCCTCAGCGTCAAAACATGTATCCACGACATGACGCCATCACTGTACCCGGTCCTCCCCAGCCGCAACGCCTCACCCCACACCCTCCGCTCCTCCTTCTCCAATTTCCGCAGCTCCTCCTCCTCCGCTTCTCGTCCGCCCTCGTTGAATTTCAGATCGCGTGGTGTCCATCTGTGCTCGCGGCATTTGTGTATGAATTCTGCGCTATGCTTCTTAAACACCGTCACCGCCCATAGCTGGAATTCGTCGTCTTTCGCCAACAGTTCTGCGGAACGCGGCACGACCATGGGGGAGAGCGTTTCGTAGGATTTCAGAAAGTCTTTGGTCAGCGCATTTGGGATGGCGAGAAGGTGTTGTTGTAAATACTCGGAGTCGTCTGGTTTGAGGATGGTGTCCGGGTTTACGACGGCTGTTAGTGACTTCTGGGAGAGGTTGCCGGTGGTGCTCCGTTGGAGTTGCGCGAGCGAGGTCTTGGTCTGGTTGTACTGGCTGAACTTGGCCTTGACATCATTGTCTACCGCGGCAACCTCTTTCTGCAGGGTATCGATGAGTTCGGCGAGGGGCTTGTCGGCGCGATATTTGACCTTGTTCCATTGGAAGGATTGGAGGTAGGTGTCCACGGGCTTGTCGTTGACCACTTTCTGTTCCGCTAGCTTGTCCTCATCACCTTCGAGTAGACTCCGGAGGGAGTCCGCGACCTTATCTACCACGCCTTTGCATCCTTGCTCAAGCTTCGCGAGGTCGTCGGCTTGTTGGACGAGCGCATCTAAGGTGCCGACTTTGAAGTTGGGGATGTTGAAGGGGTATGTTGTGCCGTTATCTTGCTGTACGGCTGATCGCAGGGTTGTGAGAGCTTCGTCACGGTTGTCGGATGGCGATATGGATGTCGGTAGCGAGACCAGGAAGAAGGTCTGAGGCGGCATCGTTTTCCACCCACGACCGAATCACGCCAGATGCTGTTTGCGAGAAGGGATGAAAGGTTGGTACGGTATGGCTGCTTTTGCGTGCCTTCTGAGCTTCAACTTCCCCGAATGCGCCGATGTCATGCTGCAGTCCGAGCTTGGGTGTGGGGCAACACTGCCATTGACACACCTTACATTACCAACCTCGCGTGCTCACCAACACCTTCACACAAGGATGGTATAGCACACACACTTCCCAAAGCTGTGACAGGAGTACTGTAAAGATACGCAATCATGTCTACGAAGGTGACTGCAACGCGAGCAGTCCGCTCTTGCGCCGTACGGACAGTAAGGCCAGCATACCAAAGCCATAGAAGCCTCCATGTATCCAGCAGCACTCGTGGGCAGCATGCGGCGAAATCATATTCCTGTAGAAGACCAGTGGCGTCTCTGTCTACCTCATCCTCGTCCATCAGGCCCACTTTAAGTCATGGACAGCAACGACGAAACCAGAGCAGCCTCGGCGACAACACCAAGCCAGCACCACCTTTCTACACCGAAGACAGACCCGGCCGCACAGCCCTCTACGACCTCCACCTCCGCCATGGCGCCAAAATGGTTCCATTCGGCGGCTACTCCATGCCAGTCCAGTACTCCGACCTCGGCGTGGGCGAGAGCCACATCTGGACTCGTGAGAAATGCTCCCTCTTTGACGTTGGCCACATGGTACAATACCACGTCGAAGGACCTGGCGCGGAAGCGTTCCTCGAGTCACTGACCCCCGCGGATCTCAAATCCCTACCTCCAGGCCAGAACACTTTATCCGCGCTGCTGCATCCAGTCACGGGCGGGATAGTAGATGACTGCATCATCACGCGCCTCGAGGCCGGACCGCGACATTTGTTCTACGTGGTCCTCAACGCGGGCTGCAGAGAGAAGGACTACACTTTCCTCTGCCAAGCTGTAGAGAACTGGGACAACACCATCAACCCCGTTGTCCACCTTCGCCATCTCCAACACGACGGCGAGCCCTATGGCCTCATCGCATTGCAAGGCCCACTAGCAGCTTCAATACTCAAATCGGCGCTAGCGGAGACCTGCAGAGTGGACCTGCAGAAATGGTACTTCGGCACCGCCAAACACATCACCCTCGCCCTCCCTTCCGCAGAAAGCCTCCCCATCGTGGCGAGCCGGGGCGGGTACACAGGCGAAGACGGCTTTGAGCTGTCGATCCATCCATCCCAAGTCGTCGCGGTAACGGAATTACTCCTACAACGTGCAGGGGACGATCGACTTCGTTTCGCCGGGCTCGGAGCGAGGGATAGTCTACGCCTGGAAGCTGGGATGTGTCTGTACGGGCACGATCTGGACGACACGACTACACCCGTCGAGGCGGGGTTGAGTTGGATCATACCGAAGTCACGACGGACGAGGGAAAGGTCGGGCTTCAATGGCGCGGAAGCGATTATACCGCAGTTGATGCCCAAGTCTGAGGGAGGCACCGGCGTGAAGCGGCGGCGGATAGGTTTGGTCGTCGACGGCGCCCCGGCGAGAGAAGGCGCCGTGGTGGAAGACGGTGAGGGGAATGTTGTCGGCAAAGTGACGTCGGGCTGTCCAAGCCCTACGATGAAGAAAAACATTGCCATGGCGTATGTGCAGAGTGGGCTGCACAAGGCGGGAACGGAGTTACAGGTGGTGGTGAGAGCGAAGAGGAGGAAGGCGGTGGTTACGAAGATGCCGTTTGTACCGAGTAAGTACTGGAAGGGTGGTGTTAGCCCGGGGTGAAGAGTCACACCATTCGTTTCGATCTGTATTACGATTAAGCGTTCGTCAGCCCTGACCGTGTTCGAAGGCCGAGCAACGCAACCAAAGTATCGTGAAGGCGGTTCAACAATGAGCAAGTGCCCATCCATGGCGCCGCTCGCTTCGAGCGCTGAAGCAGTCGCTGTGCTGCACCAACAATTCATCAGCTCAGCCTTCCACGAGGCCAAGCAAGAAAAACAGCTTTCCGCCATCAAAGGATCGGTTCGTCAAGTTGGGTATCATAAATCATCAATGTAACGCCTCCGGGGCCGCTCCATTATCCTTCAATCTCCGCGGTGCACTAATACTTCACTGCGAGATCTGCACGGCCTCTGCCTCTATTGTTAAGCCTGCCACCCGCCGGAGCAGAGACGTTGCGATTCTTGAGGATGCTTCGAACAGGTTGCGGCGCACGCGTCACCGGCTTAGTCTGAGCCGCAGTTTCGGCCTCGGCAGCTCCATCCACAATTACCGCGCTGTCGGCAGACGCAGTGATCCTGGTGTTCGGCATATCAGCCCACGTAATTTGTGGGGCGCATGTCTTCGGTGCTGGTGGCTTTGTCGGTGTCTCTGGTAGCATGTGCAGGCCGCGGGTAAGCAGCGAAGACGACATTGCGGCCGAGCGTGGGATCACCGGCGAAGGCGATTTCGAGTGCATGGGGGTGGTGTTGTGCGAAGTGCCAGTCGATCGCTGCGGGGTGGCGGTGCGTGAGACCGCCCTTGAGCTCTGCGGTGTGGTGTTGCGTGAGGAACGCGTGGGAGTGACCCAGCCTTTCTGGATGATGCAACCAGTCTCGTCAATCGTAGTCGATGGTCGTGTACGCAGCTTCCATTCCACCCTGACTTCCTCGCTGTCTTCCAGAGTCGGCGCCAAGTGCGCATCGTCGAGGTCCTCGTCACCAGGTAATGGGAACATGTTCGAGGTTTCAACTTCGGGATGGTACCTCGCAGAAGAGAAGCCGGCATCCGGGCCGTACTCGAGAAATGGTCGAGTCATGATCGGCTGGATACTGTACCTCGGATCGACTGGCGGCGAACTGCGCGGGCGAGCTGCTCGGACCACTTTGACACGAGGCTCAGGCGCGAGTTCCTGAGCTGCCGGCTCGGGTGTCTTTTGATTGAGAAATGCAGGTGACGCAACACAGCTATCCTTCGGCGTCGCATAGAAGCTACTGAAACCATTCGTTCGTGCTCCAAGCAACGGAGGCGCATCAGGGAGCGCTGTAGAACGGTCACGCGACCCGTAGTGAATCGGATGGCGAAATGCAAGGTGGGTCCTGCGTGGTTTCATGCTGCCAGGAGGCCAGACGTACGGCGGGGCATAAGAGGGTTCATCGCTTGTGCGCCCACTGAAACCGCTCCTACTTGGGATGGTGCTTGGTCGCGTCGAACTCGCTGCGCTTCTCGCGCGTTGCTCCTGCGCAATGCCGGCGCGGCGTACGTCTTCGCGAAAGCGACGCGCTCGCATGTCGCGCGCCAGGCCCTATGGTTCAATGGGTAGGAGGGTCAGTTGTGCCTCAGAGCTGATAGAGGAGATATGACATTCGCTCTGCTTACCGCGCCAGCAAATGCTTCGAGGATACGGTCCCAATCAACCATTTCGATGGTAGCTTGCGGTTGGTTCGTTAATAGCTGTAGACCTGTGGATGCATGCGGAATCGACACTGTTTGTTAGTAACCCTCGACAGCCCTTTGCGCACTGACGATTCCGCCACGTCGGTCACACCGACACTCTCCCCTCCGCGATTACCAAGTCTACCACTGGCCTGCCCGCCGGCTCACCCACCGCCCGAAAGCAACACTCACTTACCCAACGATGCGAGAGTCCAAAGCACAAAGGTCACTCAGCTTGGCTCGGATGAGCGGTTCAAGATGCTGCTTGTGTCCAATCGGCTCGGCGGGTGCTCGAGGAAGACGCAAGGTATGATGGAGAAGAGAGTGTTGCGAAGTTGTCACTTGACCAAGGGAGTGTTGGTGATAAATAAGTGAATGTGAAGTTCTTGTGAATGAACGATAGCCTACCACGCGTAAGAGCATACTGGAGCGTCATTTACGACATGTGAGCGTCGTTCGTTCCTTCCTCAAACATTTGCTTTTCGGCTAAGCGGTTGGAGCTGAACAAAATTCGGCATCCAGATCTGTTTGAACCTAAGCCGAATGGCATCCAAGGGTCAAGATACGAGTAAAACAGGAGTCGAGAGACTGGCAGACTCGAGCAACCGTAGTAGGAGAGAACTAAAGAAAGCATGAAGTGCAGGCGAACGGTCGGAGATGGAGGGACACTCCAAGGGTGCCGAGGCGACATCGACTCGTGTTCGCTTCCGGGCGGTTTATAGCGATACTATGGCCACTAGGGGACTTGTCGAGGCTTGATGCGTGAATGGATGTAAGACAAGATGGAAGAGATGGAGTCGGGCTCGACGGCTTGAGCACGCCATCTTGCCATGCGTCGGGCCGATGCAGGAACGAATGACGCTTTGCGCCAATGGTCGCAGTGTCTTCGAAAAACGGACCGTAGCAACACCTTCTTCCATTCCTCCCTGCTATTTCTTCCCAGTCCTTCGCAGACCAAATACCATCTCCTCTCAATCAGTTACTCCATCATGTCAACGTACGTCAGCCCCGCCAATGGCAACACGGCGTCCATTGCCCCGCCATTCCGCAAGCACGCGAGCACGGACTGTCCCTGATATAAGCGCAGGAACATCACCTGGCATGCCGGTCTCACACGGAAGGAGCGAAGCGAGCTACGAAAGCAGAAGGGATGCACGGTATGGTTCACAGGACTGTCTGCCTCCGGCAAGTCCACCATTGCGATAGCGCTTGAACAACACCTCCTCCACCAAGGTCTCGCATGCTACAGACTGGACGGTGACAATGTGCGCTTCGGTCTCAACAAGGACCTTGGCTTTTCGCCAAAGGATAGAGAAGAGAACATTCGACGGATAGCAGAGGTGCGAAGCATGCGTAAGTGCCTTTATGCGGAAGCCAGCTGCTGATCGACGTGTAGGTAGCGAAGCTATTCGCAGACTCGACAACAATCGCTTTGACATCGTTCATCTCGCCTTATAAGGCCGACCGCCAACTCGCGCGCGAACTGCACGCCGACACCAAGAATACCGACTCGCCTTTACCATTCATCGAGGTCTTCATTGACATTCCAGTAGAGGAAGCCGAGAAGCGCGACCCGAAAGGCTTGTATAAGAAAGCCAGAGCGGGTGAGATCAAGGAGTTCACGGGCATTAGTGCGCCGTACGAGGCTCCGGAGAAGCCTGAGATTCACATTCACAGTGAGAAGACGAGCGTTGAAGAGGCGGTGCGGATTATTACAAAGTATCTTGACGAGCAGGGACTGCTGAAGTCTGGTTAACGGAAGTTGACATCTTTTGTCCTGTTGAAGCGTGGCATGTAGATTCTGTCATCTTGATTAATGGCTGCACCCCGCCGTCACCCGCCCTCGCGCCATCGTGTTATGCCAGTGGTATCGAAGGTGCGAGGCGGACCACCTTTCAAATGATCCGTACATGAATCTTGTCGAGATCCGCCACCTCGAGCTCAGGTTCGAACCCCATGTCATAAAAGCAGCCGAGCTTTTTGGAGCTTCCATTTCCCCTGCCATCTTCGAGCAAGAGGAGGCCGTTCATCGCTTCGTGAATATCATGATCCCTGGAAAGGAAGATCACCTTACACGAGCCGGCATAGCCAACGTTGTCGAGCCATATACTAGTTGTAATGGAGGAATGGTAGATTTTTCTATTCCGCTCGAACGAGAAGCGCAGGTGCTTGCCGGCATCAAGGTCCTGGAGGTCGGCCACCACAGAGTAACAATAGAGGTCCACGTATCCATCGACAACTTCACCAAAGACGTGTCCTGTTTTGTGAATGACTTTCGCGCTGATGACTTGCGCTATTGGTATGGCGTTATAGCACGACAACCCTACGAAGTGAATACCACTCTCCGCTGACGCCCATGACCATGTCGGGGCACGGTAATCTTTACCATCTTCGTTTAACGGGACACATCTACTTGAATCTTTGTACCACATCAACCCTGGGATCAGTGACGTTTCCTAGAGCTCGGTGGGTGGGTGCGTTAGTCATGTATTCAACCGGTGCACAGTAGATCTCAGACTCGATTCTGCTTACCCAATGACCTGCAATGTAGCGATCACCGAACTTACAAGCATACTGCTGAGCCAAGCCAGAGATAGCGGGGAGGCGGTCGGCAGGCCGCGTGAGCAGGCATCGCGAGTAGTCCTGCACTGCTTCATGCCATGATTCCAATGCGCCAATCTGGGACACTTCTTCTCCGCTACGTCAAAAGGCCACGTGCCGTTGCCACTCTGCGTCATCTGCTTTAGTGGCGTAGCCAAACTCGGCACACAGACGTTTGCGCATTCCCGTAGCATCTGCCGGGTGGTGAAAAGTACTGCACGGCGCGCGAGCATGCGCTCCTGAACCGCCCACCCTCGTTGCAGTAAGGGTTCGTCGAGGTAGTCGTTCCGTGTCGGTATGTCATCTTCGGTCTCTGCTATTCGTAATGGCCGGCGAGCTCCGATCACGTTTGTGTAACCACATCGGACAGACAGGTCTTTGCGAGGTCGAATATAGCCTTCTGACACTCCACTTGCACTGCTGGCACAGATGCAGAGGTAAGCGTTGCGGTAGACGGCGTCCATTTGGGCAGCTTGCTCGTCCCAATCCTTGTAACTGTCTTGAAGTATGCAGAGTGCGTCTATCCACAGCCACCGGATACCGAGCCTGCGCGTTAGTGCGATTGTGTCGCTGTACGTTTTGGGTAGGTTGTCTTCCTCGATGCGTACCGTGTGTATGGACACGTTTTCCGACGTTGTACGAATGTCATTCCCCAAGCCCCAGCAATAGCTCAACACTACGTATGGCTCAGCGACTTCGTTGGTGCAGCAGAGTCTCAGCGCCGGTTGCTGCTCCGTACCGACGTACAGAAGGCGTTTAGGTATGTGTTTCGTACTTGCAGCAGGTTGACACTCGCAGTGCGTATTGTTGCATGCTTCAAGCCACTGAGCGAGCAACAGCGCTGCACCATCCGCTGCCAAATCCTTGTTGCAAGGGCGAAGGCTGCCTCTGGTTTCTCGATCTTCTTCAGAGCTTTCCGGAGCAATATATAGTTCCACCGTTCCACGCCCTCTCATGGTCCCTTGCAATTTGGGATTGATTGCAAACAATGTGAGGGAAGTGCCTCTCGACTCGATGCCCTCCAAGCGAGCTTCGCAAAATTCCTTGAATTCCTCGGAATCGAACTCGGTCGTTGTGCCAGGCCAACGAATATACAAGGCCCTCCGTATGGCATGAAACAAGAAGTCACAACAAGCGCACCCATGGCCTGAAGACAACAATGCGCTCATAGAGACGAACGCTGGGTGGTCCGGATCCTGACGCTCATAAAGGGCGCCAGTCCGTACGCCGCCTGCATTGTAGGCTTGTCCCAGATGAAGAGCGGCGCAGCTTGCACACATGCCGTCTGCAACATTCGGCGAGGGTTCGATTGCCACTGGTTCATCGTTCGTCTCATCGTAAGAAGAATCATACCATTTGAATTTATGCCATCGGGCATCCCGAGGCATCTTGTCCCGTCAAGTGATCACGATGCTTCACTCTCTATCCAAGGTATCCTGCCCCGTTCGGCTGAAGAGTCTTGGCGAATGAGCTGTTGCTACTACCCATACAGCCTCATACAAGACTTGCTATTCGATGTCGCCGTGATTGATGCAACTTGCTCGCTCAGTATCGGTGCTATAAGGCGTGGTATCTCATTGAAGCAGCAAGTTAAGCATCTCGGGAGGACACGACATCGAGATACAAGGCTGAGAGGGCTGTGTGACCTGAGACTATCCCGTGGATACATCGTGCAGCCGCTCGAGGTGCCGGATCGACAGCTTCTGACGCAAGACGGCGATACGATACCCAAGACTGTCTTCAGATTCTCTGCTGCCGGCATACGAGCAGAAAGGAGACGTGGACATGCGTGAGTGACGTTGTCTCGATGACTAGATCGTCCATCTTTCCAAGACGTGTCAAACCTGTTAAGCGCTTAACAGACCCCATTGGCCCCATCCTGCAGGACTTGGCGTGGGCTTGTTTGTGAATTCAGGCACCCAGGCAGGCAATCTGCCTGGTCAATGGTCGGACTCCAATTAACCTAGGCCAGCGCTACCTCCTGCAGTTGTGATGACTCCTTTGATTGCTGGAGAGTATACGCCGATACCCTTGGCATGCGGGCTTCGATGGACGTCGGATCGAAAGGAGAGAGGATTTGGACCATGGTACAATATGTCCATCTACCTAGAGCCATTTCTCGGCCACAAGCAGCATCATCTCATCGAAGTGTGCAACACTAAGCAATGCAAAGCACACCAGCACGTAACCATGCGTGGCATTCATAGGCTCGTTTCACGGCTGTCTGCGCTACGGCTTGAGCTCGACGCATGCTTCCCCAACATATGGCCGAACCATGGCAGACAAGAGCCACATCGAGATCTTTTACTAGTCGTGACTGGAAGTAGGCGCCGCTCGAGCAGCCGCTTGAAGCGCTGCGTTGTCGAACTGCCAGATTCACCACGGCCCCCATCATCCTACCAACTCCCATTTCCGACCACCTGTGGCTTGCTACATCGTGACAAGCTTCATGCGACCTCCCAGACTCTGCTTCCGGGCTCAACCTTACCTATTATACGCAATGGCATTATCAATGATCCACTGAATGCCCGCCTGCCGGAACGTATCCGGCTCCGGGTACGCCAAACTCGTCACGTTCCCATCCCACACAATGTCTTGCGGGTTGCTGTTATCGTACACCGGCCAAGCAGGCGTCTGCGCCGGTCTGCCTGTATAGTTGTTCGGGTTCTGGTCGTAGATGAAGCTCGCCCACGAGTTACTCATCAGCTTCGCCAGGTCGATGTACAGCGACGAAACGTTTGTGAAAGGGTTGATGGTGCCGTGAGCGGCATTGTAGCCGTACCCGTTGATGTTGTCGAAGACGAAAGCGACTTCTTGGAAGTGGGTTACGCCTGCTGTGACTGGGAGACCGGCGGGGCGGGTGTTGAAGCGGTAGCAGTAGGCTGGCACGCCATTGCGGGTCCAGGCCTGACAGGCTCCGCGGCGGTTGGCTACCATCACCACGTCGCCGAAGTAAGCGGCACTGCGGCGGTACTGAGCTCCGTATGAAGCAGGGTACGTGAAGTCGCACGATAGTTCAGATGGAGGCGGGTCCCAGTAGTCGCATTCGTTGGGATACAAGTTGGCGATGGTAGGGCCGAGCGCTGCCGGCAAGTAAGCCTGGCTAGTGTTACTTGTGGCCCGGGTGATGAAGTCCGCGGTGTTGTTGATCCCTGTCTGGCCGAACGCGGTACCCTCGTCCGTATTCGCGCCATCAATGATTGGTACCTTGACGAAGGCGCCTTCTTTGAGTTGAATGCTCTGAAAGCGGGCCACAAAGTCCCCGTCGACGATTGGCCTGGAGAAAGCGTTTGCATACTGCGTTGTGTTAAGGAAGCCGTTGAGAGTGGCGAAGGGGACTTGGCGAAGACAGTCAAGAGTATCAACCGCCGCCGAGCAGCCGGTGGCGTTTACCATGGCGTTGTAGAGGGGCTGGTAGGTGTCGACATCGAGGAAGGAGTTGTAGTTGACTGGGTTGCCGGACTCCATGATGCCGGCTCGGAAGAGCTTGTCGTCGCGGCCGTTGTAGGCCGTGAGCTGGAAGCCGACGGAAAGGGCGCCAGCGGATTCACCTGTAATCGTCAGTGTCTGTATCACCGCTTACAGGGACTGGCCTTACCCCATATAGTCACTTTCGTTGGGTCTCCGCCGAAAGCACCAATGTTCTCCTGCAGCCAGTGGAGCGCAAGACGTTGATCGCGTAGACCGAGATTGGTATTGCCGCTACCTCTAACTTCTTTGGAAGCCAAGAAGCCCCATGCGCTGAGGCGGTACCCAATAGAGACACCGATGATGGGCTTGCCAATAGCCACCGAATTCTGCACTATGAACGAGAGGTTGTAGCGCTGGTCGATGGTGCCGCCCATGTACAGACCTCCACCATGACTTGCACACGCAAGTTAGTACTTCGGTTTCCAACTGATGAATCTGTTCGCAGGACTTACATCCATACGCCAACCGGAAGTGCCTGGCCGGAATAGCCAGACGGACGAATAACATTCCTGTGCAACTCCATCAGCGTGGTGACCACAGAATGTCAGGTCAGCGCCGGACATACAGGTACAAGCAGTCCTCTGACGTAGGGTACCCGATGTCGTCTCCGCCATAACCTACGCACTCAGGCGCATACTGCGTGGCTTGATAAATGCTGCTCAGCGTCGTGTTGAGAGACTGCGGCACGGTGAAGCGCAGCTCGCCCACGGGAGGCTGAGCGAATGGAACACCGAGGAAGAAGTCCTGGTTGTATGTGCTTGAGTGCAAACCAGAGACCGTGCCATTCTTGAGTGTGACCGCGGGGGCGCCTCCAGCGGTAGATGTAGACGAGGAAGCAGGAGCGGCAGAGGCGGAAGATACTGTAGATGCTTTGGATGCGGTCGGCAAAGTCGATGCAGTAGAGGGAGAAGGCGAGGATGGGGAAGGAGCCCACGATGGCCAAGTGTCCGCGGGCCAAGGGTTCCAGTGAGGAGGGTAGTGAGGTGGTGCTTGCGGGCTAGCATAAGCCAATGCGCTCAAGAGAGCGGCGAGAACGAATAACGCCTGCATCTTGAGACTTCTCACTTCCCTCTCTTGGAACTTGTAACACTTGAACAAGGTACAATGGAACACTCACCACGTCTCTCAGCTACTTATAACGCTCGGCTCAACACACCGTTACACCATCTCTACCCCTCAACTCCTGCGGAGTCAACCATCGACAGCCGGAGAAGCTATGCCTCGCATCACAAGACATCGCTTGCAGTAGCAAGTGCATCGGCAAGGCAGCTTGAGCGGGTTGAGTGAGCACCAGACACTCTGTGCATACGAGCTGCACTGCGGGTGTGGTGGAGTATGCACGATGAGCGAATAAAGAGCCGGGCGGCAATTGCTTGCTCATAGAATGAGGTAGGAGGTAAGTGGGATTATCAAGCTCCGCTCCTGCTGCTTGTCATCCCATGCAAGGCACTCGATGCCAAGGTGCGGGGTGAACATGGAGGTGGAGGTAGAAGTGGAGGTAGGGCATCGGCGCCGAACAGCCGACGGATGTGTTTGCCGACTCGCCGTCGACTAGAAGTCCTTACTAGATTCGCCATGATATCGCACTCTGATGGTCCTGTTCCGGACGTAGACTCAGCGATGAGATAGCATCAGAACATCGAGCACGTCAGGGTACGCCTCCTCCGCCAACATTACACGTCACGGATTGTGAATTACTGCCTACTATTAGCTTGAGCAATGCTGCTGTGCTGCAGCGCGTTCGCCGCTCAGCTCGCTTCGGGCGCACACAGGTGGCACAGTCGTCGTAGAAAGAATCTATTTTGTTGCAGATCAAGCATGGTTCAGTCCCGACCAACTTGTCGCAGCCGTTTTAGAGTAGTCGAGTCTTTGCTGTGTACTGATATTGCTATGATGTGATATTGCAAAGTTGCGCTAGTTGCTGTGATGTGATTTTGCAAAGTTGCGCTAGTTGCTGTGAATGGGAGCATATCTTACGAGGCAGGCGTCCGCGTTGATCCAGTGGTTGCATGCAAGCATGTGAAGCGTCGTGCGGATCCTCAACCAGCTTCCGTCCTTTTCCATCCGCGCTCCGGAAAGCTTGTAGGGAGCGAAGTATGCAGCGTCGCCACACGAGCGTGAGCGTGAAGATGTGCGATCTTGTTCAAACCTCATCCAGTCCTTCCAACGTCCACTCCGGATACTCTCTGTCCTCTCGTTTGATACTCGCGTAATTGCGATCTTTGATATACTCCTCCATCGGCAGACTCTCGAACTGACTTCGGTTTCCAATCTCCACTCCCATCCTCTGAATGCCCCTCGCAAATTGCATCGTCTGTCTGACAAACTCTGTTCTTGACACTTTGCCATCAAGCCACTCCGCCAAAATCATGCTATCGAATGCGGCCTGACTCGTACTCGCGACGGTATGCGGCCGAAAGCCCGCCAACGCATCGCCAATCAGCACAACTTTATCACCCATGTACAGATTCTTAGGCGCGATCACATCAGTAATGCATTGCACAAACGGTGCGGTGGTCTTCTCAGCCATCTCCGCCATCTGCGGCGGCAACCGAGCATGCCCCATCTTCTTCACCATCTCCCAGGCTTCCCGTGCAATCATGCCGGGCGGAATCGTGATGTGCCTTCGCCGGCCGTCTTTGTCCGTCATCAATGTCTCCAGCTCGGGAGAGGCTTCAGGAAAGTTGGCGTACCAGACGAAGTTGAGCAAGCGATGTCCGGGATCGGTGTTGCCATGCTCGCCCGCGATGGTGTATGTCAAGTTTTGGATACCGGGAGCGTGGAAGAAGCAGAAGCGTTCGCGGAAAACCTCCAAAGCTTTAGGAGTAGCAGCTTTTTCGGGGACGGTGCCACGGATAACACAGTAACCGGCGTAGGTCCGCTTGATGTCCGGTTCGAACATAGCGCGGATGGTGGAGCTGGGACCGTCGGCAGCTACGACCATATCTGCTATAATCGAGTCAAAAACTTCGCTACCATCTTTCTGCTTCCGTTTGAAAGCGACACGGACCCTGGCGCCTTCGTCTTTGATGTTTGTCACAGTGCAGCCGTAGCGGTACGTTACGTTGCCGTCGGTGGGTCGCACTTCAGGCAACTTACCGCCGTCCGCAAGGTAAGGACTATCAACACGATCGTAGTTGGCCCGCAGCAGGTAGTAGCACAGATCCCAGGAGGTCATGTTTTGCCGGTTAATCTCTTCATGAATAACATTGCCCTCTTGGTCGAGGTAGATCCGTTTGTAGCTGGGCACTGCAACAGGCTTGCCAGTCCGGTCGTAGCGCTTGAAGAACTCAATCGTGTCACCTCCGGCTACGATGCCGGCGCCTTGGTTGTGTAGAAGGTTTTCCGGAGTGCGCTCCAGAAGGGTTGTGTTGTAACCATGGTGTTTTAGAGCAGTCCCCGCGAAGAGACCGCCAAGGGAGCCACCGACCTGCAGGAACGCTAGTCAGTGTGGATAGAGGATGGGGAGTGGCATGGAAATAGTACGATGACAATGTCCGGCTTCGTCTTCTCCCCGTTGGTTGCGCCATTTGTGTGCGGCAGGCCATTTGCTACGCCAGAACTATAAGCCATCATCATCAGGCAAAACTAGAGCGCTGAATTCAGGTCGGGATGGTATGAACGCAAAAGTAGGGAAGGGTAAGTCGAACGGAAATGGTACTCTTGACCCCGCTTGTGGCTCGGACGAATGCACGTCGACCTTGCTGAACGTCTTCGTCGTCCCGGAAAGCAAGCTCTCACATAAGGGAGATGCTAGCGATACCACTATCAGGAGCAGACCCGAGCCATCGTGCCCGGCAATGTTGGTCTCAGGGCTATGTCAGTATTACTGGTGTTGCCGGAGGAAGCGGGTAAGCAATACCGCTGCGTTAACCGTCGTCCCCTCGACAAGCCCGTACATCGAGGCAGCCCGGCGGTCAACCGACAGGCGGAGTGGTCATTGCCATGGGACGGTTTCACAGACAGGCTTGCGCGTTGGTTACGGGAGGATGTCGTCGTCACCCGGGACCGAGGGCTACGAGCGGATCTAATCCGCTGCGGACAGATCCGCCTCGGCTGACCTGCCGTGGCCATTACAAGTGACGCGAGTGGACATTGACATTGACATGTGCGCTCTGCGCCTTCTCCGTCTCTTCCTCCCACTCCTTCGAACACCCTCTCATGTTCTCTTCTCTCCCTAGCGTGCTAGCCAGTCCACACTATAGACAACATATGCTCCTCGCCCAGCATGAGTATGACATCCCAGCAGATTCACATCGCGGAGACGATTCGCGGCATGAAGCTTGCGCTTCGTCGCAACCGCGCTGCCTCTCCAGTCGATCCCGCCGGCGACGAGGACAACGAAGACGAGCATGACATCCTCCACACCCATACCAACCGTGGCAACAAACTTCGCCTTAGCGCTCAATATGTCCAGCTCGGGCGTCTAGATACCACTGGCGGCACGCGAGCCTACAAACGCAAGATCAACCACGCTGGCTACGATCGCTACATCATTAGCAAGAAGCCAGCTCTGTATGACGAAGACGGCGACATGATCGACCCCGCGGATATTCCTGCAGACGTAGATGTAGCGGACGTAGCTGAGCCGCTTGTGGAAGATGCGTTTGGCAAGGTCAAGCTGGAGCGCTTGCTCAAGCCGCTGGAGAGTGCGGCCGAGTTGCCAATGCATCCGAGTCTGTCCCAGGCATATACGAGCCCCGCACTTACGGAGATGGTGAGGCAGGCGGAGGAGATGGTACGAAGGGAGAAGGCCGGGTTATGGAAGGCCAAGAGGTTGCTTGAGCGGTTCAGGGGGGATGGCGGGTTTATGAGTGGTGGTGCTTTCTACACGGAGAGGGATGAGGCGATGCTGGACAGTGGTGAGGGTGAAAGTGCAGCGTTAGGAGACATGAGTGCCGCAGAGACAGAGCTGGGCATGACAGCAGACGGACACCCTGCGGAAGCACTGCCGCCTAACGGCGATGTGATGGACGGGGTGGAAGTCCATGATCATGTCGGAAATGGTGCGAGCGGATACGAACATGCCGTGCATCCTAGCATAGAGCAAGCAAAGGAGCGCCAAGATCAACTCAGCACGTCCCACCACACCGGTGAGCAGCACGCCAACAACCTCCACGAACTCAACATACTACCTTCTACCAACGGCGGCGACGAAGAACCCACCCCGTCCAGCGCGCCTTCGCACGCAATGACCACCCGCCACCGCTCCGCCCGCAACAACAACGCACCTGCCTCTCCGTCACCATCCCCATCCGACTCCGCCAGCATTCCACCCATCAATCCCTGGTTCCAGTTTCCGCTCACTGCCCTCGGTGATCCCGACCTAGGCCTCCCGCCCAACGAAGCAGAGGAAACACGTAAGCTGCTGTTACTCTACGTTCAGAAACAAGAGAACATCGTCCGGCAACTCGAAACATTGTATTCCGGTCTGCAGCGCACAGACCGTCTACGCCGTGATGTCTACCGTGCCTGCAAAGCTGAAGGGCATACGGTTCCTGATCCCAACGGTAAAGGTGTGATGGTGACCGACATGAGCGATGGAGAGGATTGGTATGACGTCCGTGACTGGGGCTTGGAGGTTGGCAGGGATGAGAGGGTGAAGCTTGGCCCAGATGGGGTGGGTGTGTTGGAGAAAGGGAAGGATGAGGTGGACGATGGGGCGGAGGAGGAAGGAAGGCGGGTAGGTGGGAGGAGAAGGAGGGTTGTCGGTCGTTAGGAACGGCCGAAACAGTACAGAGACGGGAAGGTGGTCCTTGCACGTTACCGCGCGAAAGCGCTGGACTGTGATAGTGCCACGCTGATGCCGGCTGCGAAGGATGGACTTGGAGATGGCGAGGCAGGGGGTGGGTCGGACGGGAGCAAGTATGGTGGCGGCACCTATGAAGACGCTGATGGTGACGATGAGGGAAGGCCTACGGAGTACGAGGTTTTCCAGAACTTGCAGGTTTTGGCGGGAGCCGAGGGAATGGTATAGGTACGTGCGGGACCGACCCAGAGCTGGCAGTACCTGTGTGGTTGAGTTCCTGGTCTCCGCAACTCAGGTGAATGCTAGCTCACGAAGCTCGTTCTGTGCATCACCTTGCATGCTCATGATCCTTGCGAACCTTAGGCAATATTTCGGATTAATTACGTTGCGCCACAGTCCAGTTGTGTGCAGCTGGCCCGTGCTGCGCTTGAAGCACACGGAAAAGCATAAAGATCCCATTTACACCTCATGTGTGCATATCACGGAAGTCCGATTCGTACATCATGAGACGTTCTGCCCGACCCTCTTTGCACGAAGTTAGTGTCGTGAGATATGTCTTCTGACGGTCTGACGACTCTTAGTCGCTTCACCGGTCGGGAGAGCCAGAAGGCCACAGAAGAGGCTGCATGGCACGGCTGGCTGCAGGCTTGGGGGCCGTCTGCATGATTGGGTTCTTGTGCGGCGCGGCATGACGATTGACGGTAAAGTATTGTCAATGAAATCTTTCAGCCTCACCTCTACTGCTTAGGCATTACTTTCTTACAGCGCTCCGGAAAACACTACGTATTAATGTCCAAAGCCTGGAGCACTTACGATGAGTGATCCGGAGCAGGTCAGTGCGCTCCTCAAGCAGCTGGATGCTCAGAAGAATGCATATCTCGACACTTTCCGTCAGGTGCATGAGCTGCTCGCCCGAAACATTGCCGCTACAGCGCCGGTCTCGAGCAGAGGCAATGCGACGCCTCCACGAATGCCACTGCCGGAGATTCCGGAGCCACGCTCGCCTCGGTCACCAAGGCAGTCTGTCTCCCGATCGATCTCGGAACGAGATCCACATGCAAGGAAGACATCGGCCGGCCTCGCTACCCTGACTACCTCATCTGAGTCTCGGCGGACTGGCGAGGACTCGGACACGGACAATGATGAGACGTTATACGTATCAACTACTCTGGAGCCTTTCTGCTACACTGAAGAGTCTCTGCGTGAGCATCTGCGATCCTACAAGTACCATGCTTTCGGAGCGAAGATACTGCATGGTGTGATCGACAACCCATCTCGCCTGCGCGAGACGCCTCTGGTGACGAAGCAAAAAGGCCCGGTAGACGACCGGAGCCATTTAAGTCATTACCAAATCTTCGACATCGGACCTGATGGCGCACCTTTGCCAGTGGAAAAAAGCAACGTGGAGGAGGAGACCTCGAGAGCTAATGCTATCTGGCAGTGCCTGAGAGAGATCAACCAGCCCCCGAAAGAACGCCTAGCAGTTGGACGGATTACGATCTTGCGAGAGCCTAGCCCGATGCTCTTCGGTGCGGTACATCATGTATTCGACAAGTACCTTGACGTCAACGAACTGTTTCGGCACCTCGTCGAATCGAATGGCTCATCAGCCAACGTCCACCGAGCATATGATGAGGACGTGCGCAAGCAGAGAAGCTTCGTATTCAACTTTGAATTCTTTACAATCATAGGCGAGAACTGCCAACCCATGAAATGGCAGCTTGCAGATCAGCAGGGAGACAAAAATGGCCACCATATCCCAGTTGCACGCTGTAGCTCCGTGGTCGCGCTGGTGTTGAACGGACCTGCTGTACGGAAGGTCCGCAATCCGGCTCGACGAGCTACCGACAGCCATGGCTACGTCTATGACCCGTGGTCATCCTGGCATGTTCTCAACTTACAGTGTTACTCTGACTGGAACGCTTCTACGGAGGTTCACGACTCGTCCAAGCATTATGTTAACGGCGTAGAAGCTTTCCTTATAACCGTACTTGGCGAGTTCCGGGATGCTCAGAAGCGGTTCGAGGCGATATACAATGCGATCACGGATCTCATCACACCACCTCTGGAGTTTATGTTCAACTCGAACATACGTGACACCCTACTATTTGAAGACCAGCATTTTACCCTCTCCCGGCGGTACTTCTGGGCCTCCCAAACCCTTGGCTTGATGAACGAATCGATCAGGAAGATGATCGAGGCTTACGAGGACACGTTCACCGACGAAGTATGGGAGGGTACCCACAAGACTCTTTGGCCTCTTCTCGAACGGGACAGTGACCGTAACCAGTACTACAGAAGAAGACTCGCTTCGTTAAAGGCGAAGTTTGAGACTGAAGTAAGAAACCTGCAGAAGCAGATCGATGAGAACGATGAGCGTCGGAGAGAGATCCAAAGCCTGAAAGAAGAACTGTTCACGGGCACTTCCATTCAGGAAAGCCGGAAGTCGGTCGAAAACACTGAGATCACCATTCAGTAAGCCAGAGTCTCTTACACGGTACCGTAGCTTGTTCGACTAACGTTGGATAGGCAAGGACACAATATCAAACTACTCACGCTCGTGTCGATCTTCTTCTTGCCACTGACCTTCGTCACCAGCGTTTTCGGCATGACCAACATGCCCACGGATGAGCATTACTGGACATTCGGTATCGTCACAGCATGCGTGTGCGTTCCCTTCTTCGTCCTCATCGGCTCGTTGAATACCACAAAGGGCATGCACTGGTGGCACGTGAGAAGCTCGGCAGCATTCCGCTATGTCGGCAACTTCTTCGCGTGGCTATTCAGGCGGCGGAGCAGTCATGTTCAGGAAGTGGCCGGCGATCTTGGCACCCAGACGGCCTCCTTCAAAGCTCGGCCCTCGATGTCAAGGTCGTCGTCAGCGCCGAACACTCGCGATATGCGTTTGCGTCGATGGTCGTCAAGCCAGACCGGCGACACTGTTAAGCAGAGCGTCGAGATGAAACCGCAGGATCGCCCTCACATTGGCAGTGTCCGACCTGCAGTCGCGAGGGCACAGAAGTCTCGGTTGGTTGAAATGTGGGAGCTTGAGAGAAGACGCACGTTACAGTTCACTTGACAAATGCAGTAACCGGTAAGAAGCTTGTGCATCCCCGCTTTCTAACCGTACGGTCCGGGTCAGGCAGCGTAGTCGGCTACTCCTAGATGATATTTTGCGGCCGTCAGTCGTCCTGGGTGCTTGGCTGCCGTCAGCGGCATCCACTGGCGAGATATAGACATCAGATGCGACCAGAGTGCACGCAACCCTTTTCGAGCCAGTGATTGATGCTCATCCCCATTAGGGACTGTGGTGTGGAGTCCACATCTCCTAAGTTATGCATAATGGGTCCGTTTACAACGTTAGCTTGGGTCTGGCTGATGGGTCCGCATGGATATTACTCTCATAATTGAGGCGGAGAAGCATTGGACTGGAGTCTTCGAAGTCCTTGCCGGCCGTAGATGGCGCATATCAAGCAACCATAATGTAAGGACGTCCAGCTACCACTGTGTCTCCTATACGTGGGGTATCGACAGAGCACCAAATGTCTTCGGCGTTGACGGAAATGTCTCTTCGAACACTCGCAGGTCCCTAGAAGCGGCGATTGCGAGCACTAAACGCGCTGCCGTCAGCGACCAGGCTTTCTGGATCGATGCCGTCTGCGTCCCGCGTGAAGGTGTCTCACGTCGCGCAACTCTGGAGAGCATGGGAAACATCTATTCAAGTGCACGGTCGACCATCGTGGTCCTGCAATCGACCACTTGGGAGATCATCAGTCGTGACGCTCGCTCGAACGAGCCTTACTCGGAGATTCAGTTGGATCAGCTCAATGAAGACAATTGGATCAACAGCGTGTGGACCTACCAGGAGCTCGTCAACGCGCGGGCAGTGTCGCTCACCGCCGTAGGTCTATCTAGCGGCCGGAGCATCAAAGGCGACGACTTTCTGAATTGTATCGGCTTCTCCTTGGATCGCTACAAGAGGCAACACTCCCTTTCGGCGCTTGCCATCCGAAGACGCTACCCTGTTCTTGATGCTTTCGAAGACTCGATAGCTGACTGGATGGTTGCGGGCTACATGGACCGTTCCATGCTCGCTTGCCTCACGGGCGTAGCTGGTCGATACTGCGATCCAGCACGGCCAACGAACAGGATGTACGCACTCCTGGGAGCGTTAACGCAGGTGGCATCTTGGGGTGCTGTTGACGAAAATGTATCACAGCTTGTACAGAGAGCCATGGGAATCTGTGATGGAAACGGCGACTTCTCGTATATCTACACAACGAACCAAACGCAGGACCGCAGTCGGAAGTGGCGCCCAGACGCCGAGTCAGATTTGCTACCTGTGTTGCGTTGGCATATCTGGGGCGATGGACAGCCCGGGACAACGGCTGATGGCATAGCGGAGCTTCAAGAGATGGTTCGCTTAGATCTCCAAACCGAGCCGTCGCCGGAGGTACACGCTCACGTATCAAAGTGGTTGTGTGACTTCGCCGGTTTTCATGGAGACCAGCTCGGTAGACTCGAGGCAATAGAAAGCGAGCTGCCACGGACGCTGCGATCCATTGGCTTCACCGGGTCTGCAGTCTGTCAAAGGTGTAGGACAGGCTTCGTACTAACGCAGGAAGAGATCCAGCCACATGAGACTGTCGAAGCTTACGTATCAAGCAGCATTCGGTGGGCGTTCGGTACTCCAGGCATTGCGCAAGTGAGAGATGGTGGCACGGATAATGTGCGATACATTGTCGTGGTTCATGTAGGACCAACGTTACGCAACGAACCAGAGCAATCTGTGCTCCTGTTATGATGCCTTTCTTTCCTGTAACGGATAGGTTGGTCGAAGGAATACATCAAATCATCGAAATACTACAGCGTAGAGCCTCTGCAGGCCTCGGAGCCAGGACAATCAGCTGCAGCAAGCCCTAGCCGGGCGTGTTAGAGGTAGACCACAAACCCGCCGGTTTATACTGTGACTCCTAGCATCCTCTGCAATAAGGCAAACGATCATACAGAGAAACGACTCGTTCGTGCAGCTGGTCTGGCTGTTCGTCGATTCATGCTATCTTCAGGCTTACATAACCCTATGGTGGCTCTGGATTATAACCGTACCTGCCCTCTACCAAGCATTGCCCAATCACTCTTTTGAAACGGCACATAGGTGTCTGAGCCTGGCTTACACCACATAAAAATGTCATCACCACCATCCTTCTCGAGCGTGCCTACTTTGTCCAAGTCAACGCCCTCCTGCCGCAAGCCGACCTTATTCTGCTTATGGTTATGGATGTGGCTTGACCGCTTCACAATGCGCAGAAAGACCGGTACGGCATAGCGTGGCAGCCGCTCACGGCTGTAGCGGAGGAGGTTAGTATAGAAGGCCGGGTCGGGCGTCACTGTGAGATGAACTGCAGCACAACCAGCGCGGCCTTCATGGCCGGGAACCGTGACGCCATAGACGTTGGCTTCATCAATTCCAGGGTAAAGGCCGAGCGTCTCCGCGACTTCTGCTGTTGATACGTTCTCACTCTTCCACCGGAAAGTGTCACCTAGCCGGTCTAAGAAGTACCAGTGTCCGTCCGATGTCCGTCTCAGTGCATCTCCGGATCGGTAGTAGAGGTCGCCTTTCTGGAAAACATCCGTAGCAAAGCGCTTATTCGTCGCTTCGGCATTGCGCCAGTATCCGCCAAAAACACTTCGGTGTGGTACGGCAACCAAGATCTCACCTCCAACCTCGTACGGCATGCGTTTGGCGAATCCAGTGACTGGATCTCGCCAGATGTCTCCACTTTCGTGGTCGATGAGTACAGGGATGTAAACATTCTGCAGCCGCCGCCGCCACGGCAGACCATGATGACCAACACACGCACTAAGGTAGCCGTTTCGGGCCCACACAATGAGACTGAGCATGCCTTCGCTTGAGTTGAAGAACTCGGCCACCTCGGGAATATTGAAGCGCTCTTGGAACTTGTGCCATACATCCGGACGAAGGCCGTTGCCGTAACACATACGGAGCTTGTGCGCTCGCTCAAGGGGGTGCGGCGGCGCAGCCAGAAGGTAACGTGCTGTTTCGCCCACGTAGATGAAAAAGGTTGCGCCGGAGTCGTGGATGTCGGGCCAGAAGTTCGAAACGGAGAAGCGAGGGGCTATCGCTACGCCAACACCACAGAGTAAGGCGACCGATGTCGTGATAATGCCCGTTCCGTGGTACAAAGGCATAGGGCTGTACCAGCAGTCCTTTCCCTTGACTCCGCCGAAAGGATAATCGATATGTGCTCCGAGCAGGTGTGTCCGGGAGATGGTGAAAGGGCAGCCCTTCGGTAGACCTGTTGTACCCGAAGTGTAGATCAAGCAGTATGGCCATTCCGGTTTCATGCCATTGCGTAGCTCATCTGGTGGTACCACAACGGGGTTACTGGTAATGACCTTCTTCAGCAGATTGTCGAGGGTGACAAGCCTTGTGCCACTGGCTTCAATCTGCTGTCTGCTTCCCTCGATGCGCTGCTGGCATGCTTGATCCTCATCAATGATGAGAAGCTTGGTTTCACAGACGGCCAGACAATGCATCAGTGCTCGCCCCTCAAGGTTGTAGTTGATGAAAGCTGGGCCGGCTCCAATCGCAAGGGTGGCAAACATGATGAACATGAACTCGGCGCTGTTGTGGAGATACATCCCGACTAGGTCGCCAGGCCGGATGCCCTGGTCTAAGAGCCATTGTGCGTAACGTACTGTCTGATCATGGAGCTCGGTGAAGGTCCAGCTTCGGCTACGTGTCCAGATGGCGCGGTCGTTGGGTTGACGTGCGCATGTTTCTGCGAGGATGTACCACGGCGACAGTCTGTCTTCCTTGACTACACTATATTAGCACTAACTCACTTGAATTGTCGACACTACGTACGCGCTTGCTGATATGCTCGATCCGCCTTGGCTTGCTTGTGTACGGACCGATAGTCTCGCACGAGTTGGTATTTGCCATCCAGGTAGGCCGCTGCAGCAAGACCGCCAGCTGCAGCGGCGGCGACTGGAAGACAACAGTCAGTTGCGTTCCGCTCGTGTGGTGGACCAAAGCTCACCAAGAGCCATGATTGTTTGCTTGCTTGGGCTAAACCATGCGAATCGCGGAGTCTATACCTAGTTCTTAGGCAGATTGACAGAAATGAAGATGGGTATGCCCAGCCAAAATGTTGTGAGATGTATCAGGCAACCTGACGAAGACTGTTCGCTCTGTATAGATGTGCTTAAAGATAGACACAAACTGCGGTGCCGCTCCGCATCGTGAAGCCGAGGCTACTTCCTGTTTGGAAGATGTGGGGTATCGTGGGGTGGTTCTCGTTGCTCGGCTAAAGGCACAACAAGTCGTCCTGGCACCCTGGTTGCGCAGATGGGATATCAGTCGAACACAATCGCAGCCTTGACGACCTGTTGCTTCCGCACAGCTTCCAAGCACTCAGCCCATTCCTCGATTCGGTAGGTCTTGTTCACAATTCCCTTGAGATTCAGCTTCTTCGTCTTCACGTATTCAAGCACGACAGGGAATTTGAGTGTACTGCAGAAAGATGCAAGAACCGTGATCTCGTAACTGGTGCCGGAGCGTTAGCGATTGAGGAAAGGAAGAGCGAGGACCGAAGCCGGTCAATACCCACGTCCAGATACGGCTCGGTGGCCATGCAACCTTTGCTGCGTCGTCGTAGACGCCGTAAACAACGAGCGTACCGCCCTTGCGAACGTAGAATATGGACTGTTCGAGGACGGAGGAAGCCCCTGTTGCTTCGACGACGATATCGAAGCCGTGAGGGTTGGCCGTCTTAATGGCTTTCATGTCTTCCGAAGGGTTGTCATCGGAAATGCAGACGTAGGAATCCGCAAGATCGAGTTGCCTTGCAAGGTCGAGCTTCGGGCCACCCTTGGAGGCGATGGTAAGCTATTGGCAGTCAGCGCTGCAATCAAAGCATGATGACACATTAATCTTTACATTAGCTGCGCCGTTCTGTCGTAGAAGTTGAGCCAATAACATGCCCGTGGGACCACAGCCGAACAGCAGAACTGTGCTGCCGACCTTAGGCGACATGCGTTCGATACCATGGGACGCGCAGGCGGCGGGCTCAATCAGTACAGCTTCCAGAGAAGGCAGATCGCCAATGGGATAGACGTGGCGCGCTGGGTAGCGGCAGTATTCCGCCATTCCGCCAGGCACTGCAAGATATCAGTCAACAAGAAGCCGATAACTAGCGATTGGTAGGTTGTTCGAGTCTTACCAGTCCCGCCGTAACCACTCATGTTCTCACACAGGAGTCCCTGATCGCGCACACAGTAGAAACAGCTTCGGCAAGGCTCCATAGGATCGGCGACCACTCTGTCGCCAACAGCAACCGTGGTCACGCGCCTGCCGATGGCGACAACCACGCCAGCCGCTTCATGTCCTGTCATGCGTAACCGTTAGCATTCCGAGTTGATGCAGGCTCCAGGTGTCGATATGTACCGGGTATCAGTGGGAACTGCACTCAGGCTAGGTCAGCTGTCTATAGCAGTCACCGGCATGTGCGCTAGCGTCGTACCTTTGCCATGAATTCGCCCTCGTGGAAATGCAAGTCCTGCTGCTATTAGTTGCCAAAATCACAAATGGTGAATGGCACATCCGCAACGTACAGTTCCACATACGCCGCAGGCGCTAATCTTGACCTGCGCAGAGGAAATAAGTTATCCTGCTACGGAAGGCTTATGTGCTTGTGCAGAGCGTACCAGCACATCTTCTTCACCAAGGTCCGGCATGTCGATCTCGACGACCTTGAAGTCTCTCGGCTTGCTGTATCTACGGAGGCTTCAGATAATCCCTTACGAGCGTGCAAGGATGGTGCTTACTGCAAGGCTCTCATCTTCTTCGGCAGCCCATCATTGACCGTTGGCTCGGTGGTTGGACCCATGATAGTACTGTCAAGGGTTTCAGACGTAGAGCGAACCGCAAAGTGGTGTTACGAAGAAAGACCATGCTGACGCTTGGCAGAGCGATGTGCATGGGTTCGCTACGTGGAGTGTAGCCCAACAAGGGAAGTGTTTGCCGTTCTTTTGGCCCCATTGCCCAACGAGGAAGGTTTGCCGTCCGGTTCCGGCTCGGTTGACCTGCCATAAACAGGTCCGCCATAAGCGCAGGATCGTGCCTGCGACATGCTTATCCAGTCCTTTTAACGATGCCGCGAGATGTTGCGAGCTTGATGCAACCGTTTGTCTTCGTGAAGAGTGTGCTCTCGGTCTGCATCTGGCGGTGGATCCGCAAGCACCAGCATAGGGTGATCTCATCGGAACCACCAGTTCACCTATGGCCCCCAGGTTAGCAAAAGGCCAGAACAGCTCATTGCATTCAATCAGATGCTCACTGATCCAGTCATTCCACTGCCCATGCCCTTAATGCTGTGCCACCACCCTTTTGGTATGAACATGCCGTCTCCAGTTTCAAGCTCGGCTTCGAAGCCTGTGTTCAGCTTTGCCGCTTGTTCATTCCAAACCGCGTCTTCTAGAGCTTTGCGTTCCGCTCCGTGCATCATCTCTTCGCCGCGCATAGTGGCCGAGGCCGCTCCGCCAATTTGTTCCTGCACCTTGGCAAAGATGGCCCGACCCACCTCCGGACTGAACAGCCGCACAATCTTCGTACCAGCTAGTTGAACGAACAAGTTCGGGTTCGGATCACGATGTAGCGGTGTGTAAGTGGGAGCCTGGCCCAGCCAGATAGAAGAGTCGTAGATGTCGCCCTGCCCTGCCTTCAGAACGATGTCGGGTGTGGGAACGTCCGCTCGCAAAGAGTGTGGGAGGTTTGCAACTGGAGCCTGCGCCAAGTAGATGCGAGCGGTGGGTGGCGTGATTGTTGCTGCACTGAAGAACTCGTTAGAGCGCTTGGTCTGTTTGATCGCACGTGCATTGGGTACGTAGGCGCTGAAGTAACGGCTTGGACGGGGCCGGTAGGTTGAAGAGGAGGCGTATACGCACTCGAGAAAGAAGCTGAGAGGTTGCTCAATACGGTTGAACTGGTCATTATGCGAGATCTCTAACGGCACGATTGTCGAGCCGTAGCGGGCAAGGTAGGACCGGTTCAATGTAGCTCCAGCATGCGGGTTACTATCCTCGGCGAACCACTTTTGCACCGCTGGTAGGCCTTGAAATATCTGTCGAGGCAGTAGAGCGGGCATTGCTTGGTTAAATGCATGTTGCCGGAACATGTCCAGGCTTGCATTGGGCAGGGTAGGCACAGGCTTGAAGCCGGGCGCGGAGGAGTATTGCCTACATTGCTGTAATATGACCACTAAAGGTCGTCGGCCAAGCATTTGCTCAACAGTGTTGCGCGCTTGTCGTTTGTCATAATTATATGGATGGTCAGTTCTTCAATGTCCATCATCCACCCTAATGTCCGCGGCAACCTCCGTTTGTAGGCTAGTGTCATTTTGGCGAGGTGAACGACGGACTCTTCGTTTGCTCGTTGCTGGCGTCGTCTTTCCACCCTCTCGCGCAAGAACCGGGATACTCACACTTGAGTGTTGTAGACACCCGTATCATAATATAATGCACATTCTTGGGTTCCCGCAACATGTGGAAGCGTGTCCCTGTGACTGCACATCGCCACTGTCGAGGCGTAAAGCATACTCGCGCATCAAACTGATGACATGGCTTATCAATACTTTGTTTGACGTTGGAGCACTTACACAGCGGCTTGCTTGCTCTTGGTATGACGATGACATCCTCTCGCTGATTGAGGCATGCTTTCAGCACGAATGAGGCTTTCATAACACTTAGGCCGTACAAATCACAACTCACCGAACTGCGTGACGACAGAGCAGCTTCCCACCCGCCATCTGTCAGACGACAAAAACCCACTACACCTGTTCGGAAACCGAATCTGACCCCTCCACAGACCAAGCCGTCGACCATTGCACATTATTTCACACCTGCGTCGATATGTTTTCAGAAACTATGTACTGAGCGTTTGGGTTGCAATCACGTATGGAAGGAATCCCGGAAAGTCACCTATCCATGCTTGACATGCACAGCAACTCGGTACGGCCTGGTCAGGTGCCGAGATGATCTGAAGCCGAGACTTATCAGCTGGACGCAACCTCTATGGCAACGAGCGCAGTGGGGGCGACCATTCAGGGCATATTTGTGTCAAGCACTACTCACTGTGACAGTTTTAAGCTCACCAGATCCGAGCTGGATCTTTGGCCTTTTTGTCCTCATCCTCCATTCTCTCAGCCTTCCTTATCCATACCGGCCCGGAGGAGTACAGTTCCCTACCCTTCAGCTTGTCCACACTCTTCATCAAGTGCATCGACTTCGGCGTGAAATCTTTACAGGCCGAGTTGAGATAGCACACATCGCAGTCAGCGATGCCCACAGACGCGGCGACCATCTCCAGCCCTGGCTCCCGTAGGTTTCTTTCTCTTCGAGCAAGCCAGCAAAGATGTATCTTGGAGGTTCCGTGCTTTTGCTGCCTACTGTCAGCTTGCCGCTGCCATGTTTGGGTGTTGTCCTTGGGATGGCAAGAGTATACGGTGGTGGTTCGGTGACACATGCTTGGCTGACTTAGTTCGTGGTGCACAGGTCACTGTTTCGGATAGCAGAGGTCCTATAGGTTGTTGTGCAAATCCTTGCAGCACTAGAACTAAAAACATGGTACGACTCTATTTACTCCTCGTGCTACCCAGCAGCAACTGGAGCAGACACTCCGCGCATCAGCGAAAGCCCTCCACGAAAGGAGCGTACTTCAAGTCTCGAGAGGGCAGCAGACAGTCTCCTCATTTATGGGTTTGGTGTCGTCACTACGAGGGACATGACAGTATATACCGACGGTAACTGTACATACCTGCTATCACCAAAAGCTGGCTACTGAGACCACCATTCTAAGTCTGTCCACAATTACAAGCTTCCAACACCAACCAAACAGACTCTCGAAATGCCTCTAGACCCGCGATCTTCGACAGTGGACGCAAAGGCGTCGGACGCCTATACCTGGCCGGCACCTTTCTCGTCTTTCACGGCATGTGTGTGAAAGCTGCCTGCACAGTGAAACTAAGTGTTCTAGTGCGTGTATAACAACGTTTACCTCACCCGCAGGCGAACCAACACTTTGCAACAGATCCAGTAATATATAGCGGACGTCCAGGCTGCTCCCATCTTCTTACTTGCATGAAGGGACGCCGGTCGGATCGCCAGCCCGCAGATGTATTGCCGACCAGTACTTCGCCAATGGCGACCCGCAAACTATTGAGCTCTATACTGCAGCACACCCACTTCATGTGGAGCTCCTTGACGACCTCGTTGTCGCTCTCCACTAGAGGCCGCCTGTCACGGAAGAGGGTCGACAGCTAACTGCCGGCATGCATGAAAGCCTAGCTTGTGCTTCCCATCACTGTGGGAAAGACAAGAAGTGTGGCGGTGGGTCAAGGTACGGTCGAGTCGACATTACACGGCAGACTGAGCACGGAGGAAGGCGTCGACACCTGAAAGTGCGGTGGGGAAGTTGATGGTCGGCGAGAACAGGAGCTTGCCAATGTAGACAAGGCATGCCCGAATGCCGCACTGGCGACCGATGGTGAGTGGTCATCCTGGTGGCTGGGGTGCGGGTTTAGGTCGAGCACAGCGTTTCGGCGAAATATGCAGTCAGTGAGTCCAACTTTTGCGCAAGGGCGAAGAGGACCTACACTGGCCTTGTGTTGTGATAAAGCGCATCGAAGGGTTATACTCCTCAATGTCTGTTACATGAGCACTTCGCGTAAGCGTGAAGTGACGTTGACTCAGAGTAGGCTTCTCAAATGGCATTGATGCAGTAGCTTGACAAGTCAGCTGCCAGCTCAATACAGCTTTACCAAGTCATCTGCTTGCTTTGGCCCCCTGCGAACCCTCTGGCTGCGTGTCACGAATGCATTACTGCGCACGACCCGATCATCGCCTCGTCCGCCACAATAACCAGCGAGAACATGGCAACAGGAGGAGGGCTGAAAGATCCTCGCAGCAGCCCAGCAACGAGAAGAGAGTAAGTGTTGATGGAAGAATTAACCTCGCCGATCTTCGCTAACCGCCAATGCAGCAGACGTTCCATATCCATTCAAAGCTCATCTCCAGCCACTCGCCATTCTTTGCTGCGGCTTCCGACAGTTCAGACTGGAAGGAAGGTTTTCAACGATCGGACAAACTGCCGGACGACTCACCAGAGGCCATGCAGGCTTACGTTGAAGGGCTTTATACCGACCGATTTTGCTGCATGAGCGACATGGGAAAGACTAGGTACAACCTACTGGATATGTTTTATGTTCTAGGCGGAAAGCTGCTTGATCGCACCTTCCAAGACAGGATCGTGGATGCCTACATCATGGCGGCTCGATCTTGCAAGATTGGGTCAAGAAGAGCTCCTCCAATGGCTTGATTGTCGGTATCGCCTACGCAAGTACCCCGGCAAACTCGCCACTCCGAAGACTTCTGGTAGATATGTATGCTGCGGAAGTAATCCACGACCTATTCGCCAACGCAACGTCGGACAGCTACCCGCCAGACTTTCTCTTGGATCTCATACGAAAGCTGCTTCCAGGTGATACTGAGACCGCCAATGCCAATCAGGGAATCCCAGGGTCTACACGTACCTACCATCACCACAGCGCGGATGAGGTGCGTGGTGGACAAGCCGGGTAATGACGTAGTGGCAGCAGCGTTTCGCGGCACGAAACCTGGCTTGCCCTCGCGCTGTATGTAAGCGAATAGTGGCACAAAGCATTGCAGTCGTCAGGAGACGCATGCTTCAAAGCGAATAATAGTGAAAGCGGATGTTAGGTCAGAGCAAACCATGTTCAATCCGATAGAGGAGCGTTAGCGTACCACCAAAAGTTCTTTGCGGACACTCACGTGCGGCATGAATGAGGCAACCTCAGCTTTCCGTCACTTCACTAGCTCAGGGCTCGGAGTAGCTGACTGCCTAGATCGCGAGCCTCTCCCCTATCTTTCTCCGCCATATCTTCACCTTGGAAGCAATCTCACGATCACGTATTGGATTGTATCGCACACAGTCCCGTCTCTTGATCATCGATCAACAAGCTTCAGATCCAGGCTGTTGTACAACATGGCTGCAGCATTCGGTCTTGAAGACCGAATCAGCAGGCAAGCGGACGTTATCGAGTAAGTGACAAATGACTCTCTTCCTGGTATTCAACTGCACGCTAACCTTGATCCAGCATTACGGGTGTGCCTGTAAGAATCACCGTCGGTCCTCCAGAGGAGGCAAAGGCCTTCTACGTTCACAAAGAGGTCCTTTCCGCGCAATCGCCGTTCTTCAGTGCAGTCTTGAGCAAGGAATGGAAGGAGGGCGCCGAGCGAGTCGTCGATCTGCCTCACGACCAGCCCCGTGTCTTCGAAGCCTACAGCGTATGGCTCTACACCGGCCACGTATCCCCGGTCAAAAAGTACGACTCCATCGACTACCAAAACTTCATCGAGCTCTATGTCCTCGGCGAGAAACACCCTGAAAACTACGGCTCCATCGACTATCACCACTTCATCGAGCTCTATATCCTCGGCGAGAAACTCCTCGACCGCAGGTTCCAGAACCGTGTCGTCGACGTGATCGTTGCCGCTTCGATTGAATCCCCAGAAGTGCCGGGGTTGATCACGGTCAATCGTGCATACGAGGCGACACCCAAAGGCTCGCCCATCCGCCGGCTCCTTTGTGACATTTACGTCAATGGAGCGACTATGCACTGGTTCAGAGGATATGTCAGCGATGCTTACCCGAGTGCTTTCCTCTACGACGTTGCAGTCCTGCTACTCGATACCAAGCACCAAGCGAAGCTTGCGGCAGAAGGCCTTGTTCCAGCTTGGTACCCATCATCTCCAAGACGAGAGTGAAGCGAGTTGCGTCGCAGAAAGCTCGGAGAAAGACCGTGCGGGTGTAGGGTGCTGAGCTCCTTCGACCTCTGGAGCCGCGACTGAGCTTGCAGTTGGAAGCGTTGGATACCGTGGAGAGGCCACGTGGGCGGTGTAAGAGCGACTCGAGGAGGCACCCATGTTGCCACGGGCTGGATGCAAAAGCTGTTTATGGAAGTGGCCCTGTGCGAATCCGGCGACTGCAAATACGTAGCGCCAGAGCGACATTAAAGTGTGGTTGGTGCAGCTGAGTGGCAGCAAGAGCAAATGTCGGGATAGCTCAACAACGTCCATACACCGCCACAATGGAGTTCACTGATACGAGCTTCACCAGCCATCATGTCTTGACTCTTTACTTATTGCCCTCCGTCCACTGAAAACCCATAACGTCGTACATCCTACCCCACCCTAGAACCTCCCTCAATTCTTTACCCGATAATACCCACCTCCATACTCCCCCAACCACCCCTTCTCCACCTTAGTAACATCCCTGATAAACGTCTTCCCCTCCCGCCCCATCTCCACCACCTCGCCAAAAACAACCCATTCCGCCTTCCGATTGAACATCAAACTACTCGGATGAGCATACAAGACCAACCCACCGCTGCCGGCCTTTGTGCCAAACCCACTGTCCGCAGTCCGAAAAGTACCGTCCGGCATCATGCGTGCGGCGTGGGCGAAGTAGCCGGCGGTGAGACAGCGGCGGATACGTTCGTGAATTGGTTGGCCGCCGGCTGTAAGGACGGAAGTGTTGCTTGATAGAGACTCCGTGACGTCGATACCGAAGCGTTCGAGAGACCGACGGAGCTGGTTGCGGATAGTCACTGCACGCAACATGCTCTTGTAGTTGAGGTAATGCCGCTGACACCACTGACTCTCCTTCTTCCCCTTCGTCACAAAAGCCTGGTACACGTTCAATAAGGTCAAGTGATCGCCCTCCTCGACCGCGAACTTCCTCCTCGCGCTCTCTTCCGCTTTTTTCTCGTCGTGACTAAACCACACATTTCCTTGTAAACTCGTCATGGCGGCTATACTCAGCATCTCGCTTAGACACCCAAATTCGAAGGCGGAGAGGAGGGACTTCGCCAACATGGGTTCGAGTGCTAGTTCCGCCATGCGGGTACCGAGGGGTTTCGTTAGTTTGGCGTAATCGTCTAACGCGCCGAGGGAGTAGAGGAGTTCAAGCGCGCGAATGATGAGGTTGGCGGGCGGAGGGGTCAGGAAGCCGAAACGGGCGATATTGTCTATACCCAGTGCTTTCAGTTGGAGGATCGTCGGGGCTAGGTTACTGCGCTGGATCTCCGGCACTGTCACTTCAGGGAGGTTTTGGTAAGCGGCCTCAGTGTAGAGACGGTAGCATTTCCCCGCTTTCGTGCGCCCCGCGCGACCGGAGCGCTGCGTGGCGGAGGCTTGGGAGATGGGCGTGGTGGTTAGAGTTTCGATGGCCGTGGTGGGGTTGTAAGCGCGAAGTTTTACGAAACCAGTGTCAATTACGTAGACGATGCCATGGATGGTTACGCTGGCTTCGGCGATATTGGTGGCGAGGATGATTTTGCGAGTGTTGTCAGGCGCGGGCTCGAAGACGTACATTTGTTGGTCTGTGGTTAGGCCCGCGTAGAGAGGGAGTGGGAGGAGTTGTGCGGCAGACGCTGGAAGGGAGGGTATGCGCTTGGCGATCGTGTCGATGGCGGTTTCGATGTCGTCGCGGCCGGTAAGGAAGACGAGGATGTCACCTTCGGGTTCTGTGTTGTGGATGTCGAAGACGGTCCCGACCGCGCCGAGGAGGTAGTCTTCGCACGGATCGGTGAGGTAGTGTATGTCGACCGGGAAAGCGCGGCCTTCGATGCTGACGATACGGGCTACACTTCCGCCAGGTTCATCCGTAGCGTCTACATCGCCTCCGGCGAAGAAGTTCAGGAACGCTTCCGCTTGCAAGGTAGCGGAGCTGACCACAATCCTCAGCTCTGGCCTCCGTTTGCGGATCTTCTTCAATACGCCTAAGAGAATGTCAGAGCTCAGACTGCGTTCATGCGCTTCATCGACCATGATGACGCTGTATCGGCTCAAGAGTGGATCAACGAGAGCTTCTCGCAGGAGCAAGCCATCGGTCAGGAACTTAATCCTTGTCTTTTCGGACGTAACATCCTCAAAGCGGATACTGTACCCTACTTCCTGGCCTAGCGGACATCGCATCTCATCCGCAACACGCTTTGCAACAGTGGTAGCAGCTACACGACGAGGCTAAGGTGGGAACATCTGTGAGCAGCCGTCAACTACCATCACCAAACCATTATTTAATCGATGGAGACTTGCTTGAGTGACAGCGATGACCTTGCCATCTTGACACCACCCTGCTTGCTCTAGGTACTGCGGTACCTGTGTCGTCTTGCCGCTGCCAGTCTGACCCACCAGGACAGTAACAGGATACGTATCAATAGTGTACAGCAAGGCATCTCTGTGCCGAGCGATGGGTAAGAGACTTGCAGGCTTGTGCAGAGCTGGTATGAAGGACTCGGTGTCTGTCATGCCTGCAACCACGACCCGTGTAAGACGGCCCTTCGCAGAGATCTACGCCTCTCGGGAAGTCGTCGACAGTGGGATCATTGGCTAGTCTTACGTGAGTTCTACCAACCTGCCCATTTAGCTCAGTGTGGCCTACAGGTTCTCTTCACTGGCTCGTCGACCATAAGAGAAATCGTATGTGGGTTGTCCGCTGTCTTTCCAAGCTGATAGCACTTCACTGAGCCGTGGTGGACGGTAAAGGAACAATGTTCTCTCCCAGAATGACAGAGATGAAGTCGAGAATGCGCCGCGATGTGCCCGTGGCGCGAGCCGCTCGGCACTTCCGCCAGCCCCACCACAGCCGTGACGACGCAGCTCACCGGCAGCTCATGCGCTATCAAACTCCGCCAACACATTCCATCATCAGCGATCGTGGCGCGAATAGAGCACTGTCGATAGACATACATCCAGCCGTCGCCCTACTACAAGCTCAAGTACCAAGCGGAGCAGCACAAGAACAGCTACGTAAGCTCCAAGCAAGGCGACACCCGCGACAGATAGCCAACATGGCCGACGCCCCCGTCTCCCCACTCAAACCCCACGACACCACCGAAACGACCCCCGAGCATATACAAGAAACAGGCCGAGTAAGCCCCCTCGGCACCGAAACACCCGCTCCTCCAAAATCCTCCACCCCCAAACCGCGCGTCTCCTTCCAAGAACAAGACCAACACCTCGACGCACCCCCGCCAAAACCTCCCCGGCCCGCCAGTCCCATGGACCAAAGCGAACACACCCTAATCGAAGCCTTCCCAACCATCGACGCGAAAGTCGTCCGCGCCGTTCTGCACGCCAGCGGCGGCCGCCTCGAACCCGCCTTCGAAGCACTGCTAGGCATGTCCGACCCAAACTTTGTACCGGAAGAGTCTGCACCACCGCCTCCGCAGCCGCCGAGACCGCAGACTCAGACTCAGCGACAACCGAAGAATCAGTTGGAAGCGGATGAGATGTACGCAAGACAGCTGGCAGAGCAGTATAACACTCACTCCGACCCATATCAGCAGCAGAGGGGCCAGACGCGGTATAATCAGCGCGAACCTGGGCAGCGGCGGCCGAATCAGCAGAAGCCAGTATACAATGAGGATGATCGTGAGCATAGTTTCTTTGACGATGACCTACCGGAGATAGGAAGGAATATCCAACAGGGCTTTTTCGAGACGCAGAAGAAGGTCAATAGCTGGATTTCCAACTTCCGGAAACGGCTCGATGGGGATGATGCGGATGAGGAGGACGAGGATTTGTATTCTGCGTCCCAGCCTTCTTCGAGGCAGAACACCAACCGCTGGGCTCAAGGCGGTGGAGGAGTGGAAGGCAGACAAAACTTCGGCCCCTCGCAAAGTGAGCAACTACGAGGGATCCAGCGGGCGGCGGAACAGAGGCAGCAACAGCAACAACGCTCAGCTCGACAGAGTACAGAAGCGGCCCGGTATGACGCCGACCCGCACCAGATAGGAGACGATGAGTTCGAAAGACTCGAATTGAGGGACAACGACGATGATGAGGTGGAGGAACTCCCGCCGGCGCAGCCACCGAGACGGACGTCCAGTCGTCTGCCGGCGAAAGCGGATTTGTTCAAACCGCAGCCGAAACCGCCACAGTCTGGGCCGGTGGATGAAGTGGATGCGGGGGAGCGGGGTGGGAAGGGGAAGAAGTGGCAATCGCTTACCTCCATCCAGCCGCAGGTGGTGGAGGATGATGCTGATCCGTTTGCGTTGGGGGATGATGAGGAGGATGTTGCGACGACGACGGCGGAGGGCAAGGGGAAGGGGGTGGAAGTTGGGAAGGAAGAAGTGAGGCAGGAGGATACGGAGAGGTTAAAGAAGTCTGCGAGTACTAGTGTGAGTGAGGGGAAGAGCGGTGGTGGTGCCGCGGAGGGAGAGGGAGATAGGAAGGGGAAGGGAAAGGCGTTAGAGGAGAGTGGGAGGAGTGGGAGTGTGGACTTGGAGGCTAAGGAGCTTTTGGCTGGGAAGGGGCCTGAGAAGGAGTAGGCTTGACATTCGCTAAGATACCAGGATCTTGAATGTTCCCGAGTACTTGCATTGGTGCTGGTGCTTCCTGCTCAAGCTGCCTGATTATACGAGAGCATCGACATGATCGAACAGAGCTTTCGTGGTCCACTGATCAATGAAACTTCGAGTTAAGCCCGCCCGCTGCATTCCATCGCCGTGCTGACGTGGCACACCGTACTGTGGGCCGACCGCCATACTCTTCGCTTGCTCGATCGAGAGCACCTGTGTGAAACACTGGCCATATTCCTCATCGACTTACTCGATTACTCTCGTGCTCGCCGTCTTACATGTCCTGGTCCTGGTCAGGGGCGTCTTTTCCTTTCTCGGCAACCTGCTTGTCGGCGCCGCACCGCTTGTCCGCGCCGTGTTTGTGGTAGACGCATGGCGACTGAGCGTCAAACTGCTCGGGCTTGTCAAGTACCGCGCCGGCATGTACCCGATAGACTTTGTCCAGCAAGCCCGCACTGAGATCGGCCAGGGACTCGACGTTGAGGCTCGCTAGCTCCGGATTGCGGATCCAGTTAGAAGTCCCCTGATACAGGTGAGTGTCCAGCATGAGTCTTCGCAAAAACGAGCCTTTGGGAGTATTTTCGTAGACAAGATCAACGTCGAAGCCAATAGGGAACCACCTTGTGGGTGAGGCTCCTGGGTCTCCGGGATCCGGCGCCTTGTCACGCATATGCAGGAGTAGAGCATCGACAACGCGGTCTTGGCATGCAGTGTCAAGCAAATTGTCCGCCAAGATGTACAGGAGTAACATCGGACTGTAGCATGTTTCGGCATCGACTGACGGGCAATGGATCTTGGCGTGGTACAGCCAATGAACGTAATCATGGAAAACAACTGGATCTTCGGCTGGCACCTTGATCTGACGGCTTTGTCCTTCTTCCCACTTATCTTTCAATGCCGTCCGGAGGAAAATGGAGCTTCTGGTGAGGACTTCTTCGTGGACGTAAAAGATGACGGGTTCGGCACCAACCAGCAATTTCACTGGCTCGCCATGGTAGCTACGAACAGAAGTCAGCATCGATTGGTATTGAGTTTCAGGAACGACATACTAATTCTCCGACAGCTCTGCGCTCCACGGATCCTTGATGTTCGACATAGTCGCTCCGCCTGACAGTGTCCGAGAGTGGTTGTAGTAAGTTGCTGGCTAAGGCGTATCGGCGATGATTGGAACGGAGAAGGTTGGCGAGCTTATAGAGGCTGTCTGCAACTTTGCAGCATTTCGTATGTGAAGTGACGGAGAAGTGAGGTAGCACATTGACAACTCAATGCAGGTGCGCTCCAAGCGACTCGAGCAGTATGTGGCAACGTGGTCCGGGCTGTCTACAACACTCCGAGTTCACAGATGTTTCCCAAGCGGAGCTGTCACTGCACCTTCATAAAGCGGTCGATCTAAGTTGGTATCAGCAATCCGACGGAACGCATCTGGTGTCTGGTATGCGGATGCCACCTGTGGTGCTCGTCGTGACCATAGTCGTCCCCTTCTGGCGCGCCACGGCCTGCCATACTCATCTGAACATGCCGGAAAACGCTCTCGTGTCTAGCCCATCCGAAGGCCCTACGATTCAGCATTTGCAGCTGTCGCTTTCCACCTCCGGCTACCTTTAGATGACAAGATCCCCTGACTCAAGCATTAACGAAGTGAGGACGGCATAAACATCACACATCAAAGAGACCACCACAACCACGCAAACCCTCATGCTTTACATACCACCACTCCCCATCCCTCTCCACCCAGTACAGCTTCGCTATAGCATCCTCCGTCTTGGGATTACCTGCCTTCTCCCCAATCACGCGCGTCATTATCCAAACAACACCGGTCCGTAAGCGATAGTCCATGTCGGCGTAAGCATCAAGAATCTTCAAACGGCGCCCTTGCGGACTCTGAGAATAATGCAAACGTACCTACAGAAGCGGCGTCGGCAGAATGGTGGACGCGCGTTTTGCCGTCAATAGAGCCGCGGAAGTCATTGGCGAGATGCCGCTGTACCAGTGGATTGTTATATTCACCGCTATTCAGACAATGGATGAGGTCGGTTGAAAATGTAACGAGTTTTGCGGGTAATGCCACATCTGATTCCGGGTCATGAGGCGCAGCTTTGTCCATGCCGCGCAGTGGATGGACGCTTGAACGGACCGTGAAGCTGGTCTATGGGATCACTTTCTGCACGCTCTAAGATTCTGGGCGAGTTGGCCTTGGTTGTGGTCCCGAGGTTTATGCAATGTAGCATAGGATACGAATAGCGGATCTTCGTCATTTCTGCATGCATTTATTGGCCCCCCAATCCGCAGCCTCACTGGGCGGCGATAAACCTCTTGGGTCGACATCATAGTGTACGACGCTTGATGCCACCGCCATGCTCTGGATGTCAATGTATGCTCGATCGATAAGGGAGCTTACTTGAAGTGATGGAGGAGGAAGATGTACATGCTGGCTCAACCTTGCTCATGGCCAGGCCAGTGGCAGCGGCAACAGCAACGACAAGCAGTGGCGCAAGCCACAACGTCAGTCTTATCTACGTGTAGCGATCCAAGCATGCACGTGTCTCTTGTCTCAAACTCGCGCACAACTGATCGCATGGCGACGGCCGACAATGTCACAGAGATGGCCTTACCGTTGTCATCAGTAGTAATCCCGTGAGCGCAAGATGAAGGTCGCAACCTCCACAGTAACATTTGTTCTGCTCTTAGCAGCGGCGCAAGCACAGCACACCCTAGACGATGGCACTTCGGGCCGTCAACAACCCATCTGGGCAGAAGCACAACTAGCAAAGTTCCCCATAACACCATATCCACAACCCTTCAAACTGCACCCTTTAGTGAGCAGTAGCACCAGCTCTGCTGACGCGCATCCCACGGGAGTAGCGCACCCAGTGCAAAGCGATGTACTCTTATCAGATCTCACTGGCAATGGCATTGCACCGCCCATCAACATCTTCGCCGGACTCATACGGAATGTCTCTTCCGTCCTTACACGGTTGGCGGACGCAGACTCGAGGTCGATTATCCTAACACCGTCGGATGGAGTAATGAGCAGACTGACGTGGAAGGATCCCGAGACCCTTTCGGACTTCGTGAAAGCGCATGTAGTAACTGTCTCGCCGCCTTGGCAGGAGGGCAAGACGGCCGTGACTATGTTGGGCAATAAGGTATGGTGGGAGATCTGGTCTGACGAGATAGGATACGGCGTCTTTGTGAGACCCGCTGGCGCAACTTTAGGGAAAACTCTTAGTCGTGTTGCGAATGGCGAGGTTTGGGAGATTGGGGGAATGCTACACCAACCCAAAGCCAATAGTTCTGACAATCCAGATGCGCAGTCGTCACTGATACAAACGATGTTCAATTCCAACATCCAGACGACACAACAAGATACTCAGCAGTCTATCACAACCTCATCCGGGGAGTCACCTTCTACAAGCTCAACCGCTTATACCAGCCTAGCATCCACAGTCCCAGCTCCACGTCCGACACTCTTCTCTGAGCACGCTACATCCTGGCACGCTTCCAAGCCGAACGAAGTAAAGACGCAGATATTAGCGAACGGCGAGATATCCACTGCCACACTAGTACATAACGACGAACTTTTGTCGCACGTGATTGGAAATGCAACTCTCTTCGCAAGCCTCGACATCCGGAACGAACCAACTCCGTTCGCCGAGCTCGCCCGAAGCGAACCGTCTGTCTACAGGCGGTTGGAAGACCCAGATCTGACAACCGTAGTGTTAATGCCGTCGTCCTGGATAATGAGCGGGCTCCTGCGCCAGTCCTGCGAAACCACGAACAAGATCTGCGATAGAATCTATGAGCTTAAAGCGAAAGACTATACGCGCTTTGTTCAGGCGCATGTGATTGACGCATCGTCATGGTTCGGAGAAGATAAGAACGGGACGAGCATGCTCGGCAAGAAACTGTCATGGGACAAGGTGGTCGGTGATGATACAGGTGAGCTTATTTGGACCACCGTGTGGCCGAATCAGGCTTCAGTAAAGTGGGTGGTCCGGCGCGTTGCGAATGGTGAGATTTGGGAGCTTGATGGTGTGCTGTGGCATCCAGACGATTATGAGGACGTGGCACTCATACCGGGTATTAGTTTTCGGAGAGTGCGCAATGGAACGATCTCGCCATGATAGTACGAGTGGTAGTACAGCACGTACGACACAACCTCCACTCGAGTGTCGCCGACAAACCTAACTAGTTGCCAGCATCAAGGTCAAGCACATACAGGTCAAGCCACATGCAGTGCTCATCCATGGTAGCTCGGTAATGCCCAGTTCTTATGCTTCAACCTCTGCTGCTCCGATGCACGCGCGACAGCATTACAGTGCTCACTCGAGGGACCCTCCACCGCCTACAACATAGCCGCCCACGACCGTGACTTCGCCGCTGCAAGGCTCATCCTTGCCGTGGGCATGATAAATGCCCGTCTCCAGACCCCCACAGTGTCCTTCAATCTTCCAGTCGTCACCCGAGCGCTCACGCTTCGTAAGGAAAGCAGTGAGAAGATCGACAGCGAAGTCAAGATTGTTGTTGTGAGGAGTTATTGTGTCGATCCGAGTTGCACGACCCAGATACACACGGTTGCCAACCATCAGCCGCCGCAGGGGCGAGCCCACCGAGGTATGCTTGTGAACCAGATCGACGTTCATGGTGAACGGGTACCAATTCGACCCATCCGAGCCCACTTCACAGGAGCTCTGGATCAGCGCATCAATGATACCATCTTGGCAATGTCCATCGAGCAGCTTCTGCGCCAGGATGTATAGCTTGATCAGAGGCTGCCAGTCTGGTCCTTCGGCTCCTCTAATGTAGAAGATGGTCGAGTTGCATAGCCAGTGAACATAATCGCCAAACACGACAGCTTCGTCTTTGGGAAGTTCGACTTTGCGCACTTCGCCCTCCATCAACCCACTGCCGTCCTCCATAGCTGTGGCAAAGAAGGCCGAGTGTTGACGGAGCTGCTGATCATGCACGAAGTAGCTGACTTGGTCTGTTCCTGTACCGACAACGATCTCGACTGGCTTGGCGCGGAAGCTACGTATGAGTATCAGTGTACACGGGCAATGAGCGTGAGTGGCGATTACTTACTGGGGGTCTGCCGTTTTACCAATTCGCACATCCCTCATGGACGACAAAGCAGGTTACCGCAAACGCTGCGAACGGTTGTAGGGTACGCTGACAACGAAAGGCCGGTTGCGCGTCCGTTCGTAATATGTTGTTGAACGCCGGTTTGCAGCTCAAAGTGTTCCATTTTTGGCACCTGAAGTGACGTTGAAACTACTACGCCAGATTCGCATGATTAATGTGAATCGGAATAGCAATCATAGTGAGTATGTTCAACATGTTGATCCCAGTAATGACAGATGGTTAGAATCAAGATGGTGCAGATGCTTTCCGTGGAACTATCCTAAATCTCCTGAAGCATACATGTTATGACCCTACAGCGCCGCAGTATGCTGGAAGCCTGCAAGCTCGTCGGGCGGTAGCTCGAGATAGCACCCTACGCCGCATCGTACGCGGCCGCTGAGTGTTATCGTAATCCTTCGCTCAACTTAAACTCATCCCTCCTTGTTAAGCGGCTGTGCATACCGCCCAGCCGATCCGGCCCTTTTGTATTTGACCTTGATTCGCCGATGCCAGGCCTGTCCCTACTGTGTGAGTGGTAGGCGCAGAGAGTCCAACGTCGGAATCCGTCGCGGTTCGTCTCTATCGCTGCAAGGGGATGGCCCCTTTTCCTCGCTCACCACCAAAACTCTTTACGAAGCCTTGTTGCACACCTCGGGCCCGAGATTGGACTTTCAGGCCAGCGCCGCCGCCCCCTGGCATCGACGGGCAAGGGTCGTAACATGAGCTTTAGTGTTCCTCCATGCCGCCGCACCTCTCATTTCTGTCATGATTGTGGTACTCACATGGAAGATCTGAAAGGAACGCTTGCCGTTTCTCCACTGCACGAGGCGTCAAAGTGCGACACCGGTGTAACGCTCCGATCAGATTGACGAGGAACTCATGATTCTGCCCTATGACGGTATCCTCGATCCAGTAATCGGCACCTTGGTATACGTAAGCGTCCACCATGAGCTTTCGAAGTGATGAGCCCGCAGGAGTGTTCTGGTACACGTATTCGATGTTGTTTGCTGTAGGGTAATACAAGCTGAGGTAGAATGAGCGCGAGCGGTTCACGCGCATCTCGAATACGATCGCATCTATCGCCCTGTCCTGGCAGACTGGATCAATGAGCTTTTCTGCAAGAACGTACAGTTCTGAAAAGGTTTGATAGCTCGAGCCTGTGCCAAGAGTGTTTCCAGGTTTCTCCGATTGTAACTTGGAGGTGTAAAGCCAGTGGACATAATTCTTGAAAGTTTCCGGCTTATCATCTGGGAGGTTGACCCTACGGTCTTCCGCTTTTTGCCATCGTGTCTTTAAAGCAGTGTCGAAGAAGGCTGACTGACTACGGATCCGTTTCTCGTGGACGTGGAAGCTAGTCTTCTGCGGGCCTACAACAACTTCAATCGTCTTGCCGTCGAAACTGGTTTCGAATGTCAGCTTCAAAGCGCTTCATGCGTTTGAAAGAGTACATACAATGATTCCGTCGCCTCCGTACCCCGAGGATCCTGCAGCTTAGGCTGCTTAGCCATGATGCTGTCCGTGTGTGGTGGTGACTAGCTTGAAGGTTTGTTGAAAAAGACAATGGCGCAGCAACGAAGCTTTCTAGGGAGTCCAGCAAGCTGTGACGATGCATGTGACTGCTGAAGCTCGGCCAGTCACCGTTCTATGACAAGCGAGCCTTCACTTGCAGAGAGACGGCGCGCTCATTTAGAAGGCCTCATTGTCGCTTCCTTCCTCGCGCTTGCCCACACTTAACGAGCAGTATCACAGTCGCCCTTCAGTCTACGATATCTTATGAAGTGACATTAGCATGCACAAACAGCATACGAAGCTTGCTTGACATGCTCTATCCCTTCGATGAGGGCGCGGCCAAGAAGAAGATGTGTGAGCCACTGCTTGTTAAACTCACTGAACATAGCTCGTTTGTGTAGGATAGATCCGAAAGGGACAGTCGACCTACTAGACTTCTTGCCTGAATGTGTTGCAACAACAAGAGTCACTCCGTGACCGCCTCCTCCAATTGGCGCATACTTTGCGAGAGTTTCCCACATCGATGCAGACCCATACCGGTCATACCCAATTCCAATGCACCTCCAGAACTCGCCATGCCACCACACGGTCCTTCTTTGACGTGACTGCAGTAGGCACACGGTGTCCCGCGAACGAAGATATCGCCTTACCTTACCGAGGGAGTTCTCTGACTTGACGGTGCTGCTAGACTGGTCGTTTTGGACCTCAGTGGCGTGGTTCCCAGGAGTTTCATCTGGTAGCTTTCGGGATCCACGCGCTTCCCAAAGACAGCGTCGGCCCGTTCTCGTACCAGCCCGTGGCGAGGTCGCGCAGGAACTCGTGATTCAGGTGGTGAAGATCTTCATCCACCCATGGTGGATGTACTACGAAGATGAAGGCGTCAAGCAGCAAGCGCCTGAGAGCCGAGCCTGAAGGTGTGTTGCCGTAGGCGTAGTCAATCGTAGCGACGGACGGAAAGTAGCGATTGCTGCCTTCGCCTTCCCGCCCCAGTAGCTGTTGCTGCATGCATGCCGTGATAGCGCAATGACCTGGTCCTGGCAGCTGTTGTCGAGGAATTTCTCTGCGAGGACGTAGAGTGCCGAAAGACGCTAGTAGTCGTGATGGCTTCCCACGATGACCTCTATGACCTTGCCATGGAACCTGATATCCTTGTTAGTCGAAATGGCTGCAACACGTTCTGAGCAAGGCAGAACTTACTTTGAGTTTCGGAAGGATAGGTCCTTGAGATCCTTTAGCGGGTTGGTCATGGCCATGACATCGGTGTGGTGGCCTTCGCGGGTACGAAGGATGTTCGAGAGTGAAGCACGCCAGCTGAGCTTGCAACTGCAGCTGCGGGATAGCTTCGAGGAGCTAACCAGGAAAGGATGCAAGGCTTCAGTGAATGGAGCTTGAGTGCGAGAAGCTTTTTGGCCACCCTCCCGCCTTCAAGCTAGTCTCACCAAAGAGACATGCGTCTCACATCCCGTCTCTCCCGCCGGCACCGCCGATATTACTACCCACCCTCTCCCCAATCCCACTAATCATCTTGTGATCCGACGGGTTCGCCGCAGCCTCGTACAGGAAGTTGACCGGCTCCCGACTCAGTTTCATCCACTCACCCTTGAACCCGATATAACTGATCCTGGTAATGTCTTCCTCTCCCTGTCCCCAGTTGTCCTCAAAGAACAAGTCCAATGACCGCACGGTATTGAACAACGCCCGCTTCACAGGCACTTCTTGCAGCTCATTTGTCTGCGCTAGCTCGAGCGTCTGCGTGGGCTGCAACGATGAAACGGTACCGAAGTCTAGATCATCGCGATTCAGATAGACCTTGAGTGTTTGAGGCGCGCTGTCGGTGGCGGATGTGCGGAGGAGGATGCTGTGCAAACGGATCTGGGCGGTGAAGGGGATGTGCATTAGGAGTTGCTCGTCGGCGTCACTGCTGAGTTCGGGCTCGCTGTTCATGCGTTCGGCCCATGTCTTCTGTACGACCTTGGAGCCCGCGCGTGGAGACGATTCGTTCAGGGTGTTAATGGCGGAGAAGTCGATCTGTTCGTAGATGTGGTTTTGCAAAGCCGGTGTCAAGTCGTCTGAATGATCGTGAGCGGCACCTTCGGAATGGTCGTGATTGTGGTCGTGCTCGTCATGGCAGTGCGACATGTTTGGCGCAAAAACCAGTCTCTATATGATGGAGAACGACTTAGATGAGACATGGTGATGTCTGGAGAATGTGGGGTTCAAGCACGCACATGACGCCTAGACACGTGACTAGAGAGGGCAGGCTTAACGACCTGGCCTTGAGATGGACAGGTAGCTTCGGTATTCATATATCCAATCGTAAGAATTCTTCGATGCTCGTCAATACACATCACCCTCGGAGTCCATAACACCCGGACTATACGTCAAGTCCTCATACTTTCCCGGACACGCCACCGCAGGTAAGTAGCTGCTCACGCTCTCGTTCTGCATCCTGAAGAAGTGCTGCCGGATAGTGCTGATTTGCGTATTGTTCTGCGCCGTGTTCAACGGATCTCCATACTGTAGCGTAAAGCCGTCGGTATGGTTGACATAGACATTGCAATTAGGGACATCGTGCATGAAGAGACTCCAGAACATGTCTCCCGCAATTACCGGATTGGTTATGTTCTGCCGGCCTTCAATAACGTTGAAGAACGACGAGAGGGTCGGTGTCGGGACGTTGCCGGTCCAGTCGTACTCGCCCGCTAGATAGACTTTGTCCGCTGAACCAACAAGGTCAATATCCGCTTGCAGTCGAGTCAGATTGAGTGGGTAGAAGTGGTCGGAGTACATGTCCACACTGCTGATGTTGAGGTGAGTTCTGTTGACGCCGTAGGTTCCATCCAAGCATAGCTTGTCGGGACCTAGCGACTTTATGTAACTGCATATCTCGTCTGTCCATGCTACAGGTACATCCATGTCGCCGAAGACGGGCCCGCCGAGCTCGTTGCCCGTTTCATAAGCGAAGATGGTCGGGTCGTTGGCGTAGGAGATGCCGGTGTACGGGTTGACGTGGGTCAGGAGATGGTTGATGTAGTTTTTGAAATCGTTAACAATGGTTGCGTTGGTGTAAAATTGCTGTACAAGCGGACTTTGGGGCGTAGACGATGAACTGCTGATGTTGATGCCGTTCCAGCGAAGGAAGACGAATTTCCCACCGTGGTAGTAGTCGTAGTTGTCGATCAACGGCGCTATGATGCGTAGGCCGTGCTCGCGAGCTTGGTAGACAGCCCAATCAATCGTGTCGAAGGCGGCGTCATTGAAGACGTTATGCTCGGGTTCGAGAGAAAGCGGATTGCCGACGCTGACACCGAGGGTTTGGGAGCGGATGGTGTGAGCACCCATGGTGACTAGGGTGTTCATCACTTCGGTTATGCGACCTTTCGTCGGATAGGAGGCGTTGTACGGAGCGTAGAATGGTTGACCAGCTGGTGGGATCACGTTCTCGTCCAAGCCAAACCAGTAGACGTTCGCACCGGAAGCTGTCCAGCGTTTGCCACCCAACTGCAGCTCGGTGCCTTTGCGCACGACATAGCTGTTGCGGAGTATCTGCGTCTGATCGTACTGTCAGCTGCTGTGGACATCCAGCATTCAGACCGTAGATCTACCTGTATCGGCTCCAGATAGCTTTGCAGAATCTGCTTCGTGACGGGGCCAAACGGTCCAGTGGGGATGACGCCGCTGGGGAGTAATGCCTCGATTTTGGGAAGCGCTGCCTCGACGTCGGGTAGTAGTGCCTCGATCTTGGGTATCATTGCCTCAATTTCTGGTACAAGCGACTCGATTGCCGCAAAGGTGCCATTAGGAAGCAATGCCTCGACCTCTGGCAGGAGTAACTCTAGATATGGCACGGTGCCGCCTGGGAGTAATGCCTTTACTGACGTGATGATACCGGTGAAGTTGAGGCCAGTATATGCACTCGACGAGCCAGCTGAAGTAGCAGCAGCCGCGACCAAGGCGGCGAGGTCACTGATCTGCATGGTAGTCCGAGGAAGCTGGACTCGATGTGCGGTAGGAAACAAGGAAGTCAGGCCCTTACCTGTGATCCCGAACGGCGACGGTACGGTCTATAAAACTTCAGAGACTTCACATGTGGTGGTGCGGCGGAGAACAGTAAGAGCGGACGTCATGACAAGGTTGCGCAGAAATAGCAGCGGGCGACTTCCAAGATTTCTCCTCTATAGGCCGTCTCGGTAAGGTCGCATTGGCGGGGCCGAGTGTGGGTGCCGGATGGTGCAGCATCGCCGTGGAATGTCTCAATGTGGTTTGCTGGAAACTCGTACATACGCACATTGTACCGCTAGAGTTCTGTGTGATGTTTGTGTTTTAGTATCCAAGATGATGATCTTCTCCACAGCGGCCTCTTGGGACGGGCGGGGGCGGAGAATTGCCGGATATGGACCGGAATCTGGCCGAAATGTACTCCTCATCGGCAAGGTTGCCGATGCTGCTATTGCATCTGATCCCGCGTATACAATACACCAGATGCTTAGATGTTGCACAGACACTCACGCACATGCCAATCGCGTATGCCCGCCTTGCCAGCTTCCTGATATGGATCTGGAGAGGACATTACCGTGCACATGGAACGCTCCGGCGATCTGGAAAGCATATGTTCAGCAAGCGCTGCGATGATTTCTGGGTTATACCGCCGAGTGGCAATTGAGTGTGGCAGAGCAAGGCCTTGAGTCATGGTGGAAGAGTTACCGGAAGGCATCAATGTTATGCAAAGCCCACTGTCAAGGCAAGGCGCTCAATTTGCGTTATTTGAGACTTGGCTACCTGGCGGACCGTCATAGTGCCAGATACAGCAAGCAGCGCTGGGTCTCATCCGGCACAGCAATACGTCGACAGAGATGTGCAGCAGAACATGTGCAAGGCTCGTTGGTCCGTCCCGTCCAGGGTGGAACTTGCTCTGATGAGCATACTCACGTACCCTGCAGCATGAGCACTCCGACCATTAGACCGGCGGGTATCACAACTCGCTCAGCACCCGAGGTCTTCGTTGAAAATGGTGTTGCTGTCGCTGTCGCTGCTGATGCCGGCACAGTAGTCGTCCGCCCACGGACAGTGGCAATCTGAGCGCTTGCCGTGGAGGGCTGTGCACCGGTTGACACAGTCCCGCCACTTGAGTGCGTGGACGTAGCAGATTGTGAGCTTGTTGTGCGCGTCGCGGCGGCAGCACCGAACGATGAGAAAGTGTAGGTTCCAGTGTCTCCACTGACCCACGACCATGTGAGCACACTCATAGTGATGTTGTACTGACTTAGCGCGGTTATCGATCCAGGAGTGTTTGACAAGGTTGCCGTAGGCGGAAGCCAGAAGGTAATGCTAACGGATTCAAGTATCCTGCCTGGCCGGTAGGCGCTATCCCTTCGCTAGGACACTGCGACGCCACAAGGTCATGCCAGTTCGACGCCTGTAGCCCCGAACAACCCTGCGAATCCGATCCGAGACTTGCTATGTATTCTTTAATCCCTAGCGGCTCTAGGTTGTTGTTCAGGCAGATGTCTTGCAATGCAGCAAGCCGCTGAGTTGCAGCGCAGCAAGTGCATCCAAAATAATCGTTCCCACCAATTTTGGCACATTGCGTAGAGAGGCCGACAAAAATCTGATTAATGGCAGCAGGAAGATTGCAGACTACGCCATTTATCAGTATCACAGCTTGCGAAGCGAACGCCGCTCGACATACCACAGGAACCCGGAAGGCTCGAATAATCCGTAACCCAGAAAGGCGGAAAGTTGGTAGGGTCGCTGGCTAGATGGATGATGTCGTTGACGTACGCGCCAGACAGATTTGGTAGTCGCAAGAAAGAGCCTGCGAATCAGCGGGAGTTGCGCCGTCGCATATGTGGAATGGGTAGTTACCCTATTCCAACAACCCGCCGCCATACAACCTAAGACTTCTTGATAATACGCGACGTTAGCTCCAAAATCGCACTGTTGGCTGCTTCCTGTGCTGTTGCAGATCTGCACATTGTGACTGAGGTCGACGTTCGCCTGCTGGTAGCAGGCAAGCGTGCCTTGCGGACTGACACAGCCATTGAGGTCGAAATGAGCGGCTCCTAGAGTGATTTGCTGAGCGCAAACGGCCGCAGCGAACGTAACGACTGTGAGCAGACTCATATTGTTTTGGAGAATCACGCCTTGGCTATGCGGCCGATTATTATACTCTGTTAGGTCTGGACGGTATGATGTCTGGCAGCCTCCCTAAGCCCCGTCCCTATCGGACTTGGTGCGATCCTGCTCATGCAAGCCACGGCGCGTTCTAACAGTGCACCGAAAGCCCGCTCATCCAGCCAGTCTAGACCTTCCCTTACCGCACCAGATGTCTTGCTCAGGCTGCTTCCTAGCTAAACGTCCATCTATCGCTGATTGATCGGAGCGCGCCTATGATCAATACAGACTGGTCATGACAACGGTATCAGTACAGCAAGTTTGAAGTGCGTCCTACCATCTAAAGATGTTCTGCGACGATGGAAACTATTAAGCTTTCGCAAGCTTCACGCTCAAGACGTGAGCAATCCCGTCATTAGCAATCTCGGCGATGCTTGATGTAAAAAGCAAGTAACCACGTACATGCATATAGTCCATACAGGGTATGCGCGATTGAATTTCGAGCCCACCGCCCTAATCGAACACAGATGAGTGTCCAGCTAGGTTGCCATGGCGCTGATACTCATTCGCTGCCGCTCCGTGTCAGTCAGCCACCACCTTCCTAGCGCCCCAGCCTGGTTCGATCCTACTCGACGTAGCTGTGGCTTAGCTACCTTTACGACGCAGGCTGTGCCGCAGGTAACCCGTGATAATGAGCCTCCACGATGTCTGGCATGCATGACGAGGTCGAAGTGAAGCTCGATTTGCAGACCATGTCTCGAATGTTGCAACAGCGTAGGGCCAAACATTCTCCCACCTCAATAACGCACCCAAGAGCGACTCGACTTTGGACAATCCTTTATCAAATGGTCTTCAAGCCTCTGCAAGGCCGGAGAGTGGATCGGAACATTTGTCGATCATCTTTCGCTGCAGCGGCACGGCGACAATATTATGCTTTGAGCCGCATCTCCTCGCACCTCACACATACCGGATCCTGCGAGTCGCCGCGCAAAAAATATCGACCATCTCCAAAACCGCCATTACATTCCTAGGTATTCGTCAGTAACATTGATCCCACTTTCACTTCTCAGAACAATATACTCACAACACAAACAAAACATCCCTCATGCCAGTCCGCCCCAAGCGCCTTCACAACCAGATCCGTGACCGGCTTCCTACACTTCCTACACTTCGAGCTGTATCTGTTAGTATGACACCCCACACACCAAGCATATCCATCTTTCTCCACGAAAGGCGTATGAGCGTCAAAAGGGTCGCCGCATTGAGCGCAGAAGAAGTGCCCCGCATGCCATTCCGCACCACAAGCGACAATGACTTCTCCCTCGATAGGTGTCTTACAGCTTTTGCAGCGCGGGCTGAAAAGCTCGTGAAAGTCGAGGTGGCAGTAGAAGCGCAGGCTTTCGTCGCCGTCCATGGCTTCTTGGCAAAGGCTGTCATCGAGGGAGTCATTCTCGGGGATTGCTACGTTGATGCCCGCTTCACGGGCGCGAATACGTTCGACTCTTTCGGAGCGCTTGCCATCTGGTTCCGGGTAGAAGGCGACGCACTCTAGGTTCGTATGGCATTGATGACAGACGAAGCAGCTCGGGTGAAAGCGTTCGCCTGCTGCGCTGAGGATGCGCCCGGCGATGGGGAGGGCGCAGTGGGCGCAGAGAGTGCCTGTCTGACGAACAGAAGGCGTGTAGTGAGGTGTCGACTTCGGCAGTGGTGAAGTCGCAGAATGATGCGGCAAGCCCGGGCGTGTAGGCAAAGGCAGCGGTCTGCGACAGCTTACAGAGGCTGACGCGGTTGGCACGTCTATTATGATACTGGGCAGCCCCACGTTGAATGCTGGCGTTGTTGGTGCGGATTGTACACTTGTACTTGCGAAGTCAGGTTCTTCGGGCAGGACGATGCTCGGCAGGTCTGGCTCCTCGGGCAGGATGAGTGTCGGAACAGGCGGCATATTTGATACCGTGCTCTCTCCGAGACGCGGTTTCTCCGCAGCAGGCGTACTCTTCATAGGTAGCTCTCGTCCTTTCACTGGATCCGGGATCAAAGAATGTACCTCCTGCAGCACAACCTCTTTCGGGCCCGCGTTCTGTCGGAAGCTCACGATTGGTCGTCCAGGCTTGTCACTGACGAGTGTCGGCTGAGGTAGGTTCGGGCTTCTGTCCTTACGCTGCTTGCTGGTCGCAGCGCGAATGTCATCACTCCGGATCTCGATTCCATTCTTGGTGGGCGAAGTTGGCTCCGGTGGTTGATAAGTTGCCGAAGGGAGCGTTGGCAGGGGGTTTTCGTTCGTTAGGTATCCGGCTCCTCGACTCTGACTTGGTGCGTTACGCTGGATCTCGATGGGCTGATACCTCGTGGAAGGCAATACAGGCGCGGATGCCGAGTGCTCCAGCTTCGGTGGTTGTTGCGCACGCATTCTGGCGAATGGGTTCTTGCGGGCATATTGGGAAGACTGCACGGGTGGGATAGCAGCCTTGACAGGCTCCGGCTGGGCGTCGATGTCTGTGTTCATCTCTGGCTGCTCCTGCGGATCTTCCCAAATACGATCGTGGCGATGCATGTACATCTTCTTTTCTCCGCTCAGGATACGCTTGTTACCTCCGCTACTGCTTCGTTGAGATGCCTTTGCTATGTCCTTGTCTACTGCTTCGGCTAATGCACCGTAGCTCTTGCCAGAGGGCGAGCGAGGACCCTGCGCAGACGCGCTTGCCGGAAATGTACAGGTTCGAAGGAGTGTATCTTTGCCACGTTCCACATCCTCGGGCGCAGCCTGCTTCCAAGCATGCTCAGCTGCGCTTAGATTTCTGCGATGTTGTGCTACGGGCTCTTTACTGTGGCTTCTATGATAGCTGCCGTTCCGTGAATGTGACCAGCTATCTTTCCGAGTATCTGGGTTTGCGTATGGTGCATGAGGATTCACCAGGTGTGAATCCGGGTTACGGTGTTTGAAAACGAGCTCCGCTGCTTCGTCTTGCGCTGCAGCATGGATTCTTCGCTCTTCCTCTGATTCCACATCATCAAGTGTCGTGTTGGAAGATCTCGTCTCCGGCTGCTCTGTCCACTGTATCCCAATCTTAAGGTATTCGGAACCAGGCGACAAGCTTTTCACCAAGAACTTGGCAGGCGGCGTGTTATCCCTCCGAGAAGCAGCCAGAGGTGTCACTACAGCTCGTCCAGCAAAGGGGCTCCTTGTCCGCGGATCTAGACGAGAGTCTACCGCCGTAGTCTTCTGGCCTGGCAGCGTAGGCATACTGCTGCTTGTGGGCAGCTGCGGCCGAGCACCATGGCTGAGGCTCGTCTGTTGTCGTTTATGTCGCTCGGCTGAAGATCCTGGCAGCGGTCTCGAGCCAAAGGGCTTCATTGAGCTGTTCGAACAAGTATTGTCCGTCCGTGGTGGTGTGCTTCTCCTTAGGCAGCGGACGTCGCCGACACCAAACACACAAATGCCGGACGGTAAGCAAGCCACCAACTCCAAGAATGCACGTTTGCTATGACAAAGCTGGAGTAATTACTGTAGTTGTGTTCCAGTGAAGTTGCATATATAAGATCTTTGTACAGACATGCGGCTCTGCTAGCCATGTTTGGAGATTTCCACTTTTGTTAGTTGGCGTGGTTACGCATGACTACTTTTGCTTGGCACTAGCGGACTCAGCTCCGTCCAGGACCTCGTCTCCCTCAAAGCTCACAATCCCATCCAATACGCCAATGGTCCCCACCACGCGGAAACCATGCGCATGCCAATCCTTTGCTTTAGTCATGGCCTGCTGCTGATGTATGCGCTGCCGCTCTCTCAATGCTCCTTCCTTTTGGCGGCGGGGTCATGTACTCCACGTTTCCGAACCCCGCGTTCTCCATCCCTTACACCCGAGTTGGTGGTGTTGATGGTGATGGAGCGGATATCGTCCGCACTAATGATCAGGTAGTCAGACGACTGCCTATATGTTTTACGCGAGTGATGGGAATCCAGAGTCGAATCACTCGTTCTGCAGTACCCAAGTAATCCTATCAGTGTACAACGATGTCGTCGCTGTCAATGTCGACTCTACCTCTGTCGGTCATTGCGGTGGTCACAGTCCTTGTTGTAGCTCTGGCATGGCTCTCACAAACAGGAAAGCGACCGAAGGAATACCCGCCAGGACCTCCAACCCTTCCGATAATTGGTAACATCCACCAGGTACGGCCAATAACCTGCCAATCTTGATGATGTGTGCTGACATGGCTAAAGATGCCAACACGCGATGCGCATCTGCAGTTCCAAAAATGGGCCGAGGAGTACGGTCCGGTGTATAGCTTGATCCTGGGTACGAAGACATTGATCGTACTGTCAAGCGATGAGGCCGTCAAGGAGTTGCTGGACCGACGTAGCGGCATGTACTCGTCTCGACAAGAGATGTACATTGGCCAGGAACTGTGTAGTGGCGGTCTTCGATTGCTCATGATGGTGAGGATGCAGCCGAAAATGAAAAGTCAATCCATCGTGCTGACCGTCAACGCAGCAATATGGTCCTGTGTGGAGAATGGTACCCAGCTTCCCCCTTCCGTCGGGTCACTGTATGCGACGCTTACCATGCGCATAGATCAGAAAGTCGGTTCACAATCTCCTCAACGTTGGCATGTCCAAGACCTACGTGCCATATCAGATGCTCGAGAACAAGCAAATGCTGTACGATCTCCTGCATACTCCGGACGACTTCTTAAAGCACATTCGCCGCTACTCCAACGCCCTCACAACGACTATAGTCTTCGGGTGGAGAACGTCTGTTTACGAAGATCCCAAGCTGATGCAGCTCTTCGACGGCTTTAACCAGTTCGCCGAGATCAACCAAACAGGCACCGCGGCGCTTATCGACTCCTTCCCGCCGCTTCGCTGGCTACCAGACTACTTACTGCCCACTCGAGCCCATGCAAAGCAACTGCACAAACGCGAGAAAGAACTATATCTTGACCATTGGCTCAATGCGAAGAAAGCTCATCAAGACGGTACGCTCAAGCCTTGCTTCTGCGTCGGCCTAGTCGATGAGCAGAAGAAAGAAGGCTTCAGCGATGACCAGGCGTGCTACATCACGGGTACGCTACTTGAAGCAGGTAGCGACACAACTTCGAGCACACTTTACGGATTCATGTTAGCCATGCTGTTATACCCTGATGTCCAGAAGAAGGCGCAGGCCGAAATTGACCGGGTGGTCGGAGGTGACCGCATCCCCACAATGGAGGATGAAGAGGATCTGCAGTACATTCGCGGCTGTATGAAAGAGACCTTGCGTTGGATGCCAACGACGATCCTCGGTGGCGTGCCGCATGCCGTAACGCAGGACGATACTTACAAAGGCTTCCTAATCCCGAAGGGAGCTGGCGTGCTTAACAATGTCTGGGCCATCAACATGGACCCCAAGCGTGCACCCGAGCCTCGCCGCTTCGATCCGGACCGCTACAAGAACGACCATCTTGGCCTGTACGACTCCGCGGTTAATCCAGACGCCTCTAAGCGTGATCAGTTCACATTCGGCGCAGGCCGACGTATCTGCCAAGGCATGCACGTTGCTGAGCGCAGCTTGTTCCTCGGCATGTCACGGATACTGTGGGCCTTCAATATCGAGCCGGCCACAGACAACGCAGGTCAACCGATCTTACCTGATCAGGACCGATTCACGCAGGGCTTTGTCTGCATGCCTGAAGAATTTCCGGCAAAGATCACGCCACGGTCGAAGGAGCGGGCGAACATGATCGAGCAACAGTGGCAAGAAGCACAGAAAGAGTGTTTGAATCCGCAGACCAAGCAGTGGCTGCGTTAACGGCGTCATTCTCGGTTGATTCTTCTCTGACTTGTACCTCTCCAAAGGCGAGGCGGGAGCGGGATGGGTTTTCCCGCCAACTTCTCTCATCTCTCGCTTCGCAAGCTCCCCAAGACCAGAGCCGTCTACAAAGATGTCACAGAACCATCAAGATACACCATCGTTCCCGCAATGCCCTCCCCATATCGCCGGCTAGACAAAGAGCCATATTTGCCACATCGTACAACTGCTTCGCCGCTTGCCTCACTTGTTCGCCAGCTGAAGGTACGTCTTTCGCGATCCTATGCCACTCGAGTCAGCACCACATCTCAACCGCTGAGGCCAGGAGAGTGCCACTTCTCGGTCTTCACCAACGCTGTCATATGCCCCTTTGCCCTTTCGTACGCGGACACTGGCTCGCGGTCCGCTTCCTTCTTTGTAGCTGCATACGGAGGAGGGTCAGTATTTGATCCCGCGGGAACCACTATGGCGAGGAGTTGGAGCACTGACTCTCGGGCACAATAGCGTTGCATCTCAAGCCAGCCTTGCCATGCTCAGATGCGACGCTCTTCGTGAGCGCCTGCTACGGCTTATCATCAGTGAGTTGGGGTGGATTGAGTTGATGCGGAACGCGCACACGTGACTCATGATTTTGCTGCGGCAAGACATCGATGATCGACCCTCTTCCCTCCTTCTTCATAACTTCGGCGACCGCTGCGATTAAGCGGTTCAAAACTTCCACCTCTGTCCCACCTCTATGCTCCGTTAGAAGAACTAGCACATCCAACCTTTCCTTTCCATCGAACTTCTCCTTCGCAGATCCAATGATCGTTTCCGCAGCGTCTTTGTCGGATATATCGCATTGCAGGAATTGAAAATGCGTCCCAAGTCCAGCATTCAGTGAGTGGTCTTTGGGCTTCGAGTCGATGCCCAGGACGAAAGCGTTGGCTTTCAACAGTGTTTTACATATTATAACTCCTTGTGAAGAGGATGCTGAAGTGACAATACATATACGATACTGTAGGTTTAGCGGGCTGGAGCGCTCGATGATGGACATAGTGAGGGACGCGATCAGAACGATGCGTAGATTGCATGAGGATGTCAATGTTCGAAGGCAGGTAAACGTTTTACCTACATTAGCGCTCGTTGGGCAATAGGAAGCTGTTGTTGCACGATGGCTGAAGATGTGCTCGCACATACGGTAGTGCGTTGCTTGCTTCGGAGCAATGGCAGAGCTGCCTTGGACTCTTGCCTAGGTGCAACCTAAGGGACGAGGGAAGACTAAACGGCATAGCCGCCCACGTCAGTGAGGGGTGGTTGCAGTGAATCTCTAGCCTAGTCCTGCTAGCGACGGAACACAATCAGAACGTCGCACGAACATCACTTTAAACCGTGAGTCGTGGGTTTTGACAATACTATTGCCTATCATCTCGTGGGCGCGAAGTGCTCGGAGTCCTGCTCCTGCTGCGCAAACGTCTCAGGAAATGCTGCAATACCCGCAATGATTCCAACCGCCATAATGCAAATAGAGATCAACGACCAAACAATACCCCAACATTGCGCCGAACCACCATAGCGCTTCGCGAACTGGCTCGCATCAGAGCTGTTGACCTTCCGGAAGATCAGGTCATCGCAGATGTCCCAGACGCTGTAGAGCGACGACATGACTCCAATGAACAACACGAGCCAGCGCAAAGGCTCAGCATGGGCAATGAACCAGAAGCCGACTAGTAAGCCGACCGCGAGCAAGACAGTAAGGACCGTTAGCCAGTCTTTCTTGCCCCACCATAGCGTCAATAGGAAGCAGACTCCGAGCACTATGCTGGCGACCTTGCTGGCGACAATGTCGAACCCGCAGAAGGTGAGTAAGGCGCCGATGATTGACGACCCAAGGTAGCCTGCTGGTAGGGTGATGGCGCTTATGCCGCCTCGCATGTGAGTTACGCCGCCCTCATGAGGGTCGAGCGATATTGACTCGACACGGCCGCCGGTACAGCACGCTGTTATTGCGTGGCTGAATTCGTGGAATGCAATAACCAACATCTGGAACATGGTCAGGCTAGGCTTCGGTCGGCTTCACGAAATTGAGTGGTGAGCTTACCTTGAACGGCCATAGCACGTAACGAACATACGGAATGTTCCAGAGCAGGGCAATGATCACAACGTATGCTGCAATGACACCCAATGTCACGCCTTGCGCTCCTCGCACTGACAAGTTGCGACCGGAGAGTAGGTGGTCACGGATCAGGACTGGACCTGCGGTAACCATCGCTCGTCGCGTAAGGTATGCTAGGTCATGCCGCAACGGAGCCATGCTGGACTTTGCAACGGTCTGTCCTCAACCTCAATATCGTATGATTGTATCGGTCGAGCTTGTGAATTGTTGGGGAAAGCTTAGCCAAGGTCGTGCTGCGCTCGCTGCCCGAGGGAGTTGCAGGCGTATACTCTCGCAACAACGGATAGTTAGGAGTACATAGATCGGATTGCAGATGTCAAAGATACAGAAATGACTCCGACAACAACATTCTTCGACGTGTCCCAGGTACGCGGCATTGTAGCGCTCGAAGCGTACAGCCACACAGCGATCTTCTATTTTTGGCTCTGGTGTGAAACTGGACTTCACTCCTTCCAAACACATCAACATGATTGCGAACGTAGGTCACATCGGTGGCCTAACGAATATGGAAATCAATTTATACCTCATCATAGTCATTATAACTCCTCCATAACAGTCATCATCAACTTTATCAGCCAGAGAATTTTTCTTCGGCCAATATCATCAAGACTCCAACCTCCTCCCCGCTTACAGCGGCACTAATCTCAATACTAGGTCTTCCATGCTGTGTTTTTGTCAGCGACTTACCACGTGCGATTATTCGCGAGCGGGACTTACACCTCGAAGCAGCATCAGCAAGGGCCGCCATGCTCTAACGCCACCGACCCCACGCACTAATATGCGGTTGACTGGCATTAGGGAACGTTTGCACCAACCTCTGGTTCGGGTCATTGCCCCACCCACCGTAAATCCCGAGCGTTGGCGTAGACCGCGTCCATGGGCTGAAACTCGGGCCTTGCGGGGGTGGCGTGGGTCCGTAGCCCGGCCAGCGAGAAGGTCCGCGGAACCCCCATGGGTTCGGTCGACTTTGGCCGCTCATACCGCTGAGATCGACTTCGTGGCGAGACGGCGGGTAGCGGTCGCCTCTAAGACCAACTCTGGAGTGCCAATCTGAAAAGTTGTCTCGGCCGCGACCGAAAAGACCTGTCAGTGGAGTCAGTAGGATCTAGCAACGTGACCCGACGATAGAGGAGTTGGCTTTGACCAAGTCGGATTCACGTACCACCGAAGCGACCTGATCTCCCGCCGTCGTTGAAGGGGTTTCGACGATCGAAATCATCGCGGCGTGACCGGAACATTGCAATGTTATGCTAGTCTGATGGTGCTTTGTGGGTAACTGTTCTTTCTGTTGTGGCCAATGTGCTTGCAATGTCCTGATATTGTGATGCTTTCTCGAAGATGTGTTAATGTTGGTAATGATCGGGTTGTTGAGGACCAGGTCCGATGGAGAAGGAAGTCTCGGAGGCCAATCTGGGTGTGCTTCACAGGTATGTCATGGCTACAGTGACTTCAGCGGGCCTCGCTGAGAATACAACGCTGTAAAGAGTTCGTCAGTGAAACCAGGGAATGTATGCGATGAGAACAGTTGGGTTGGGACCGCGTAAGGCAAAGTTGGTTGACTACATTGCAGTGATCGTATTCTACTCCAACGCCATAGAGAGGGTCATACGCTTTCCGATCGTGCTATCATACTTCCGAAATCGGCTGAGATGCACCGTCACTGTCACAAACACCTTCCCGGAGTGCTACTCCGAGCCAAGTCCACAACGACAGGCTCACGACGTCCGCTTCGAAGACCACTGGGTTGACCATAAGACCCCGTGCTGCATCGTAAGTTGTTCAGCTGGGCTCTGATCCAGCAGCCGGTTGACGAATGCTGCGGGCAACTTACGCTACCTCGACAAGCTATTAGTACTCTCCGTACGGCGGATAGTAATATCCACCATCAAGCCTTGCTTCGTAGTGCAAGTTACCGGATCCGCTCCGCCAGTCGAAGCTGGGACCTATTCGACTCGGGAAGTCTCCGGGATATGAGCCACTCAACACTCCAGATCCGGCGTTCCAGATTGAAGACCATGACCCGCGAGCTGGTTGATGCCGCATGTTGTTCCAAAAGTGTATTGACCGCCCGACTGGATCCTGCAAGTGAGTCCGCTGTTCGAACGCTGCGAATGTCAGAAAGCGATCTAAGTTCCAGCGCTGATGTTTGAGGAAACCCTTACCAAATCTGTGAGGCATAAATGTCTCGACGAAACTGTTGCGGATCGATTGCATTTTTCGTCTTCCGCTTCCCCAACCATCTCCGGGGTACATTGTGTGGTCAAACAATGCTTGTCTCCCCAAGTTGCTTCAAGTAGGTGGTGACTTCTCAAGGACGTCGAACTATCTTTGCAGTCCAAGAACGTACGAAGTCGGCATCCTGGTTTCATACGTCGGACACTGCATATGAGCAACGCAGGCAGTGACTGCCCTTCGATGACGGGTCCTTGAATGGCCACAACTGCATCTTACTACCATCAGATACTGGGAGTGAATCAACATGCGTGACGCAAGTAGTGCTGATGATTGTGAAAAGCTTGAATGCTGGAACACCTTGATATAAAAGTCTCACCATTCACCAAGTCGCTACCGACACATGCATCTTCGAGGTCTACCAGAGCAGACCAAAGCCAACCAGAACATATTGCCAATCTGATGCGATACCGAAGATATCTCCTACAAGCTTCGATCGTAATCGGGAAGTTACGTTCTCGGAAATGACTACACGCGCCGATAATAGTTACCGCCTCCTCCTAATGTAATAGTCAGCCATATGGTTCTACCTTCTCGAAGTTATTGTACGAATAAAACATACCATACTCGGGTATGCTCCTGCCATAATCAAACGATCGTGGTCGAGTTGTGAGATTGACTGACAACCTGGACAATCGATCAGACGCCGGGGTACTCCAGTATCCCCCAAAGTGCGGCGGTGGAATAGCACGGGCCTGATACAGTGGTGGTGGTGTAGGCGGCGGAGGCAGCTGTGGCGGCGCTAGGGGTCCACTACTTTCACTGGCTGATGATCCGACTCTTGACCAACCCTGCATTGTCAATTCTGATTCGATCCGATGCGAACGCCTTCAGGTCGACGCGAAGGACTTCTTGGATAACGTTCCACAGGCCTGGGCAGTAGTTCTAACAACCTGTCCCTGGTTTGCCTGTTTCGAAGCCTACGCAGGCGACTGCTCGGCCCTGCCACTCCTGTACCCACGCTCTGAAAGGAGACCGACGGACTCGATCCGCGAGGGGACCTAGACGGACTTCGCATGTCGATACTACGTGGTACGTTCCATGGATGCTCTTCTCCTGTCCTTACGCTTTCATCGGAAGTCGATCAACTGCGCGGGTAAGGAGACGCCGATTTAATGCGCCTGTGGCCGTGAAAGGATCCAGTCCGCCTGGGTGAGAATGGGGACGGTGACCCTCTGCTCACTTCGATCTAGCTTTGGAATGATCCCGACCGACGAGCTCCTGGCGGCGGAAAGTATGATCTTGACAAGGGTGATCCTGACGGACTGCGTGTGCTGTCACGTTCGAATTGCGGTAACCGCCAGTTGCTAGGCCGGGCTATTCCAGCGTCCAAAGACCGTGGAAATCTTGACCGACCGCGTGGTTCGTGGGTCTCAGAATACGCGAAGGACGCGTGTGATGATGGTCGGTGGAAGTCACTGATCCCTAATGGAGCCGAGTATTCCGGTGGTCTTGACCTACGTGAGAGGTGCGACCGGTGCGAAGAAGGAGATTTTCGCAAAGACTGTGATCTCTGCGAAGAGCGAGGTCTCTGCACAGAGTACGACCTCGGGCTTGGTGTAACCGGGCTCGGTATACTTACGGGAGATATGCGGGCTGATGGCCGGTTGATGTCTGTGTGAACGAGGCTCCTGCCAATACCACTCCCAAGGGGGGCCGTGAAGAGGTGCTGCAGATGGTGCTGACAATATTTAGCGGAAATTTCGATCGAGCAATGCTTCTTTTGCTTATGATTACCGTTTCTGCGAGGCCTGAAGGCAGTCAGTAAAGGGGTTGGCCGCCTTGGACGACTGGCTCGGGCTGGCTCTTCTCCTGTTCCCTTGTTAAACATGCTTTTGGCTGTAGAAGATTGATGTGCGTATACAGCGCGAACAAGCGGAACAGAGACTGTTAAGACCTTTTGAGCTCTGGAGGTCCTTCGCAATGACTACAGTACAAGCCATAGTGGTCGTAGTCATTTTGACAAGCCCAGCACTGCGTAGGGAGCTAACTGTGGTTAAGACTCGAGTGACTGCACTCACTGTCCTTTATGACGGCTTCGGTACGTATAAGAGGTTCACACCCAACGCATTATCCGTTGTAGTTGCGTGCAGTGAGTGCGGACTATGCGGTCGGTCGCAAACACGGCCGCGGATACTGGAGCACTTGCTGTAAGGCAGGTCTGCAGCACTTAGGTAACATACGGCAAGTTATTAAGGTAATGCGAGGCTATGCCCAAAACCATTCCAATGTGGTTTTCGTACAGTCATATCAGTACAGACTGGTGGTCATACAGCTCATTCCCCGGTTCTTCCACACAGTCCACACAGTGTGGGGAAGCTGACGTTTATCAACCGACCTTCCTTATAATGCTTCCAGTACTCGTCAGCGACGATGAAGGTCAGTATCTCCTGTATTGGTCATTTGTCAGCAAGAGAGACTTCCAAGCTGGAAGCATACAACACTGAACATACCGTCTGCCATAGTCCAATGATCTCGGCCTCTCCCAGACGTCCACCGACTCCCTGGATGCTCTCTGTGATGCCGGAGCACTTGAGTATCCACCGACTCGCGCGGGTGGCATATAGCGACGGTTATATAGAGGTGGTGGTGTATGTCGACTGGGCGTGGACATGCTCGGCCAACCAGGAGACTGCGAGCGGTGCCGGCGCCTGACACCGGGGTCCGATCGATTAGGGTGGAGTGTGTATCTGGGTTGGCCTTCAGGGCCAACGCTGCGCACAACGCTGAAGCGCATGTTGCCCAGATCACGGGGTAGCCGGTTACTCGGACCAGCTACTCCCGTCCTCACGCTCTGACGGGAGTTTTGTGAGCTTACCGGGCTGGGTAGAACCCACCGCGAAGAACCCAATCCTGGACTGGAGCTTGATGGTGACGGCGGTTGAAACTGGCCGATTCCTTCAGGCAGCGCGGGTGACTCGTAGGACGGCGGCCGAGTGGACCTTCGAGGAGAAGGCGACGGATGGCGCCAGTTGCTTGGCCCGGCTTCTCCGAGCATCATGTTTCGAGGAGAGCCTGATTGAACGGACGGGAAGTGTTGCATTGACCCCGGGTCGGATCTTCGGCTGGAATGTGATCGAGGTGATGGCGTTATAGGGCTTGGTATGCTTACGGGTGACCGGAGAGGTGATGTCTGGTTGATAGGTGTATTGGCAAGGCTCCTGCCGATATCGTTACGCCGTGATGGAGGTGCAAGTCCCGGAGAAGGCGAAGCTGGCCGTGCTGCTGGAACTTAGCATAGGTCTAAGGCGTGTATCGACAAACCTCTTCCTTACCATTCCTGCGCGAGGGTAGGAAACTCCGTAACGGGTTAGAAGGTCGCCTGGGACGCTCCGCTTGCCTGGGCCGGTCTCTGCCATACATGCCGTACATTGCTGAGGGTGATCGATTGGATCAATGGAAGGGTATGCGTATAATAGGGAGAGTGAGTGGGGAATGGTTGGCTTGGGTGTTTCGTATACCCCAAAGGGCCGTGCAAAGAGAGGCTCGCAAGCCGTTTTGAGCTCTAGGTGGCCAGTCATGGTGAATGTGGTATACTCTCAAGCGGCCGTCATAATGGCAGTATTGTTGCGTATGCAGCTGAACGCTTGCTGCTGTAATTTCAGCACGACTGCAGTAACTGCCCTCATGACAGCATCTATTGGTATAGGAGGGTTCGACGTAACGCGTTCCTTGTCGTAAATGCGAGCAGCGAGTGCGGTGGGTGATAAGCACACTTCCCGAACCCGTAGCACTCAGTCTGAGGTGCTTGAGAATCATGGCTGCTTTGTATCGCAGACGGATCGGTTGGATGGTTGATTGCGTGATTAGACAAGCACTTGCATCCGTCCAGCATTTGCTTCTTGGTGGCAGCAAGCCAAGCCAATGGTGAAGGATCCAGAACTCGCGATCGTGCCGAAAAAGAGAAGAGGACGCCCAGTGAAATCTTTCTGCACGGAAAAAGCCGATGCGGCCTCTCTGTCCCAGTGCTGTCCTGACACGCAATCAGGAGTACAAACACCATGGCTGCTGTTGTCGTGCAATCATCCTTGGAGGTAGTGTATAGGGGCGATCCGCAATCAGTCGAAAGTGCAACATTTTCGAGGTCCATTGAAGACATTGAGTGTTCACATGACGGCGCACCATGTGTGGTTAGGGTGGGAGAGAGTCTTCAAGACCAGTCTACGGACTGTGAGCGTCCTCAAGATCAATGCTGTGCACTATGGTGAGCATGAGCTGACGAACAAATACGGTGTAGCACGCACCTCACGTACCTGAGCTAGGAAACCTACGTCACCGCCGTCTCTACCCTTCCAGTCGCGGGCGCAGGCACAGGCACCATCCGCTCCTCTGCCTTCTCTGCCTGCACCTCCCGAGCTAGCCCCTCACCTGCCGCACGATAACGTAGCATCATGCCCGCAGCAACACCAGTAGCCATACCACCAAGATGACTGACGTGATCGCTCCGGCCCCCCACCCGCCACCTCAACGCCACCACCTCCGCTGCCATCACAAGCGCCAGAACAACCCAACTTGCAAACGGCACCTCGCCACTCCCCAAAAAGGGCGCCAACCTCACACTCCCGTTCGGGCGGACGACACAAGTCGCTGCCAACACCCCCAGCACGGCCCCTGAGGCGCCAAAAGACCATGCCGTCCACTGTTTAGTAAGCACTAAACGGGTGAGGGAGGCGAAGTTGCCCACGGCGCCGGCGGAGAGGAAGATAGCTAGGAAGCTTCCTCGGCCGACTTCGGTGTTGAGGGCTGGGCCGAAGGCCCAGAGAACTAGGACGTTGGCTGCTAGGTGGTAGAAAGTATCGTGGCGGAAGACGGCGCCGAGCATGCTGAGGGGTTGTGGCTGTGGGGAAATGACGGCCATGTATTTGTTTAAAGTACGCCAGAATGGGGGCAGGCGGCCGAGGATGAAGGTCAGGACGAGGATGCCGGTGATGGTGGATATTGTAGCGATGGAGGGCGGGATGTCGGGCCATAGTCTTGCTGATTTGGGTGGAGGGGTGTAGTTGGTCGCTAGGTAGTAGCTCCCCGCTAGTACGAGGAGGGTGAAGAGGAGACTCGGCGTTAGTCGGCGCAGGATGGCTGTAGTGTTGGCATCGAAGGAGGGGAGGACGTTTTCCTTGATGAGCGTGGCGCGATCTTCGTAGCGCTTGACCCACGGTTGTCGTTCCACGGTAGTGAGACTTGCCCAGCTTTGGGGTCGGCTGATGGTAACGCCGCCGGAAGAGGTTGTGGTAAGGGATACAGTCGGTTGGACACCACCTGCCAGCTCAAGCGGGCCACGCGCGCGGTCGATCTCGGCTCGTTCCATGCGTGCGCGTTTGGCTTCCTTTTCCAGCTGTTCCCGGGCGTAGATGGCTTCCTGCTGCTCCCTGTGCGTCTTCAATACGCTCTCCCCCACCATCTCCCTGCCCTCACGCGTACCCTGCAGCTCCTCCTCATCCTCCTCCGCCTCCCGCGCATCGTCTCGATATATGCCCAGCTTCACGGATCTCTGCCGTAGCTCCTCCCTCAACCTCCCCGTCTCCTCCTCCACCCACCTCACCCCCGCAACATCCTCATCAAACCCGCGATCCAAACTCCGCACATACTCCAACCCTCTTAACGCCTGCTGCTCCGTCACCCCACTGTTCTTCGGGAACTGGATGCCCACGTCGATCAGAGCCCCGGACATGCGTCGCCAGTATAGGACGCTTAGGATGTAGTTCCCCACATCCTCGTCCACCTGAGGGTCATCAAAAATCTCATGTATCTTCGGGCGGGAGAGAGCGCCGGAAGGGAGAGGCATGCCGCCTTCGGGGGCGTAGTCGCGCCATGTCGGCCCTTCGTCTTCCGGAGGTAAGCCTTCCGTGTGCGAGGCGGAGCTTGGTGGAGACTGAAGGCGCGATGGAGATGTCGGCCCGAGCTGCCCCCGTGCTGGGACAGGGGATTGCGACCCGTGAAAGGCGGGGAGCTTGCTGGACTCGTATGGGCGGGCTTCGGGCGGTTGCGGTCGATGCTTACTCTTAGCCGCCAGTAGCGAGGAGGTGGTGAAGGAACGTTTCTTTGCTGGCTCGCATAGCGGCTCAGTTGAGTTGTTGGTCTTTAACGTGATGGGGCATGTTGATACTGAGGCAAGATTGCGGTATTGCCGCCGCCCTTGATATCTGACATATCCGCAGAAGAGCTGGAGGAGGGGCTTCGCTTGGACTCGTCGCGCACACGGCGCCTTAGATGCTATCGACGTCCATACATTATTCATTGCGTGCCTTCCTATCCCGGCGCAGCGACTAGGTCTTTTAACGTGACATATGATAAAAGGAAGGCACGTCGTCGGAACAAACATTCACATGAATATGCGGAGCATTCCGCGCGGAGGTGCTCGAGCCATCCGCATGCCACTTTCACATGTCGACGCTTGAGGCAGCCATCGAATATCTCTCACGTGCCATGATCATAAGGTCAACAATGGTCGACAACGCCCCAAACCATCTCCACACAACAACGTGAGCCTTCAACACCACCGCCAACCAGCCGACCAGCCAATCAACCAACCCAGTAACCTACAACATGTCCTCCGACCCGACCAACCCCATCTCCCCCACCGCCTTCGCCCTCGCGATCCACGACCTTCCCCTCGATACCCTCCACTCCAAAGCCGCCGAAATCACCAATAGCATTATGCACCTCCGCCACAGCAATGAGCAAATGCTGCCCTTTGCCGAAGAAGGCGACAACGAATGTCGGGAGGCGATGTTTGAGAATTTGCAGGTGATTGCGCGGATGAATGAGAGGATTGGGTTGTTGAAGGCGGAGGTGGAGGGGAGGGGGATGATGTGGCCGGGTGTTGGCGGGGAGGGAGGTGGGGTAGATGGGGAAGGGGAGGGGAAGGGTTTGACTAATGGTGAGGTTGATGGGGCTGAAGACACAGTTATGAGGAATGGAAGTGGATCGCATGCGCATAATGTAGCGAACGGAGCAGCTGCGAGCGTCAATACTGCCATCACCGGCGAGATTCCCGCTCCCCGTGCGTCAAGCGGCAGACTGACGGATGAGGAGCTAAGGAGGCAGCTCGAGGCGCAGATGGAGGACGGAGACGACGATGGCGTGCACCTATGACGAGCTTCAGCCTTGGACTCCTCGTCAGAACCCTCTAGTGGCCCGCTGTTAGATCCATGTGGATGCGCCTCGTCCAGGATCGACCTTTAAGGGCTTGCGAAACGACTACGGAATCATTGAACATCCCACCACACTCAGGTGCTCCAGCCGGAGAAGGCGGCGAAGCGAATGAGGACGAGGCTCACCGTGACTATCACCACACCACGTCGAAGTACCTTCGCATATTGCAGTCGAGATTTGACGAGCACGAGTTTAACCAATCGCTGGCATGCATTAACGATGAGGATGAAGACGTGGATGAAGAACGAGATGCAGTGCATTAGCGAAGTCCGGCAAAGGGCTGCTTAGACACTCTCCGCATAGCTCCCGGTCTGGTCAAGACCGCAACTCGCCTCCGCTGCAACAACAACAAACGCTAACAAACCCCCACCGCACCCAACAAACCACCCCCTCACGAGAACGCGCTCAGATCCAACGGCACACTACTGCCCCTCCCCGCCCGATACCTCTTAGGCGCTCCGACAAACTGCCTCGGCTGCGGTAACTGCTCATCAGGCTGAAACTTCCACCTCGTATCTTGGATAACCACCCTCAAACCACCACTAGCACCACCGCTGAAGCTGTTACTAGCGGACCGCGCAGAAGGCGCAGAGCCATTCGTGAGCGTATAAGCGGAGGCATCCATGTGTTTCAGAGGCGAGGAGTATGAATTTGTACTTTGAAGCGGCGGCGGTGGTGGTGTGGGTGTGGAACCGAGCGACAGACCACCCGCGGTTGGTATCCCACTCCCAGTACCTGAGTTGCGGCTTGGAGGTGCCGAAGGCGGCGGTGGCGGCGGTGGTGGCAGGGACGTGGAACTCTGTCTTTGTATCTGCGGAGGCGGGGGAGGAGGGGGCGGTGGTGCTGGACTAGCCGCTGCAACCGATGGAGGCGGTGGCGGAGGCGGCGGCGGAGGAGGCGCGCCCGGCGTTGAGGGAGGACTCGCCGATGGTGCCGGTGGCGGAGGAGGAGGAGGGGCAGAAGGCGTGGTCGAATTTGCACTCCTCAACACGTTCCTCGCCGCTTGTTCGGCCAGACTTGATTCTCTTGGCAGACCATTCGGAGGTGGTAATGACGGAGGAGGCGGCGGAGTCGAGAGCGCTGCGCTGGAAGGTGGTGGCCTGGGCGCGAGCGGACTGCTTGGCGGTAGAGGCGGGGGTGGAAGTGCCGCAGGCGCTGGCGTTGTGTGGGAATGTGGTAGCGGAGGTGCTGACGGTATTGAGGGTGCTGAGGCTTGTAGTGAAGGCTTGCGAGAAGTAGGAGGAGGAATCGGCGGTTTCTTCCCCACGATAGGCGGAGGCGGTTTAGGTTTCGTACCCGGTATTGATGCGGGGCTTGTCTCTACGCTCGCGGGGCTCGGGCGCAGATTATTCGTCTTCTTCAGACCCGCTGCGCTTGGTATACTTGGCGCAGCGCCGGGAGGTAGAGGCGGAGGTGCACCGCCTGGTGGTCTAGGTGCGGTTCCATTTGGTATGGCAGGTACACTGGCATTCCGATTCCTCCCACCCGCAGATGTCTGCGTATGCGCCTCGGGATCGGAATCATACATGTTCACCCCTCCCGCACTCTTCCTTAACTTCGGCATGCCTACGCCCGCGAATAAACCTCCTAGTTGTGGTGCTGACTCCATTCCGCTGCTGTTATTGGTGGTGGGACTGCTTGGTTGGTCGCTATTGCTCCTCGCTCGATTGTGTCCCGCAGGAGGTGGAGGGCGTAGGCCTGGGACGGGAGGTACTCCGCCGGTTGATGGGCCGCCTATGGACGAGCTCGGTTTGCTGTCGAGTAGCGGCGCGGATCGATCGTTTGTGACGGCTTTCTTCAGGCGGGCGCCTTTTTGGATGTCGCCGAGGAGGGCGCCCTGCGGTGAAAGGCAATCAGCGTGCGATTCAGGCCTTGACTCGATGATCTCCGAAGGAAATTGCTGCTCATGCCTAGGTGTGCCGGGGGATGCTACATACTCTACCCTGGGCTGCTTGTGCTGGTGGGCGCGATGGTAAGCCCCCAGGTGGAGGAGGAGGTGGAGGTGGTGGACCTTATATGGCAGTCAGACACGTCGTGGTTTGGTTTATAATGATCGCTTGCGCGTACCTCCTGCAGCTCCAGGCATAGGCGGAGGGGGCGGCGGGGGAGGTGGTGGTGGAGGCATTGTTGCCGGTGGGTGTTGGAGTATTTCGCCCAGTATCTGAAGTTGAGAGTGTACGAGTTGTGGAGAGGGAGAGGGTGGTACTGCTTGTTAGTAAATATAATAGTGGACGCCTTGAGAGAGCAGGCAGTGCCTTAAGCTGCAGGCGCACCTTCATTCAATTGGAGTGCCTAATGTGGCGCAGGCGGCTTCGTCATCCCACCGAGCCAATGCGTGCGAGTCAGCACTTTGCGGGGAAGAAACGGCTGACGATCAATCAAAGCGTTTCGGCTATTGATTGAACTCCTCCTCCTCCTTTGCAGCAAGGCCCGTTCATAGCGCGTACATCAGCATCCTCTTGAAAGAGACAGACATGGAGAAGAGAGGGATTGCCATCTGCCATGAGTGTATAGCGGCGTTGCGTACACCAGCAAGACGAACTACCACCAACGCCTTCGTTCCAACCATAGTACAACGACGACGCATCTCCGCCAAAGCTCACAACGAACGCATTCGAACCGCGCGAGCTGCAGCACCAGTCCCATCGCAAGCAGGATCAGTTCGAATACTAGAGTCATTGCTCATAGCAGCCCGAAGCGCGCATACTGTCTCCTCCACCGATCTGAATGCGCTGCACAGCCGAATCATCGAGCTCACCAACACCGCACTGAAACCCGAAGATGGCAAACTCCCGGACGAACAACGCGTACTCTACGTCCTCGAACAGCTACACGCATTAGCAAGGAACTTGATCGAAGGGCAAGCCGTCGAAGGCACACCCTCGAACGGATCGAAAAGCGGCACAGAAACAAGCGCAACCTCCGCGCTCCTGGGCTCGGTCAACGCAAGGAGTTATCCCGCCTTCATAAGCAAAGCCTCCATCCTCCACCTTCTCAGCGAAAAGGCCGAAGAACTCCTCCGCCATCCCCACATCTTCATCACCCAAGCCATCCTGAAAGCATACGTGGACCTGCAGTCCCTCCTCCACCAACCGGGCAGTTTCCCCGCCATCTTCGACTTGTACGCTCGGAAACCACTTCCACGCCAAGCCAGCGGTAGTGGCAATGCTGCCGAAGTGACATACGTCGCCCCCAACCCTCACAAGATCAGCGCCGCCATCGACTCTGCAACAGCAAGCAAAGCACTCGACACGGCAATCCAGGCGCATAATCTAAGTCTAGCGCTGGATATCATCGAAACAACCTTCTCAACCAAAGCCTTCCAACGCAACAAAACCCTCCGCCACACTCTCGTCCCGGGCCTCGCCGCCCTCGCCCTACCAGCAGCAGCCTACACCCTCTCCACCCAATACGCCTCTTGGCAAACAGCCCTCGATCCCTCCCAAGCAACCACCATCGCATTCGCCGGCATACTCACTTATGTAGCAAGCGTAAGCAGTATCGGATACGTGGCTTTGACGACGGCGAACGACCAGATGGATCGCATGACGTGGGCGCAGGGTGTTCCGTTGTGGGAACGCTGGGTGCGGGAGGAGGAGAGGGCGGCTGTGGATCGGGTGGCGGGGGAGTGGGGGTTTGAGGATCGCGAGAGGAGGGGCGAGGAGGAGGGCAGTGAGTGGGAGGGGTTGAGGGGGTGGGTGGGGGTTAGGGGCATGGTGCTTGATCGGGTGGAGTTGATGGAGGGGATGGAGTGAGGGGGTGATTGTTGTGAGGGTGTTTGTGGGTCGTAAGGGGTGGGGATGGGAGGAAGCGACCGGTTTGGCTGTCGTGGACACGACTGTGCGACTGCGATTGCTTCGACATCATCATTGCCATCAGCGTCATTAACTGCCATTCCAAGAACATGGCGGCTATGGTAATGGCTGCACTGTTCGTCTCTGCACGTACGGCTGTCTCACATACCGGCGCAACCACTGCCGCACTGCTGAGTGTGCGTTACTCATACATACTCAGCCATGACCTCGTTGTTCCATTCGCAAACCCAACGCCAAAGCCGCACCCGTCCTAAACGTCGACGTGGACGACGACAACGGCATCCGAAGTCGCTCACACTCAATATGGCAGAGTCAACGTACGTACGCAGGTACTTTCGTCGCCTGCTAGCGTAAAGGCAGGAAAAGGACTTGCTCTACACGATCGGATCTCGATGACCAGCAAGGAGAGGCCAGACGGCAGCTCGAGACTTTCCGTCGCCACTAACACCATCACCACTCGCGCGGTCACACAGACCCAACGCCCTTCGCTACTGCTCCCTAGCGGTGCGGTTCTCCTCAGCTCCACCTCCGCCTCAACCTCCATATACCCCGCTCCTGCGGATGGTTACTCCCACTCATACGGGTATATTCACCCTCTGTCATTCTGCTCAAATCCCCCGTCGACTACGGAAACGGCGTAACTCGCCACCACTGCTACACTTCCTGCATCGTCAATGCACCAAGCTGCCTACGAGGGCGCAGAGGCCACTTCGGAAAATTTTAGTTCACGGGCCACTTGTGGGCCTGCCCACACAGAAAACAGAACCAGAATGATGGCGCTGGCTTTGGTCAGGATCTGGATTTGGCTCTTCGTGAAGGGAGGCGGCGAGGCGTTTCGAGAAGCAAAGTGAGGTGATTAGGACTGCGGCGCCTCTAGCTGCTCTCCTGTCCAAATCACTATGACTAGACATCTGTACGCATTTACGATGAACAAGTGATTGAAAGCTTGGCACAAGCCTGCTGACTTTCGCATTGACGAGAAAGCATTCCGCAGGCGGTAACAGCTCACTGGTCCGAGTGTAAAGAGCATAGCAACTACAATGATGACAATGTCCAATATTGTACATTTACTTCCTGTCGTACACATCCGTATAGATCAGATATGTTGGCGCACTAGGTGGCGTATCGATTGATGACTCATCCCACTCTTGGCACGCACTCAAATCCTTCCAACACCGCACAACGCACCATCTCTCTCCCACCATCACCGTCACAACGCAAAAGCCGTACCAATACCCCCAGCGTCGACGCAGAGTATTGGAAGACCGTCACCATGTCCAAAATCACGGTCGCAGGTGTGCGCCAAAATGTACAACAACTCCTCGCCTACTCGACGGAGGAGAAGAAGCGCAACTTCCTCGAGACCGTCGAACTGCAGATCGGCCTGAAGAACTACGATCCCCAGCGTGACAAGCGTTTCTCCGGCACCGTCAAGCTCCCCAAGGTGCCGCGCCCCAACATGAGCATCTGCATTTTGGGCGATCAGCACGATATCGATCGCGCGAAGCATGGAGGCGTTGATGCGATGAGCGCGGAGGACTTGAAGAAGCTGAACAAGAACAAGAAGCTCATCAAGAAACTCGCGAGGAAGTACGATGCGTTTGTGGCGAGTGACTCGCTCATCAAGCAAATCCCTCGTCTGTTGGGTCCCGGTTTGTCGAAGGGTATGTCACGCCGCCACCCATCAATATTACGTTGGTGTGGACATCCATGCTGATATGAATGGTGATTACAGCCGGCAAATTCCCCACCCCGGTCTCGCACAACGAGGACCTGTCCGCCAAGATCACCGAAGTCAAGTCGACCATCAAGTTCCAGCTGAAGAAGGTGCTGTGCATGGGTGTCGCCGTGGGGAATGTGGAGATGACGGAGGAGGAGCTGATTGGTAACATTATGTTGTCGATCAACTACCTCGTGTCGTTGTTGAAGAAGGGGTGGCAGAATGTGGGTAGCTTGACCATCAAGGCTAGTATGAGCCCGCCGAAGCGTCTGTACTAGATGCTGCTGGAGGTTACCGTGGGACGGTGCTCGTGGAGGATCGCCGAAGAAGGATTCATTGACTCGGCACACGATTGCGAGGGGAGAAGGGAAAGCGTGTGCAGCTCGTCGAATGGGTTCATTGTAACGTAGCGGTGCTCCTCGGTCTCGGTTCGCCTTCACTGGCTGAGCTGAAGCTCAGAGTACTCGTTCAATACACGTACATACCCATCAACTGCACCTCAGTCGTGTGAACCAGTACTGTTCTCATCGTTCAAACTTCCAACCAAGACTTGTTCAATTCGTTCTATTCAGCCAACGCTTACCACACACATTGACCCCTCACTGATATATCTGAGCTCGGACCCGTCCAGCAATTCTCCGAGGTGGCGCTCCTGCACAGCGGGCACTTCCACCAGTCCCTGCAGCTCTGCATCTGCAACGTGACTCGAGCCAGCTCCTAATTCCAGCCTGTGTGGTTACAATACAACGATACCTTAGCGATACTCTCACACCCGCAAGACAAAAGGACGTCCACTTCCAAGTCAGGGCTGCATGCCCGCCCAATCATGCAATCCCATCAACACCACATCTTCTCCCACCAGAACCCATACCACCAACCCGACTGGCAGCAGCAGCAGCAGCAGCATCACCCCCAACACGCACAAACGCAATATGCGCAATCCCAAGCCGCCGCCGCCGCAGCGAACGCAGCAGCGCAACAACAACATTACGGCCGAGTCAACACACAGAACGGCCACACCAATTCCGCCGGGGGCACAGGCATGAACTCGAACCCCAACCAAAGCCTCACGGGCGGTAACAACAACACCAGTGGTGGCAGGAACACGGGCGCAAACGGAGGAGACAGCAACAACAACAACACCACCACCCTCGAACACATCCACGCCCACAGCCTCTTCACTCCCACCGGCGCGGAGGCCTCGAGCGAAGAAAACCGGCGCGTGCTCGAATGGGTGGCGCAAGTCCTCAACGCGCACACGCGCGAATCCTCCCTGCTGGAACTCAGCAAGAAACGCGAGCAAGTGCCCGAACTGGCGCTCATCCTCTGGCATTCCTTCGGGGTGATGACGAGTCTGCTGCAGGAGATCATCAGTGTCTATCCACTCTTAAATCCCAGTCAGTTGACCGCGGCGGCTAGTAACCGCGTGTGTAATGCGTTGGCGTTGCTGCAGTGTGTCGCCAGTCATGGGGAGACGAGGGGGTTGTTTTTGGGGGGTGCGTTACTACAATCATACCCTACCTCCGCGAAGACATACAGTTCTTCAGTTCGGTTCCAAAATGGGAGAAGCTAATTCGGAGTGATGACAGCACACATCCCCCTCTTCCTCTACCCCTTCCTCAACACGACCTCCAAATCCCGCCCCTTCGAATACCTGCGCCTCACCTCCCTCGGCGTCATCGGCGCGCTCGTGAAGAACGACAGCAGCGAGGTGATCAACTTCCTCCTCACCACCGAAATCATCCCGCTCTGCCTGCGCATCATGGAGACCGGGTCGGAACTCAGCAAGACCGTCGCCATCTTCATCGTGCAGAAGATCCTACTGGATGACATGGGCTTGCAGTACATCTGCCAGACGTACGAGCGCTTCTACGCCGTGGGGACGGTGTTGTCGAATATGGTGACGCAGTTGGTGGATCAGCAGACGGTGCGCCTACTTAAGCATGTTGTGCGGTGCTTTTTGCGGTCCGTCCCATCCATCACCCTCTCCTCCTCCTCCTCCTCCTCCCTCGCCTGCCAGACCCTGCACTTACTGATATGTGTGTGTTTGTGTGTGATAGTCTATCAGACAACGCCCGCGCGCGCGAAGCCCTGCGGCAATGCCTGCCCGAACCCTTACGCGACGCCACGTTCTCCCCCGTGCTGCGCGACGACGCGGCGACGAAACGGTGTCTCGCGCAGTTACTGCTGGCCTTGTCCGATCAGGCGGAGCCGACGATGACGCCGTCGTATGGCAACCATCATCATCTGCCGTAGCAGAGCAGCCTTCGACTGTTACTCGGGCGGTGTAACTCGTACTGGTAACTTGTACCAGCCATGCTGGGTTTTGCGCGGGCTGTGACGGTCGGAGCATCAGCCGTACCGGACGTCATGGTCAAGGACGCTGTTGCTTACTGCGGGGCCTTCTTTCGATGCGCGTGGGCTTTCACTACTACTACACACGCCGCACCGGAGTCCCAGCGGCGCTCAGCTGGTTTGGGTGTGAAGCATAGCAGTGGTTGATGCGGTGGATCAGCAATACGGATTTGCGAGACAACACGGGCGATTTGCCCAGAGATTCGGGTCATTCTATGCGAGGGGGGCGTTACTCTTGCTTGCTTACTTGCTTGCTATTCGAAAGATACCCAGGAACGGCGGATCTGATGTAACTTAGATGTATCACTATCAGCATGGCTTTTATTCACAACGGGTTCGGCATGAGGCTGCGTGGGGGGAGGATTCGGTATGTTATAGCCCCATTCATTGGTGGAAGGAGGAGGTGGAGGAGGAGGGGATCAGATCTTGCAGTCCATCAAATCACATCATTTCACGCGGTCACGAAGCGGACGATGGAGAAATGGATGGTCCTGGCCTGGCCAGGCCTTTAATACCAGAGGAGGGTAGGAAGATGGTGCTTCCGGCACTGAGACTGTGGTGGGATATAGACGTTGTATACCTTTGATTGTATGACCACTTGACTTGCTTTGCAATCTGTAGCCAGTGTCTGTGGCTTTGAGTGGTACCCACCCCATGCGCTTGCTTGAACAAGGCTGACAAGAGTTTGGATCAGACTGAGAGAGGCAATCGTTGTCATGTGAGTGAGTGGCGTATGCACAGTGGGTATGCACAGTAAGGTAGGTATGCATCATCGCCGAGTACGTGTAAGCCGGCTTGTAAGGCTAACTCTAACGTGACGTCCAGATTGGGGGGTAAGGCTGGTGCATTGTGTGCCTTTGACGACGATGATGATGATGAGAGCTACATACAGTACTTTGTGAGCAGATGAGTAAGTCAATTCAGCTACAGTACCTCAACATCTTTTCTGACGGGATTGGTGGGCTGAAGTCGAGGTCGAGGTCGATGGTACGAGGGTACACGAAAGGGATTCGGATGGGGGCCATTTGGTGGTCTGGGCGTCGAGGCAATTTCTCCATCTTTTTATTCATCACCGACAGGGCACTTTGTTGGGTACGACGGTGATTCTGCCGGCGCTTCGTCGGCTCATCAGTGTCACTCTCTTCCATTAGAATGTCAGACACCTTTTTACTGCGCCGGTCTAGACTGACATGCCGGCTCCAGCCATTTACGCATAATCATCCAATCTCAGCTAACGACGAGGATGTGGTACTGTATGGTGTGCATGCGATGACCGACAAGCAAAGCGAAAGAAGCTTTTCCACCATTTCCCCCCTTCCCTGCCAAGCCTCGCCCTGCGCCTTCCATAGCGTTGTCCACATCGGCGTCTTCTAACCCGAAAGAGGCAGACGTCGAAGAGCAGCACAACGTCCGCCACGCCTTTCATTGGCCGCGAGCTCGTTTGACGGCCCACGCTAACCTCGGCCTAACGCATTCGCCACGCATAGGGCCAGATTCGAATGGCGCGAGAAGCTGAACGCGTGTCGCCTATTTGGGGGCAGAGAGGGAGAGAGTAGAGAGAGCGAGAGACAGAGAGAGAGAGAGAGAGAAGGCAAGCTGTCTTTCCATTTCCACCCTTTTCGTGCTCTTTTCTCCTCATCATCATCATTCAACTCATACGTTAGGAAAAGTCGTTACTCTTTGTATTCTCCTCTTCTGTCGTTAACTACACACACACCCACGAGCATCTCTTCTTCGCCCCAGCGCATTACTTCTTCATCGCGACATCGAAACTTCGAACCAACACTCCTTCCACCAGCACAGCAACCATGCAGTTCAAGCTCCTCGCCCTTTCCGCCATGGCGGCCATCGCCCAGGCGCAATCCGCCAGCTCCTCCATTAACCTGTACGTCACCAACATCCTCCACCACCAGTCCCCCATCCGCAAGACTAACAACATTGTTCACAGCATCTCCGTCCTCTCCGTCCTCCAAACCGCCCTCCCCTCCACCCTCGTCCAAGAAGCCCTGACCAACTCCGCGGCCGTGAGCTCGCAAATCGCCTCGCAATTCAGCGCGGGCCAAACACCAACCTGGTTCACCGCCCTCCCATCCGACATCCAAACCTTCCTCGTCCCCCTCGCCACCAGCCCGGGCGCGCTGAGCTCCGTCGCCGCCAACGTCACTTCGCGCGCCAACATCTCCTCCGCCGCCGCCCCGACCGGTATCATTGCCGGAGGCGGCCCGGGCGGAAGCATCAGCCGCAACATCTCCTCCATCGTCTCGGCCCAAAGCAGCATCTTCTCCTCCATCCGCTCGGCGAACGGCTCGGCCATTGTCGCCGGTTCCTCGGCCGGCGCGTCCGCCTCGCGCATCTCCTCCGCTTCCGCCGGTGCATCCGGTGCCGCGGCGGGTGCATCGTCCGCTTCTCGCTCCGGCTCGGCCGCCGCCGCTGGTTCCGCCTCGGGCTCCGCGACCGGTTCCGCCGCCGCCGCCACTTCCAGCCGTGCCGCGAGCGCCACTTCCTCCGCTGGCGCCGTGCCGACTGCCGTCGTGGGGATGGGTTTGGCGGGTGTGGTTGGGCTGGTTGGCATTTTCGCTTTGTAAGAAGGGCTTGGAAATCTACCGCGAATTTAGAGGGGGTTTTGGATAGCTGCACGTGTTAGCTTTGATTGAAAAGAAAACCAGGGCGTTTAGCATTGTCACGGAGGACGATGTGGCTCGCCATGCTATGTGTGGGCGGGCTGAAAAGATACTTGCTGCAATGTACATAGTCCCGCCATTCACAACAAGCTACGTGCTAGCTTATTCTCGTACAGTCAGTGAGACGTCTCCGCATAAACTACAACCCAACGGGTTCGGGCGAGGCGAGCGTTCGCTGTAGATCGAATGCACACTCCTGCCCTACTCAAACGTGGCCGATAATTCAGTCTGGCCCTTGGATATCTGCGCCTTTGCGTGCATCGCTATACCATCATACCATCATACCATTTCATGCCTCGCTATGCATCATACCCATACTCATGCCTTGCTTCGACAGGTCGCTGCAGGTGCCATGGCCGCATCCCATGGATAAGCAGCTCTCATGCCGCACATTCAACGCTTTCTCCAGCCGTCGTCGCGTCCAAGAAAGCCCTCAGTGCTTCGACAGCACCCCCCTCACAATCCCCTCCAACTCCACCATTCCCTTGACCACCACCTCCTGCACCCCACCACTCCCCCTGACACCCTCCCTCAAATACCTCCCCAACAACTCATTCGCCTCAACCGGCTTGATGTCCGCCGAAGCGGTACCAACCGTGATATGCGGCGCCTGATTCACACTCGTAAACAGCATCTCCCCGCCTTCCTCGCTCGGACTGAGACGGACGAGAAACGCCATGACGCGGTCATCCCATACCAGGCGCTCGAGGCGGACTTTACACTTGCCCAGCTTCGGCGATTCGCCATCCGATGATGTAGACGCTGCTGCTGATGTCGACGCTTTGGCGTGCATTTCGCTAAGCTTGTCCCACAGCGCCGCGTGTTCGCCGGCGTTGGCTCGATGGATGAGCGTGACGTGGAACTCGGCTTGGATTCGTCGTTGTGATTTCAGGGTGTGATACATCCTCGCCACCTCGGGGGAAGCCTCACGGAAGAGTGCTTCCAGGATGGCGTTGACACGGGTGGGAGGGAGTTGTACGGCGAAATACTCGACTTTGCGCTCCTTCTGTTTGCCGTTGGGTTGGCCGTTGAGACCGGTACCGTGGACGGGATGATGGTTGTTATTTTGCCGGCCACGACGATCATCGCGGCCTTTGATCTCGTGCTTGATGTCGACCGTGTAGTTTGTCAGCGCTCCATCAACTGCGGCGTCCATGTCGTCTGCGCTAGGCATGTCTTGGTCGCCGAATAGCTTGGGATACTCGGCGTAAAGCGCGTTGACGACTGTCTCGAGGTTATCGCGGGAGCTGCCGCATGGGTCTAGATTGACCACCAGATCGAAGCCGTCGTCTGGTGATGAGTCTTGATTCACCGGCTGGAAGCGCTCCATGAAGCCTTCCATGATGCTGACCACCTCCGACGAGCCTTTCGTGTTCGCTTGGATAGTCTGATGGTTGTCGCCGCGGCTTAACACTCGCTCGCGAGTCGCTTGGCGGATGTTGTCGTAGTTGCCACGCTCATGCACGTATTGCAAGCAGATGAAGTGCGCATTCGGGACCGTCTTCGTTACATCCTCGATCAACTGCTGGCGCTCCCGCTTCTGGTGGTTGTTGCGATCGGCGATCATGGCAGGGTGGTCTTCGAGTGCTTTACAGCAGGCGTTGGCAAAGGCCTGCGGTTTGCCTTTCTTGACCGTGATGTTGTCGTTCTGCACGTGGCCCCATCCGAAGAGCTTGCATAGAGCCAGAGCGACGGTAGTCTTGCCACAACCTATCGTCGCAACTGGCACCAAGATCACATTCTTCGTGACCGCGCTGCCCTCCTGCTCACCATTCGCCTCTTCTTGCCGGATAATATCTGAGCCCTTCAACCCGCGCGCAGCGAGGAAGTCGTCACGTAGCTTGATGATGCCATGATTCGCCATGTACGCCTTGGCCAGATCCTGACGGCCATGTAACTGCTGGCGGGCGAACGAGATGTAGTCTTCCGTGATTTTCTTGTGTTTCTTGTACTTGGGCTCCCTCCCAGCGATGACGGCTTTAGTGCATTCACGCCATTGCCGGTACATCAAGTAAGGCTCCTCAAATTTGTACTTGAAGAACCAATCGTGCCATTGGTCTGTATGTGCTTTCGACTGACAGCGGATGACGAAACCTTCCGTATCCCGGCCGGCATAGTGGCCCGTTTCGCCAATGCCGTCGAGGAACCTCTTGACTTCGTGGATGGTGTCTTTGATGAGGTACATCGTCTTCTTCATCCCCCAATCATCGGCAAATCTGTCGACCAGATGATGTGGGTACGTAGCAAACTCCGGCAAGTTGAGGTTGATGCCGTGGAGATACAGTCCAGCGGTGTCTGGGCTGTACTGCAAGACATGCTCCTCAAAGTCGTCATCACAAAGCTCAGCGACAGCAGTGGCGTTCATCTCCCGTAACCGCATGGCCAGCTGCTGTCTCGTCCTCCCGACCGCAGCAAGATGTCTATCCACCCACTTCTCGCCGGCCTTGGCATGGCTGACGTCCGTGTCTGACCGATAGCCGGTCGAATGCTTACTGCAAACGAGAAGCGTGCCGTCTTCCAAGCCAGAAATGAAGATGATGCAACCATTCTCCTTGACACTAAGTTCGTACGGTCCCCGAGTATCGTTCTCCACGTTGCGCCACTCAGTATCACGGGTTTCCCCATGATTGAAGAACTTATCGTAGCCCCTCACCACGATCTCAGGCTGGCCTTTGCTGTTAGTGGTAGTGAAAAGACCTCGGGCGTAAGTCGGAAGGTTGGGCTTCTTGTAATCCCAGTCCTGCATTCGCCACGAGTCGACCTTAATGTTCGAGCCTTCGACGTCGAAGGTGCTTTTCTTGCATGAGAAGCCACCACGACCCTTGCCTTTGCCTTTATTTCCCTCTAGGCCTCGGAGCATGTCGGATACTTCCTGGACATCCTGCGGTCGGTATGGTGCATTTTGTTGATGTGCCATGATGACTTGTTCGAACTGAGCGACAGATGTTTATTGCCCGCGAATGGGCCGGTTTGCAATCAGAAATTTATAGAAGGGGCAGCAGATAGTCGAACATTCATCGCTTTACGGTGCAGGCTCGAGCGCGGAATTTGACTCACGAAAGGGACGGCAAGAAAGAGACACCGCCAGCGCCAGCGCCTATTGTTTCGCGGCTAACCCAGTCTAGATTGTTAAAAGCTCGACTCAGCGTGGCACAATTTGGTGACTGTTTCAATTGCAAGCTCTGTGAACAAACAGAGGTCTACCTATATCATCGCCGCAGCGGGTTGCCTCAGGCTTGCATCATTCGTACGCCAGCCAGCGCTTTGTGGCGCAAGTACGATTGAACGTGACGGAGAGCCAAATCGGTCGAACCGTGATATCTTCGATGATTGCCACTAATCTCGTGTCGCCGTCATCTCTCCACATCGCAGATGGAGTCTTGCTGTCGTCCTTCGTCAGGATGGTAACGTACACCTTGCCGTGATTCATTCCAAGCCCTGAGAACAGCGTGCTCATACTCAACCTGAACCCCGACGCCAAAGCAACAGCATGCTCGTACTCAACCTGAACGCCGACGCTAGAAGAACATTCAACGCGGTAGTCAACATGTCTGGGGTAGAGAGTGCCGGTGCTCTGTCGGAGAGGTCACTTTAGAACCACCCCACCGGCCTCTGCTGCTTCCCACCGTAATTCCTCCCTTGCGCGGCCAGCCTCGCCACTTTCTCCTGTTCCTTCCAATACCCATACTCCTTCCCCCACGCCTCACTCCAGTACTGCACATCCTCCCACACGCCCTCCGGTCCCCGCGTCCACATCCACAGCCCCAGCGCCGCAAGTACGCCCCAGAACAGCAGCCTTCTGGCCATTTTGAACCAGAAGACCACCGTTTGCCACAGCATGTCGAGCACTTTGAGCGAGAGTATGACGATGACTAGCAGCAGTGCGATGGTGGCGAGGTCGGGTTTGCGGATGACTTGGTCGATGAGAGGGAGGAGCCATGATTTGATGGTCGAGGCGGCGTTGTAGAAGCGGTACAGGTATGGCGAATAGGTGATGAAAGCGGCTTGTTCGCTTCCGAGGAAGTAGGCGGCCCAATCTACGGGTTTGTTAGCGAGTGGGATGAGCTTTGATTGTCAAATGAAAGCTTCACCTTGAACCACGTCCATTTTAACGGATCGTCGTTGAGTCTGTGGCCTCAGGATCAGCTCCTAGCATTGGCAGGCCCTACACGGATGTCATGTATCTGTAGACGAGGAAGCATGTTGCAGTGTGGGACGAGGAACGAGAGCTACGCGCTGTGCGAGCGGAAAGGTGTTCTGAGACGCGCTGTGTGTGAATCAAAGCGGGGCACTTTCACGTTCATACCTCACCCTCTCTATATCTTCTTCATTCACGCTCCACGTATGCTTCCGGAGGGTGCACTCTGGTCGCCCTTCCTCGGCAAGGCGACGCCATCGCATGAACGCTTCTCATGAGGCTATTCTGGCCTTGCACAACCCAGACGCCTACCGCTTGTGCTGTGCTTGGTCCGCTCCGACTCCGTGGAACAGTCCATCCACCAATCCTCCCTGCTTAATCGGCGTAACAGCCCAGCGATGCTGAAAGCCATCGATAGGCGCGACCTGCACTTTAAGGTCCTTGGGGATCATCTCATGCTCTAGCTTCCATCCAGCACGCCGGCAGAGCTCATACACCACATGATCGCACTCACCCTGCAACTGGATATCAAAGTTGATATGCTCGATTTGCTGCTTCGAGACGTAGATGAGCGGCACTTCAGCAGGCACGTATTGCGGCAACTCGCTGACAGGCTTCACCTGGAGCGATGTACCAATGACGATGACGAGGTCGGTTTCTTTCTGGTCGCGTTGCGTGAATCGATTGAAGAAGTCGTCGTTCAGCTGCTCGCCGAAGAAGGTGATGTCGGGCTTCATGACACCCGCTTCGGGTTCAGCATCGTCCGCATCTTCGTTACTGCTGTCTTCCCAGTCATATCTCCTCGGCTTGGCTCGTTTCGGTTTCGGCTGCTGAAGTCTAGCTCGCTCGGCGAGTCTATTCTGACACTGCTTGCATCGTGCCACTCTCTTCGCACGAATGTCGTCGAATATCTCCGAGCCTGCTACTCGGTCACCGCACTTGCGGCACGTCGCGGTTGCAAAACTGCCATGGCATTGAATCAACCTCGACCGATCGATACCCGCAAGCTCCTCTAGGTTGTCAATGTTCTGCGTGTAGTTCGTCTGTAAGCGGCCTTTGTCCTGCAAAAGCTTGATGAAGGCGTGAGTTGGAGAATACCGATTAAGGTCTGGCATTATATCCCCGGCTAAGCGATAGAATATGCTTGGGTCCTCGTCGAAGTTTTGAATGTCGAAAACCTCCTCTGGCTCGCTGTACCCCATACTCTGCAACTTGTCGTAGAACCCCGACCCTTTAGAGCGGAAGTCTGGGATACCGAGGGATGTGCTGATGCCGGCTCCAGTAATGACTAGAATCTTGTTGCTGTTGCGAAGAAGATTCGCTGCGTCGTCGATCGTGTTGACGTGGGCAAGCTTCCGACGTTTGTAGTAGGTACGTGTAATCGCCTGGGCCAGGATGCGAAGATAGGTCGTGTCTCCTATTCCAAGTTCCGGGTCAAAGCCGAAAGCGGTTCCCAGCAGTCGGTGTGGCATCGAGCTGCTTGTGATGTAGCGTTCAACGAAGTTCTCTGGTCCGATATCTCGCAACTCTGTATGTAGTCGTATAACCTCTGTCTCCGGAAGTACGTTCTTGGAGCCATGCTCGTCAGATGCTAAGATGCGGTCAATAGGAACCATGATTGTGCAAATGCTTCGTAGTCAACCTACATGGTTTGAAGGGATCCAACTCGACGGCGTCAAGGATGTCCTCGTACAAGGAAGCATCCTCCTCGCCATCGGTGCTGGCTTCCTCGTCCAATGGTCGCTGCTGGAAGTCACTCTCCGTACTTGACGATTCGGGTCTGCTTTGCAGATGTTCTGTTTGTGGCGTCGGTGCGCTTACAACGGGTCCATCACTCTCATCGACAGCAAGATCAATGGTTTCGTGATGCTTTCGTTTTAGGTGCGACTTCGTTATTGCCGCAACCGGCTCGACTGTCCGGGAGAGATCCATCCGCTTTCGATTCGACTGTCACTTCAATCGACCCTGTCCATTAGGAATTCAGAATATGCTTGCATCATGAGAACTGTGTCGAGCAGGCAAACACTAGCGTGGCACTAGCGCGTCGGCGTGAACTTCAGCCTTTGACGGCGAAAGACATAAATCGCGCGAAATGCCATGTTTGCAAGACCTTGGGGAATCACCAGTGACACTTGAGTCGCGGTGATACATGCTCTTGTTATAGTACTGTACAAGCTACGATAGCCTACATTACGTGGCACATGCACCGCAGTCGAGCATTTGAAACAAGCGAGCATCCAGCTCTTGGGTATCCGGCAGCGACCCGCTCTTACTGCCATTTCTCAGAATAAGACCAGCGCCCATTTGTACATCCTTTCTTTATACATACGCCGGTTGTACAGCCAGACAACTGATGAAATGTCGCTCGCGGTGCGCTTAGCCACTTTTTCTGAGATGCCGAATAGATTTCGCCTTCGGATGGCCGTATTGAGCGGCTGTACAGGACAGGCGATGGCCTGAGGACGTGAACGCCAGAATTTGCGCAGACAGCTGTACCTTGCAAAGGTTGCGTCCGGTGTATGTGCGATGTAGAGAAAGCAGACCAGTGCGTTCAGCACGCGGGTTTCCGCAGCGCTCGGGCATGAAGCGTACAAAGTCTGCCAGTGAACGCCTTCCGTGGGACAACGTGGACAAAGGAAAGGATGTTCGGTCGCCGGGAACAGTGAGTCATGTTACCAAACCCCGGCGGTACGCGTGTGGAAGTGGTGACACATTAAGGCACCATCTGTCTCTGAGCTCCTTGCGTCGCATAGATGCTGGCTGCCGCCGCCGCGGCCCAGTCGCTTTCTTCGTAAGGCGGCGTAGGCCACAGAGGGTTCACATTCGTCCGCTTCGGCGCGCGCGCAGCGGGGATGTCGACCGGATTTGTAGGGTTGTACTCATGCGCACCGAAGCTCACCCCATTGTGGTCTTTCGACGGCGACGGTGTGAGATACGGCACCGCAAAACCAGGGTCAGACAGTATATGCGGCATAGCAGGACGAGCTGGCATGTTGATGTTGCTACTCTGGTGTATCGGCTGTAGGTCAAGCCGAGTTGCTGCCTTGTGAGCGGAAGCAAGCGCTTCGTCCAGCAGTTCATCCTCCTCGTCCGGCGTTTCATAGTGCTGGCTAGGGTGGGCGTGTCTGACCGAATGCCTGGTGCGATTCGTGATAGGCGCATTGCCGACTGGGGAAGCTGAAGGCTGACTTTCCCCACTTGGCAGCGAGTGATGGCGCTTAAGTGCCGGGTTGCTCGACACTCTGGCAGGGTATCTTGGCAAGCTGTTCTGTGCATTGGCAGCGGCTGCTACATCGAGACTATAGCGGACATTCTGCAGCGCGCGGTCGAGCTCAGCAAAGCCTGGATCAGCGGATGGGTTCGACGCCATGGGTGCGATGGCCTGGACGTCCGGTATGGACTGTCTGTTCCCGACAGTTGCCCATGGAGAGCAGCCAGCGTTCGCCTCAATGTCTTCTATACTAGGGGACATTGTCGCTTGGTGGCGCCCAGACAGACGTCGCGCACGCTTGCGAAGGTGTGAGAAGAAGCTTTCCCTGTGACTGCTCGCCGGTGACTTGAGACCGGCACCATTAAGCGCGCGCTCAGCTTCTTGTCGGTGCGTTTCAGTATAGTGATTGTTCTGGGAGTTGACCGACAATTGACGACCGAGCTTCTTCCCTGGCCTGTCATCGGGCAACTCGGAGCGTCGGACGTTTGCTTGTGCGGTCGCTGCATCAGGGAGCGGTGATACCGGCCGAATTGATGGCAGGATGGGAATTGGCGCGGCGTTGCCATTCATGCCATTTGCCCATGTTGCTCGCTTCATATTTGCCGGCCGGATCTTGTTGACGATGATAGAGGTGTCCATGGTATTTGCATGGACCGGCCCTGGTCGTGCAGAGCTATGATGCTGAGCCGATTGCAATTGTTCGGTAACGGAGGTTGTGACGGTATCCTTAGGACCAAGCGACTTCCGGAACCAGGACGAAGTTTTGGTGGTCAGGGCGTGCACAACCTCCGGGTGCTCGCTCATTGTACCAACGTTTGACGCCTTCCTGCCCAGCATACGGGTGGTATTGCTGCTTTTAGGAAGGAGTGGATCCAGCGCGTCTGCGAAAAAGTCGTGCTCCAAAGCTTGCCGCGAGGTTGGTCGCACTTTGGGATCCCACATCAGACACCAGGTAACAAAATTGGCGAAGCTGGCAGGCCATGTAGGTGCGGGTAACACCGTCTCTAGAGAATGTGGTGCCATCTTTGGGAAGGAGAATCCGAGCTTCTGGGCCAGCTTAATTCCATCCTTCCATTCACCGCCACCCACCTTTTGACCGTGCTTATTGACCCATGCGCCAGGACTTCCCATGATCTCGCACACTCGCCAGACTTGGTCAACTTCATTGCCACCAGGAAACAGGGGCTTCAAAGTTGCAATCTCCACAGCCATTGCACCTACAGCCCAGATGTCAACAGGTGCAGAGTACTCTCCAGCTCTTAACAGAACTTCCGGAGCGCGGTACCAGCGAGTGGATACATATGTCGTGTATGGCACTCTCGAGTGCGTCTCTCGTGCAAGGCCAAAGTCCGCAATCTTGATAGTGTATGATGGAGGTGTAGAGGGTGGTGTGACAAGCGCGGAGTACCGCTTGAACGAAGTTGCAGTATCCGTAGCTGATGTCGAGACCAGTATGTTCTCTGGTTTGATGTCCCGATGGAAAAATTTGTGCTCATGGATGTGCTCCAGCCCAGACAGGATCTGAAACAAGATGCTCTTGACACTCGCGCCATCGAGGTACTTATGATCTCGAGCCTTCATTAGCTGGTAGAGATTACCATCCATATACTCCATAGCGATGTGCAGCTTTCTGCTTAGTGGGTCGAGGAAGATGTCATAAGCAGGTACGAGATGAGGGTGGTTCGGCAGCGACTTCAGGAAGATGACCTCGCGAAGTTCCATGCACTGCGAGAAGCTCTCGAACGTCTTCTTCATGGTTTTGATGGCCACCTGCGTATAATTAGGCGTTGTTTGTCAAATCAATATAGACATTTACTTACCATTGTGCCCCGCCGGACTGTATGAGCGCCAGCGCTCCTCGTCCTACCGAGTGCAACGCTCCCAAAGCTGCCATCGCCAATGTCTTTAATAATCTCGTACTTGTCTTCGAGACAAACAGCGGACTGCGTTGTTGACGGCCAGCCGCGATATGACGTATCATACGCGATGGTCATCATGGCAGCTGCTTCGGTGCACAAAGCAAATGCTCGTAAGCCTTCCGGAAGCTAACTGAGCATGAAGTCGGAAGAGTGAACGTGTGAGACAGAGCGTTTCTCGAAGGTTCACAACACACCCTTGATTGGCGTTGTCTGTAGGCACAGTATGCTCGTGAACTGTAGCCCGCGGGGCTTGCGTGCTAGTATGCGGTAGCCATAAGGGCCAGAGTTATTACGATTAGATGTACTTGTGTCAAGGTGCTGGAGCAAAGGCGTATGCGTAAGAGGGGAGACGCTTCAGGGTCCTGCACAGGCGTCAAGTTGGATGTTAAAGACAAGTGGTGCCGTGACGGAAGGGTGGTGATGAGGCACGGTGACAGGTTCTGGAAAGACGAGCTCCGAGATCACGGTTGACGGAAGCCCTCCCGCAATGATGGTGTCTGTTAGCTCTCGATCGACAGGGACGCTGTCGATATAGCGTGGTGATGGCTTCAGTCGGGGTGAAGACGTTGTGGAGCCCGGTAAGATGATGGAACGATCCGAGCTGACTGCAGTCCTTGAAAGGAGTCGACAGGGTTCAAACTCACTGACTCGCAGACCCGGTCGAGCTGGCGAGCGGTGGAGGGTTCAAGCGTCGCGTGAGAGAGTATGGTGCAGGCGAACTCGCAAGCTGACAACCACGCCCCCAGATGCTTGTTGATGGCAGTTTTAACAGAAGCACACTGCAGAGTTCAGACACGATGAACGTGATCGAAAGCCACTGCTTCGATTCAAAGGACTTGGCTTGTGACTGGGAGTAGCACGCCAGTCCAGGATCGGTGAGCGGACGTAATAAAGCTGGAATAATGGTCCCCTTCCAGAAAGCGGCGCACAGGCAGTTTCTCCTGATATGAAGCGCGACACCACCGCCGACGTGAGTTGTCGTCTACCACGCCGGGCCTTCGGATCGTCTGCGCTAAGAGGTGCCGGGCCTCAAGCGGGAAATGTTGGTGATGCACTGATGCTCACACTATCGTCTACTCAGGTGCCCCAGGCGCAGAGCGATGCAGGTCTCGATCAGACTCCATGCAGCGCGTGAATGAAAGGGGCTGACGCTCAGGAGCGGGCATGAATTGGATTATAGTGATGGTACGGATATCTTCGCTGCAACGTTCGGAACTGGGAAACGCGACAAGTCAGGACGGTGAGTTTGAGGTGTGGCTGGGGGTGGAAGCCGGATCCCACTTCCACGAGGCACGCACGGGCCCTCCCGCACGCTGTTTTTGGATCGCAAGGGAAAATGCAAATGCAAGCTGCACTGGCTGCAGCCGGTTCAAGGCGTCGCGACTACACACTTGATTCGTACGACTTCGCCCACGACTCTGCAGCTTGCATGTTGCTGTCGCTTTTGCATTACAGCCTGTCACGTCGTAGCGCTGACTGCGTAGTCACCGGACAGGAGTGATCACTGGTCCACCGCAGCCTCGACGGCAACACCAACAAGATGCGACTGCCGAGATGATGACGGCACGATCCATCACAACACCGGAACATCACTCCCCTATCGGTAAATTGTCTTGGAACGAGTGCGGTCGGCTTTCCCTCCCCTGGGCCAACCGTCTGTCAAGCGTGAGATGGACTGCATTAGCGGCCTCCTTTTCGTGTTGATCCAGGAACATACTCCAGCCTTGCGACGGGATGAAGCCCATTGGCTGTGGTGTTCCTTTCAACGTCTCATTGGATGGGAAAGTCTCGCTCACACACCCGTCTAGCACTTCTGTCACCGACGTCTTTATTTCGCCGGAACTTCAGCACGGGAGTGACACCTCGTTTGGGCGCAGAAAGGCAAGATTGAGTTTACCCATACGATTGGCTCACCGCGGCCCGCATATGAAACAGGGGAGAGATCCAGGTTCGGCTCGCGTACCCGAAGCCACGCAGGAGCAGTTTCTCTGGTACTCGGACGGACGGGCTCTGGCATGCGGTTCCACACAGATATCCTGCGCTTGGGAGACCGCTTGTCGTCGATGATGAGGTCACGATGTCTTGACCTGACAAGTTTGTGACGCAGCGCAGCAGTCCGAACCCCAATGTGATCATTGTGGAAGGGCTACACGTCGACACGCTGACGAAAAATGTGACTACGACGCTCCAGAGATCCTTTGCAGCGTCAAACAGCTGTTGCGTTCTCACCCTCGCAGTGGAGCACTTGCCGCCATAGCAGGGACGATACCTTGCATAGCGTGATGTATGCCTGTGTAGCCGATGCAAGCAGCCAGACTGCATTTTACTCCATATTCTAGGAAGTAGATTTCACGAAATTCCAACATGATCTACTTCAGTGTCAAATGTTACTCGTAGACATTAATGTTGCTACTAACAAATGCAACCTTCGCTTCACCGTACGAAACGTTCATTGACATGCACGTTGTGCTAGTGACATGATTCCACAGCCATGCTCAATGCTCCTGCAACACTAGGCGAAGGAGGGACCATAGTGGCGACAGATGTCAACACCGTTTTCGGCGCCGGTGCGGATCTTCCAACTACTGATCACTCTTGGCAAGACAAATGGCACCGGATAAACAAAGACCTCTACCTGCACTCATGCTCACGAACAGCTTTGCTTATCGTGCAGCAAGAAGACGCAGGAAGAGTGTACCGCTGACGTCTTCGCGATTGTCGATATCATAGTTGGTAGGCCCGACTCCGTTACCGGCAATGACAACTACTAGGACCCTAGAGCAGGCGATATATGTCTTCTAAGGCAGCGTTATCCGGATGCCACCTTCGGTCAAGCTGTAAGTGGAGTGGACGTCCTGTTCTGGAGCGATGCTGTCGATCCGAGACCACAACGGACTCTCATACAGCACCCGCTTCGCCTTGACGTAGGACCGCAAATACCTTCCGCAAGATTAACAGTGCGATATGGAAAGCCGCAGCCTAGGCCTACTCCGAATGCACTCAGAGCAAAGGCCGATGGCATATTTGGGATCATGCAAGTCTCCGACACACATCTGGTTGCTGGTGTAGGAAAGTGTACTGACGCTATGGACGCGGTTGGCCACCCAATACCTGAGAGCGAGGCTGATCCGCTTACCTTGAGCTTGCTCCAAGAAGCTCTCGACGTTGAGCGACCAGATCTCGTGGTCTTGACCGGCGACCATCTGGATAGCGCGGATTGTGTAGACTCGCAGTCCGCACTTCTGAACTTGGTTGCGACCATGATAAAGCGCTTAAACCCATATGCTGCTGTATTCGGGAATCATGACGACGAGGGTAAACATGCACTTCCCGTACGTATCTCGAGATACATAGAACCTTTCGAGCCACACGCAGAGCGGCTTAGTGTAGGCATCCTGGCGAGGTCTAGCCCACCTTCTGCCACACCGTCTCCTTTCAAATTGTGGCTCGTCGCACGTGATAGGTTTCCTACTGCCTGTTCGGTCGCTAATGGGCATGACAGGAAGTGCGCAGATGTCGCTTCTACAGAGTCTTCCATACAGATACAGCCAAGCAGGTCCTTCAGACGTCGATGGTGTTCGGAACCCTCCTATCCCGATCTTCAGGCATAAGCCTTCAGAGTATTTATCCGCCACGCTATTCCTGCTGGAATCACATGGACAGATACCAAGCAAAACGCAAAGTGCAGATTACGACTACATCAAACCAAACCAGATCGCATGGCTTGCAAGCAGCTCTTAAGCACTGCGGAAAGACCGCGAGAAGTCTGGCAGCAATGGCTCCCACATCGCTTTTGCATTCCTGCACATACCGTTTCCTAAGTACGGTGACCAGGAGCTCTGCGTATGTGCAGGCCACAGAGGAGAGCCGATCGAGTCTCCCAGCTACAACTCTCATTCCTACGATGCTCTTGTTCGCGAGAAGGTCGCTGTCGTCAGCTGCGGGCATGATCACGTGAATGACTTTTGCGGTCTATTAGACGCCAAGCGCGACGGTCTGCAAGGCGATAAGCACAACAGGCTCGGACCGTGGTTATGCTACGCAGGGAGTATAGGTTTTGGGGCATATGGCTCGTACGGTGGGAAGCGGTATCACCGACGTGTGCGGCCCTTCGAGATAGATACTCGAGAGAGTGATGTGAGAACGTGGAAGCGAACAGAGTTGCTAAGCACCGAGTTGACGAGCTGACTTTAGTGCGAAGCGGTGCGGTTGTTGCACCTCTTGTCTAAGCAGTATATACATTCTCTGACGCGATGTATCCAAAGCACATCCAACACTCAATCTGGGGTATATCGCGGGGGTGTCAAACGCCATTAGATGCTTCACAACGGTCGCCGAGCTCACCGTAATCGCAGGCGCAAATTGTTGACAATTATATACAAAATTGATAGTATAGTGTAATATGCGTATCGCGACGCTCACTTAGCGCCAAGGCCTGAGGAAGACCTATCTTCTCGCAGACTGCGTAACGACGGAAGCTGCGAGTCTGCCACGTCCAGATCTTCATCATTGAGGCACCGAAGGTGTGCCTTGCTGTCCACTGCATCACTGTCATAGCTCTGTTCGCGAAGGAGCGGCGTTGTGGGCTCATCTGTTTCGTCCGTCACCAGCGGCTTCATAGTCGCGGGTGATCCGAAAGGCACCTCCACGTTGCCGGCATGGAGACGCGGCGGCGGCAGCGAGGTAGTCTCTTGCGGGCTTGGCGTGCTGCGCAAATTACTGGCTGGTGGCGTCATCAGACCAGCCGTGTAGGCGAAGCGTTGGCGAGAAGAGGACGAAGGTCGCGAGGGGGTCGTGTCCCTCGTGAAAGCAGCAGGTCTGGAACCGCTCTTCAGCGCCGAGCTCTCCATTGTACTGCGCCATTTGTTGAAAGCAGATGTAAGCGAGGCAGCTTTGGGCGCAGCGAAGGTAGACAAGCTGGCAAGCACTGGTCCACCTAAGATCTGTGGCATCACACCCAAGCGTTCCTTTTCTTGCTGTTCCATCTGCAGGTTCGCACGGATCCGGATTGCGGTATCGCGCACGACTTCTCGATCAAACGTAGGCTGCGCTAAAGTATTCACAAGTTCGGCCAGATCTTCACTTCGGAAACTGAGAAGTTCACGTAGCCATGCAATCTCAGTGTCACGCTCCTTGAGCTTGGCCGGTCCTTCTGTGTCGACCTTAGCCTGTAGCAGCTCGAGACGGCGCTCACGCTCTTGAAGCTGCTCTTGAAGGACCAGGATTGACTCTCTGAGCGCCTGTGGTGAGACTTTCTCCGGCAAACTCGTAGATGCAGAGGCAAGTGGACTCGCTCGAGCTTGTTTGCTCATCACGGCTGCCTGCGCTGCGGATTTGGCAATTTCGAGACGCTCTTCAAGATGAGAGATGCGGTCGTGTGAATGTAGAAGCTTAGCGTCGGACAGCGCCAACCGTTCGTTCAATATGTATTCGGAGCGTTGCTTGTCTTCCAAGGCTTGCCGCAATACCACCTCATGTTTGACGGTGAGCTCGTGGAGTGAGCCTTCGTGCCTTTGTCGTGCTTCGTCCAGGGCAACGCTGTTGGCGTGGTTGATCTTACGCAAAGCTTCGCGCTGTGCAGCTTCTTCTTCCTTGAGTATGTCGTTATGCTCAGCTCTGATCGTCTCCAATTCCGTCTCACGATTGTGGAGAGCCTTGCGCAGGTCGTGCAGCTCCTGTTCGATACTCTCGCGCACAGCAGTGACTTGCTGAGTCGCCTCGGACTCCAAGACCAGCCGTGTGCGCTGCAACTCACCTCTAGCTGCTTCCTCGGCGTTAGTCAGATCGCACTTATATTTCACAGCCAGCGCTCGTTGCTCCACCAAATCCGCTTGCAACCTCTGCACGAGCTCCTCCGACCAGGTTTGAGCAGACCTTGGCCATTCAGCAACGTTCAAGTCGTCTGCTTTAGCCTCCCGCAGCAGCTCGAGCTCTTCTTCGAGCACCTGCCGTTCCCTGCTTGATGCAGCTTGTTGTGCTTCAAAGTTTTCGCAGCGGTCACGGTAGTCTTCCTCCCGCGCCTTCCAGAACGATTTCTCGCTTGCCAGCTGGCCAGCTGCAGTAGCCATGTCTGCATGAAGCTTTTCTAGTCTGCGTCTCATACTACTGCCGGCTTCTTCGCTCTCCTCTACTTGTCGCTCGAGGGTAGTAATTGTGCGCTCGAGCTCTTCGCGCTGGCGCTCGCCTTCGTCTATTTGCTGCCGCCACTTAGCGCTCGACATTCGGTACTCCTCGAGGGTGGCTTGCATAGCTTCTCCCTCGGCCTCCAGACTTCTTGCATGCTCCTCAGCTTCTCGCTGAGCCTCCTGAGCTCGCTCTACGCGATCAAATAGCTCGCGACGCTCCTCCTCCATGGCACTGAGCTTGCCGTCTTCGTCACGGGAAGTATCACGGAGAAGGCTCAGTTCTTCCTCAGCGAGGCGTAGCAATCTTCGAGTTTCCGCCTCTCGCTCCTCTATAGCATGCCTGTGGTTGGCCTCCTCCAGCGCGCCGGCGAGTGTCTCGTTCAAACGGCCTTCGAGCGCCGACATCTCCCGCCTATGCTCACGCTCGCCATCGTGGGTCCGGGCCGGCAAGAGTGCTTGGCTTTGCCTTTGGAGCGCTTCCTCGACTACGGCACGAACATCTTCGAGCTCGAGAGTGGTAGACGCTGCCCTTGCGAATGAAATTTTCATGTCCGCAAGTGCAGAGTGCAGGTCTGCGATGTCATGTCCAGACTGAGAGCGTCGTGGACTCTGTTCACGCAAGGCCTCAAGCACAGCAAGTTTGATCTGATCGATGCGCTTGTCCCTGCCACGGGAGATTGGACGCTGTCGGAGTGCTTCTAGAACGTCGTCTTCGTCATCCGCATCACTATCCACGATTGACAAAGTGTGCTTGAGAGACACTCTGTCATCCGAACGCGTGCGCTTGCCTACGGATGCTTGAACATTGCGCAAGCTCTCCTTGAGCGGTTGCAGTCTCTGCTCAATGGCTCTGCCAATGACGCTGTCTATGTGACTGTCGAAGAAAGAGCTGCGTTGATACAGCTTCTCTTCCTCAGGCGGTGAAAGCATGTCCGACCAGTCACTAGCCGGGACTTCCTCGGTCTTGTTTAACCGCTTGATGTGCGGCCAGCCGTTGATGGCTTGCTCACTGCTGTCGGTCCGGTCATGCACGGTGAAGGATGAATCCGCTTGAGAAGGTTGCGGTGCTTGCTGCCGCCTCGGGCCTGGACTCGGCGCGTCACTCCGTGGCCATGCAAGCAGATAGGTCACGCCTGGCATAGGTGTCTCGTCGGAATCAGTTTGAAGAGAAGTCGCGGTCCTCCCATGAGTAACTTGTTTCATCTCGTCTTCCGCTTCGTTGAGCTGACGCATAACGGCATCAATCTCGTCAAAGGATGGCTCGGGGTGAGCAACGTCGTTGATTCGTTCCCTGGCAGAGACGCCCCATGGCATCTGCGGGTCCGGTAACGCAGGAATCAGGCCCACTCCGGGCTCTGCATCAACAACGGGAGAGATGATGGGCGTCTCGCTTTCGCGTATTTCGCCATCTTCCAGCTCGCTAACGGATGGATAGCGCTCGTGATCGTGGTTCGGCTCGTGTTTCAGAATCTGCAACGTTCCAGGCGGCTCGAAAGGCTTTGCGAGAGCAGAGAGCGAACTTGATCGCCTTTGGTGATGGCCTGATGTTGCAGGTATGGCACCCTCTGCGTGTCTATGGTTCTCTAGTGGTGCATTTTCAGACACATCGTTGCCATCGGCTTCGGCAATATTGTCGTCCAAGAGTGGATCTTGCGCTCTGCTTGGTAAGACGTCCGCAGTGCCTCGACCTTGGTCATCATCATGGCAAAGCTGGGACGACTTCTGTAGGGCAAAGTCCGCAGCATCAGGCATGGGTGTCGGCTCCGCGAAGCGTGGTACTTCATTACCATCACCACCATCGTAACGCTGTCGCTTCAGACGATCATCGCTAGGAGCAATGCGGCCTTCCTCGTCCTCCAACTCCTCGCTAGACTCGGTCGAGGTACGCGTACTACCATTCGGACGGACTATTGCAACAGCCTTGGATCTCCGAGCGGGCTTGACTATTTCTGCGGACTGCGGAAGCTCTACCTTGCCGAAGATGCTTGGCAGGTCGTCGACAATGGTACGCTCGTCCGATCGTGGCTTGAGGGGCTCGAAAGAGGCAGCAGTCGGCTTGAATGACAGCCCTTTAGCAGAGAAATTGAACTCCGTCTTCGGTACGAACGGTGCGGTGGCCGGCTGGAAAGCAGGGGCAGCAGCGTTAAACGTGCCGGACGATGGTTGTCGCGTGTGTCCATTTGCTCCCAAGACGTTAGAGGTCGGCGGCGGAAGGCCGAACGTGAACGGGGCGCTAGCGGCTAGCAATGACGCTTCTGCGTTGAAATTGAAGGTTGGAGCTGTGCCATTGAGAGGCGCCTTGCTCGTTTGATAGGTTTGAGCGTAGGGTTGCGTTGACGAACCTTCCTCACGCGGCTCATGGAGGTGGCCAGCCTGCATATGGATCTGTCGGCGCTGCTGTGGCTCTCCAGTAACTCCCATCCAGTCTCGTCTCTCATCTTCACGGCGTCGCTCAGCTTCCATTATCTCACGCTCAAATCCTTCGCTGATGTTACGCAGATGACCTCTCGTTGGTGTTGGGATGGCAACGTCGGCGTTGAACTGTGCCCGCTTGTGCGGTGGGACGTAGGCAGGAGCATCCGGTCCTTGCAGAGGCGGCTCTGGTGCAGGTTGCATGAGCTCTCCTTCATCATCTTCTTCCGGCACCTCTGGTAGAAGAGGTGTTGGTTGGACTGTGGGCACCTGAGGCGGGAAAATATGCTGCACGGGTGGAAACTGCATGGACTGAGAATATGCGTGTTGTCGGCGTCTTTGATCGTCCATCAAGCTTCTGCTGTAGTCCTGCGGAGAAGGCATGAACAACTGGTGGCTGAGGGGAGATCCAGGCCCGCGTACGGTATCAGGACCTTGACGTAACGCTGCTATCTGTGCTGGAGAACCTCCGCGAGCAAGGCCGGGCACAGCGAACGGCTTCTGAGGAGAGAGGGCTTGCATATTTGGTATAAATGGCTGGAGAGCTTGCAATGGTGGTGCTTGTTGCTGCGTCTGCAGTAGGGACATACCAGACAAGCCAGAGAAGGTCGAGTGACGATGCATGTGGCCGAACGGTCCATTAGCCGGAGACAACGGCGAAGCAACAGACATTGTGTGAGAGTGACCTCGTGCCATTAGCGGGCGCCCCATGCCGGAACTCGTAGGTATTGGAGGCGAGAAGGGAAGTGGCGGATATTGACCAGAAGACTGGCGCGACATGTCGAGAGCAGGTGGTGCAGGGGGCAGAGGTGCTTCTTCTGTCACACAACCTACCCCCAAAGCAGCCAATCTCTCTTCTATCAGTCTCTCCGCGTCTGCCTTGAGCTTGTGAAGATCTGGTAGGTGAACTCTTGGCGGTTGCTGTTTTGCTTGCAAAAGCAGCTCAGTCTCATCCGGATAGATTGGCTTTGCGTAGGATGCATGTTCAGAATCAGCATCAAGGGACAGCACAAATCCCCTCGTGTCATACCCAGCGTCCTCGAACACTTTGAGCCGTTGCGCTACGTCTTGCGCACTCAGGGGAATGGGCATCCCAAGCGAAGGAAGACCCGTGTTTGGAAGGTGTATGATCACGTTCTTGCCATTGCAGTGCACGCGCTTTTTGATCCTTGGACCGCCAATCGAAGCGTTCGGACGTAGTCGTGCACCTGCAGATGTCTCATCTCGGACGGAAGACTTGGACTCTGGATCAGCTGTTTCGAATGATGATTTGTGCTCAGAGGCAATCGTTCCGCCGCCCGTGACCTCCTCTGATGGTGCTGGCACATGATCTTCAGCACTCTTTTTTTTCAAGTCTGACGCTCCCTGCTCGGCGTACGCGTAGCTATCAGGGTTGGCTTGTGGTGACGAATCATGATCTTGCGGTGGCGTGGCTGCCCAGCGTGATGCGTACAAGTTCGACATGCCGTCTTCCTTAGCGCCACGAAGCGTATCCAGAAAGGTCTGCTGATTCAAAGTCCGGTTAAACTCTCGTGGCTTGTGGCTCTTCGCTCGACGCTCCTTAGATATTGCTGCGCCCAGGTGCCAGGCCCCTTCCGTTGCCACTTCCGCCTTGTCCGAACCGCTGCGAGACTCGTCGCTCCACCAATGCGCTCTTTCGCGCTGCTGTCTTTGCGGGAGCTGTACCCAGCGTCTTGTGCGTCTCTGCGGGGTATATGCGTCCTCCGCCTCAGATGCCAAAGGTACAGATCTACTTGGATCGGCTGGCTGATCCGGTTGCGGACGGTTGCTTTCGGTGAACCTGCTCGGTATCAAATCCTTAAGGCCGAAGTTTGGTATTGGTGAAGACTCAAGTAGACTGTCGTCCGGACCTTGCTCGGAAAGGGCTGTTCTCGCGGAGACCGTTGGTGACGATGGCAGTTCGTACGGCGAGCCCCACGCTGCCGTGTAGTAATCCGAGCTGGTATCTCTATGCGTACTGCTGGTTGTAGCAGGTGTATGGGGTGCTTGACGTGCAGTCTCTGGGCTCAACAACCCCTCCAGCTCAGGCAAGCTGACAAGCTGTGCTTGCTGAGGCGCCACCCCTATGAGGCTATCATGTTCGGCTATCCTGACGGGCGGTGACGACGGGAGCACGTATGTAACTGCTGCAGTGTCTTCGCCGCTTCGCTCCAGTTCTTCGAGCGGGAAATGTATTATCTGAGCTTGCAGTGTCCGATACCACTAGCGAGTCGTACGAAGTATCTATTGCCTTACTCCTGACCAGTCTTGACGCTATTGGCAAGCTCTTTTTGACTGCGATTATCTTTCCAACAAATGAGAGGATGTGGTCGGGTCTCGAAAGAGTGACAAACGCGGAATCAGAAACAGAATAAGAAACAGCCCTATGGTATACGAGACATGAGTACGGATGCCACGAGACTTGCCAAATGCTTGCACACTGCTAGCAAAGGTAACAATGATATATTGTGCAGACGGTGGATGTTGGAAGCCCAAGCAGGGGCCGGTTTACGCGAATCGAATCGGGCTGCGACACGTCTTAAGGCACGTGCGCCGGCTATAGATGAACAATTCCAGCATCGATGTCCGGGAACTGGCTCCATTATTGATATGACTTGATCCTGAACTGTCACTGTGTCCGTGGAACAGATAGAAAGATTGATAGAACTCTCAGCAACAGGAAGCGGAAAGGAAGTGAAGTCAGAAGAAGTGCACGCGCAAGGCACGCGAGCACGTGACCTCAAGGTGGAGACGTCACGGTTGTACCTGATCGCAAATGGTAGATCTGCTTGAACTGATATCGCTAACCTAATCCAAACCCATTGGTATGGCAAGTCCTCCATCTTTCATGCTCTGCATCCAATCCATATCCATAGTGAAACCGCTACTCTCCCCACCCTGCATCGCGGCATATGCGGAGTCCTCCAAAAGCCAGGTTTCGCCGGCAGCGTCGAGGTTGACCAGTGAGTCGAAGTCGGCCTCGAGGTCTACGGGAATACTGATCGACCCATCGTCTATGAGCTTGTGCTCGTGGTGAGAAGGTTGGTGATCGGAGTTTGGCGGACTCGAAGCGAGGAATGTGTTGAGGCGGTGCGCAATGTCCTCGTCGGTCAGATGTGGCTGCTGATCTATGCCCGAGTGCAGATCCTGCTGCGCGTCAGGCGGAGGGGTGAGCGCACGAGAATTCATTCCGGAAGTCATGCGTCGCCCCAGCTCCATCAGGCCTTGTGCTGAGGTGATGATGCTGCGTGAGTCCTTGACCTCGTTCGATTTTTGCGGAAGAGAGATCTCTGCTTTCTTGATGGCTGCTTCGAGGAACGCTGTAGAGTAGTCTGCCGCAGCGTAGACATCTCGCAACCTCGCCATGATTCGCATGCACTGACAGAAGCCTTGCAGGCTTGCTCTCCGCGTCGCTTCGTCAGGCGCCTTGATATCGAGCAAATGAATGATGATCGCCGGTAGCAGAACCGTGATACCGGTAGACGGCAGATACTTCACCAAATCCAGATGATATAAACCGTTTGCAATGTTCGTGATCTCGCCCGCGGCAAGCCTTACTGCCTTCCGCGAGATCTCGAGCTGCTCGGATGGAGTGCTGCGAGGTGGCAGTGCGGTCGAAGGCAGCACTTGCGGCCTGTGCAATGCCGAAAGCGTGGCGTAGTAGATCATGTGGAGCAGCGAGCGATTCAGGGCTATGTCCGCATTCCCAACGTCCACCTCGGCCCATGTCGGCGCGACATATTGTGCATCCTCAGCCAAAGCTTGCTTCCAGTCCTGCAGCTCCTGGTCACACGCTTGCACTTCGTTGACCTCGGGATCTAGCCTTTTCGCGACAAGCATCATGGTTGTGCGTGTGCTGCCTTCGTCGCTTAATACACCATGGTTGTTGTGTAAGACGGAGTACTGTACTGACAGAACATGGCTGATGCAGATGCAGAGCTTGGCCTTCTCAATGCACATAACTGCGAGCTGTCTCTGCTTCGTTCGATCTCGCAGCAGCGAACAGTCGGCCGGAATGCATGATGGGCCTTCAAGGATGATGTTGTCCTCGAAGTCGTCGATCCGTAGCATTGGCACATCAAAATCGGCATCTTTTATGCGTGTTGGTCGCCTCATGCCAAGCGCAACCAAGCGGTCTCGCATGTAGGTGGACCACCAAATACGCTTCCACAGCTTTTGCCTTGGGACATCCATTGATGCAGATTTCTCTGGATTACGATGCAAACCGATTGTATGCGAAAGCGAAACTGCGATTCCCATCCAGTGATGGCTGTCCTTCTGGTCGTCTGGCGTCTCGTACCAATATGTCATTAGCAGCAGCGATTGAATGAGCGAAATGCGGTCCACTTCAATGTCGAAGTCGTACAGTAGTCTCGTCTTCTGAAAGAATTCGCGTCTAGCATCTCTTCTGTTGTCATATCCAGCGGCCTTCAGATATCGCATATCAACCGAAGCAATGCCGGCGAACATTACTGCTTGAAAAAGCAGTAGACTAATCGTTTGCGAGTCGTTCTTACCATCGATCGCTTGCACAAACTCGTGAATGTTGAGCAGAGGCATGTACGGATGTATGAACTCTGCGTAGCTGCGCAGAAGCTCATTGCGTAGTGGCGTTGGAGGTATCGTTAGTGCACCCCTCCTCTCAAGGTACGCGAGGTCGTCCGGACTAATCCGCGTAGGCATTGCTTTGATGTACAGAGGCATCGTTGAGGGAGGAGTCATCGGCGCCAGTAGATCTGGGTGAATTTGGGCGCTTTCCGCAACTGATCCACTCCGTTGACCATGCCGATGGAGGTTCATGAGCATGTTCGGCGTATACAAACTGGACTGAGAAGCCGCGTCTGCAGCATTGCCATCCCCCTCAAGCCCTTGATCTAGAGACACTGTTAGCATTTGTGCGGCACATGGAGTGCCGCAGCCGGAAATCTTACAAAGAGAGTGCGGTGTATGATCGATGGACTTCTTCAATGGTTCATATGGCGGCCGCGCGGACATCGGCACTGTTGTGCCATTCTCCTTGGTCATGAGGCTGTTACTCTGCTGTGGCGAGGCTTCAGCATCGTTTGAGGACCACTTCCTACAGCATTATTAGCGGCTTGATACTCGATAGCAACCGCTGGACCGTACTTCTTGCGCTTGCTCTCGGAAACGATGCACTCGACCTCATCCAGACGGCAATTCGTGCATGGCGCTCCATGCTCAACTACATTGCACCGAACTTTGCGCGATCGGCAGCATTGGCATGCTTTGGATGCCCTTCGCTTTACACTCTTCGCGGACCGCATGCCAGGCTTCAAGCCCGCTGCATCTGCAGTACGTTTCGGTGGCAACATCTGTGCAGTGGTGGTGTCCTCTGGAGAAGCGGAAGACTCGGAGAGCCCTGCCTCCACCCCGAATGCGTCCATAATGATGGCCACGCTCGAATAGATCCTAGGTAGACCACAGAAGAGCAGTACGGATATGAAGTGAAAACCGCGCGTAAGTACAATCAAATGAGATGCAAAATTAAAGATTCATAAGCTTGACGGAATGTACAGACACATACACCAACGGAGTGAGAGGGGCAGATGAAGAAATGGAAGCCATCGCCGTCCCACTGCTGGAACCCCGGAAGGCTAAGTCTGCTCTAGTGAGTTTTGCGAGTTGCATGCTGTTATCCCCACCAAGGAATTAGCGCGTCCCTCGGCGATCGACGCATTGGCAAGCAGCGGCCGTTGCGACGGGCAGGAGCCAGGATGTGCACCCGACTCTTAGGATATTACGCCTATCTCTCGCATGCGAGCCGTTAAGACGTGGTCGGTGAGATGCTGATCAGTCGTAAGCTCTGACAGTTAGACTGCAGTGTAACGCCTCGATGAAAAACGACCAGCGTGGACACCCTCGTCAAGCCACCGGTAGTGCTGCGGCGGCCGAGACTCTCCACAGAAGGCGAGCTAGACGCGGCGCGGAGCCGCCAAATGGTTGCAACTTGGCAAAACGAACACTGAGGAGACCCCACAGGCCAAGAAAGGCATGGTGCATTGGCGATACGGCTGTATGGCGGAAAACAGAAATGGTCAGCAGGTGGGCATGCTCATCAAGGTGACGAGAAGACGGAGCTTTCCTTCCACAGCTGCTTGAGCTGCGCTTCCATCCGCGTGGGCATGCTGTGCCTCTGTTCCGACTTCACCTCGTCGACATGCAGGGTGGCATAGCTCGCATGGCGACCCCGCGGGCTCTGTGTGCCGCTGTCAGCTACTAAGTGCAGACTGGTTTCGCTTATGCAAACGCCACCAAGTCTGCCAATGCTCGTGACTCTATCGTTGGCCATCAATGCTGTTCTTCTGCAATGTATTTGATGGTCTACGAGAAAGCCAGACGACAGATGTTCCGCCTCGCAGCGGCTGCACGAAGCGGAGTCGTGATAGCAACCTACTGCATCACGACACAGTCATATATTCATGAAGCACGGTTGCAACATCTGCATCGGATGAACGGCACTGATTAGCAATCGTGTTGGTATCTTCCGATGTCCTCACGCTCTCGTTACAGCGAAGTGAGTGAGCCAGTGCTCACCCCGGCCATTGACCGGAGCGCGTATTCGAATTCACCCTTAGAACAACTCTACAACACTATAATCAAGATCATCTAGTCTTCCTGGCATTGCCGTCGGCGCCACTCATGCTTCGCTCACGCCGCATCACTCGTGGTATCGTCGTGAAGAGGCTCGGCCATATCAGCTCGTACTCGTCCTGCTTACCGTTTAAACAATGTCTTAACCAGATTCCCCAAACCTGATTTTGCACATCAGCAGTCCGTTTGGGACGACGACGGTAGCTTGACTTACGATATAGAAGTAAGCGCCTGTGCCAGTCATAAGGTGCCACCATCTAAAAGCGAAGCAAGGATCCGTCAGCGATACTCAACCACAAGCCAGATTCAGGCCATTCAGATACGCACCCGTGGCCTTCCAACAATACTCCCCACGGTAGGCCAAGCGCACGTCTCCATGACCTGAGCGTCAAGCAATACTTGTTGTCAAGGGTCCAGATCGCGAAGCCTCCGAGAAAGATGGACAGGCCCACAAGAATCATGAACCACATTCGGACAAGTATACTGCGATCTCGCTCATCTTTCCTTCTCTCCTCCGCTCTCTCACGTTCGTCCATCAGGTTACTCTGCAGCACTTTCACATGCATTTGGTGGCGCCGCCGAAAGTAGGGGCGAAGATTGACCTCCATAACGTACATGCTTCGGAAAAGGACAATAGCAGTCAGGATTGCGTAAGCGTTCTGATGGAACGTTGGGTCCTGGAGGTAGTGATAATACCCTGTGATGAAGAGAGACAGCGAGACGGAGAAGACGCCAAGCAATAGAGGTATGGGCGGCGGTCGGCGGTACTCGAAAGTGGCCCAGAACATCAGACACGTGGTGTAGATCATGCCGAGCTCATCAACCAGTTGCATGGGATCTAACGAAGTGTCAGTGACGTGATCAACGCGACTTGACACAGGTTCGGAGTCGGCTCGACGGACACTTCAGGGTTGCATGGAAGGCAAAGCTTCCCAATCCGACGATCAGGTACCCCACAAAGGCAACGAAGAAGACTCGGTCATGGCCTTGAGAATAGCAGTTGAAACAACCCTTAATGGCGAGGTACGGGAAGATCAAGTTCGTCAAGGTGTTGACGATTTCGGCGGCGTATGGCGTTGAGTAGTAGTTCTGTGGGCAGTCTTGAGTCAACCACGGATGTCAACGGTTCTGGTTGAGTTCATATACCTCTTCGCACCAGTCTAATGTTGAAGTGATAGGGCTCCAGTAGCCTTCTGCCTGCGCCGGTGGATACGGTATCGATGGTAGCCAAGAAGGCATCCTAATGCTCCAGTTCGATAACGTGAATTGCCTTCGATCAATTTCTGACAGCGAATTTCTGGCGTGTAGTTATGCCTGACAGTCTCTCTACAAGGGTTTGTCTTCCCAATGCCGTACTGTTTGCGACCATGCAAACGCTCATGGAGGTGAAGCAAATGCACGAATGGCGCTGGTGGAGCCGCTCGGAGCCGACTCCGCTGCTCGACATGCACACTTCCACTGCTTTGCTTGACACACCTCTGCGCAGGACAAGGAAACACATCATGAAGGAGTAATGATAATATGGCTATACCGAACGAGAAATTGCAGCAGGTAGGCTTCAGTTCATCACGGTTTCAGTACCTGTCACTAACGGCGCAAAGCTGCTGCAAGAGATTTCGGCCAAAGCACAATTCGCAGAGCAACAACTAGGCATCGTGCGAACGCAGATGGCTACCAAGAACCGCGAGAGTCGCATGCTGCAGCTATCAACTACGGAGATGAACGCGCTGCCGAAAGACACGCCTGTCTATGATGGTGTGGGAAAGATGTACGATTGTCACACGATTAGGTTTATGTTGACAAGCGCTGACCGGCGGGCAGGTTTGTAATGACTTCCATTGACGATGTCAAGACACGACAAGCCAAAGAAGGCGAAGACATCAAAAAGGAACTCAGCAATTTGGAGAAGAAGCTGCACTACCTGGACACGACGTACAAGAACAGCCAGGAGCACATGGAGCAAATTCTCAAGCGAGGCGGGTGAAGTCTAGATCGGTCTTCAACTTCTTTCAGGAGGCTCAACCCTTGGACTGCATTGTCAAGTACCTAGTATGTGTCTACTTCCGTCGGCATCAGATTGCCAACCCAGGCCTCTGGCATGGGTGAGGCGTGCCGCCTCACTCCACACAACACGGCACGAAGCATCGCGACCACCACACTCCATACACAGACACCGAGACCCCTACCACCGAGGCGAACCTTGTCATGGGTACCTTACGTCTGGGCTCTCTCTGAGCGAACGGCATCGTGGAGAAAGCAGAATCACTAGGTGCACGGAGCTGAAGTCCTACCAGCTGCCCTAGCAGCATAGATCTGCATGTGCGATACGATGCATCTGAGTTACTCCAGTTCGGCACATGGAGTGTCACTCCGCGACCTGTCCGCTGCGAGCTTTGCCACAGCGACGCTGTGTGCTACCTGTTTGGTTTCAAGATTCGCTTGCTGTTAATATGTTTGTGGAGTACATTGGGAGCAAGAAGCAGCGCGAAGCATGGAGAAGCCGCGTCGCATCAGGATCGGTTTAGTTCAGTGGTTAATCCACTTGCTATAGAGCAAAGCATCACGAAGCTCTGTCACTCGCTTGTTTGCTGCGGTCATTGCTGGCGCGCCTCAAACGAACCTATACTGCATGCTCTACCGACGCCAGTGGCTGCCCTTGCGCGAGCTGAAGACTATCCTCAGTGTGACGAATACGGAGCAGTGCGGAATTTCTTCGGCAATATCAACCACTTCCTCCCAATCAGATGCGGGATCCCATGCGGACGTGGAGCGAGCCCAAGACGCGACGCCTGAACACACTACCGTAGCCGATACATCAACCGATCCACCAGCAGTCACGCCGCCTCGAACAATTCGCGCCACAGAGGAAACAGTGGACTTGCTGTCGGTCTGCTCCCAAAGCATGGTTGCAAGCACGCATCAAGCGACCAGCGACGATTTGCTCACCAGAGAGAAGGCGACCATGACCATGCTCGAAGCCGTTGAGCGCGGAATGCTTAGACGACTGAAGTGGGGATACCAGCTTCTCGCCGATGTTGGAGAGGGTTCTGAAATGGCTGAGAGGCAGGTGGACAACGAGTGATCGGCAGTCATGAAAGCTCTTCACCTCCATAGCTGCTTCGTGGCCGCGAAGACATGTTTCACGGCCATGATCGTGGCAAAGCCGGCCGGGAGTAGTGCACGACTTCAGGCATGTTACTGAAGCGCTTCAAGTTAGTGGTCTGCCATCCCATCATATCAGCACGCATCTTAGGCAGCACACCTCCAGTTGACGGTGTCGCGCTCGTGAAGAATCTGTCCGCGGAGGGAGTTGATTCCGCGCGCTTGCCACAAGGGTTCATATGTTGTTTGAACAGACTTGTTTGAAGCGGTTTGGCACGCGTCGGAGGTGGCTGGCCCACCAATCCTGCTGGAGTGACGGAAGATCTGCTGTCGCTGCATCGATGATTGTCGTGTAAGACAGAAGGCGGCTTATTAGCTCAATTTCTGCAAGTAGCCTTGCTGTATCAATCGCTCCACATCAGCCTGCCTGACATAGAACTGGCTGTTCTTTGTGAGTGTAATACTGCCGTACTCTGTCTGGATTTCGCCCGCGTCCTTGAGCACGCGCACGTCGATAAAGATGTCTCGGGGCGGCTCCAGACTTCCTGTAAGGTCGATGTCGGTCCATTGCCCTTTGTAGGCGGCAAGGAGGTCGCTGTACTGATGCATGTACTGCTCCTCCTCCGCACTGAGACTGCTGGTAGCGGCATCTTGACCGCGTGTAGTAGACGAAGCCTGTAGGTCCGAGATATCAAGGCCAGACCAGCACATCTCTTCCAGCTTGTCGGTCCTGGTGCGGTGGTAGGCAAGCAGACAGCGCTTATTCCTTCGCATGCTCAAATGATTCACCAGAAGCGCACAGGCTGTCGAGGGATCATCTGCAGGATTGAAGCTTGATTTGATTTGGGTACCATCACTTGCTTGAGTCGCCTGCGTACTGTACGGTGCGAGCAGATTGCTCACTTCACGGTCCAGATCTCGCACTTCCTTGGCGACAGCACGGACTGTTGTTGAGGCGTATGGCGGCAGGTGAGGCAGGCTTTGGATGCGTTTGGCATCCAACACCAGCTTGTTCGCCTGCTCGGCGTACATGCTGCCGGGTGTGAGGTAGTGCAAGAGCGAAGGGTGCCTTGTGCCAAGATGTTGAACGTTCGGGAAGTGGGGCACGAACGGAAGCAGATGCTTATTACACCATTCACCTTCACTCTCACCTTCCTTCATAGAGTCTTATGTTGGGAGTCATTGGTCGAGGCTGGCCCTTGCCATCCTGAAGCTGGGGCCTTATGCGCCCACTTCTCCCGAATGGCATTGCTCACAGGCTGTTGATAGCCTGGCGTATCACATAGCGACTGACTTGGAGAGCATAGTGGAAAAGTATCTTGGATTCGAACAATATATGCGATACTGGACCCTACGAGTGACATGCACCGCCTCAAAGAAAAACAAGCTTTCTACACCGGGCTCGACAAAGCTCTAGCAGACAGCGATGAGGAACCAGATCCCGGACGTACTGCATCTGTCCAGGCACTTCGCAGGGCATCGGAAAGGAAGGCAGCGGCAGCCAAACCAACAATGGCTGCAAACAGTCTCCCCCGCTCGGCCTCTGACACTAACCTGAGCAGGCGTGGGCCTGCAAGCTCGGCTGATCAGGTCCAGCAGCCCAGGCCGGTTACCAGCAGTGGCAGACTGCCTCCGCCAGCCCTGACGAAGGGCGCAACAATGATATGTGCAACGAGCAGCACTGCCTCTACCAAGCCATCATTTCCCACCGCCGTACCTAAGGTCACTGGAAAAAGGAAGCGCGACGGTAAGGTTGCATGTGTACCGGATGGGCAGCAGGTCTTCAAGGGATTGCGCTTCTTCTTCTTCCCTAACGACGACAGGAATATCGCACGGGCATTGCGGATTATGAAAGCTCTTGAATATGGTGCGTCTTGGTATACGGACTGGAATGACAGCGTGACGCATCTTATTGTCGACAAGCAGTATGAATATAACACAGTCCTCAAGTTCATGAAGATGGACCGCATACCGTCAGGTGTCATCGTTGTCCGCGAGAACTACCCGGCAGAGTGCATTACGTTCCGCACGATGATCGAACCAAAGCAGCCTCGCTTCACCGTGAATGGGTACGGTACCGCCCAAATCCTAGAACCAATTACGATAGCCACTCAGTCCGCGTCTGCAGAGTCGATTACATCGCTCTCGCTCAAGCCTGCCGGAAAGTCTGTGATGGCTCGCCAGCCGGAGACCCCGAAGAACTACGACAGTGACGGCTCGCCTACGAAGATTGCATCCTCGAACGCGCAGACTGATATGCCTCAACTTCAACGAGCGTCTTCTGACACGACGAAGACTGTCGCCTCAACAGCGGAGTTCGATGCCGCGATACGGCAGGCTAGGAAGCTGCAGTATATACCATTAGAGGGCGACGATGATGCTGAAGACAGACCGATCAGTGCCGAAGGGCCAGCAACCGATGATGAAGATGAACCTCAAGCTTCTCCAAAGCAAAGGGAGGCGAAGCATCTAGCCTATCAAAACAAGTTCCAATGCATGCAGAAGAACACCGAGGGCAAGACAAGCTGCCCTAACGCAGCCACAATTAATATACTGCAACAGATGGCGGACTATTATGGCCAAATGGGCGATGAGTGGCGGATACGTGCTTACCGGAAGGCCATCACGACGTTGCGTAAACACCCGACCAAGATATGGACCAGAAAGCAAGCCCTCGCGCTTCCTCAAATCGGCGAAAGGCTAGCTACGAAGATCGAAGAGATCGCTTTCACCAACCGTCTCCGGCGTCTGGACAACGCTCGCGACGAACCTACCGACCATGTATTGCAGGCATTCATGGGCATTTACGGTGCAGGCTTCGCCAAAGCAAGCGAATGGGTTAGCCAGGGCTACAAGACTCTCGATGAGGTCCTTGCGAAAGCCCGGTTGTCGAGCAACCAACGCATCGGTATCGAGCATTACGCCGACTTCAATGCGCGAATCCCAAGAGCTGAAGTTGAACAGCACGGCGGCGTCGTTCGCAAAGCCCTGCAGAAGCTTGATCCGCTCTTCGAGGTCATCATTGGTGGCTCTTACCGTCGTGGTGCAGCAACTTCTGGGGACATTGACTGCATCATCACCCATCCGAACGCCGACTCCGCCTACCTGCGCATGATTGTGCTCGAGCAGGTAGTGCCCGAGCTTACCTTGTCTGGCTTCGTAGTCGCTGCTCTAGCGGCTACGCACAAGGACGACGGAAGCAAGTGGCATGGTGCCTCCAAGCTCGCAAACTCCGCTGTCTGGCGCCGTATAGACTTACTACTCGTTCCATCGGACGAGATAGGCGCAGCTTTGATCTACTTCACAGGCGACGACATATTTAACCGCTCGATAAGATTGCTAGCCAGTACGAAGGGCATGCGCTTGAATCAGCGTGGCTTGTACAAGGATGTTATGCGAGGAAATGGGAGGATGAAAATAAGCAAAGGGACGCTCTTGGAAGGGAAGGACGAGCGGAAGATCTTCCAGATCTTAGGTGTGCCGTATAGGCCTCCAATAGACAGGATTTGCTAGCCTCTGAAACAGGTACCTCATCATCACTTAACGCAGCTTTTCACCGTCGCCTCACGCCGGCGCTATGCTCGTCCGTTGCCGCCCGCATCCCGAAACGCCTGTAAACCACGTGAACTGTCATTAGAACGCAGTAGCCTTACGCCGGAGTCTGTCATCTCGTAAAGTACCATGCGCATCGCCGGTAGATGCTGCCCGAAGGCATTCGTATCAATCAATCAGTCACGTGCGGTTACGCTCGCTTTTCAACCGTAACGCCTCGACTTCCGATGTACACTCCTCTCGTCTCATTCCATCACTGCATCAGGACGACATGGTAACATTGGTAGGAGCAGCCGTACCAGTCGTTCCACTTGCCGTTGGCAGTGAGCCTGGACCCGCAGAGGCAGCAGCAGCAGTGGTTGTGCTTGTAGAACTGGCCTCCTTAACCTGGATCTTCGGTAGCACACCTTGGTTCACCCACAGATCAATGAGTGGCTGCATCGGCTCGGCATCCTTGTCTGTGAACAAGCCGTAAAGCCTGCCGACGTTGACGAAATGTACGAAGCAAGTGTTGAGCTCACGGTGAGAGCTCGTGTCCCAGAAGAAGAACCAGTGCTGCCAATACAGGTGGGCGTAGCAGCGGAAAATTTGCTTGTACATGTTCTTGATCTCCGTCTCAAAGCGTGGCGGAAAGCCGCTGAGCTTGCCGAGCCAGTAATTTGGGTTGGGGTTGTCGGTCAGCGCTTGCAGGGTGGGAAGTGGTGGCGGAGAGCTCAAGGTGTCTGTGGGAAAGAGCGCTGGATCTTGGATCTTGCCGTTGACCCAGGTCTGGATGTGCTTGATGTAAATGTTGGCAGCAAGATTGATTGGATTGCCCTTAGTATCGATCCAGGTGTATGTGGTTCTGCCGAAAATGCCATCAGCGTAGTCGCATGAAGTGCACGTAACACAACAGATTAACTCACGATCCTGCGGACATGCTGGGACAGGTCACTTCGTTGCAGACTGGGCGGCCTGTGGTGCGGTCTTCGGCGGAGGCGGTCTTAATGAGGCCGGTTAATAAACGGTTCTGCTCCACGACTGCCGAATATTAGCGTCCGAGACGATGGAGATAGAAAGTCGCACCGAACAGGTGACTCACGTTGATGTGCTAGCCACTCTCCCTCTTCGATGAGGTGGGGCTTGGCAGCGAGCGTCATGAAGTTACCCTTCACAATGAAACCTGCGTAATCTTCGCGAAAGAAGAACGGTGGTTTGCGACCAGCGTTACTCTCGGTGGCTTGCTGGTTGGTCGTCATGCTTTGTGTGAGCGACGGTGAAGCTGGGGGCTGTGGTGGAGCTTGTCCGAAATTTGGTGGTAGAAGTGACGGTGACGGTTGGTTGTAAGCGGACGGAGACGAAGTGTTGGCACGGCTTGGGACTTGGTTCTGGCTACGCTGTGGGTTCGCCGACGGGCGTTGAGCGAGCGCTCGACTAAAGGGAACCCATCCGTTAGCACGCTTTCTACAGACCGTGTAGATATCGATTTCGGTCTCTTGAAATTCCAGTTCAGCTGCGGTCGATGGTGGATCCTGCAGGTCCGGCGAGTCCGCGTTTGACGACATGGTGGCCTCGCTCCTTATCGAGTTCCGTGTCCTCCAGTGATCTTCTTGCAGTCCCTCGGTCCGGAGAGATGCCCGGTGGAAGAGAGGAATGACGCTGTAAGTGGGGAGATGAAGGCCGCACCAACGTGGGAAAGTCAATGTGAGCTCAGCTGACCAACACTAGGCGGGAGCTCACGCAACTCATTTAAGTCATGTTGGTCAAGCTACTCGCACGTCATACGTGCGTTCGTGATGTTTCGTGACAAGGTGAAGTGAGGTTCAAACGGTAGGTGCGGCTCGTTCGAGGAAAGTGCAAACGATGCGGGCATTGTCATCGACCAGACTGTTTAGCCAGCTGTACGCATTGCCATGCGAGAGGCTGAAAGGAGAAGAAACGTTCAGTGGTCGCAAGCGCAGAGGTCCTGTATGTGTACCTGTGTCACCTTGTGACTATACAGACCAGGAGAGCATGTCCGGTAAGGCTGAATGGTTGGTGCAAAGCCTCGACCCGCGTAATATGGCCGGCACATGCCTCGTGCAAGGTGTCTCGGGGGAGGAGCATGTGGCGGCACCGTTCAACACAATGAACGTCCATGGTTTCATGCTGACATCGAGGCCGGGTTGACTGGTTGAGTGAAGGCTCAATTCCAAGTAACTTGGGCGGCGAGTCACTTGGATAAACTGATAGCGGGACGGCATTTTACTTTAAGGCCTTACTCCCGCGTAGATCTCCCAATGGCTCCTGAGTGCGGATCACTAAGGGACAAAGCTGAACTTACAGGTTGCTCATCCAGTTCGACATCGTTACTGCCGCCTCGACATCCGGGGACTGCGATCCCTTATTCACCTGAAGTAACTTTTGCTTGTGATTTGGGCAAGTAGCGTGAAGTGAGAGTCAGCAGATTTGATACATATTGAGGGTGTAGTGAGGACGACAGGAGTCTGGAACGGAGACCTTTAAAGTTAAGGGACGATCCGGCGGGATATCTCAACGGGGGCTAGCGTCGAGGCGCTCGAACCTCGCACGCGCCTCGATCATTAGAGCGTACATGAGCTTTGCTCTCTGAACATAGTCATATAGCCAGTGATTGGCGCACGATGGACACCGTACAAGAACATAGTCGCGAAAGCCCAGGCTATCCCTGAACAGGTGCTCCAAGAGTTGACATCGCCGCATCTTCTGAATACATGCGTAACTGATCGCATTCGACAATGGCATCTGCGGCGGCCGTTGGCGCTGATGCTGCTCGGTCACCCGTCCACAACACCATCGGCGAGGACGACGGTGTACCTGGACAAGTCACAAGTGCTATCAGCACGAAGGAAGAAGGTCTGGCAACCAACGGTACATTGGAAGACGACGAGGATGAGGATATTAGAGCCCCTGCAAAGCGGAACGGTATCGTAACCACTGCGCTTGACGGTGAAGATGATGGCCAAGCTGAAGAGGACGATCTGTTTGGAGACGAGGATGAAGTTGCGGCCAAGCCACCACCGTGAGTCTCAACTGAGATGGTGGACTGGGCGCGAGTGGCTAATCTGTGATGTAGACGGCAACTGGACGATGAAGAGCTCGACTCTGGGGATGATCTGGATCGAGGCGACCGTGTGCAAGACCAGGCCGAAACACAGGAGCAGGAGTACGAGACCCAAGTCAAGAATGTCATTGACCTGCAAATGGCACGGCAGCCATTACCCGAACCTAGCGACGGCGAGATGTACCTTCTAAAGGTGCCTGACTTCATGGAGGTTGATCCACAAGCATGGTCTCATGATAGCTTCCAGCCTCCAACCTCCGACCATCATTCGGAGAAGGCGTCATCGGCTTTCTCTGCTTATACCACCGCCATGACCACATTACGGTGGCGCCGGTCACCGTCAAATCCGTCCGAATTACAGTCCAGCGCGCGTGTTTTGCGATGGTCAGACGGCTCACTTACACTTCAACTAGCCTCGCAACCAACAGTGCAATACGAGATAGACGGCAACCCTCTAGCTCCGCCGTTGCGCAATCCACTAAAGCCGACACCGGTCAGTGTGCAGACTGGTTCAAATAAGGGGGGTCGGCAAGGCGACGGGTCAATACCTGGCGAGAAATACGATCAGAGCAAGGACGCGTTTACCTATTTGATCGTCCCAAGTGAAGCAACGTCATCATTACGAGTGGCGCACAAAGTCACTGCTGGTCTGTCGCTCAGACAGCCTGCCTCGGTTCAAGATGACGCTATTGAGCGCCTGCAGGCCGCTTTGGCAAACGCCGCAAACGCCACGAAGGTCAATGGTGCTGGCGCGATCGAGAAGTTACAGCTGATCGAAGAAGACCCGGAGAAGAAGCGTCGCGAGATCGAAATGGCCATGAAGAAGAATGCGCAAGCGGCTAAGCGGAGAGAGGCTGCGATCCAGCGCGAATCTGAGCGATCAAACCGCACGCTTGGACGCTCTGGCCTTTCAAGCAACCGTTATGGGGGTGGCGGTCTCAATGTCGGCATGCTGGAGGATGATGATGGCATGGCGACTACCCGCGGCCCTCGAAGAACGGGTGCTACCCCGCGGAAAGCTCGACAACGGAGAAATAGCATCTACTCCGATGACGAGGACCATGGCCGGAGACGGTTCACGACGAAGGAGGATGAGTACGATGAGGAGGATGACTTCCTCGCGCCTTCCGACGAAGAAGAGATTGTGGATGACGATGACGAAGATGACGATGATGGTATTGTGGAGGAACCGCGTGCGAGGGAGCGGACGCCGAAGAGAGATCGAGAGCTGGTGCCGCAAGCTGCTGCGGAAGCGGCAGGCGATGATGCGGATGCTGAGGGTGAAGTTGATGAGGAAGTGCAGCAAGCAAGGACGAAGCGACGGCGGATCGTCGATGAGGACGAAGACGAGGAGTGAGTGAAGCCAATAGGGTGGCATTTGAGGTTTCATGTCTTCACTAGCGCGGCGTTTGTTAGAACGGTAAACCAGTTGAGATCTGGTTGACGCCATCTGGTAGCATGTAACTTGAACTCAGTATTGTAACAACGTACACTATTCGTGGAAGGCATATATCAAAATGCCCGTGACTGCACAAAGAGCTTATTGACAGCTAAGCTTGCAACGGCGCACTCGTAAACCCTCGGCCGTTCGAAACATAGTTGCTTTCCAAGAGAAATGCACAAACCATCCCCTCGAAGTACAATATTCGTGTTCACTACCCTACTTTGTCGTTGTTGACATTGAGACGGGTAGAACCGAACAGCTTCTGTGCCAAGCAAAGGGTCGCGGAAAGACCCTGAAAGCTGGCGTTCTTCAAAGTCACACCGATCGCCGTCGCCTGAACAGCCGCATCAACAATTCCTCAACCACCGTCATAAACACCACCATTAATCCCTTTGACCTGGATCAGTATCGCCTGAGGTAAGCATTCAGCCTCGTCGAGACATTGCAGCCTCCAGAAGCATGAGGCCGAGCGGCGCCGCGCGCTCGCTTGCTAGTGAGAATACAGCGGAGCACAGCATGGTCATTGCCGTCAACAAGCACGGGAGGCCAGATTGCGAGACGGCGCAGGCAGACGTTTACCGCGCCCCGGGATATCATCATGACTTGCTTCCATGGTGGCAGACGTATTCTTGCTAACCGTCTCCTCTATCACAATAGACTGGTCCTCCCTTTCACGAAGTCACCTCTACCGAACCATATCCTCTGCACAGCACAGCTGCCAATATGGGTCTCACGTTCTCGAAGCTGTTCGACCGCCTCTGGGGCAAGAAGGAAATGCGCATTTTGATGGTTGGTCTTGACGCTGCCGGAAAGACTACCATCCTCTACAAGCTCAAGCTAGGTGAAATCGTCACAACCATCCCTACAATTGGTATGCCTGCTCCGCCACAGCTGTTGTACATCATTCGCGCCTACTGACGAGGCACTGTGTCAAAGGGTTCAACGTCGAGACTGTGGAGTACAAGAACATCCAATTTACCGTATGGGACGTAGGAGGGCAGGACAAGATCCGCCCGCTTTGGCGGCACTATTTCCAGAATACCCAGGGTATCATCTTCGTTGTCGACAGCAATGATCGCGACCGTATTGTCGAAGCGCGTGAGGAGCTGCAGCGCATGCTCAACGAGGACGAATTAAGGGATGCCTTGTTGCTCGTGTTCGCGAACAAGCAGGATCTGCCGAATGCCATGAACGCGGCGGAGATCACGGATAAGTTGGGCCTGCACAGCTTGAGGCAGAGGGCTTGGGTGAGTCCTTCATATCACACTGCGAGGTTGGTCATGTGCACGAGCTGACTCTATATGCGCAGTACATCCAATCAACCTGCGCTACCTCCGGTGACGGTCTTTACGAGGGTCTGGAGTGGCTCAGCAACTCGCTGCGCAAGGCTGGCCACAACTAAGGGACATCCTCTCTCGGATACCCAGACAAGGCACGAATCGAGCAGCATTTCCAAGCATCTCCGCTTGATAGCGCGTGCATCACAAATCCGTCTACGTAGAGGGATCCTAAGGCTGAAGCGGTATTGTGCAAGTAGTGAAGGGTGTGCGGCGTGGTGTCTGTATGAGCACGACACAGCCGCAAGGCTGGATGGTTGTGTCAACGTAAACGAGTTGTCTTCTCGTGGCTTGCTGCATACGCATGGGGCAGGTTTATGCTAGGCGTTCCAGTTTTTGTCGGCGTGCCTTGTATATAAAGGATCGCCCACAGAACGGAGTATGAAAGTTTGCGCGCTTGATCATCGTCTTCCCAAGATGCATCAGTGAAGGCGAACGGCCGAGTGCTCAGAACGTGCCCCAGCCAAGTCGCGCCAACTGCAAAGTGACCACCGGAGCTGTCCTCGACACGAATATCCGCATGCTACGAGCACCCACCGAGGGCAGTGAGGTTTGCGTATACGATCTGCCCACTCTCACGCTTCACAAACTGCAGCCCAAGAACCCATCAATATGTAGCGCCCACCCAACAACTCCGCTCCACGCACAAAGGCGGACTCGACGCAGTTGCTAAGATGGGACGAGACGCACGAACACCGTTCCTTCTACGAGGCCGGGAACGGAAGGAAATCCATATCTTGTGTGAATAGCCCTCAGCAAGTCGCCGTAGCGAAGCCTCGAGTATATGACGTTTAGTCACTCTACTGATGGCTTTTCAGAAGAGGTTTCAAAGGGCGTAGCAGTATTTGTAGGTGCGGACGGAAATTTTTCGGTTACGTAAGCGGAGGCGTTGGTGGGCTTGGCAAGGGGCGGTAACGAGAAGAGGAAAGGTACTGCTTGGATCGTGGAAATACAATAGATATGTTCGCACAAACGCTGCATGCAAGAGGACTGTCGACGGCTTGTTCAAGTACCTATTGTGCCATCGCGTCTCCGTCCGCCGCAACCGCCGCTTCTTGCTCCCTCTTCCATTTCTGCGCCATAGCCATGAGCTTCGACATCTTGCCGCTCGCCTCATCATCCGCCGGGAAGACCCAGTCCATGTACTCCTCAAAGGAATCGTCGTCGAGGCGCCGCCTCTTCTTGACGCGTCTCGGCATTTGCTTCGCCACCTTCTCCCTCTGCTCCTCATTGCCATGAGTATCTTCGAACGACTTCCATGCATTAAGCAACGCCACTCGCTCTTCGACGAGGTTCTTATCTTTGTAGATTTTGTACGCCCGCTCGAAAACACCTCGTGCGCGCGCGATAGAGGTCGGAGACGCAGTCTCCGCGTCTGGTTGCTCCGGGTCCGGCACGTTCAGCTCGAACTGCGCAAATGATGTCCAGACCTTGACATGATCCGTCTTCTGCAGCAATCTCTCATACAACCTCCTCGGCCGCTCAAAGTCCTCTGGCGCTTCAGCAATGTCTTCCTCGAAGTCAATATACGCTTTCCAAACCATCTCCGGCATATCCAGCACTGATTGCACAATCGCCAGCTCAAAGATGGCGCGGCATCGATCAATGTCGTCCAGCCCGCGCTCCAGCTCCGCGAACTTGATCCACGCCTGCGCATTACCAGAGTCCCATCCGATCCACTTCTCGTATAGCGTACGACAGCGCACGAACTCGAACAGCTTGAGCTCCATGTCGATGTATCCGCGGAAAAGCTTATTCTTGGGACACTGACCAATTGCAGCTCCCATGTTTTTCCGCGCCTTCGTGATGTCGCCTTGCCGGATGTGAAATTGAGCTTTCAATATCCAGATCTTGGCGAAGGTGAAGTGCTTGTGCGGTATAAGTTTAAGTGCTTCGACGTACACTTGCTCGGCGCGGGCGGCGTCTCGGGCTATAAGCTCCTCGTACAAGGCATAGAAGATCCAAAGATAGATGTAGCGTCGCCAATGGCGCTTCTCGGTCGACGGCGGGACTTGTGCGATCGCACGTTCGTAGACGTCTCGCACTTTGTCTGCGGAGCTGGAAGGGGAGCTCTCCTCAAGTCGAGCGTAATCGAACCAGCTGTCGTAGTTGCGAGGATTCTCTTTCACTTGTTCCTCGTACATTACTCTCCGTTTCGCCAGGACAACATCCTCCACTCCCTCCCGATCACCAAATTGCTTCTCGAACACTGTGTACTGCTTATGCAGTATGCCGCTCTTGCTCCGCGGCATACGATCCAGCGCATACTTATAGATAGCCCTTGCGCGCTCGTACTCCTTTAACCTCGCCTCGAACCGCGCGTATGCGATGAAGATCTTCTCGTCCATGAACTCATCGCCTAGGGTTTCGATTGCCATCCCGAACACCTCCCGCACAAGGCCACTTGTCCCATTCTCTTCCTCGAACTTCGCCCATTTTATCCAATTCCTTGCCTCAGGATGCACGATCGTGAACCGCTCAAAGATGCATCTCGCGCGGTCATACTCGCCGTACCGCTTCTCCAGCTTAATATACGCCGACCAAGCCGCCTCGTCCGGCTCCCAGCTCATCCACCGCTCAAACACCGCGCGGGTTCCAGCAATGTTGCCAAGCATCTCCTCCATGTACACATACTTGTACCAAAGCTTGTCGATACGCGGCAGAATTGTTACGGCTCGATCCAGCAGATTCCGCGCATGGTTGATATTGCGCTCCTTCATTTCGCTCTCGATGTACCGTACCCACAGTTGCACGTTCGTAGGTTCGACATCAAGGGAACGTTCGAAGACGGAACGAGCGCGGCGATACTCCTTCTGCTCCAACTCCCAGGCGGCGTACCGCATCCAGTTACCCATGTTGAGGCGGTTTCGTCGGACATGGTCTTCAAATTCCTTCCGCCGGCGGCCTTGGTATTCATGAAGTTCTTCGAGATCCGCGAACTTCTGCGTCGGCTTACTCAGGTTGGGCTCCTGACGGTCGACTGCTTCTCGTAGTAGTTGTTCGGCGGATATCTGCTGCGGCGCTGGCGCCTTGTTCTTGACCCGGGGCGGGCCACGCGAGGACTCCATGATCGCAGTGTTAGGCAATGTGTCCGCAATCATAAGTGAAGATAGTAAGAGTGTGTTTTAGTGTTAGCAGATTGCCCGGAGTGAATTGCACGTAGAAGCGAGTCAGTCATCCGACGGGCCGCGACTGTCACGATCAATCAAATTGTGGAGAGCGGGGCAGGTTTGGAAGGCACGTCTTTAGAAAGTTCGCTTGGCCTTCTGTGTCCTACCAGCTTAGTCTTCGCTGATCATACGATGGCGCAGGCACCAACAATTGATCGGCTGCTGAACCTGGCGGCTGACCGTCCAGCAGCTGTTCTGGAACAACTTCAAGCCCATCCACAACGGGCCGCAGCGCAAGATAATTATGGCTACAGCTTGTTGCACGCGGCCGCCTCTTACAATCACTTGGATCTTCTGCAGGCACTGGTTCGGGATTATAATGTCGACCCCAATATTACAGACCATGACGGTGAAACGGCCCTGTACTACACGGAAACGGTAGAAGTGGCGAAGGAATTACTTATTCTGGGAACCAACCCGGACATCAAGAATAGTGGCGGTCAGACAGCCGCCGAGAAGCTGGACGACGAGGACGAGCAGCCGTTTGTCGCCGCCTTTCTCCGCGAAGCCGCGGGTCACGGTTCAGCCCACGCCGCCACATCAGCGTTATCCCAAACAGCTAGTGCTGCGGCCTCAACTTCCGCTCGTGAAGGCACCCTTAGCGATGAAACAGATGTTGTACATGCGCCACCGCCTCTCCCAGACGGCGTCCAGATCAATGTAGGCACTATGCAAGCAGATGAGGCGACTGGCGAACCAGACCCTGAATTCCGGAGACGCATCGATGAGCTGGCAGCTCGAGAAGACTTCCAAAGTGAAGACGGCCAAAGGGAACTCAGGAGACTCATTGAAGATGCCGTGTCTGGTTTAGCGGGCGACGGTCAAGGATCTGGGACGAGACGAAGGCTGGGATGAGATGCATTGAATTATTTCCTAAGCTGACCGGCAGAAGCTGCATTATACAGCATGATGTACTAACAAAAGGGTATCAGCGCGCCCAACCGTCTACACCGCTGACATTAAAAGGCTATAACGTAACGGCCGGCTGCCTTAGCTCGCACACACTGGCCAGGTACCACTTCGTCGATCCACCCTCGGGCTCTGCAAGTTCTAGAAAATCAAATTAGGCCTTCACGAACTTCTTGCCCTGCCAAATATCGTCTATTGTATTGGCGAAATAATGCTTGCCCTTCACCATGCTGATGACGAAGCCCGGCATCGACCATCCATTAAAGGCGCCGAGACCGGTCTTTATACCAATTGGCACCAACTGCGTTTCGTCGTCCTTACGTTGATACTTCTTCTCGGCAGGCACGCCACCCACTTTGGCTTCGGAGAGCAGGTCGTGGCTCAGATTAGCTCCCAATACCGGAATCGAGCCGTACAGCTTCAGAACGCCCCCAGTGTCGGCGCCACTCACGTCGCCTGCAGCATATACGCGCGGGCCTGCGACATCGACACGCATTGTTTGTCCGTTGCAGGCAACATACTTTGTCTGCGGGTTGCGGAGCTCGGCTGGTAGGAACTCAGTATTGGGAGTCACGCCATAACCGGGAATGAAGGCATCTGCAACCATGGTCTCGCCATTGTCGAGTTTAATCTCGGTCCGTCCATCTGCGGTCTGCTGAGAGCCAACGGTCTTGACGTTGTAGACGACAGTCACACCAACCTTCTCGAGCATTTTCTGCGCTTTGTCCGCATAACTCTTGCGGAGTATGGGCAGGAGCTTGTCGGAGCCGGCGATGAGGGTAATCTTCTTCCCCTGACCGGCATAGTGCGTGCCGATCTCGCCGGCCGTCTCTACTCCGACCGGTCCGCCACCCGCGATCACGATGTCTTTAGCAGACGCGAGCTTGACGTTCATCTCATCTAACGCCTTCTGCGTGACGGTATAGTTACCGTGCATGGTCGTGAGTGGCGTCGGCGAGCGGATACCAGTTGCGATGATCAGCGCGTAGTACTCCAATCTCTCGTCGCCACCTTGAGCCTTGTTGATCTCCACAAAGCGGGCGTTGGTGTCCAATCCAGCTGCTGTGCCATGGTGGAAGACGATCGAGTCCTGAAGGTCGGCATACTGCTTGAAGCCTTCCATAGTCGGGACGAAGCATTTGCTATGCGGCATGTCCTTGACTGAAACGATCTCGCGAGGGGCTGCAATGTGCCACCAGAAATGCGTGGACTGGTCGACCAGATGAAGAACGTAGTTGGAGTCCTTGGACTGCTTCAGTTTGGGCAGGATATGCTTGCATATGTAGTGGGATATGCTGAGTCCGGCGAAGGAAGTTCCAAGAACAACGATGTTGCGTGTCTCAGACATGATGGCGTTACTGCAAAGCCTTTCCAATGGGTACCACAAAATGTATAATCGGGCTGTCAGATCGATTGAGTGAACTCAGCGTCTGGAGTGGCTTGGGTGGCAAATAAAAGTCGAGAAGGAAATCAAAGCAGTGGTTAAAGATCTGGCTGAAGTCGTGGCTTACTTGGATGTTATACACTCCACGAACAGCCGCGGAACGAATGTGACGAAGGAGTGATGCAGAAGTAGGAATGGAGGAACAATCGTCGAAGTTGTATTGTGATGGATTACCAACGCACAAGACCTCAACGGTATGTACGGAGTTCCGAAGGCCTTCAATATCAAGTCCCTGAGTTGAGTCGTTACGCTAATTCTCGAAATTAGTCCGTGTCATGCACCAACACGGCCTAGCGTGAGCCTTGGATGTCGGCATGGAACGCCGGTGTCCCGCCCTACAGTGAACATTCTACTTCCGACTTACGTGCGATTACCATTGCAGTCGTGCCAAACCGTGCGCTGAGTTGGACCATCACCGCTAAGTATCACCCTCACTTGCGCCGATTGTTGCACGCGTCTACCGTTTGAAGGCCCAAGACTCCGTGAAGCGGAGGAACTTGAGCGCCGCTTGGACTGTGCGCAGGCCCGAAACTGCGAGCGTCACGCATATCGAACTGACATGGAGCTGGAGGGTTACAACACTTCTCATCGTCGACCTCAGGTAGATCGTCGTGACACTCTACGAACTCTAGAGGGAAGCGGGCATGCCCTCCCGCCAGCAGACGAAGGATACCGAGCGTGGCTCTGCCTGGCCGGCTGTTTCTTCTTCAATGTATTGGTCTGGGGCTTCGCCTTCTCATTTGGCATACTGCAGTCATATTACACCGAGCATGAGCCATTCAACCGCCACCCGGAAGGAATTGCTGCCGTCGGCACGACAGCTACTGGTTTGATGTATCTCCTTATGCCTGTTTACTTTGCCATTCTGCAAAGGTGGCCAAGGTTGAAGCGATATTTTGTCTGGGCGAGTCTGCCGACGATAGCTATGGGCCTCATAGGCGCTTCCTTCGCCAGCACTGTCCCGCAGCTCATCGTCTGCCAAGGTGTTTTGTATGCTCTTGGTGGGAACATGATGTTTGCACCAAGCTTTACGTATCTCGATGAATGGTTCATCAGACGGAAAGGGCTGGCGATTGGCATCATGTGGTAGGTCCCTTGCACTCCATCTGGTCTTGCTGTGCTCATCGACCCCAGGGCAGGTGACGGTACTGGGGGTATTGTACTTCCTCTAGTGCTCCAAGCACTGCTCTCGCGGTACGGGTTCCGCGCCACATTGCGCGCAGTTGCAGTCGCAATGGTCCTCATGTTGGCACCTTTGTCGATCTTCTTCAAGCCTCGCTTGCCGATCCCAGCAGAATCAGCACCGAGGCCAATCGACACTGGCTTCCTGCAAACTCCACTCTTCTGGGCGTTGCAGGCGTTCAATATTGCGCAAGGCATGGGCTACTTTCTGCCCTCAAACAATCTCCCGTCATACGCGCAGTCTCTTGGTCTGAGCGCTGAGCTTGGCTCGCTCACATTGGTAAGCGAAGCGATGCATATCTTCTGTCGCGGTTGGCTGAGCCGTAGCTGACCCTCCTAACCCATCTTTAGATCATGGTCAACGTGGCATCTGCGCTGGGTTGCGTGCTGGTCGGGACGCTCTGCGATCGTTTCGACGTCCTCAACGTTCTCGTCATCCTAAGTGTTGGCGCCACTACTGCAATATTGGCAGTCTGGGGTTTAGCATCGTCAGCAACTCCATTGTTCGTCTTCAGCTTGTTCTACGGACTGACAGCGGGCGCCTATTCTTGCTCGTGGGGTGGCATGGCAAAAGACATCAGAAGGCAGAGCATCACGGCCGATACGAACATTGTATTCTCTTTCCTCGCTGCAGGCCGCGGAATCGGTGCAGTGATCTCGGGTCCGCTAAGCGAAGCTCTGACTAGGAGCCAGGTGGGGAATGCAACGAGAGTTCGCTTCGCCTATGACAGCGACTATCGTTCTTTAGTAATATTCGCTGGATGCACGGCGATGGCTGGTGGTTGCAGCTGGCTTGTCAGAAGAGCTGGGTTTATATAGCAAAGATTGAGCTGGAGTAATGTGCCACTGTATCGTCAGATCACCACCCGTTCCGCACGCCTAACCAGCTCCTCATAGACAGTCCATGTGAAAGCGCTACTCAACGCCTTCCTGCCAATCCGCATGCTCAGGCCGGAGAAGAAGCTTCGAACACCCTCATAGCGAAGCATTAGGCCAGCTGCTTTTATCATGTTGCCGTACCTGGCCGGCGCAATCTGTAGGCGTGTCTTGATCGCATCGAAAGGGTTGGTCATAGTCGTAGCCAGCACGGCGGCAACTACCCCAGATGCGAAGTTCACCGTTGCTGACGCAGAGGCTGATACACGACTTGACTCGCTTCCTGCAGGGGTAACAGCGGCAAGGCGACTCTTCGCCTGCTCGTAGATCACCACGTACAAGCCAGCGTACGGCGCATCCCTGACTGCAGTAGCCCCGAAGCCAGCGAAGAAGCCTCGCATGCCTTCCTTGGCAATGATGTCCTTTGCGGCGCCTGCAAGCGAGGTGTACGAGTAGTGTGTTGACTCGTAGCGTACTTTCAGCACTGTGATGGGGTTGACTATCAGTCCGGCTGTCACCCGAGCAAGAGCACCAGTGGTCAGGTTTGCCACGTTCCCTAGCTTCGGTAGCGCGGAAGATGAACCCTTAGCTGGGCTGAGCTCGCCAGCAACAACCGGAACACTGGGCAGCCTAGTTGCATACTGCCTCATCTGGTTGAGCAGGCCAAAGTACAGGGCAGAGCCGAAGCCTGTCCGGATGACTGATGGGGTGACGCCCCGCCATAGCGAGCGCACTGGATGTGGGCCATTAAGAATGTCGCGGAGCGCTTGGGTTAGGCTTGACGCCTGCGACTGCTGTACACGAGTCTTCAACAAATCCGCAGGCTGTAATAAGAAAGCACTTGCTGCACCCGACCCAAGACCGGCCACGAGATGAAACGCTATTCAACTTTAGCTTAAGCGTGCTGTTAAGGAGATTCATCAATCGACATACCTGAGCTCGCTTTTTGCTTCCTAGCCCCATCGGACATGTCATTAAGGCGGCGACGTGGCTACTAATACATGACTGTCGTACACTCAGGAGCGTGAATCTAACGATCCGTTTTCGTTGTCGTCACGACGAGCAGCATCTACTTGGCGCTAACGGAGGTACCCGCCGCTAACACTGAGTCTCCCGGTCTGAGGTGGGCTTTACTTTAGAAGCCGTGCATGGTCATGGCGATATGTTGACAGATCAATCTTCTTCATTGCTGCGCATACTCCGTTGTCAATTCAATGTGCGGCTACACTTTGCCGAAATTGTGCGGCCAGCTTAATATCATAGCCTTACCGAACCGCACGCTCATTACGGGTGAACGATCGGACCGCATCACATCCCTACCTGCGTCGCTGTCGACATAATATTGGCTACCAACTTTCAAAACCGATCAGATATAAGTTGCCGCGTGTTGTTGTTGCGACCCCGTACAAATGTGTCGCTATCGCTGTCATAAGCTGCTAGTCATTGTAGGAATATTCCAGAGTAACCGGGAGGACGTTTCCGACACTCATACCTCCTTGATATGCTTCTGTCTTGCCTACGGAGACTTCTAGAAAGACGATTGCTATGGGACTATAGTTATCGGACCAACAAAGGACAGATACAAGCGCCTGCCGGACTATGTAAGTCGTCACCCCAGGATTCTGTCAGGTAAGCGCAACACGCACTCTCCTATATACCCGATATGCAGTGGTCCCAATCTCATACTCTACGGAAACGCTGTTCGTGGGCCGAGGAAAATATCTCGAGGCCTCCATGAAGCGGAGAAGGGCTGCACAATGGCCTTTCCTTGCGACGTTCGACAGCAACGTTCCCAACCACATATTCCATGGAAACAATACCCACTGGCCGATGACATGTTGAAGAGAGAATGTCACGCGAAGAAGGCAGGCACCAAGGTCGTTCCTTCCTCGTTCCTTCCTCTTTCGACGGTTACACCGACGCCGCTAGCGGATGTGTATTTGCACACAAATTGCGACCTTCCCAGCGCCATCGCTTGCCCTTGGAAATCTACAAGCACCATGGCGGCTCAGCGTCGCCTGAACAAGCGTAGCTCGCTAGAGACTGCGCTGTACGAACAGCAAAGCAGAGGTAAGCACGATCCCTTCGACATGGCAAGGGCGCAGGCAGCGTACGGCGGACAGGAAGTTATGCGCGTGAAAATTCTGCTCTCAAGAGGCCGTGCAATGGCAAGCCTCGAACACCTGCCACGGACGCTTCCCTACTACATCATCATATACAAAGTAGCCATGGCGGACATGAGTAACGGACCGCTCGAGAATGTGACTGAGAAGACACGGGAGCATCTTCTCGCAAGCAAGAAGGGCCCTCGAAGAAAGAAGGCCCAGAGAAACATGAAATCTTCACTTACACCACCAGCTTCCCTACCGACAGCGCCGTCCACCGCCCCTCCCAGTAGGTTCGCCGCACGAATGACCTCCCGTCATGTCAATGAGGCCAGTTTGTACGACATGAATCAGAGATCGGCCGCCATTGAGCCTCCGAGGCGAAGCAACACCTCGATAGAAGTTCCTAACGCCAATAACACCGTCCCGCCGATGACGGTAGACCTTTCACTACCACCCGGCACCATTATACACATCAATGGCGTGCCAATCAACGTAGACGACCTCGGTATACCGCCAAGACCGAACCCGAAATACGAGCAGGATGCGGTCGCCCGCCAGCAACAGCAAGACGCGCAGCCGAGGGCGAGGGACTCGACCGCCTCCGTGTCGTCAGCGCTCATGCCTTCCCGAACGACATCCATCAACTTCAGCAGACCATGGCAGCCACAGCAGCACATGCAAGAACGTCCGCTGCGAGAGGATGCCGACGAGGTGTCCTCAATTGACACGGTCGATACGTTCACCCTAGACCCGGAAGGCTATCCGAGAGTGGCACAAACCGCGGTTGGAGGGAAGGGAAAGCTTGTGGAGAGCCCGAAGGTTTCGCGGAGCACGCCTAAGAAGTGACCAGAAGACAGCCACGCAAAGGATGGAAGGCACAAGCGGATCTAGCTTCGAGCACTCTGCATAGCCAGCAAGCTCGCTAGGACCGTAAAAGGGCAGCTCAGCTGAGGAGCCCGCATCAAAGCACTCAGTACTCAAAGTCATCGTCCACGCCCGTCTTCTTCTCCTTCCCCACCGTCTCCTGCGCCCTATACATCTCCGCCACCTGCTTACTCGACGTAGCCGCCTCAGGCTTCTTATCATCCCTCACTCTGATGAACCGCGGGAACCGCAAACTAACACCCTTATGCGTGCCATCACTCCCAAACCCTGAGCTCGCCGCGCGATACCGCGGCGAAAGCGTCAAGTCCGCCGTCTTCACCTCCCACACATACTGCGGCTCGAACCAGACATCCGGCTGGTCGTTTTTGCCCATGCTGTGGTCGTAGAAAGGCTTGGGACGGTCAATAACAAGCGGAGAAAGCGTCTCGTAGAGTTCGTTCAGAAGGACTTCGGAAAAGCCCGTGCCGATGTTGCACACGGTCTCGTACATCTCTTTCTCTGGGTTGTAGCAAGCCAAGTGGAAGGCGCCGTAGACGGATGTACGTTTGCCTTTGCCGTAGTAGGCGCCCAGGACGACAAGGTCAAGCGAGTCGCCTGCGCCAGAGAGGTAGTCCTTTTTGACTTTGAGCCAGTTTTGAGAGCGCCGGGAGGGCTCGTAATGCGATTCTACACCATCAAGCATCTTGACCATCAGACCTTCGCAAGAGGCTTTGACGGAGTCCTCCAGCAGTGTTTGGATTTCCTCGATTTCTCTCGTGTTGCCGTATTGAGCGAATGCAAACTCGCCTTCAACGGGCTCGAGGGCTCCGTACATCAGGTCTCGTCGCTCGCGGAAGGGCTTATTCACCAGCGCCTCGCCGTTGAGGTACAGCAAGTCGAAGGCGAACACGCAGACTTTGACTTTGATATCCTCGGTCTTGACGTCCTTCTTCTTTCGCGTCATGAGCTGCTGGAATGGCAGGACGTGCTTCTTCTCCACGTCCCAAGCGACAGTCTCGCAGTCAAGGACGAATGACATCGTACCCTCCTTGACCCACGTTGGTAGCTTGGCGAGAATGTCCGGGTACTTCTTGCTGAGGTCTTCGCTATTTCGTGAGAAGATGTTGGAGACGCCACGATCAGACTTGCCCTCCTTCGGTGCTTCCGTAGCGGCAAACTCCTGGCCTGCATCATGGGCCACGAAGTGTATTTGCGCTCTCTCACCATCGTACTTGTACTCGCAGGTGAAGTCCTTGCCTTCGAAGCGGTCCAGTACCTCTCCAATGGACTTGGTTGGCTTAGCAAGCATAGGCTTGAGAGGTACGCCGGGCTGAAGCTTGCAAGTCTCGTGCAAGTTCCAGATGCCGCCTTTCAGCAGCGCTGGGACGATGACCTCGTAGGCTGGCAGCTCGTTGTAGACGGACTTGAACACCTCTTCGCCCTTCTTCAGGTCGGCTTCGGTGGGCACCTTCTTGCCGTCTTTTGAAACCTCATGAGCAACAATGGCGTGCGATAGAGCGACCTGCAAGTTCTTATCGGCAAGACCGAGGCGCATCTTGCCTTCCAGAGCACGAATGATGAACTTTGACTCGCTCGGGCCACCCTTGTCTTTGTTGATATCGACGGTTTGACCTTTGGCGAGCGACACGTCAGCCGAAGACAGCAGCTTCTTGATGCCGTCAACCTTCCGCTGCTGCGAGCCTTGACCTTCGACAGTAGCAATTTTCATTAGGCCTTCGTGGACACCACGCACTGTGAGTGGCTTAGGCTTGAACATAGTCGGCTGATTCTGTCTGCTCTTTGCCGCTACCAGCCCAAGGTCGCCGATCTTCTGCTGGTCTTCTTTGATGATCTTCAGACTGCGCCCAGTGGTCTCGCCAATAGCCTTCATAATGAGTGACTCGCCAATACCGAGCTCGATGCCCGAATAGTCAGCCGCCAGCTTGCCAATCATTAGTAGCACTGTCGGTAACAAGTCTTCTGGTGTGAGTCGTAACACCTGGCGCAGAAACGCTGCACAGAGGGCTAAGATCTCGAGCCGCTTCGTTGTCATCTCGATCTTGGAGAAGGTGGTGCAGAGCGCTGCATACGGAACAGGCTCGCCGGGTTTCCAATCAGGGTACGCATCCTTTGATGTCGAGGTTAGAGTGCTCTGCAACTTCTCTCGCGCTTTCGCAGACACGGCTGGCTTCTCGTCTTCCTCCTCATCCGTTGCTTCTGCTTCAGCCTCTGCCACCGAGTCAGGCTCACTGTTCATCGCTTGTTCTTCGTCGGCCTCTTGTACCGCAGCTCTCGCCTTTGTGCTGGGAGTCTTGCTCTGCGCCTGCTCAGGCTTTGATTCTGAAGTCTTTAACGGCTTGCTGGGTGGCTGCGGCTCCTCGTCATCGCCCACACTATCTTCTGCATTACGTGCGTTGTTTGACAACCGTTGCTCTACCTTGACAGGCACATCATCCTCGTCTTCCTCCTCCATCACTTTCCGAACCTTCTTGGCATCCTTCTTCACAGCCACGCCTCTCTTAAGCTTAGCTTCGGTGCCCTTTTGTCGCTGCTTCTTGGCTGGCGGTGCTTCAGCGTCGGCCTCCACTGCCTGTTCGTCTTCTGATACCCTCGAAGCCGAGCGCTTCTTGGCACTGCCTGTCGACGCTGGTTCGGCTTTCACTACGGTTTTGCCTTCAGCGTCGTCATCGCCTTCGTGCTTCACACTGACAACATCCTTCATATCCACGCCCTCGTCCTTAACGTGACCATTAACGCCGTTAGCGTGATCAGCTCTAGCTTGGGTTTCCTCGACTTCTTCCTCTGCTTTTGGCTTCGGCTGGGCCTTGGAGGAGAACTTGAGTTTCGCCTGCTGCGGTGCCGGCTTGCTGCCGTTTCCATTGCCGAAGAACTTCCTGTCTACACGTTAGTGCAACCGTAGTTGCCAGGTTAAGGGCGCATGCTGTCGCACCCAAGAGTCTGCTGCCCTGAAGTGACATACCCTAAAGTCGCCTGCTTTGGCGCCATGCTGTTGAATGTCGTGCGGCCTATATGCGGTGGCAGCCAGTGCTCGCACGAAGCTCTTGACCCGTGAGTTACTGCTGGTTGTAAGGTAGGTAGGCTATTAAACTCGAGCAGGACTTGGGTGGCGCCACGCTTATATCGTGAAGCGCAGAATGATCGAGGCAGGAAGCAGCGCGACCATAGCATCACCCGAGTTACTATTTCTTACACGTCAACAATGTCTCCCAGGTGCAGTCATCACCTTCGAACTCATCTACAGTCGCGTGCGGAACGCGTTTCAGTCGCGAAATGACGTCGGCGAAAGTGGGTGCATGCTCCGACGTCAAGATGAGCGGACGAGCAGAGATGCCACCAGCTTATATGATCACGTCTTCACCAAACATCTCACAAACAACAGAGAAACGCTGGGCAAGCTGGCGGGCATCCTGTGGAAGAAGGTCGACCAGCTTCCACCGTCACAGCCATCGTCCGGTGACAGTAGAACTGCTCTATCTTCGCCCATATCCAGACCTACTCGGCCAAGCATGTCACGCATACCCGAACAACCACGGCTCACGCCGCAGTTCTGCTTCAACCAAACACAACTTCGAGGTATGGACGGTGTTGATTCTGTTACAGTCATGCGCTCACGCTCATGCCAAGCTGGATGAACAGACTTCCTCCGTATCTCTCGTGGCACCGTCGACGACACCATCTCCCAAAACCTAAACGCTCTGGTAACACCCGGCACATCCAGGCCCTTCGACCCATCATCTACTGCCGAACGAGCACCACGGCCTGTGCACAAGCGACCAATTGAGCCCGCAGCATGCGAACAGTTCAAGAACCGAGTCCTGTTTCCATCGTGGCAAAGTAGAAGTGATGTGCTCAACTACTGCGCCGGTGTTGCGACCAGTCCGGATCCAGACGATCCGGACCATGTACTACGAGAGGTGGAAGATATGCGGGCGCGGGAGCGAATGGTGAACGAGCGGTTGGATCCTTACAGCGGGCGGTACTTCCCGCGAGAGGCGCGAACGGAGGCACTGGCGAGCTTGATCAGGAATGAGAGGATGGTGGAAAGCATCATAAGATCAAGGACGTGGGGCTTAGTGGGTGAGCGGTGCGACAATGGGGGCACGGATTATGACGCAGCGCTGAATGAGTGGCGAAAAACTGAGGGTGAGCGATGATGGGGCAAGAATATCCCGAACACTCTTGAGCTCCGGGTTGCATTCAAGAAATGCTTCGTTTCCCTATCTCTGCCACCTTGCTAATGTCGTTCTTCGATTCTTACTATTGACCGTTTGTTATACTTTACGTCAAGAATGGTCGAGGGGTATCCAACACAGCAGGGGCTGCCTGAGACGTTGCGAAGCTCATGTTCCACGCCCTGCGCTTCTTACAGCGACGTCTCCGGTGCGATGCATCTTGGGATCCAGCCAGGTCCAAGTACTGATGGGGCAAAATCTATCAGACATCCCATTGCGGAAAGGCACATAAAACGTGCGTTGCAGCTTACGGTACTACTTAACAGCACACGACGTCAGGATCTAGGCGACCTACAACAATTGGTATCGCCAGGCTCAGTAGACATCCACTCTCGCTAATGGCAAAGAAGCTGCTCTGGTCCTATGACGCCCTTTCAGTTGTGAATGTGATAGGGGAACTTGGTCGCCAAGACAAACCTGTTTGTGCACGTGAAACCACAAGTCCTAAACTCCGACACAATACAAGGCTTCCGTCACCGCACCGAAACTGTAAATCTTCACTTCATCGTACATCACCATCACCAACACCACCACCACCATCCTGGACCAGAAAGAGCTTGCCGCACCGCTGTCCGGACTGTATCTGCTTGCCAGCTGATAATCTCCTTGAGAACGTGTGTGCTAACCGCAGCATTCTAGAAAGACCACCATGTGCAAGATCTTTCACACCTTCTACGGCTGCGGCTGCGCGACTACCTTCCTTGTCGTCGAACGCTGCATCAAACTCCTGCACGATCCAGAGCCGACCATGACCTGCGAGACGATGGTGCTCGAGCCAAGCATGAAGAGAGCCATCGCCATCTCCGACAACTGCGACGAGCACCCATACTTACCCACTGGCGAAGCGGAGCGTCGTGCCCGCATCCCTACAGAGCACATTCGTGGCCGCTGGGTCACCGCCAATGAGCTCAATGCCATGCCCAAGCTTGGCTGCACCGTGGAGACCACGGGGGAGAAGGTTGTGGCGGTACGTATCAGCGGATACATCACGACAGTCCTTAACGATACTGATTTCACTGCGTCTGTGCTCTAGGCTATCATCGGGCTCGATGCTTTCCAGAGTTTGTCCGCTGAGCTGCTCAGCGCACTGCCGGAGGGCAGTGACAAGGTTAATGAAGAACGCGGATGGGAGACCCTCAAGCCGATAACAACCACCTTAACCATGCGCTAAATTGCGAAGAAGTCAACCCATTCACCACTCACTCTCGTAGCTATATCAGGCATCAGTTGGGGATTCTGAAAGCTCACGACTATACCCTGCGGGCATTAATGAAGGGCTGGCTAACGGGCATACTTGCATATGAGGCGTTGGGAAGCATTATGGCACTGCATAGTCGTGATATGTTGTTACTGCATTCGGCACCCGAATGTCGCAGCGTTTGTAAACAGACAAGGCGCGTACGTCAGCATCACCCACTCGACGGCGCAGATTAGAAGCCGTCATACTCCCGCGAGTAAATCTAGCCGTCAATGTTTGTGACCTACACCCGTCGTGATGTTGTGACATGCTTCCTTCCTTGCGAAACGCTTGATAATGCATGTTCTCGTATACGTTGCTTCGCCTCAGCATCATTGTACAAGACAATTCCACTTGTGTTTGTCTTGATTGTATGCGGTATGTGGTGGGTCACGAATGCATGGTTAAGGTATAGGCTAAAGGTTCGAGCAGGATGCGCGCTCCGCAGGAGGCGGCTCGGTCAGGCGCGCCACCGCGTGCTGATCCTACTAGGGCAAACACGAGCTGAATGCGCTCGGATCCTGCATAATACCATCGTTTGTTAGAACATGTCTTGATGTCCTGACTGCAATGGCACTGGGTCTCTTCTGGGCGTCGGTGTGCCTGACAATTTTCGTGTTGATACTCTCGCTCGACATCATGGGCTTCCTCTCAGGGAAGAATCACTTCGACGTGGATGGCAGGGTAAGAGCATTCTCACATCACGCTTCAGTCCAACAGCTTACAATTGGGTAGGCTGTAGTCATCACTGGTGGCTCGCAAGGTATGGGCCGAGGACTTGGGAAGCTGCTGGCGCAGAAAGGTGCGAACGTAGTTATTGTGGCTCGAAACCAGCAAAAGCTGGAGGATGCGTTGAAGTACATATCTGTATGTAGGACCTTAAGCGCGCAACCTGCTTTAGTGTCTGATTGCTTCTATAGTCTGCCGCCAGGAACCCACAGTCCCAGCGCTTCCATGCCATCAGCGCAGACGTGACAAAGCACAACGAGAATGTTCGCATCCTCGCTGAAGTCTCAGCATGGAACAACGGCAACCCGCCCGACATCGTCTGGGCAAACGCTGGCTCATCGCATCCTACGCTCTTCATTGATACTAACATCGAGACGCTGAAAGACCAGATGGACATCAACTACTGGGCAGCAACCTATCTCGCCCACGCTACCTTGAAAGCGTGGCTAAAGCCGTCGAAATCTGAGACCATAGACGTGAAGAACGCAAAGCATGCAAAGCCAAGACATTTCATCATGACTTCTTCGACGCTATGCTTCGCCGGAGTTGCAGGTTACGCGCCATACAGTCCTGCTAAGTCCGCGCTCCGTTCGCTGGCAGACACTCTCCGGAGCGAGCTGAATCTGTACAATGGATACCGGCGAACTCATCCTGAGGAAGGCCCAGCAACGGATGTTCGAATCCACTGCGTCGTCCCAGGCACCATCAAATCACCGGGCCTGGAACATGAAAACAGCATGAAACACCCTGTCACTAAGCTTCTCGAAGAAGGAGATCCAGCGCAAACAGAGGATGAAGTGGCTGTCGCTGCCGTGCGAGGGCTGGAGAAGGGTGGTTTCTTGATTACCACGCAATTTCTGGGTCACGCCATGAGGGCTGGCGCATTGGGTGGCAGTCCTAGAAACAACTGGCTTGTCGACACTGCGTTTGCTTGGGTGGTGAACCTTGCGTGGTTGTTTATCGGTCCTGACCTGGAGGGTAAGGTGTTTAAGCACGGTCAAAAGCATCGGGTTCAGTTGCCATCATGAGCTCGCTTAGATCCTCGAGAGCTTTGATTCGCTTCGATCCGATCCCGGCGGCTACCTGAACCACGGATGCATCTGTTCCCCCCATCGTGCCAAACGTTGGAGCCGCCTCAGTTCCGAAGCCGTCTGCTTTCAACATCAATGTTAGCGTTGGGAAATCAGTCCGGCATTACAGATGCTCCGTGTCTTCGAAGGAGCACGAACGGTGAGGCTCTGCGATCCTTCGGATCTTCTTGAACGCCGCAGCCGTCACCCTTGCGTTTGTCATCTCCAGATCGGCGGTCTCCGAAAAACCATCTTCCCTATTTCCACGTTGCGAAGAACCGATCGCCGCTTCTAGCGCCCTTTAGCGCCACAGAAGGTTCTGTGAGAGGTGGTGACGATGTCATTTTGCCGCTTGCACAACACTTTGAATCGCACTTTATGCAGCCGGTCGAGTGATTATTCAGACGCCTATGCTGTCGGCTGACAGCAGCTCACCTTAAGGATGGTGGGATGCATAAAATTAGGTTTCATAGTGACGGAAGGCGTTCTCACAATGAGAGTCTGCACCCGAGGCTCTTCGGGCCTCTTTCGGTGTTTAACTCTGACACTGGTGGATGACGGAAACGTACATCAACCTCCCACTTCTTCTTCTATCCTTCACAGCCGTCGCTTGACCACGAAGCTTTTGCACCATCATTACTGATTCAGTCAGGACTTTGCCGTCCTTTATCCTGGCATGGCGGAGAAGGATACGGAGGCAAGCAAGCCTACACAAATCCCATACCTTCGACAAGTCTTCGACCAGGCCGGCGTGACGCCTGAAGTTGAGAATCACCATTACGATGGATCTGGCACTGAAGACGATCCATATGTTGTTGGGTGGATCGAGCACGACCCTCGGAACCCCATGCGCTACTCGGATGCGAAGAAATGGGCTTTGACTGCTCTTGTCGCCATTGCTACGCTAGCTGTCGCATTCGTTTCCAGTGCCTACTCCGGCGGTGCAGAACAAATAGTCAGGGAGTTTGGCTGCAGCGAGGAGATCTACATTCTCGGTATCACCTTCTTTGTGCTTGGCTTCGCAATTGGGCCGTTGCTGTGGGCGCCACTCTCGGAACTCTTTGGACGACAGCTGCTTTACGTTACCACTTATGGCTTCTTGACGGCATTCAATGCCGGCGCTGCTGGCTCGCAGAACATCCAGACCCTCATCATACTGCGGTTCTTCGCTGGCGCGTTCGGATCTAGTCCTTTGACCAACGCTGGAGGTGTCCTTGCGGATATCTGGCCGGCTAAGACGAGAGGTCTTGCCATGTCGCTCTTCGCAGCCGCACCGTTCATGGGACCTGTACTTGGACCCATTGTGGGCGGCTTCGTAGGTGAAACCATCGGTTGGCGCTGGGTGGAAGGGATCATGGCAATCTTCACCGGTGTTCTTTGGATTGCTGGTATCTTCCTTATCCCGGAGACATACCCGCCAGTCCTATTACGGAAACGAGCTGCCAAGCTTAGCAAAATGACTGGGAAGGTCTACCGAAGTCGTGGCGATGTCGAGCAAGGCCCGACAACCTTCGGTCATGTCTTCAAGACGTCGCTCTCACGTCCTTGGATTCTGCTATTCCGTGAGCCCATTGTGCTCCTGCTTTCGATCTACATGGCAATCATTTACGGTAAGCCAAGCGATACCCAGACCCTGTCACGTTCTTCGGAAACATATCTAACGTATTTTTTCTTAGGCACTCTGTACATGCTGTTCTCGGCCTATCCAATTGTCTACCAGCAGTACCGTGGCTGGAGTCCCGGCATTGGTGGGCTCGCATTCCTTGGTGTTGCTGTGGGTATGATATTCGCAGTGGCTTACTCAGTCTGGGACAACAAGCGGTATGGCCGCATCAGCGACGAATACAAAGGCTTCGCTCCGCCTGAAGCACGTTTACCCATCACTATGATTGGAGGCGTGGCGATACCGATCGGACTTTTCTGGTTCGCGTGGACGAACTATCCGAGCATCCATTACATGGCCTCGATATCAGCTGGCGTACCGTTCGGATTCGGCATGGTTCTGGTGTTTTTGGGCATCATGAACTATCTAATCGACGGTTACACCATTTTCGCGGCATCTGTTCTTGCAGCCAACTCTGTGCTACGGTCTGTCTTCGGTGCAGTCTTTCCACTCTTCACGACGCAGATGTACAACAAACTTGGCATCCACTGGGCATCAACTCTTGTGGGCTTCTTGGCGTTGATTTGCGTACCGATGCCCTTCTTGTTCTACAAGTTTGGTTCGCAGATTCGACAAAGATGCAAGTACGCTGCAGAATCTGAAGCCTTCATGAAGCGTATGCAGAAGGGTATGGAAGAAGACGAGGAGGAAGATCCGGCCGAGGAAGTAGCAAGCGATGCCGATACGGCGGTTGCCTCACCGCATGAAGATCGTGCGGAGCGGGAGAAGGAGAAGCAGGAAGAGCGCGAAGAGGAAGAGCAGGAAGCTATTGACTACTCATACGAAGAAGAGCGCCTGCCAGAAGGTGGTCGTTTTCAGCAGATCAAGACGGGCCAACGACGACCGAGTTTGGCAAAGAGGCATACCTCGTATGAGGGCAATCCCTTCGATCTTGATCGCGTCAACACACGCGAGAGTTTCAAGTCGGAAAGAAAGTCATTGGAGAGAAGGGCAAGCACGAGGAGCAACAAAGGCCTATCGCGAACGACCTCGCGTGCAAGCAGGCGATGATTTTATGATTGATGTTGGAATCACGAATTGTCCAGGATTAGCGAGGCGTAACCGGCTGGTGGTGCTAAAGGATTTGGCATAAGTACGGGCGCAGCCGTCGCATTAAGCTTAATGTATATCTATGAACGCTTCTTTTACCGTATTCCAAAGATCCAAGCGGATTGCAGAAACCGAACCTGACCGTGTCTGGCAACACTCTACGCAATCATGTTCGCTCCATCCAATTGACTGACACCCGCCGCGTAAGCGTCGTCTCCAGACATCTCGTGCAAACGCCATGGTCGACATAGGACATTCCGATCAACCGCGACCCAAATGCTTCTTTACGCATGCTACCATCCCGTCACATGTGGACCATTCGCAGCCGTCGACGAAGAAGAAGCCGTTATCTACGGTCGAAAGTTACAAGTTCTGTCATACGGTAAGCTAGCGCTGAGCTGTATCGGCCCTCAAGAACCGGTGCTGAGCGTCTGTTGTAGGTTACGGCCGTGCTCCCCGCCGAGGCAGGAGCAAGGTTGTCAACTGCACTGAATAATGGAGACAAAGACTTGCACTACTCTAGGGTTTACATGAAGCTTTCGGAGATTGTCGAGGGTGACTTCTTCAGTCAATATGTGAAGTCCGGTAGCTCTGGCGGCGTCAACAGCAGAGTAAACCCTTGTGCTGACTGCAACGTTAGGTAACATTGTAATGCTGTCGGAAGGAAGACCTGGAGTCGATCGTACCTATTCACTATACGAGGGTGTTCTGCACCTTGAAGTGGACAAGCCCACGTTCGAGCGCATGGGCGTGGCTGGTCACCCGTTGCCCAGCGGAGGCCGCAAGCATGTCAAGGCTCGCTTCGGTATGTTGTGCGTTGTGATCTGCAGAACTACGCTAACGGATTGCAAGCGATTGATATCGACTTGCGGCTGCCTTCCATGGTACGTGGCAAGCCCGCTTTCGAACGGATCCTGTGGGCCTTTCATAACGTGCTTGACCACAGCGTGGCCTGGCTCTTTTACGGCCGTACGTTACCAGGCGACGGAAGTAGGCCGATCAACATTCATCAACCTAAGGAGGAGCGCGTGGAAGCCACCATTGATCAGCTAGATGGCGGCACAATGCCCGACTTTCCCAATCTCGTGGAGGAAGCCGACTACATCGACCTGACCGAATTGCTCGAATGGCTAACGCTAGCGGCCAACGGCTCACCGAGAATGCTTAGCAGCGACAAGGGCGATCAATACCTTAGGCGCTATGAAGGTCCGCCATCGGCTCTCGGGAAGAATGGCAGTACTGACAAGGCTCGTGAACTCATGCTGTTTCGTTGGCATGCTTTTGTGCCCGCATCATCTGCGCTCAAACTGTTCCTCACTGTTTTGAAGGCTGCAGCCAACGACTGGTTTGCATTCACTGCCACAGCATTTAATGGCGGAGCATACACCATTCTCGGACATGACGCTCTTGCGCTCATATGGGAGTATACCGGTTGAGTGACTAAAGACTACTCTGTCTATCGCACAGGTGTGATAGCTTCCAGTACCCCCTGAAGCGGTATGAGCACCTCATCTGCGCCGTACCACTTGTTAGCTGCTACTGCGACTGCCTTGACGAGTAGCGGGTATAAATAGACAAGGTGCGCATCGCTTCCTGCCCGCCCATCAGCCACTGGATCTGCGACCAAGGCTCGATGATGGAGTCGGAGCTTCTTGATCTGATCGAAGCTATGGAGCAGCTCTTGAAGCTCAGACATTGGCTGAGGGCTTCTGCCGCGCAGCGATTGATCGGCGATGTATGCGCGGATGGGTATCGCCAAGCGAAGGACGAGAAGTGGTGCTGCAGAATGTGACAATGCGACACTACCCTCGACACTCGAGAGAGCGATGAGCTCGGCGAAGCACACGTAGCTCATTTCTTCTCGACGCGCGAATGGGACACGCTTGGCCCTACCTCTGCGGATATTTCCAATATTATAAAGTGGAGAGCCAGAAGGCGGTGGGAGCTCGCCACGCTCTGTTGCGTGCACAATGGACGCATCGAAAAGCGCTCGACAGTAAGCGATCTTTATCGTGTCAGGCAAGCTAGTCTGACTCAGCCTCGGAACGAGCACGTCTCTGAGCTTTCGGAAGCTCTCGATATCGAACTTTTCATCTTCATAGACCTCGTTGGTGTCGCTCATGGAGTCAATACCACTTGCGCCCACAATACCAGCTGCTACCGTCACCAGCATAGACCACAAGGCAAGCCTAGTTTCCCACGCGACGCTTCCGTCACTGGTAAGGTTCAGCAGCGGTAATGATAATCCAAGCAGTGCAGACGTAGCTCGACGCCAGAGACTGACATCCTTGTGTTTTGCCGGATGGAGATACTTGTCCGAGATAACCTTGCTCAAGCTCTGGATGGAGATCAATATCGCACCAGTCTCCACAAGCTCAGTGTTTCCTACGTGGGCGTGCAGAAGCTGCTGGAGCCAGTGGATAGCTTCGCTGGATACGGCAATGAATGTGGGTCCATTGGCCGCAGTCTCGCCTTCGGTTTGCCCGTGGTGCAGTACGCATAACCTTGCAGTTGTAGATATTAGTGAAGACGGCACGCTGGGTTGATCCGTGCGTATGCCGCGTAGCAATGACATAGCTTTGATCTGAAGGTTGCTCATGCTGTTGACGTCTCCTCCATACCGCGGACCGTTCGCTCGTCTGATGCAGCTGTATACGTTGTCGATCAGCTCGCGACATTGCGCCGGACCGATATCTCTGTTCGTAAGACGGTACAGCCCAACTCCAGTCTCAATGTAGGCTGTCAAGGCCCCTTCATTGTCTTCATGTTTACTGACATCCACGGAGTCGTGGGGCGGTCCGTGGAGCCACATGGCTAAGGCACGGTTGGCAGGGGTTGTCCAGGTAGGCGAACCACTAGGCAGATGCGAGAGAATCCTCGAAAGGCCGGAGTATACGGCTTCGCTGAGTGCGGGTCTATGGCAGTCAACGTACGCCTCGAACCTTATCAACAAAGTTTCCCATAGAATTGGTAGCCTTTTGGTTTGCTCTATCTGCCGGATGTGCTGTGCTAACAAGCTGGCCACTCCGAAGACGATAGCCTGTGATATGCTTGCATCTGCGGACTTGTACGAGCCCTCATCGGGCTGCTCTTCAGCGTTATACAGTTGCCGATCATCTGCAGCAACTTCCAGCACAACGCTTCGCAATAGCAGATCCCATGCGGTGGCGGACAGTTTGTCGCCATGGTTCGTCAAGATACTGCATATTGTCTGGAAAGCAGCGTTGCGAACTTCCTTTTGCGTTTCTGAAACTACTGTGCGCAACCGAAGAAGGAGCAGTAGAAGCTGTGAAGACTTTGAGCTTGTTGCATCGGTCCCAAGATCTGCCGGTGGGAGACCAGAGTCTCCAAGCTGTTCCGCAAGAGCATCCAAGCCTACAGCAGCTTCGTTATTTACCAAGTAGTCTGCGACGCTCATTGTCATCGTTACAGCCGTAAGTGCAATGTTCAAGTCCTCTGTTTGGGCGACGAAGCGATAGAGCAGTTCCGTCAGTGAAGGGAGGACCGAATCAGGCAGCGCACCAAGAAAGTCAGCACCAACGAGCTGGGCCGAAGCAAAGGCGACGCGTCCGATCTGGGGGGACACGAGCTCGCTCGATACGCGCGCCCAGCTTTTGGTGGCATCCGTCCCTTCGCTATGAGACGTTTCTGTTCGCTTGAACGCACTGCTCAGCATGGCGATCGATTCACTCCAACCAGCTACCATGGTCTCTCCACAGCGTTCAAGTATCGATCTCAGCGCTTCGAGGACGTGGCCCTGTGCCTCCGAACCAACGTTCGTGGGTTCCTGATCTTGGGCTCGAAGATCTTCTACGAGCCGTTGAAGAACTGCCATAGCCCGCTGTTGAATCACCCCACGCAGCTCCTCATCTGCAGACATTGTACTAGCCACAGTCTCTGCAGCCATCTTACAAAGCACGTCTGTGGCTGCACGACGAGGCTCTCGAGGCTGGGACGTCGATGCTGCGAGGTAAATGAGCTCCTCCACGAGGATATTCCACCCACTCTCTTCTGGCTTGAAAGCGACGAACCGAGCGATATTCAGTTTGGCGAGGGTTCCCAGCTTGGGAATGACGAATTGGTAGTCTCGCTCCCGCATCCTGACCATGGGGTTGATGCCTGGCAGTCCAGAAAATGATCGCCTCGCCAACGTTGGCGTCGCCGGTGGCGAGACGGTTTCTGTCCGTGAAGGGGGCTCTGCGCCTTCACGTCCTCGACTCAACAATCTGGTAAAAGCTTGCAGCACCGTCCTGAAGGAATCATTCGGGTAGTCTACTGTACTATCAAGCAGTCTGGATGCGGCTGATTCCACCGCAGTAATCTCGGCCATGAACGCGTGGACAGCGCCGGAGGCATCCTTGGCCTTTTGGGTTTGCATCTGGCGCAACCAGTGTTGCGATCCTTTGGAGCTCAAAATCACATCAGCATCCCGCAAAACGTCAACGGCCAGAGTGATTGCCGTGTCCAAGGCTGGCCCCAGAGCAATTGCTAAGTTTAGTAGTGCCCGCAGGCACAGAAGGTTGCGTGTCGACAACACAGGGATGAGGGGCTCAATGGAAGAACGCCTGTCGCGGTCCATTGAGAGGCTGGAAGCCTGGCTGACCAAGCCTTCTAGGCTCATAAAGCTGGCCGCACGGGGACTTTCTGAGACGGGTGTGCTGGGTGGCCTTGCGCTGTCTGCCGTGGCTGCCTTCAGGATGTGGGCTGGCACAGCACATTTGCAAAGCGTGGTCATGAGCGCGTCTCGCGGAGTCTTTAGCCTCAACAGTCCAGCAACCTGGGTGAAGCGCTGATACGACTTAATGAGGTTACGGTAGTACTGCTCTTCAAGGGAAGCGTTCAGGAAGGTCGACGACGTAGCGAGTACCGCAGGCCAGCATGTGCTCACTAAATTCGCTACGGTGCCAACTCGTGTTGGCACGTTGCCGTCTTCCAGTTCTAAAGGGTTGATCGGGACCGTTCGCTTCTGATAAGATTGCGATCTGACAACACGATCAGGTCTCTTCTCGGGAAAATTTCCGTTGACCTCTTCGCTCATTCCCGATCCGCCTTGTGCTGGTGCATCCTTATCTTGCCGAACAGTCAGGGGCAGCACAACACGAGCCAGGCTCTCCGAAAGGCTTGTAAGGCATTCAAGGACTAATGCGTAGACGTAAGTCTCCGGAAGGGTTGGCGGCTCCGCCTTGTCAAGCTGGTCCAGACAGGCAAGTCGAGGTAGGCTTAACTGTGGACTGATACCCGCAACGCCGCTTTCTGCTACCCCAAGCGCAATGCTCATACTGCGCACCATTCCACTCCCAATTTGCTCCGGTAGCTGCTCAGCTGCCACCGGAACTTTATCCAAGGACTGTCTGATGGGAACGCTTGACTCTTGGCCTAGGCCGATGACCGCTGGCTTTTCCGCTGACATCCGAACAAAAGCAGACATCAAGTCTTGGACGACGGTTTTGCCGTCTTCAGCATCATCGTAGGCAGCGTATGCTTCGATGATGAGTCCAGTGTTCCCAAAGAAGTTCCGTATCATTTCCATAGCTAGTGCGCGCTTCCAAGGCGCTGTTGCATCAGTGTCCAGATTTTGTGTGAGCAGACCTATTGCCACTTCGAATTCACCAGGGAATCGATTGAAATGCCTGCCAATCAGCAGGTCCATTATGCGCAACGATCTTACCGTTACCGAAAAGCTTAGCTTCTCGGACAGACATTTGGTCACTGTGGGTATGACGTTCGAACGAACGATGGAGCTCAACTCGCTATGGGACACGAAGAGCCGTGTGTTGGCCGTGAGAGACGACCAGATCATTTCGAGGCTTGTCTCGGGAGATAATGAGCTCAGCAGCACGAACTTCGTTGGTCGGCCTTCCGCCGCAAGAACTAGGTCACGAAACGTGCGGTAGGCGTCAAAAGCGGCAGGTCTGAGCATCAGAGGTCCATTGTCGCCTGAGACTTCATGCGTTGCTGCAATGTCAGTGGCCTTCCTGTCTTCATCTACGACTTTCTCAAACACGGCAGCCACAAGCTGCTGCAAAGTTGCCGCAGCGACTCCGCTGACCGTCTGAGCCTTGGCACTTTGCAGCGAAGCGCATAGCTGCAAAGCGCTTGCCAGAAGGTCGTCTTGGAGCTCGTTCGCATAATTCTGGAGTAGCGAAGGTAAGGCTTGCAGAATCTTGAGCTGCAGATCTAGTCCGAGCTCCGAGCAGGCATTGAAGGCATCAAGCGTTTCTTTAAGCCTCGTTCTCGGTAGTGCTCTCGACACGACGAGCCTTTGCAGGCATGCTAGGCCACTGACCGCGAGCTTTGGAATTCGAGTCTCGCATGCGATCAGAAAAGGGTCGATGAATGTGGGCCGGCGGCTTAGATCTCTTATTAGTCAGTGCCGGCTTCATTTGGTATGGGTATACGTTAGCCTACCACCAGCCAGTTGTTGCTCCGAGGTCGACGGGAGCGCCTTGAGGTCTTGAAGCGACTTTTCGGCTGCGTTCTTGAGTTCGCCATGCTTCCGTTTTGCCTCAGAAATCAACGTAGTAAGTTCGCTGGCGAGTAGTGTCTGGCTCATCTCGTCTGCCCACAGTAATATCGCGTAAGGTAGCCTTTAGAGAAGTTGCAATTCCGGCAGTATCGTAACAATCCCACATGCACGAGCAACGTTGTGGATGGGATGTGAGGCATTGGTCCTCATCGTGTGAAGGCATCAATAGCGCCGGACAAAAGCCCTAATTTCTGTCGACAAGCGAAATGGATGGCAAAGTGTGGCTCCATTATATTCGAGATGCCCGAATGGAGTGCTTGTTGTTGTTGTATCTTGCAGCCGATTGAAGTTCGTGGCGCATGGCGTTTCATGCATGTGTTGGCGCAGGGCCCGTTGTGTGGCGTTCCTTTAGAGGTTCATGTAGGGCTGAACGCGTGGTACGACATCAATGCTTCCACTCTCTACATAGGCTGGCCAGATGAGGTTCTATGTTTGCCATACTCATTGGCTGAGACCTCACTGCTAACCATAGAGACACTGTGCGGCATGCGAATAGCCGGAATCCTTGGCAAAGCTCAAAGGAGCATTGAAGGGCGCCTATGTCTGGGTCATATGGAGACCAAGATGTTAGGGAAGAACAACATAGCGCTGTAGCGCAAAGTGCTCATACAGGGGCCGGCGATGACAGTAGAGGCGAAAACATTGAGGATCATGCAAATCACATAGGAGATCATTCAGACAATATACGCAACGGACAGCCAGAGAGTGGAATGCTTAAGGCCGAACGTCCTGCCCAAGCCTATCTTGATGTCGCGAACATCGGGATGGACACAGAACATGGCGGAACTGGAGTGCCGGCAGCCACTGAGACACACGAGGCGGATCCAGCAGCAGCTATTGAGCAGGAAGCAAGCGAGCACTTAGCTCGGCGAGCAGCTGAGTTGCACATTGCACATGGAGCTGCAGCCAACGCAAACACCGAGGCCGATGATGTCAAACATGTGTCCAGTAATGGTGATGACGGGCGGTCAACTCAGATCTCACAGGAGGTTCTTGACGAAAAGCACGCACATGAAGGCGAGGCAGCTTCAGCCGAGGTACCAGGCGAGCCACAAGATGCGCCGGAAGCTACAGGACTCGAGATACAGACCATCATGGAGCAGTTCCGGGATGGGATGGGGGGCATGAGCGAGCAGGAAGTCATGTCACCGCGCCTAGAAAGGCAGCAACCTCTACTTGTTCTGCCACCACGGACTTCAAGCCTTGAGCACAAGGAGGCACACGCATTGAGTCCACAGACGACAGGCCAGAGCGTGACTTCGCAGCGTAGTTTCGGCAGGCCGGGATCCATATCTGGAGCTAGCTTGCAGCATGTGAGGTCTGAGGATAATGAGTCTATTGTTAGTGGCAAAGCTGGCTCAATTTTCCAAACACCACCGCCGGAGCCGGAACCAGAGCCAACATTACCGTTCGACTTCCACCGCTTCCTGGGCCAGCTGAGACATCGCACGGCGGATCCAGTCGCACGCTTTCTGCGCTCGTTCATCAGTGAATTCGGTAAGAAGCAGTGGATGGTTCACGAGCAAGTGAAAATCATCTCCGACTTTCTCGAGTTCATTTCGACGAAGATGGCGCAGTGCGAAGTCTGGCGGACGGTCTCCGAAGCCGAGTTCGACAATGCCCGGGAAGGCATGGAGAAGCTCGTCATGAACCGCTTGTATTCCCAAACATTCTCCCCTGCCATCCCATCCGCACCGGGCAGTCCGCGCAAGAGTGGGAAGAGTGGACGATCGCAGGCTGATGCAGCCAACCCTTTCGGTCCAGGCCGGCGAGGGCAGCATCAGGAGGACGTTGAGCGTGACGAAGTCATTGCGCAGAAAATGCGAATCTACGGCTGGATCTCCGAGGAGCATCTGGACATTAAGCCTATCGAAGAGAAAGGGCGGAAGTTTATGGGCTTAGCGCAGCAAGAGCTGCTGAAGATCAACACCTATCGAGCGCCTAGAGACAAGGTCATCTGCGTGCTCAATTGCTGCAAAGTCATATTTGGCTTTCTCAAGAATGCCAAAGCCGATCAGTCGGCGGATGCATTCGTGCCGCTACTGATATATACTGTGCTACGAGCGCGCCCTGAGCATCTTGTCAGCAACGTACAGTATATTTGGCGCTTTCGAAATCAGGACAAGTTGGGCGGCGAAGCAGGCTATTACTTGTCATCCTTGATGGGAGTAGTGACGTTTATTGAGAACTTGGACCGCACGAATCTCACGATCTCTGACGAAGAGTTTGAGCGGCATGTGGAGCAGGCTGTTAGCGCTATAGCGGAGAAGAACAAGGAACAAGACTATGAAGAGCGTAGCCAGGCAGTGGCAGTAGCCGCAGTGACGAAGCCAAGACAACATCTGAGCGAGAAAAGCGCACTCAGCAGGCCTGAGGTGACGCCTCGAAACAGCTCCGACGCCGAACGATCAAGCCCGCGACGAAATGTGAGCCAGCGGCTGAGCGAGAAGGCTCAGCCGAGCGCTTTGAGCGACGACGATGACGATGATACGGACGCTGTTACTGGGCTTTTACGGACGATACAGAAGCCCCTAAGTAGTATCGGGCGGATATTTTCGGATGATGCCGCCGCCCACTCAAACTCCCTTAGACTGGCACAGCCAACGTCAACGCCTAGAGGTCTTAGTCCGGCACCACAGTTGCCCCGACGGCCAAGCGCGGAGGGTAGACCTGGTGATAGGCAGCGAAGTCAGCAGCGACAGACGGAAGATGCGGCGGCTCGGCAGGCCAGCGCTGAAGCTGCTGAGGCGCAAAGAGTGAGAGCCAGGGAGCATCAAGTGGTTGTGGAGTAAGCAGCAGATCATTGCGCCTCTCCGTTGATCCGCTGCTGACGTATCGAGTAGAACACTACAGAGCATGTTTCCTAACCTGGACAAAGACGTCATTGAAGATGTGACACGGGCGCAAGAAGGTAACGTGGGTCGAGCGGTGGATGCATGCCTGGCGTTAAGCGGATGATACCCCCATTTGTCGCCTTAGCTTACGGCCGCGCAGAATTGATGTGTGTGGTATTTGAGGCTCCTGTACAATCCTGCCACATCGGCCACAAGCTTGCCTCGACATTGCGACAGCACTCGTACACTACATGGCAACAGGGTATCTTCTCCAAACATGCCATCTGTCTCCAAGACGTGCGCGACACTCAACCCTTACTCAACGCTGTCCGGCCCAATACCCAGCAATCTCCGTCAATACAGCACCGACGATGCTTGCACTAGCCATCAACCCATGCCCTTCTCCCCGCAATACTCTCAACTCGCACCCGCCCCGACTTGTCCGTACATCCGCCCAACCATCCCGGCTTTGCGGATACTCGTTCGCATTCCCGTTCACGGCCATGTTATTGCCAAGTCCGGCCAAGGCTCGCGCGTTCATCTGATCCGCTAGCCACTTGACGTTGGGCAAGGGCACGCGCTTGTCCTCGCTGCCGTGCGTGATGACGACTTCACGGGAGACGTCCGTATACCTAAACCCGATCTCACGGTTGCGTTCGAGACAGACCAGCAAATCTGTAGCAGGGTTGCTGTCACGCGTGGCCAACTCCCAGGTTCGCTCGGTGAGCCAACTCGCGTATTCGAGTTTCCGCTCTTTCTCCGCGTGCTCGGCCGCACTAAGTGCCGTTTGCGCAAAGTCGAAGGTGGGATCCGTGGGACTTGCGGTGGCACCCAGGAAAACCGAGTTCCGTTTCGGTGGTGGTTCGAGGGCTGCTTCGTCCTCCTCTCTCATTGGAAGAAGAAAGCTCTCCATGGGGTTGCTGGGCATGTACTGGTCCATCAGCATCAAGCTTTCTCGCCTTCCGTAGTCGGGACGTTGTGCAGTCGAGGGCCTTTCGGGGATTCCCCAGTAGACGGAGTGTTCGCGAGAGCGGTCTCGCGAGCTCTGAACTGGGCGTCGTGCCGCGGGTTTGAGAGACGTAGAGGTGGCGGTCAAGAAGGAAGTGTTGGCCGCTTTCAGGAAGGAAGTAGGTAGGACGCGGAGGATGCGCTGACCTCGCGGCATCGCGACCGAGGGCGCAGCGGTTGCGGTCGGGTGTGGGAGGGCCTCGAGCTGACTAGGCGGGATCCATGGCGCCAGCAGATGCACTTTGCCTTTGATCATATGCGGTAGAATAAGCGCTGTGGCGAGCGCATAGACGGCCCCAGCAGAATGTGCGAGCAGGCTGAACTTGGTAATGTTTAGGTGTTCGCAGATGGCGAGAACATCTTCCGGCCAACTTAATGGGCCGCCACGATGTCCTGCTGGATAAGGATCGCTGGCGCCTACCCCAGGACGCTCCACGGTAATGAGACGCAAGCGCAGGGTTGTTGCGAGCTCATCGTAGAAAGCCGAGACATACCGCGTCAACCCCATACCCACGGATACAAAGACAGCCGCGCCTTCCGGGTCGCCGACCTCCGAAAAGCTGATGGTACGGTTACTACCAGGATGCTTGACCTTCCGGCTCAAGCGAGGTGCCTTCAGATACTGTGTTACGGCATCCTCGATGCTGTCCCGTCGGTCAAGCGCAAGCTCGTCATCCAAGTGCCGCGTGCGCCGCGCATCGCTCATGGATTTGCGCCTGCTTTTCCGTCTTTCCAGCTCTAACGGCAGGTCGGGATGCTGTGCTGTCCATCTGGTGGTAGGATCGGTGCGTTTGCGCGAGCTCATTGGCCTGGGTCGGCTGGTCGTACTGGACGAATCCAAAGGTTGCGCAAGCCGTGGTAGTTCAAGCGCGTCCACCGAGCCGGAGCTTTTGGAGGTCTGCCGCTTGTGCTGTTTCCTAAGCCCGGTCTCCCCGTTTGCGTGTTGCAACGTGTTCATAGCCTGTGCGTACGAATAGTCCAGTGACAATGAAGGCGTTGACGGGCTGACTGTGCTGGTTGACTCGGCCGTTACCGGATCGTGATGCGAAACCGGTCTGCGCGAATGGTCTGGAGACTCACTTGTTGCTCTCTGAATGACTGCAGGGCGATCACCAAGCGTCGCTGTGCGGTCGTCTCTCAATCCTAGGACTCTGTGTGCTTTCGATGCAGGCTCAGTCGCAGCTCGATTGGCTGCAGGTCTGACGCGGGAGGCTCGCTTATAGTCTTCGCTTAGTGGCTCCAACGGCTTGGCGGCCTCGATAGTCAGCGGTTTTGTCTCGGGTACTCTAAGTACATTGGGGCTTTCCGCTTGCGTAGCAAAGGTTTTCAATTCCTCCAAACGCGACTTGCGCTTCTCTTTAAGCTCGCGAATGCGTTTCACTGTCTCATCGTCTTCGCCCAAATCAGCCCAGCTTGACTCTGGAATCGACCGGGATCGGCTCGAAACGCTTTCTGTCTTGCTGCTGGCGAAAACCGGTCGTTTTGACTTCTTATCCCTTTTCTTGCCAGAAGTTGGACTGGGAATGATCGCTCTTAACGAAGAAGTTCGGGTTGGGATCGAGTCGACAATCGGACTTTTCCTGGGCGATATGCGCGGCGGTGTCAATGCGGTCGGCTCGGTTGCTTCGGTCAAGATGCTTGCCTGCGTACGTTGACTACTTCTGGCGCTCCCGTCAGTCTCTGCACTCTTAGTGTCGGAGACCAAAGAGTCGCAGATCCTTCTATCCTCGCCCGCGCTTGAGTCGTTGAGGTATAGCCGGCCTTTGTTTGGATCAGTCAGCGGTGGCGGTGTCCTCGCGATGATTTGCTCGGCGCGTGACAGTGCCCAAAGGTCTGATGGACCTCGCGGAGCAGGCACGTCGGCGGCGGCGGCTGATGACCGCAACGCTTCCTGCGTCGTTGTGCGCCTCAAGCTCTTGCGGCGCTCTTTCGGTTTGCCATTTCTGCTGATTGACTCTTGACTGACTGAGTAATGCCTTATCCAGCTTTCCGCACTGTGCTTGTTTCTGTCGCTGCTCTCCTTCTCCCTCGGCAGGCTTACATATGAACTCGTTCGCGAATTGATCGATGCAGGTCGCAGATGGCTCAGCGCACTACCGTTGACCGAAGGCGCAGTGTATTGCGACAGACCAGAAGGAGCGCGTGACGTTCGTATAGAGGGTGGAGGTGCTGAATCCGCACGCGAACCCTCTGCACGTACCGAAGAAGCCTGCCCAAGCCTAGAGTCAACGTCCCGCGAGCCCGGCCTTGAGACATGGTCACCCTCCAGCGAATCGATCATAGAGGTGATGACACCAGGGTCAGCAGGTTTGGCCCGTATTTGGTTGGTCGACCGGCGTGGTGGAGGTTGCGGGCGCGGACGGTCCATTTGTAGGTCATACTGTGCGTTGTGCATTGATGGCGCGACTGGCCATTCCATGGTCGTCATGATGGTCTATACGTACAACCGCCTGGCACAGTCCGCCCGGGCGAAGGTGTATAATTCAAGCTTCATCTGCCTCCGGCATTGTGGGCGGCTCAACGTTCCTTCCGCGTAGATCTAAACTCTCCTATGCGCCACCAACACGGTTTTCGTGTACCAGTACTCGTACGCTATGGCTGTAAGATGTTGCGCGTCTCCAACGATTCGAAGCGAGTGTGCGTGATTGTATAGTATGCAGTACGGTCATGCGCGTTGAGGACTCGGTGCAATGGGTCGATCATCCTTCGGATGCCTTGTTGGAGAAAACGCGAAAGACCCCTGCTCGCCCCCGTTCCATGCGTTCTTAGCGCGCAGTTACCATCCTGTTTCACTCTCAAACATCCTGCTTTCTCCCGAGCCTCAACCGCACTGCTACCGTTTCCAAAACTTGGATAACCATCATAGTTGATGGATTCAAGCACGACTCGTAGAGTGTGGCAGCTACGTGACGCGACCTAGGAGTCAAGGGCGAAGAGTCTGCTTTTCCTCCTTGGTATCCCACTGTCGATCATAAATATCTACCGTACACACGTAATGGTTGCATTCGCTACCACTTCCCAAGGATGAATGAGTCCCTTGGCCGACCTTTTGCCTACTGCCTTGTGCATACTGATAGGCTTGATATGGGATGGTCGACGAGCCTGCCAACTTGCTTACAACAGAACGGCGCAATCGCAGCTCTGGTCAAGTAGCGCGAGGAACGATGTCGTCACTATCGAGAAACGCTTGCGTCTTGCGGGCAACTTCCGGGACGGCACAATTACAAGCTGCGCAGTGAGCGATTCACTGGGTCGGCCTGCAAGTATTGCAGCGGGCTTGACTGTCAAGGGACGCGCGGGTGCTTCGCATCAGGCCTGTCGTCGCTATCTCTGCTGGCTGCTGTATAGATTGATCCATAATCCTTGCGTTTAACGTACATACAGTCTGCTCGTAGCCTCCAACGTACTCCGACCTGGGCTTATCGGCCGTGAAACGCACACACAAGTCGCTCGCTGGCTCGAACGCTGCAATCTCTCACGAACAATGACACATCACGCTGTAGCCGCTCGGAAAGCCACCGGGATCAGCTTCTCGCCTCTCTTCTGGCGCCAAGCATTGGTCGCTGCAACCAAATCTTCGCAGCCGGGCAACAAGCAAGCCCAACGTCTTACGAAGGGCTCAGACATCTCCCAGCTTGCCACATATTCTGGTGAGCTCCATACCACAAGCCCAGCGCGCTGCCAGCCACCATTAACCCGCTCCATGGCTCCAGAAGCTCGGATACAGCTGAGCAAAGACGCCGCATCTATGCTGTTGGTTGCGATTGCTCGCAGAATGTTGTATCGGAGCCGTGGGTGTGGTATAATGTCGATGATTGGATCATGTGCTACTTGATACTGCAGGTCTATTGGCATCAGTGTGGCGGGTACTGAACGATCGCTCGGGGAGGGCGTGTAAACGAGCGTGCCATTCTGCACCGCCGCTTGGTCGATGCCAAGGTACTGAGCGTTCGTTGCCGCTGCGCCCATCAAGTTGCGGTTGATGAGCTGTGCAAGCTCGTCCCATGCGCGTCCTGGGTTTGCATCAGTACGACCACCGGTCTGGGTGCGTGCAGGAAGAGAGGTCGTACGAGTGCTGGCTGCGCGCACTGTCCGGCGAGGCACAGATGTACCGGACGCCGAGCTCCCCGTTGCATCCTCATCCTCTTGCTCATCCTCTTCTTCTTCTTCGTAATCATCCTCGCTCTCTTCGTCATTATCTGAAACCGACTGCTTCTGGCTGGAAGACGCCGATACACTGCGTGGCTTATACTGCTTTGGTGACTGGCCCGCTCGCTGTCGCTGTCTGAAAGCTCGCTGGTTCAAACGATTCTGTATCCGGCGCCTTTCCGCGGGATCGTTTTTGCCACGCCCTGTCAATCAGGTGTCAACAACATGACCTGAGCTGACATTGTACTTTTTACCTACAGTTCTCATTTACCACTGCCGCAATTGGTATCCGTGAATCATGCGATGCTAGTCCTGTCCGGTGCGTAGACGCCGCATTATTGTACCAGTGGGACATTGTGTTAGGATGCAGATCCTGTCTGTCTAACGCTACCGATTCCGGATCTGACGACCTGCGGTAATTGCATACGAAGGGAATGTGAGAGCGACGATGACGAAGGAGGCAAAAGAGCTGCTTACTTACTTGTATACTCACCTCCAAGCAAACGGGCAAGTGATAGCACGCCGAAGGTGAGCTTGTCGGTCGCATTAAGGTGATTACACTTGATCGTAGATTGGGTGTCATCTACGAGCATGACAATAAAGCGCAGAATGCTCGATCTAGGAACTGTCTGAGTCATCGCGACGGCGGGACCGAGTATCGATACGACATGGCGTTCAGGCAGTGTTGGCCCGACGAATGACAGTCCTTGTGCGATATTGATTTGGGAAGTACAGCCAAGTAGAATGCCCTGCCGTGTCGGCCTAAGGAGGGATTGCGGCAGGAACACGTTGCGCAACACAGTAGCGTCGGCGGAAGGAACGGCGCTACAGCCGACTCGATGCTGAATAGTCAATGTGGAGCCGAATGTTCTATTGAGCTTCTACGCCGTTCTTCGAAGGAACAACGCCATCTGACTGTAGACTGACGGCGTGGCGTGATAGTCAGTGATCAGTCATGGCAATAGACGCCAGCTTATTCCTCAGCCCTGCGGCCGAATGCGACCCAATGCGGGCCACGGTCCGGCGGCTTGGGTCGCATGAGCATGTTGGCCAGTGTAGCATTCGCTGACTTTGACCGTTTGTGGTCGAGTCTAGCGTCCAGAAATGGTTACTGACAGCATCAATCGCAACATCGGGGTCCGGAAGTCAAGGATATAGCCGTCGCCAGAATGCATGAATGAGCCTTCGTCAAGCGGCGATGGAAGTAAGACCGTGCGGTGGAGGGAGCTGCAGTCGGCTGCAGTGGGTCTCTACCGGACGAAAACAAGAGCGCAAGCCTGAGGCACGCCTAACCATAGCCCGTGAGAAGTGGGGTCATCCAGTATTTGCGGCTCATGTGATGCATGGTCCAAGCTCCCGTTCTATACACGTTGTGCCAGATCAGCTCCTGCAGCGCTCACATAAGCTTCTGACCGCGATAGCAATAGCGGCGCGGCCTTCCGGCCGCAAGTAATACAGTTGCCTTGCATACGCCGGAGCGTTCGGAATGCCGACAACGATGGAACGTATCTGGGAATTTATGACCTATTGCGACGGGTACCTGCAAGGCCGACTGTATACCCTGCCAAAGTCCCCTGCGGCATTGTATGGCTTCCTGGTCTCCAAGGCCACGAGGCTGCTGCCTCTGCTGTCGTTCCTGGCGCTACCATGGTTCGGTGGGCCGTCGACGGCCGTCAGTGTGTTGATCTTCTATTTGACCTGGAGTGGGCTCGTTGCCAGTCACGATCCATTGACGTTGGAAATAGGTGGCACGCTGCTGGTCCGGTTGCTCTGCTACGTCTTGCCCGCTCTTGCCTTCTTAGCCTTCGACTGCTTTACGCCGGGCGTGAGCCGCAAGATCAAGGCACGTGGCAGACGACAACTACCTCTTCGGCAAGTTGGTCCCAATGGGCTTGCCAAAGTCGTCACGGTTTCTGTGGGTAACGTACTGTTGTCAGTGACCCTTCAAGGTGCCCTAGAGCTGTTAACAACCCATTCTCTGCATTTGCGCAGTCTCCTCAGAGTGACAGCTCTTGTACCGTTGCCGTGGTCGCTGTTGAAGGATGTCGCAACAGGATTGATCATTCGAGGCTTCCTTCGGTATGGCATCCATCGGTACTTCCTGCATACCCTCGACACACCGCTCAAGTCATGGCATTCACAATGGCAACACAGCGTTGAGCTGCCATTCAGTCTTGTCGCTTCATACGATCATCCCGTCAACTACCTCGTATCCGAATGGATGCCGGCTTTTCTGCCAGCTTATTTATTCCGCTTCCACATCCTGGCCTGGCATGCTCTCCTGGCGATCGCTAGCATCGAAGAGCTCTTCGTGTACTCTGGGTACGTAATCTTGCCCTCTGCAATATTGCTTCCAGGCATGGCTCGTCGCAACGAAGCACACTTCGAGTCCGCACGTTCAAACAAATTGGTTGGCAACTTCGGGCATCTTGGCTTGATAGACTTCATGTTCGGCACAGCGTGCGAGGATGAGAATGACGTGGTTGATGATCTCCAAGACGAAGCAGAGAGGCATCGCTTGCAACAGCGGGCTGGAGCCGCATCAGTGGGTGTGGTGCAGAGCGTAGCCGACAACAAATCCGCCTCAGCCCAGCATGTAGACGCTCAAGGTGATCTTGACCGTAACACGTAGGCTGGCACACTAACGGGCGGGAACGCTACTGCAGATGCTACCCGGGAAGGTGCCGGTGATGCAGAAGATAACCCAGATGCGGCGGCTGACGAACCTGCTGACGAGGACGCCCCGCAACAGCAAATGCAACGGAAGAGTTCGAGACGGAAGGCTCGTAGAGCTTGAGGCTGGAGCCGGCAACGCACACAGGATACCTCATATGTGGTTGCTCCTTAATTATCTGTTAGGCTCTACATGTGATATCCAAGGATGGTCATGTATCAGTCCTACTTGGTGGCTCTTTGACCAGTTCAGGCATCGGTTCCGTGGTCGCTGTCACTAACAGGCTTCCGCAGCCGGCCTCCTTCAAACCTAAGGGTCGGTATAGCTTCAGCCGGCATCCCGAGACGCTCCAGTGGGTGTATGCTTCGAAGATTGACAGAGCTTACCGTCAGGCTTTCCACCCACAAGCATGTAAGTCGACTGAACGGAGCCCGTTGGTACTGCAGTAGTGGACGTAACGCTTACATTTCCGTTGCGGCAGATGCTCACGCTTGTCCGTTCAACCAACCTATATGATAGTCTCCTGGCACCCATTATCTAGACAGATGTTGCGACATCCGTCGCCTCCTCCCAGCAATGAAAATATGCTCGCGATGCCATCGTCATGCATTCATGCGAATAACATTAAAGGTTTTGAAGGTGTTCGGCAATAAAATACACGGCAGGCGCGGCCTACCGCCTCCGCTACTTCCCTTTCCGCAGTAGCAAACACCTCACCTCTTGCCACACAATGACACGTATCCTTCCTGACTCGCCGCACAATGGAGGGCTACGAGCGCCGCAATGCACTGACGTGGGATCTACACTACGCAGAGAGACCTGAGCAGCCGCAATCGGGAGGCTGGAAGCTTGTTGACGTTGGTCGCAAGCGTGGCGGTAAGTGTGCTCAGCCCCTGCAACCTATACTTCGCCACTGCGACAGCTGATAACAGTGTTGTGCCTAGCCCCATGTAAACAAGTGCCACTAAAGCTAACGCATGAATCGGACAATGGGGCTCAAGCGGAGTGGCGGGATCGAAAGCGCCCAGTCGATGAGGTTCGTATACCTGATGAGCTCGCGCTACAAAGGAAACCTTACTATGAAGAAGTCGCAAAGCGTTACTGCACTTTCATCTTCTCTCAACACCACCGCAGCACTAGTGGTACAAAGACTCTGGGCATATGGGGCGAGAAGAATGCCGTTAGCGCTACCAAGAAGGAGATTTTCGACTGGATTGAAGAGTCAGGCTTCGGTAATCGCAAGTCTGCCTCTGGTCTCAAATTTCCTAAAGTCGTCTCTTTAACACCAGTTCTTCGCGAGCGCGAAGAAAGGCGGTGGGAGAAAAGAGTGACCATGGAGAAGTTCCGCCAGCACCCGCCTCCTGACAAGGTGTTTGGCGCCATTGGCTCTTTTCACTGGCCCGTCCCAGAATACAAGCCCGCCGACGTACTGGGAACCCAGTTTGAGGCACTGGATCCTGTTCGCATGGACTGCTCCTGTCACGTCGTGTACCACCCAGAGAGAAGCATCTTCCGCGTACTGGGAAAGGCATCAGACGTCAAAGAGGGTCTGCTACGCATACGAAAAGCTTGTTTCCAAATTGCAGCATGGCAAGTCATGCCAATCCGCCTCACGCTGCTTTACTGGCCGAATCCTGGGAAGCTACCGCTGTTCGTCTACCTGGAGGAATATAAGACGCCGTTGGCCACTACGAACGACATCTCAAAAGGTCCAATTGTCCGCAGATCGCCGCGTGCAGAAGGACACGATAAGAACCCAAAGCCTGCCGACAAAGCAATGAGACAGACTGAAGCAAGCAGCGCGACTGTTCGCACTGCCATCCTCAAAACACTTGGCAAGCTACACTACTTCCGGGGCCATCTACAGATGCGCGTCAGGCTCGGTAGGTTCCTTGCGACTCAGTATCGGGAACTCAAGGACACGGTATGGGACCTGGACGAATACGAGGACATGACCCAGGAGTCTCAATTCATAGGTGAAGTGACTCAAGAGTACGTGCATCAAGACAACCTTTGAACGTCGGCATCACTGATGTATATACCCAGGGTGGGGGATGTGAACACGGAAAGCGCGCTCTTCGATACCATTCTGAACAGTGACGGCTTCCTTACGCCGTCTGAGGCGATCTTGACCAATCTCAAGGATGTCCGACCCACGTATACTGCCGTCTTCCATTTTGCCGACCACGGCGGCGACATCCGCCTTACCGTCGATTGGCAGCAGACGCTCGATACGACCAGAGCCCATGTTGAATTCGACATGACTTCCAAGAAGTGGGTGCGGCTGGACAGAGATACCGGCATGCTCAAACCACTGCTGGACGCGAGTCTCACCGACCTCAGTACAAGTCTAGCTTGGCAATTAGACGTGTCGGCCTCTACACAAGTCGTTGACGAATGCAATCTGCCTGAGCAGCTTGTCAGCTTCGCTAAGAACTTGCGAATCGAACCGAAAGCAGTGCGCCACCAAGACGATGCGGTGTTGTTCGTGCGCCGCAACCCTTACGCCAAGCTCAAGTCCTTCCGCCAGCAAATTGGGTACCAGTACGCCATTTGTGACTCCGACTACACGCTGGAAGTGTGTCGCTACCAAGATCAGACATTTGCGCCCCATGAGCCACCTGTCAATGAAAAGATGCCGCCAACGATATACGAGCCACGCTGGTCTCTCAATGTGTTCCGCAAGGAATGGGACACGAGTTTCGCCAAGAACGAGCGCCTTCCGATCGGGCAGGGTGTCGACTGGTCGGACGATGTGACTTTCTGGTTCCCGTCGGACATCGGACCTGGTGCACCACCAGTCGACGAGCACAACCCATACCAAGGCTGGGATCAACTTATGGATAAGCTCATGCGGATTCACGGCATCGTAGCGGAGCTCATGCAGGAGGTCTAGGCTGGGCACTTGGAAGAGGGGTCGGAGTGTTGAAGGTGATTATCACATTCATCATCCACATCGTAGACCTCAGCAAATGTCTCGTGCTGACGGGCTTGCCTTTGTCGGTGCATCGTACGTATGGGGCAAGCCAATTGCTCATCGCTTTTTCCGTCGGGGCTGAGCCTGCAATGGCTCACATGTTGTGAATACGGCACTTGGTGTACCTTCTGCGCTACACTCATAGAGCCCAGCTACACCTCAACATGGTGCCGGCCTGTCAATAGCCGATGTATCGTAGACATAAGGCTGGATGAAGTGAGGTTGTCATAGAAGCGATCTACGTTCTCCGAGACATGTTTGCGCCAGTGCCACAATCGTCTGACAGAGATAAGCTAAGCTGTTCTCGCTACCACAGAAGACTTAGACAGAAGCGCTTGAATAACAGACAAACACGAAGATTGATGATACTAAACAATGAGGCCGCATTCTCTCTTTCCTGCCTCTGCCTTCTCATGAGATATCGTACGCATACGGTACTGTGTAGACATGTACTCTGCCAATGTAGGACCGCCAAGTACATATCTTCGGAAGCCTGCTCGCCCCTACTGCTTACTTCGCCAGCAACGGGCGGGTGAACGGGTAAGTGCGCAGCGTATTGATGAGCTGTCAATGCCATTCTATCGCTCCCACACGACCGATGTAGTTCGTTGATTGTGGCGGCTGGGAGTTTGCTGCTGCGAGCTGTCATGATCTGGGGTCTAGGAATGGATGTCGATCAATCCGCAGACTCCGGCACAGACAACGCTCACGGTCGGGCTGCTAATGCGAAGTGACCGCAAGCTAGCGTATCCGGTGTTCGTTGTTCAGCTCAAAGAGCATAAGGATTCAGCGACCGAATTGTCAAGCACCTGCAAACCCGCGTCAGCACATTCACCACCAAGCCATCAAGAAGAAGCGGCGACGAAGACGTACGGCGGACTCTTCCCCAGATCCGTACTCAACAGCACCGGCACCCTCGTCATCTCCTTGACATCCTGAATACACTGCCCACCCTCCTCCCGCAGACTAAACAAGCCCAAATACTTCTCCTTGTTGCTCATCTTACTCTCCGACGCACCACCGGCACCGGCAGCCATGTTACTCAGCACCTTCGAATCGGACTTACTCCTTTGTGGCGTCAACCCATTCCTTGCTGGACTCGGAGGACCGGACTGAGTCGCACGGTCGCCGTTGAGCGCGACTCCGGAGTTGTAGTGGTCGCGCTCGGAGTAGCCTTCATCAATCTCGCCCTCCTCCTCTTCCTCGTCGTCGAAGAGGGCGTCGACATCCTGCGTGTCGATGGATCCAGTATTCATATCCTTCCTCGCCGTCTCCGCGATCGTAGAACTGGTGGTTTTGTGTGCTCTTGCGGCGCCAGTGTGCTGCTGCTGCTGCTGCTGGTGCCGCTGCGGCGTCGTACGATCACGGCCCGTAGCAGCAGCCGGCCGCTCATCCTCCGGCACAAACGCACTACTCGGCACGCCCTTCTCCCAGTACAGCTCCAACAACCGCTTATTCTTGTCAAACTCCGCCTTCTTCAGCGGCAGTTGATCGCAATGGACGCGCTTCTCGAACCCATACTCTGGGATCAACACATCGAACGCGGACTCGTACACGCAGACCACGATGCCGACGGAGATGAGGTCGCCGCCTTGCTGATCGGCTTTACGAGCCATGGCGCGGCACGACTCGATATGCACGCTTTGCTCTTGCGCCGCGCGGGCGGAGTCCTTCTTCGTGTTGCACGTCTCGGCTGTCTTCGCCAGACTTTCTAGATCTTCCGTGAACATCTCCGGATTGTTGGAAAGCACGGCTTCAAGCTGGCGGTGCACGACAATGTCGGCGTAGCGGCGCGAAGGGTTGGTGAAATGGGTGTATAGCGGCAGGTTTAGCGCGTAGTGGCTCAAGAACTCATCCGGAATCTTGGCCGGAACGAAGTATTTCGCGCGCAACATTGACTTGATGACGAGCGTCTCCATGCCCTTGCGAATGTCGGCGTCTTCAATGCGGAAGAGACTGTTCTGCAGCGCGGCGGAGCTGGAAATGTCGATCTCAATGCCGATATTCGACATTCGCTCCGCGAAAGTCTGGAGGCGGCGTGGGTTCGGGTTCGCTTGTCTACGCAGGAGAGCCCGGTCCGGCATCGCCGCGAAGATGCGCTCAGCCACCATGGCATTCGTTTTGTGGCTCAGCTCCTCAATCATCTCATGACTGGGGCTCGAATCGAAGATATTCTGCTCGACTGGCACATTCTCGTCGTCGAGCTGATAGAAAAGCCGCAGTGGCTGAACGTCCACCACGTCCGCTCCTCCAAACCGAGCTTGGCGGAACTTCTGCGTGATGCCGTACAGCATGAGGATCTGCTGCTTCCGCGCCTCGTCGATGGAAGAAGAAGAAGGCTTGCCGTTGATAACCGCATCGACCTCCTCGTACGCCAGTTTGCCATCGCTCCGGATCACGCCTTTGCCGATCCACGTCTGCTCGTCCACAACGCGGCCAGTAGCCGCATTGACCTTAAAGACGACGGAAACGGTATACCTCTCCTCTCCCGGGCTGAGACAGCATATCTCCTGCGAAAGCTTCGGCGGCAGCATATTGACGCTCCTATTCATCAAGTACACGCCTGTGCCACGCTTCTTCGCCTCGCGGTCGACCAGCGAGTTAGCCTTCACAAAATGCGCCATGTCCGCGACATGGATGCCGATCTCCACCATCCCGTCTCCCAAGTCCTTAAGATGTAACGCGTCATCTAGCTCTTTGCTGCCGTTCGGATCGATCGTGAACGTCTTATCGTCACGGAAGTCACGACGGCCGGCCAGTGCGGCCTCGCCATCCGCGGCAACAGACCATTCTTCGTATCCGACACTCTTGGCCACCGCTTCGGAGAAGTCGTCAGGTCCGAAATTATTGTCACGCAGGAGAGCGTCGGTCTCCACCCTAAGGTCACCGGCATCACCCAGCTGCTCTACCAATGTACCGAATGGGTGCAAACTGGTGATCGGCCAGCGCTTGATGCACGCCACGAAGATCTTGTTCGCGTAGTCCTGATGGCGCTCCACGAAGTCCTTAGGCGCCTGCTCGGTTGGGATGGCGATAAGCGGGACACGTTTGTCCGTCGGCTTGAACCACACGATCTTAGGCCGCTCGTTCTGGCGTTCGGGCCGACTAAAGTTACCACCCTCCCGCTCGCGTCGCTCGGCTTCTTGCTTCTCCTTCGTGGCTTGACTGCTGGGACGCAGCAGACCAAGCGTACCCGAGAACATCTGGCCCGGGACACGCTCAATGACGGCGACGACATGGCCGGCGTACAACGGCTTTTGTTCGTCGTTGATCTCGTCTTCTTCCATCAGTAGCAAGCTCTGCCCTTCAACTTCCACATCATCATTCTTCTTCTGCGTAGGGCGCTGCTTCAAGCTTCCACGCCTGCGGAGCCCACTGTCTTGTGCGGAGCTCTCCGGTGCCGTTGTAGCATCGTTGACCGCCGTGATGCTGCCACTACGCTGATCCGTGACATCCTTGCGCTTCTTCTTCTCTTCCTTCTCGCGCTTCTGTCCCCAGACCTCATCGACGTCAAGAAGCTCAACGGCGACAAGATCGCCTTCAAGTGCCCGATTACGATCTTTGCTGCCGCAGATGAAGATGTCCGCATCGAGATCGGTAGTCGTGACGTAAGCGTCACTCCGATTCTTCTTGTTCACACGCAGAATGCCAGCAACGAGCTGACCATCAGCCAGGAGAGCCGGCAGAGTCGCCTGCGGCAGGTATGGAGTGAACAGTGTCTTGCGCTGCTGCTGCTGCTGATTGCTAAATGTTGGCCCATTGTGCTGGCCAGTCAGCTGAGCAACATTCGCGACCGGAATGCCTGCTTGTTGATAGGCCTGCAGCTGTGCAAGCTGAAGAGCATTGAGCTGTTGTCCAGCAAAGATGTTGGGCTGCTGAACCAGCACTTGGCCCTGTGGCAGCTGCACGAGCTGAGGCTGAGGCTGGTACTGGAAGCCTCCAAGCCCGCCCATTGACTGCGCTTGCAACGAGCCACGCTGGCGGTGACCGGGCTGGAACGGCTGGGCCGTGGTATGTTGATTCATCTGAAAGTTACCCATGTTCTGATGCTGCGGCTCGCTTGCAGTAGGCGTCTGAGTGAAGTTGTTATTGTTGTTCTGTTGGCGCCAGTTACCTTCGAAGTTGCGAGAAGCGGTCCGTCCATGACCTTGGCTGCCGCGGCGTTCAAGGTCGGTGTTCGCGCCGGCGTTGTTGGTCGCTTGAGGTGGCGGGAACTGGAAGCCCGCAGGTCCGCCACGACTGCTCTGAGCCATGCCACGACCGTTGCCGATTGCCATGCTCTGACTTCTGCCATGTCCGCGCCCGCCCACCCCGCCTCGAGAGGCAGTATTCTGCGGCGCCTGCACGGAATCAGTCTGCACTTGACCAGGGCTCACCGATCTGTTACTCGTGGAAGGCGAAGCACCGCCGGCACCCGGGATTGGAAATTGAAAGCCACTAGTCTTCCGCTTCGCCTCGGCCAGCTCAGCCGCCTTCTTTGCTTCTGGCAGCGCCAGCGAGTGTCGTCTTGCATGACCTGCACCACCGCCTGCGGCACCGCCAGCCCGTCCGCCACCGCGGGGTGCATTGTTCTCGCTCCTGCCTTGGCCAGGAAAGCCGAAGTCACTCGGAAACCCTGAACCAGAAGCTCCACTGGAGGGCGCAGGAGGCGGACCCATAGTGCCCACAGTACCCATGCCCATATTAGGCAGAGCGGACTGATTGCGGCGATGTGCGGAGGCACCTGCCATACCACTAGTCATGGGGATGCCAAGGTGCTGCGGTTGTCCCATGGGCTGTTGCTGGAACTGGAAAGCACTGGTCGGGGACATGCTTAAGTTCTGCATTTGTCCCTGCAGTTGCTGGAACTGCGTGGGTAGTTGCTGCTGTTGTGGTATCATACCCATATTGACATATTGCTGGTGTGTAGCGGCGATCTGCTGCTGTTGCTGTTGTAGCATCTCAATTTGCTGCGCAAGGGCGAGTTGTTCCACTGCAAGTACTGGATGTCAGCATAGATGATACGCAAGCACGTGACAGCGTACCACGTGTTTAAACAGGACTGCGATGTGTTGACGATCACTGGGTAGGGCACGTACTCATCAAAGGCGTCATTTCGGACGGGCTGCGCCGGTGGGCGATGTGCAGGCGACGACCCCCCGGGCCTTGCTGGCCCTGACCCTGCTGTGTCGGATCAAGACGGTTGGGGTCCATCTTTGCTGGTGTCTGCTGACGTAATTCTAAAGTACAATGAGCTGTAGTCGTAGCTCGTGAGTGCTGTGCGTTGCCGGCTCGTGTGTCGACCCTCGTGTCGGAGTCAGGGTAAAGGTGCTAATGTGGCGATGCTTGATATTGTCGAAGTCTCAAGGGTAGTGCGTCTCGTGGTAACTGGGAGGGTCTGCTGCGAACAAGATCGTGCTTTTTCCTTTCTCGAGAGCAGAATGGGTTATACTGCTTTGGCGAGTGTTTGCGTTGATGCGGTGGTCTGCGGGTTTGTTGTGAGGCAGGTAATGATTGAACTTTGGCTGCTGGGTAGTGATGGATGCGGCAGGCTCTATCGATGCTTGAAGAAGCAAGCGTGTGCGGGCTTTCCGCGGTGGACGAGGCTTGACTGCCTCAACGGATGTCAAGGGAGGGAACGAAGGAAGTGAGGGTGTGCGATGGAGTCGATGAAGACTGCCGTTCGCTATGAGATTGGGGGGTTGTGTGTAGAGGAAAGAGTGGTGGAAGAGGTGTGTGAGAGATACGACGTAACCTCCGATGAAGCGGGTGTGGGCAGATAGGGTTTGTGGAGAAAAGCTGTGATCCTTGGTTCCGCGCCGGTTGGCTGCACCGCTCCCTGTTGGGTTGGAGCATGCATGGACTTCTGCCTATGCAATCATTGCGACAATGTACATTAGTCCACAAGAGAGCAGAGTAAAATGCAGTATATGCGATTTTATACTGCTATTGAATGTCGCTTTACGTCGCGAATGTGCGCACGTGTCCAGCCACATGGAGAGCCCAAGTAGCCTTGGCTCACGTCATAACTCCCCTGCTCGCGCCAAGTGCCTCGAGGTAAAGATTGACCGAAGGACGTTCGTGCTTCGCCGACTGCTAAGTCACTGATACTACGAGCCACCTTGCTGGTGCGAGGACGAACCACCTTGACTTCCCGTCCCCTGAGCAATCTGGGCCAGCTCCTGACCTCCCTGCTCTGCCGCCCCAGTTTGATCGTTCGTTGGTACGCTTTGGCTCGCAAAGGCCAAGAAGACGGCCTCGTAGTGGTCATCACCACCTTGGTAATGGAAGATGATGGCGCCGTCTTCGCCGACAGCCTATGATCAACGAGTCAGCGATGCACTTTACAATGGAGGAGGGTCTAAAGCACTTACGTTAGCATACTCCGGCGACGAACCCTGGTTCATGTGGACGTCGTCAATACCCTGACCATAGTCGGCACCAAAGATGTACACCTTCGCCTTGGCCTGGATCGCATCGTCGAGGATCGGCTTCAGCTGGTCCAGAATGTCGTTATTTGGTCCGGACTTATTGTTCGGCAGAACACGTCCGGCACTCAAGGTCAGCAACGCAGGCTTCGTGCGAAGGAAGTCAAGACTCAAGCCCGAACCAGGCTCAGACGCTGTGATTTTGTGGACACCGTCCTGGAGGCTCGTCAGGCCCTTGGTGATGGGATGGTGCCATTGGCGGTGCAGCCAGTAAACGAGATCTGGATCGGCGTCGGTTGAAGCGACGTTGATGTTGGCCTCGTGGTCTTTGCTGCCGTCGGAGAACTTGAGGTTGATGTGCGGCGAGCGGTCTTGTTGGAGGGTTTGTGCTACGTAGCTGATGGGCGTGCCTTTCCTGTATAAAGTAAGTAACGACAGCAGTTATGGGCCGGAATTCTGAGGTGAACTACCAGACACTGTAGTTCTCGATCCCCTTGGCCTTGGTACGACCGCCGTAGTGCTTCTTGTGGCTGCTCTGCTGGTGACCGTCTTGCTGATGACTCTCTTGGTGACCATGCTGTTGTTGACCCATCTGCTCATGCTCGTTCTCATACTCACCGCTATGGTGATGAGCGCTCTGATGGTGAGGCATTCTGTGTCTGTGAAGGCTGTGTTTTCTCGCTCGCAGATTGAGTGAAGAAGCCACGATGACAAAGCTTGGTTTGAGAGGACCTTTGTACTGTATGCAAGCAGACAGCTGCCTCATTCTTTCTCAACAGCACGTCACCCTCATTGCTCAGCCCACCTAGCTCGCAAACGCAAGCAAGCTGTTGAAGAGCTCTCATCATGCTGCAGGGCAGGGCTGGAACAGCTGACGCACGATGTGGAGTGAGCATGGTAGCACAGGGACGGATTAGGGCTATGGTTTCGCGTCTCATAAGCAGGCGTGATCAGGCACAAGTCGCTGATTGGCTGTATATCTTGGCGCATATGGACGTGGATCCGAGCATAAAGCCTTGCTTGGACGCCGAATCCTCTTCTTGCTTGAGGCAGCGGTGTTGATCATGATGCTCCACGACACAGAGGTCACTGTTACACTTTGAAGTGGGATTCAGAGGACGAAGAGTTGACGATGGTTGAAGCCAAGCTCGCGAAGCATTCCGGCAGAGAGACTAAAGGTTCGGCTCGTCGGAAGTGGCTTGGTATGCGCAACCATTCCGTGCGGCTGGTGGAGGTGGACCCTGCTCGCTGCTGTGCCTTCCGCATACGGACGAAGGTCACGATTTCGAACTCGGCGGTGCTGTGTTTCACTTGTTCCCCCCAACACTATCTCGACGATATCGTCACCTCCAGCGGTGAATCTTGGACGTAACCGGTACCATTCCGATGAGCTCCCCTTTCCGGCCGTCAGACTCGACGAGGTCAACACCGAGATCTAGTCCGTCTCGACAACGCCTCAGCGAGTCTCGCAATGGCCGCCTGAACGGTTTCCACCGTCCCGGCAGGGACAGTTTGCTGGCTGATAGTCCGTCTCGCCAACTCTGGGAAGAGTTCAGCCGGGTCGTTGTCGATGACAACCGCAATTTCGCGCGTGCACTTGACGCGCAGACAGCGGAGCAAGAGCGACTACACCGACAAGCTCTAGACGCATCATTAGCGCAGCATGAAGCGGTTCGGCAATCTGCCGAGCGAGCACGCGTGCGCGTGGAATACGAGATCAAGCGCGAGCAGGAACGACGGGCGGAGCTTGAGCGACAGGCGATCGAGGAGCAGGAGTTGAAGCTTGCCGAAGAAAGGGCGCAACGCGAAAGGAAGCGATTGGAGGATGCTAAGCGCCGGGAAGATCAGCGGCGAGAAGCGGAGTCGCTGAAGCAGCAGCAGGAGGAGCATGAGCGGCAGACAGCGTCGCAGAGGGAGCAGGAAGAGGCCGAGAGGGCGGAGAGGGCGCAGAAGGCGGCACGCGACAAAGAAGCCGCGGATTGGAAGGTGCAAAGTGAAGATGCAGAGAGGCGGCGAAGGCAGTCGCAACAACAGCAACCTCCGCCTCAACCGCAACCTTCATCTCAGCCTGCGGCAGCGCAGATACAACAGCCGAATGGTACCGCAGCGTCACCAGCACCTCCGACAAATGGCATCCTCCCTCAGCCCACGGCAACTACCACATCTGCGTCAAATAATCAAAGCCTAACTAGCACCCTCCAATCGCGCAAAGCCGTCCACCAACGCTATATCGGACTCTGGAAACATCTGAAAGACTTCCGAAATTGGACTGAAACCGAGTGCAAGAAAACAGGCTTCAAGCAGCTCGGGGAGATGAAACGGACTATTCGCACCCAACTCGGCATGATCAACAAACTGGACAAAGCTGCTAACAGGACATATGTATGTGCCTAACCTGCCTGACTCAGAGAACCACGCCGCTCGTTCTTCACGCTAACAATGGTGATCAGCTCGCAAAGATAGAAGCCATCCTCAAGCAAGCCTCCGCTTTGAATACTCCAAGCGTGGACGTGGCACCTTTTCTCATTTCCACTAATGCACAAGAAGCAGCGGTGCCATCCCGCCAATATCCTGCGATTCTACTTTACCTCCTCAACCAACTCGCCAAATCAGGCCTCAAACAGCTCGTCTCCGAGAACGGCACCGACACCGCCTCCGCGGACCCGATCGGCATCCTTCTAGTCCAGATCTTCGCTCGACCCGAGTATCAATGGCAGGGGCATAGCTTGATTGACATCCTCTGGGCCAAGTACCACGTCCTCTGTCCGCAACTGTTCGGAGTACCCGCCCGAGAAGCAGCGGCAGAAGAGTACTGGTGGCGCTGCACAGGTCTTGCCGCGGGCTTCTCAGCTCTCACGCTCCGCGACTTCAGCCGCTCAAAGAACGCCAACCCGGCCCCGAATCGGCTGTGGTGGGAGGCGGTGGCAAGGATTGTGAACTTACCCGCTGAGGAGGTGCAGGCGACGCATTTTGTGCTGCTTAAGGCGCTGGTCGAGGAATTCGTGCCCAGGATCATTGGTATCTTTGGCGGAGCGGGGAAGGCTTTGTTGAGGAAAGCGGTGGTTGAGTTTCCAGCTAAAGGGAACAAGAAATCGGCGGGCGTGGTGGCGTTGCAGAGTATGCAGATGACGCTGCAGCAGAAGTACGGGCTTACGCTTTAGGAGGGCGTGGGCAGTTCGAGCTCCGCTGGGCATGGTTTTGCGTTTGCTGGGGCGGCGAAGCGAGGTTTGGCTGGCATGGAGTCGAGATTCCCGGAAAGGGGTGTGAACTTGAATCCGCTTCGGCGCACTATTCCTACTGGACCGGCTGTGGGCCAGACGTACCGGACGCCAGGAAGCTTGCAATGGCGCGCTGGCAATGGAGGAATGGCAGTAAAAGGCACAGGATTGCCTGGCGGCTGGTAGCGGTAGGATGCACTCGGCTGGTGAGGCTAACGGTGACTTCATGGTTGTGCACAACCTTCACATTCGACCATGTTGCGGGACAGTACTGGCCGTCCGACTCAGCAAGCGGACGCTGCTTTGTAGATGCGGGCGTTCTGAATTAACGTTGCTTCACCACTTCGCATAGCAAGCGCGCCGAAAAATTGTAAAACACTCTTCGCACAACAAATGCCAAGCTACCGGGAACTTTTCTCGTACCGCTTTGTAACATCTTCGACTAGGTGACCCTCATAACGCCCCTGAGCCATGGCTACTACCCAGGAGGGTAGCGATCCAGAGCCTATCGTGTCTCCGTAAGTCAGATACCACTCCTGAAATCTACTTCTTCAGTGCAGCTGATTCACTACTTGTAGCTATGATTGCGATGTAATCAGTTCATTGTCGGTCCCTGCAAAACAGTCTCCGCCGTCCACGAAAGAATCATAGATGCTCACTCGCCGGTCCTCGCAGCGGCCGCCAAGGAGAGCTGGCGCGGGTTCGACAGCAATGAGGTAGAACTACCGGACGATGATGAGAAGACTTTCAGCGACTATGTAAGCTGGCTGTACACAAGCACACTTTACGGCTTTCACTGGTCCAACGCCAATGCCTATGATCGACTGTTCAAGCTTTATGTCCTGGCCGACAAACTCTTGGACTCCGAATGTAAGGATCGCACTATCGAGACCATTCTGGGAGTCATATGGGATCAACATATTGGAGACTTTGGAAAGTGCCTTTTCCCCAGTGTCTCGGAAGTCCACTTCGCATATAACAACACGACGACGGACTCGCCACTCCGGCAAATCATTGTGGAACTGCATGTTTATGAAGCCAAGTCCAGGATGACAGGGTTTCTTACCCTCCGGACTTCGTGCAGGACCTGGTGCATCAATTCTACGCCAAGCGCGAGTTGTCCGAGGACGGGCGTCAGGAACGCAAAGACTTCTTCGCCAAAGGCAAGGCTTTTAGCTGGTCAGAGTGCACCATGTAACGGCCAGTCAAAGAAAGAGAGGACGCTGTTGGGCGGTATCCAGTCAATGAAGAGGAGCAAAGCCACACAGGCTTGTTAGCGGAAAGCAGAACCTACGGAGGTGCCCACTACCTATCTTAGACAAGACTCTTCGAGGCGGAACAGAGTCTTTGCCATGCCGGCTTGCTGTTTCATGGAGTGACTGGGTGGTATCGAGCGCAATGCAAGTCAGACTATACGACATCAAAGTGGAATGGATCAAGTCGTTTGACGCTATGCAAACGACCTAGACTTAGCGTCTTTCGTATTGTCTTTCCCACTTTCACACCCCTTATACACCTTCCACATTGCCTGTATATACGGCTTCCGCAAGATCTGGGCAATCTGATACTTCCGCCGGTGTGTGCCGCCCGTACCAGGTTCAAGATGCCGCCGCCGACTCCACTACCACAACAATTTCCACAGCTTGCGGGGCGACAAGCTCTTTCATCTGCGCCGGTTCTACAACAACCAACACGGTCCCATGAGAACGACAATCTAGCGGTGGGCGACAGGGAGGTAGAATGTCGACTCGCAGAAGACATCGAGGCCCACGCCGGTAAATGCGGCCTCGAGCAAACAATGATCAAGAAGTGGCTGGACGGAGATCGGAAGGCGAACGAAGTATGTCGTAGCCAGGACGAGATTATGCAGGCTACGAAGCGCAAGATCAAGCGTGGGCAACCACAAGTCGTCTAATGAAGTGCTGATCGAGATCAAGCTAAAATTGCACGAGCTCCGCTTGCGTCTGGGAGTGCTTCTTCCAGCTTGGCTGTTCACCCCTGAGCAGAGCGGCCACTACTTGATCAGCTTTTGGAGCACGCCACAGAATGTCTCTATCAGCTCGCCAGACAGTACGCTGCGAGTCATGAAAGCACCAAAACGTCCTTGCTCAGTTCCACGTTCGTCTCCTATGTCCTTCAGGCTCAACTCCGTCGTCCCACTCGCGGCGACGCTAATGGCCAACCTGAGCGGAGAATGGTACGTCCTGTGCTTCGACGGCTGCTCGCTCACGGTCAGTCATGCGGTCGGGCCACCAATGTCTGGAAACCAGATTGACTGTCTCTAAGCCTGACACTGAGGATATCTGAATACCGTTGCGACAGGCTAAAATGCGGTATATATCTGGACCCGAGCACCAGGAGTAGAGCTAACACAGACCCGACAAAAGTTGAGGACAAGGGATGACGTCGGGTATTGCACCAGCACGACTCTCGTGGAGGTCAAGAGCGGGATTAACAACTTCAGGAGGAGGGTAAAGTCGAGCCATTCCATCTAACGCCGAGAGTCTGCATTTAGAGTGCTATGCGACGACACCCACTCCTTAGCCGGGATTCGACAGGCCCGCATGCAGCCTGCGCGTTAACGAAACGAGCATTATTGATCGAACCGGCAGAGTGCGAGCAAGAAGGCAGCCGTCAAGAGCGAGCTTGACCGACGGATAGCCCTGCTGTCAGTCTCGGAAGATGTGATGGTGATAGCCGATGGGTTGTCAGATGGCACGATGACGGGTACTAGGAGCCCAGGTGAGAACTCGGGCTTAACTGTCTTTCCCTCGCCAGGCATGCATGGATGGGCATGCATTCCGTGGCGGATAGAGCGCATGAAGATCCTCGCGTAAGAATTCCCTCTTCCAGTGCTGTTCTGTTGAGGTGCGATATTAGGGTGAATGCCCGGTAAGTGTCGGGGCTCCAGCCAGCAGATGTTTGCCTTGTGATGTGTTCTGTCGCTCAACACCAATTATCAAGTCTGCCACAGTCTTAGTCCCTCTCAATCCACATTCATGACCACCTAGATGCCAAGCGTGTCTTCGAGAGACCGTCCGGACTACATCTGTAACCAGTACCGGCGACGGCACTGGCATCCTCAACCTTGCCACCATGGCCGAGTCGCAAATCCCACCAGTAATGTCGCAATAGGATTGCACAGGTGAAAGCGACAGCGACAGCGACAGATCCTTTATATAACTCGGTCGCTTGTTAGAAGAGCGACGCATAGGCGGCCTGCCTAAACCGACCCAAAAGCACAGCGGAATCATGCGGCCGCTTCTCCAATGGCTTAAATACCTGTTAAGGGCATCGAGGCCGTCCACCTTGCAAAGGAGAAGAGGATCAACCGTCGTTGAGGGTAGGATGAACAGGCCAGTAGCGGGGTCGAACTCGCCACGCAAAGTATAGCGGTGATGGCAGTCATGGCGTAGAACTGTGCTGAGAATCGACTCTTCACCCTTCTCCATTCCCAGCCTTAATGGAAGGCCCTCTTTCCCTCGCACTCAACGTCCGCACGACAACCTCCTTCGGGACACTCTGCTCTCTCTGCTCAAAGCCCATAAGCTGCCCCATTAGACCTCCGGGCTTCGGAACGGGGCATTCTCGCTTCGGCCTCTCTTGGCTCATCAATGGAACCTCATCTGCTGCCTCGTTTCCGTCATCATCTTTCGATACCCGTCTCCGTCTTCGCTTGACAGTTCCGTCAGGCATCTCAATGGTGTCGGCATATTGTCGCCGGTCTACAGGACAGGGGAGGAGATGGGGAAGGGCTACGACGAGGAAGGAGATGGCGAGGGTGGTGGTGAAGAGAGTGCCCGTTGTGCGCGAGCGGGGGTGCAGGTAGTGCATCGTATGTAGGCGCACCGTCGATGCTGAAGGCTGAGGTACCGTCCCTACGAGTGTCGTTTGCTGCATTCACTTGACTCGAACGATTGAATGTTGCGGAGAACCTCCGAGGGCGGTGAAGCGATGAAATTCTGCCGGCATGACTCGTGCCCGCATGTCAATCCGTGTGTCGATGGATGTGCAACTTACTCACATTCTCACTGCTCCACCACTCCAACGGCCAGTCGCGCGTTTCCGCGGACATCTCGCAAGCAACACCCACTATGGCTGATTTAGCCACCATCCCCCCAACCGATCCGGCATCCATCTCAATCCCACCAGAAGTCACGGCGCAAGCATCACAAGCGGTCCGCCGCTCAGCGAAGCGCACGCGAGAAGTCTTCGCCGCAGACTTCGCGCAACCCTCAGCCCTACATAAATCACTGCAACCCGAGGTCGCGCCCTCCGACCCATCACCCTACGACCGCGCACAGAAAGCGAGCGTCGCAGCACGAATACGGAACGAATATGCCTCCGTACGAGAACTCCCTGCAGCGCTCGCAGCCAAGCAAGCAAATGCGCAGACATCCCTCACAGCACGACGAAAGAAGCCGCGAGCAGAAGACCAAGCAAGCGATCCGCAAATGGCGAAAATGATCGAGGAGGCAGGCGCGCAGCAACCTTCGTCCTTATCACAGCCCAACGGCACCAGCACAGCCTTAGTCCGAATACCGGGCACAACCAACTCCACGCTCCCGCCCAACGCCAATGGGCCGACTCCTCAGCGCAATACATCCTCCACAAGCTTAGTCCGACGCGACACTGTCCGCCAACCCAAGCCCACCTGGCACGCCCCCTGGAAACTCTTCCGCGTAATCTCCGGCCACCTGGGCTGGGTACGCGCCCTCGCCGTCGAACCGGGGAACACCTGGTTCGCCTCTGGCGCCGGAGACCGGACAATCAAAATCTGGGACTTGGCCACCGGCACGCTCAAACTAACCCTAACCGGCCACATCTCCACCGTACGCGGACTGGCAGTGAGTCCGCGACATCCCTACCTCTTCAGCTGCGCAGAGGATAAGATGGTGAAGTGTTGGGATTTGGAAACGAACAAAGTGATCCGACATTACCACGGACATTTGTCGGGAGTCTATACGCTTGCTCTCCACCCCACCCTTGACGTCCTATGCACAGGCGGTCGCGACGGCGTCGTCCGAGTCTGGGACATGCGTACACGAAGTAACATCCACGTCCTCTCCGGCCACAAAGCAACAGTCTCATCCATAGCCACCCAAGCCACCGACCCGCAAGTCATGTCCTCCTCTCTAGACAGTACAATCCGACTCTACGACCTAGCAGCCGGAAAGACAATGTCCGTACTCACGCACCACAAAAAGGGCGTTCGTTCCCTAGTAACCCATCCAACGGAGTACACCTTCGCCTCGGCCTCGCCGGGACAGATAAAACAATGGCTCTGCCCCAAAGGCGACTTCATGCAGAACTTCACCGGCCACAACTCCGTCATCAACAGCTTAGCCGTGAACGAAGAAGACGTCCTCTTCTCCGGCGGCGACAACGGGTCTGTAGCGTTCTGGGACTGGAAGACGGGACATCGCTTCCAGTACGAAGACTCGCTCGCTCAGCCTGGCTCTCTTGACGCGGAAGCCGGCATTATGAGTAGTACCTTTGATAAGAGTGGACTGAGGTTGATGACGGGGGAGGCGGACAAGACGATCAAAGTGTGGAAGCAGGATGAGGATGCTACGCCGGAAAGCCATCCGCTGCAGTGGGCGCCGACGATGGGACGGCAGAAGTTCTAAAGGGGGTGGGTGGGGGGGTGTTGCATGCGATGCTGTGCTTAGCGTTTAGCGGGTTTGCGATGCAGTTGCGAAGATGTATTCTTGCGTTGCAGTGCTAGTGCGGCGTTTCTGTTTGGGATTGAACTCCTGTCCGCACCGCTACTCGGCACATTGGTCCAAGTCTGTACAATACACACGTCTACCACCCGTCAAGAACCAGCAGCCATAACCTCAATAATCTAAACCCACAGCAAATGCTTAATCCCCTTATCGCCGCGCTAAACAAACAATCACAACGTATGCCCCCTCCCCAACACTCTTCCCCCCACTGTCAGCCTTGACGAAGCAGGCAGGCATCCCTAACGGACCGCCGCCGTCGCCGTCTGCTGCTCACTTCCACCTCCAACCCTTCCCCCGCCCAACCGCTGTCCATACCCCACACTCAAAAAACTCCCCACCCCCTTCGCCCCCGGATAATTCCCGCCACTGCCCCCATGCCCCTCGGCATGCAACCTGCGCTCGCGATACTTGCGTCCATTAATGATATTCTGCAACCGCTTCCGCTCCCTCGGTTCAGTGATTTTGGTCCAATCCAGGTCCTCCCCCGGCTCGGCGTAATTGACGATATCCGCCATGGTGGAGGCGGAGATTTGGCCTTGGCCGCCGGAGGCGCCGGTGTAGAGGTGGGACGAGGGGTTAATGTCTGGTACTATTGCTGCGGATGATGCGGATGGGTGGTGGGAGAGGCGGGGGGCTGATGGAGGCGGAGGGGTTGCGGTGTGGGAGGGGAAGGAGGAGAGGTCGGAGTGCAGGTGAGTGAGTTGTCGGCTGCTGGCGGCGGCGGGGGTGGGGAGGGCGGCTTCGCGGGTCCCTTGGTTTTTCTCGGTGGCGAAGAGGTTGCGGTTCCATGGGGGCAGACGGCGGGAGCGTTCGTAGAGGAGGCCGCAGTTGTTGCAGAGTGTCTAGAATCAAATTAGCCAGACTGGCTTTCACAAATGCACCCGCACCTGCTATGCGTTGACGTACCCTCGCTCCATTCGGCCCATCTCTCACCCCCCAAACAGCCTGGCCCCAAATCTGACAATGACTACACCGCCAATACTGCCTCTCCCCCTCCGTAAGCTGCCCGGACGTCCCTCCAAACCCCGCTACCTCCGGAGTATCGCGTCCGACTGGCGACAAACTCCGGAACCGCCGCTTCTTCTTCGACCGCTCACCACGACCCATCCGCTCATCCTCGCCCGCACCACTATTCGCCTGCTGCTGCGAGCCCAGCCCGCCGGCGAAGTAATCATTGACCCCGCTACTCTGCGTCTGGAGCGTGTAGTTAGTCGTAAACCGCGCCGTCTCTCTTCTCGCTCTTCGTAGCTGCCTCTCGCGATCGCCTTCCCGTTTCTCAATCTCCTCCTTACTAAGCACCTCAATCTTCGGCTCCCAATCGAGTCCTAAACTGTCTTCGTCAAAGCGCCAACCGGCTCCTACGCCATGCGCGGGTTCCGCAGTGCCATGAACAGCGCAGGCTTCGTTGTCGATGGTGCCCCAGCCGTCGACACCGCTGCCGACTACTCCTGCTAAGCTTCCGCCGTTGTCGATCATGTCTTTCTTCAGGCGAAGGCTGGCTTCGTAGATGGCGTGGGCCATGCTTGGTACCCATTCGCCGGATAGGCCGAGATCGGCGCAGGTTTGTTTAGCAAAGATTTCTGGGAAGCCAGGGGGGTGGAGTAGTGACCATTCGAACTTGTCTGTGAAGAGCTGGTTTTGCATGTTGATGGAGATCGTAAGCACACAACGATGTGTGTCTGGTGGACTCAACACGGATGAGGACGACTGCTCTCGTGGTAAAGCTTCAGCCCGTACAGCTAGCGCCGGTGTAGCGGCACCGTTTACCCTAGGTGTGGATATGCCTGACATACCGACACCGTTCGCTTGAGGTGGTTGAAGTAAGCCTCCATTCGGCGTCTCTACCTGGGCGGGCTCTGCTGAATCAGGCCGGGAAATAAACGGTTGAGCAGACGGTGTTGGCGCGTTCGTCGTCGGTGGCGCAGGGTTGACAAAGCTAGGCTGGAAGAGCGGATGTAGCGCCGTCGCCGCATGCTCTTCCAGCTGCTGTCGTATGGAATTGGCAATCTCGATGATCATGGCTTGCTTCCTCTGCACCGGAAAGTCAAGCTCGTCCACGAAAGTCTTGGCGAACTGATCCGGCGTCATTAGCGCTTCGTGCAGATTCCACAAGAAACTGTCCGTCAGACGAAACTGTGGCGTAGGTTCGGGTGCCTTGTATGCTGGCAAGTTCTCGTCTATACCAAAGTCCTTCGCATTGTGGGGGGTGGGCAGCGCAGCTTCTGGCCGGAAAGGTGCGATATCCAGGTCAATACGGATAGGTACAAGCGTAGTGGGCAGCGCAGACTGGGTGTGCATCTGCCGCTCCGTCAAAGCCCGCTTCGGCTTGCCCATCCACTCCCGCCATATGCCCTGCACATCCACCGGCGCATGCGTCTCCTTGCCCAATTCTTTCTGCCCGGCCTTCTCCGCATGGCCTTCCGCTTCGCGCCTCGGTTGCGTGCGTAGACCAAGAGGTCGTCGCGGGTTGTCGGAGTCTTCAATGCTGTCATCCTCGAACTCTTCCGCGTAATTGATCGCCGTCGTCCCACGCTTCGTCGTTCTCACGGGTGGGAGCACGTTTTGCGGTTGAACCGGTGTAAGCAGCGAGTTGCCATATGTGCGGATGCGTGGGGCGAAGCTGCTCACGAAGCTCTGTGGTGCGTTGACACGAGTCAGGTTGGCCATCTTGTCGCCAGTTTCCTGCTCAGACTATGTCGAGGTGTCGCTCAGGGAAGGGATGTGACGACAGGGTCAAACATGTTGGCCGATATTGGTACCAGTATCGTCGCAAAAGTCTGGCGATCACGATGGACAGTGTTTCGAGGGGCGGTGGTGGATGTAGAGCGGGCTGAGAAGCGTTACAGGCGTAGATGGGGGGCAGCTTGTTCGCGCGTCGTGGGAAGACGTGGAGTTCGCGCCTCGTGAGCTCGAACTTTTGATGGGCGCACGGGCCCATGCTTGTGCCTTAGGCATAAACAAACAACAGTACATCCACCAGTTGCGCAGCTAGGTGCTATATGATTGTGGACGCCCGCCGTGTCGATAGTAGGAAAACAACGGGATCCCACGGTCGATCATCGTCTCGCCTTGCACCTCCTGGGAGACGTGGCAGCAGATCACGCATTTACCCATCGTGGGAACCATTGTCAAGCAGAAAAGCGCTTGGCGCTTGTTGCATCAATACACAACTGTGGGAAACGGCATCCCAACCTCACTCTCAAGGGCACAAAACCTCCCATCGCCATTACCACTCCTCTCCTCTCCCACTTGCCATTGAGAAAGCACGGCTAACGCCCACCTCTACATTCTACGCAGAAGCTGGCCGCCGTATTCAATCTCCCCCGGCGCCCTCCCAAACTCATCCTCCTGAACTTCCACCCGTCTCATCTCCACGGCAACCTCCTCTTCGCCCGCCTCCTGCGGTGGCTGGTATAGTCTGCCATCGCTGCGGTGGGCTTCTGCGAGTGGAGCGTAGATGGCGAGCGGGTTGGCATAGCCGACTGGTGCTTCTGGATGCTGACGCTGCTGCTGATGCCCGATGGCTGGTGCGTATTGAAGCGGACGGTACTCCTCACTGTACTCGTTTGATACGCTGTTGGTGTCGTCGAACTGCTGGTGGTCGTGTCGTGGTGCCAATTTGTTATCAGAGTAACGCACAGGCCTAGCATAAGCGTAGTTGACGTCTTCCTGACGCTCCTCCCATACCAGGCTATTGCGCCGCCATGGAGGCTCTTCCACGGGACGTACCCGATGGTTGCGCCGCCATGGAGGCTCCAGAACAGTATGGTGCGGCTCTACGTGGCGGACTTCTTCGCGACGGTCGTGTTGCGGCTGCCAGTAGTAGTGAGCAGGCGGCGGTGGGGATGAGCTTGAGATGGCAATGACTTCCTGGCGCGGTGGAGGTGGAACATCGTCCGACGAGATTGCGATGATGTCCCGGGGCGGTGGTGGAGGGATATAATCGCGCGGCGGTGGAGGTGGAGGTGGGAGGGGAGGTACTCCGAATGGCGGTGGAGGCGGGACCAACGCTTGCGGCGGAGGCGGAGGTATCTGCGGTGCCCGCGGCGGCCGTATCCATGATCCTGCTGCGGGGTGCAGTAGTCTCTGCGCGATTGGCGGCAGGTGCTCGGATCTGACGCCGCAGCGCAACGCAGCTTCCGCTCTGAGCCGTATGACTTCTTGCGCCTCATCAAATGTTATCTTTTGAGGTGGTCCGTCGGTGCTCCAGTGCCCGGATGTGCTGCCTCTGCCTTGCTGCTGGCGGATATCAATGAATGCTCTGTCCATGCTTCGACGATTGTAGCGGTCCCGTGGGCGGTCGACTAGGCTGTTGTTGTATTCCGAGTAAGGGTCATGTTGAGGGTCGGCTATGCGGTTGTCGTACTCTGGGTTCGTGCCAGCGCTAACGGGACGAGACTCAATATACTGCACGCTCATATCGCTGTTGTAGCCCATGAACGCATCGTTATCTTCCCCACTTGACGTTGCGGAGTTGGTACCATCAAACTTCATGCCGTCATCCTCATCGGAGTCCAGATTGATGACTTCCTCAAGCGTCTCGAGCATTTCGACATCGTCCTCAGTCTGGTCACGCCATGTTATAAGCGTAATTAGTAAGTCCTTCTGTACCATCTCCCTTGCAAAAGCCCAGTTCTCGTTGCCGCCCAGAGCTTTGAGCAGATGGTCGTAGTGCGTGTAAACGTGGCGGACATGAGAGATGACGGCAAGGTGGATGCGCCGAAAGAAGGGTTGCTCGGAGAAGCCGACATTTTTGGGTTGCCATGCGCGGTCCACTAGCTTGACAAGATCATCTTCCGGGATGTTGGGGTAGAACTCAAGGATGGCGTTCCGGGCTTCCCGCTTTGCTTCTGCTAGTTGTATGAGTGAATTCACCAGAGGTCCGTAACGCATGTCCGCGGGCCCTGTTGGAATAGGCTCTCCTTCATCGACAGTAATAGCCTTTACAAAGGACCCGTTGCTCGTTGGAAGGTAGTCAAGCGCCTCACATGCTTCCGCCACTATTTCGTCTCTGAAGAAGTGACCGTTGGCATAGATAAAGTGGGACACTCTATCACGTTTAGTCCTCCATCCGCGCCCCATGGGACTCTGTATCTTGCCTATTAGCAAATGTGAGGTGCCACGCCTTTAGCGCACCAACAACAATCAGGGGTAAGGGTAGGAAGGGAGGATGATCACGCACGTTCGAGATATAAACATCGTATCCTTTTGCCAACGACATTGCCTTGCAACGCTGAACCAGCTCCAAGGTGCCGATAGGAACGTGGGTGTGTCCCTGCGGCGGATCCGGTTCGTACCAGTTCTGGGCGTGTTAGCCGAAATGTAAGTCTGATAGAGAAGGGTCGAGCTCAAAAAGCATGATAGACGAACAATAAACTTCGTACGGTGCCTTTTGGGCTCCTTAACAATCGCCAATTCGGTCTTGTACAGCTTGTTGCCAATTATGTCGCGGGCAGACCCTTTCTTGACCTTAGACGATGGCTTGTCGATCAATATGTCTTGCAGCAACACGCGGGCCTTGTTGCGTGAGGCTTTCTTAAGCGCTTTCGTCTTGGTAGTCTTACCCATCTAGGCAACGCTTAGACTGGTAAGAATATAGGGTCAGTACTGTGGAAATGGAACACGTGCAAACACGAGCGATCCAGCAGCAGCAGCAGCAGCAACAACGGCACTCCGGGCAAAGCGGTAGTGTAGACAATACGAGAAGAAGCGTTGCTGGTCCTGGTCGCGGATGGTATAGTAATGGTCCTGATGGGAGTGCCGGGGATGGCCCCGTCCAGAGAGGCAGTTCTAAGCCTGGTGCCGCCGGTGGCGGTCAGCCCAGGTCACGGGCAGAATACGCCCAACGTCCTGGAGTGGACTACGTGTGATCACGATGGTATGTATGGGCTCTGACGCGTGCAGAACAAGCGATACTGTCAACGCCTCATTGCGCTGCGCAACTCTCATATGTGTGTGTAAAGGTGGAAAGTGCGAGCGCGATGTTAAAGCTGCTTTTGATCGAATTCAGTGCTAACGAGTCAACACAATGTTCTGCCTGAGGCTCTAACATCCGCATCTCCGCCGACCTCATCGCATTCGAGCGCGGATAGAAGGAGTACCCAGTCCACACCACCACTCTCCACTCTCGTCTCTTCGCCTCCAAGGCGACATCCTCTCTCCCACAATGTCTCTCTTCCGCCACTCCACCCGCCTCATCACCACCTCCCGCACCCGCCTTCACCTCCTCCCCAACATCACCGCCGCGCAACAACAACGAAGCCTCACCTCCTCCGCCGCCCGTAAAGCAGGCGACTCACACGCACATGACGACCACTACGATCAACCCTCCGGCTATCTTTGGGGCGTGAAGCCGGGTGAGAAGTACGAAAATGAGGGCTGGGAAGGGGTGTTTTACTATGGGTTTTGCGGGAGCCTGTTGTTTGGACTAGTGGGGTATTGTTATAAGCCTGATACGAGGTGAGTTCAGTACATTGAGGTCGTTGCATGGGGGGGTTTCCTTCCGTATGGGGCAATGGTCTTTTGAGTAAGAGCTGACGATAAATGTAGCATACAGACGTGGGCACTGGAAGAGGCGCGGAGACGGTTGGAGGCGGAGGGCATATTGGAGGATCCGGAGCAGAAGCGGTGATGACCAATGGTCTCTGTACGCGCAACATGCTCGCTATAGGGACACGATAAGAGCCAGCGGGTGGACAATATGTACCTTGCGTAGTACTACCACTACAAGACTGCGGCATTCACGAAATGGCGTTCCATGGCGTCAGGCAGGTAGTATCTTGAAGCGCCCATTCACAAGCACAACTTTTGTGGTATCGCAATCACTTCCTAGTGAATAGCAACAGGTGTGGCATATCTCGGGCCTTCACCACGACGATTAAGGGTTGTTACTAACCTCCAGATTCTACTGCGCATTGAACGCTTCTTCCCTCCCGTCCCATAGCGTACCACACCCAGGCTTGCATTTGCGACTTGCCACACCGTCTTGAGCTACACTGGCCTTCATACCGCAGCAGATCGCAGTAGTCTCTCTGCCGGACGAGTCTGAGTACCAGGCCTCGGGGCCACATTCGACACCCAACTCGTGCGCTCCACCACAACGCATCTAGCTTCGCTCTTGCCTTGCCTTGCCAGCATCTCGCCTACGATATGCTCCTTCATGGCCGCACACCACAAACCTTTGCAGGGTTTGCACCAACTGATCGCCTGCTGCTTCTACGCGCGGGAATGAGTTCTGGTACGTACTTAGCAAGGAGACCTACCGTGATAATCAGAACTACCCGTACACATAGCCGCACCTACGCACTAAATACCACAAATGACCATCCGATAAGACCCGAGAACGGCAGCGCTAGCATCCATACCATCTATTCAGCCCCGACGCGCCCCGGACCAGCACGAACATGCACACATCCACAACCACGACCATAACCACAACCACGAGCAGGACCGCAACCATGACATTCACAACCACGTCTACAAGTACAACACCGACGGCGGCACCACCACCACCACCACCCATGCCGAACCCAACCCTCACCCCAACTTCAATCTTACTTCCAATCCCACTCTTACAATCACCTTCCCAATCTGGCAATACGACGAGCACTTCTCCTGCCCTCCCTGCCGCTTCAGCACGCAATGCCGAAGTCCACCAGATACTCAAACGCATTGCCGCCGAAGGTAAGGGAGGGGAGTATGCGGGCAGAGAAGGTAATAGTCTCCGCTAAGACTAATTCCAGAGACCATACTAATGCGGCATAGCGCTGGCAGATTAATGGACTCCAACTATTCGTTCTTGGCCATCTTGGGTGGGCAGTAAGTAGTCCAGACATTGTAAGCACCGCCGATCTTCTCCCTCACACGATGCATCACCCAATAGTCTTCCTCTCACACTATCCCCTATGCATTTAATACATGAACATAGCCCTTCACACCGCCGCCTCACCCTCACACTCACACTTTCTATGCTCTCGCTCCTTATCGACATCCTCCTCCGCCTTTCTCTTCGCGCCAGTACCCGAGTTGCCCGCATGCAAGATCGCGGTCACGGGTACAAACTGCTGCTGCTGCTGCTGCTGCTGCTGCGGAAACCTCGGCTTCACACCCATATGACCGACCACATTCCGGTCGCCAATAACCGTGACGCCGCAATTCACCGTCAGCTCGACCTTCAGCGCCCGTGCTCGCGTACTGTTCGTCTCCGCCGACGTGGCGATACCATTGAGCTGCGTAAGTGCGGCCACTAGAATGGTACTGAGTTTCGTTGCGTCCAGAGTTAGTGTAGACGAAGTCGGAACGATGTTGTTGCTGCCTTGGATACTGTGGGCGGCGTTGATGGTTAGCTTGAATGGTGAAGTGGTCTCGCCCGAGGAATCGGACTCGAAGTCCGTGTCGCTGTCCTCGTCCGATGCGGTGTAAGGGGGTGGCGCGCTGAAGGGTGGTGTAGGATGTTGTTGCTGTCGGAGTGATTGATGGGTTCGCTCCGCCTCGAATTTGGCGTAGAGTTGCTCGAGGGGAGCCATGTTGAGGCTAAAGAATACGTAAAATTGTCTGGAAATTGTGCTGTGGGTGTCCGGCAAATCGCTTGCTGAGTGCGACTGAATTGGCGGACAGCTTAGTAAGGTGATAGGCTTGACGGTGAGTCTTGACAGAGGAAGGCGTACGAACAACTGGTTCGACCTCATAAGGTACACTTAGAAGACTTGACAGAGCAGAGCTAATGTAATCGAGAGGCAGTTGTGGGATTGAAGGAAAATAGAAACATACTTAAGAGCAAGAGGATCACTTATTGAAGCTCATATGGTATATCAATAGATCAGCGGCGCAGCCTATTGTGCTTGTGCACCGCGGCATATTGAGTTGGTATTGTCCGGGGGTCCTACTATTGTCAGCCGTGGCATATGCCTGTTGAGCTACCGGCCATCTTCGAAGAGGTTAACAGTGGACACTCCAAACTTCATTAACAGAAGAGCTTGCGGCCAATCACACGGTGGTCTCAGACGTTGTGCTATCATGGTGCATCACCTGTGGGACTGTGGCTGGTGCATTGGATGTAAGAAGTTGGTGCTTGCTATTGTCCTGAAGTGTACTTCAATAGCAAGCTTCGACGCTAACGATTAGGTGCGATGGCCTAAGCGCCTAACCTAAACACGAGGAAGTCGAGTTTGTCCCCTACTCCACGCTCAAAGTACTACAAACACGTCTCTCCTGCAGAATCTGGGATATTATCTCCCTTGTGGAGCGAGGCGCCCTGCCGAGCCTCAGTCCCAGCTTGCTCAATCGAGTCGATTGCATTGTGGGACCGCCGAGGTTTTGCTCTCGCTCACACGCTACATCGCCTTCGCACTCTCTCGTCCAGGCCACTTATAATCCGGCATGTCAAGCTTCTTCTCAGTAAAGCCAATCTTCGACGCCACCCACATGCCAAGCTGAAGCAGTCCCGACCCGGTCATGAAGCCCATAACCGCGTTCCGCATACTGATACCCCACTCAGTCTGCGGATTAACAAACTGCATCGCACTCTCCAGCCCACCCTGTTGCGACTTGACAAAAGGCGTCATGATCTTCTCATAGTTCTCCAACGCAATCCGCACGTCGCCGGGATGCTCAAGCATCTCCCCCGCGAGAACATAGCCGCCCATGATCGCCAGACTCGTACCCATCCCCGGAGTAGCATATCCCGCATCGCCGAGCAGAACTACCCGGTCGTCTTGCAGCTTGGGCGCTCTGACTTGCGCGAAAAGCGAGGCGTAGAAGTCATCGCTCTCACGCATGCCTTTGAGCAATTCTGAAGCAAGCCAGCCAGCGTCGTGGAAGAGTTCCTCCATTAGCTTCATATAGGCCTCATTCCCTTCAGCTAAGGCATCGTTGAGTCTCTTCTTCATCTCCGTTTGCTTCTTCGTGGTGATATTCATGAACATGGCACGAACACGGCCATCCGGGTGCGGGTCCGGGCGTATGAGCATACATCGTCCACCAACCGCATTATGCTGCTTGGCGAACTTTGAGCCCTGCAGTAAGTCCTTATTGATGGTGAAGTAAGCGACGTGCACGCCTTCGTCCCAAAGCTGCTCCTTGGGTTTGGACTTCAGCATCTGGCCACGGATTCGTGAACCAAGGCCGTCTGCGGCGACAAGCAAGTCGTACTTCTCGGTTTTCTTGCTTTTCGCGAGCGTGACCAAAACCCCGTCATCCACTTGCTCGTAGTGATCTACGGTCTCATCAAATCTGAGATCCAACTGGTCCACAACAGGATCGATGAAGATCTTAGCCAATGCTCCGCGAAAAATCTCGTACTCGGAAGTAATGCTCTGCATATTCTCATTCCCAGTCGCCGCAAGAGTGGCAATAGGCTTGCCATTCGAATGCACCATCTGCACGCCCTTTTCATTCGTCGAGTTCTTGCGAACTTCCTCCATGACGCCCATCCATTTGATGATGTCGATGGCTGAGCTGCGTATGTCTACGCTTGCACCCGTTAGACGGAAGGAAGGTGCACGCTCGACCATGGTAATCTGAGCATTACGGTAGGCTCGCAGGAGCCAGAAGGCGAAGACACCGCCGGCGATGCCTGAGCCTGAGATGAGGACTTTGGGAGCTGACATGATGATAGTTGGGTGTACAAGATAGAATGCGAAAACGAGGGATGTGCATGCGAGATGCTTAGACGTAGCTTGGGTTCACCTCCTTACCTCTTATACTATGCGCATTGTTCAACAACGACATCATTGTTATGCCTAAGAAGGCAAGGTACGCGGAAGTTGTGAGTCTTTGGGAGAGGATGCCGGGTCCGATATAAGCTTGTATTTTCCGTCTCGGAGGCTGGGGCAGACGTCCACTCATAATGCCCGTTTCTTCGGGCCAGATCTCTGCTTCTCCGGCCGAATCCCGCTCAACAACACTCGGAACGTACAAATCACACGGCGGTGGTCGATATCTGTTATCACTCCCTTCAAGCAGAATACAAGATGTGCTTTACATAGCGTCGAGACAACTAGTGTAGTACGCTAACGGTCAGCACTGTGCGGTATCGTGTTGGTCGCTCAGTGGCCGCGCCATCACTCGCGTTCGCAAAGCGATGATTCGAAGCATCAAGTCCCACGGAGCCTGAGCTGCCGGAGAAGCATAGATGACATGTAATTCGTGCAAGTGCCGTAATGGTGGTAACCATACGCTGCCAAAATAGGAAGCTGTGAGCTTCAATTGAAGATGACTCACAATTGACCCTAAGACTGAAGGATCGAGCCCACATTCCGGTCGGCAATCTCGAATAACAGACGACTTACGCTGGTATAATCGCAACAGAGCACGGCATCGTGACATTGCAATCTATTACCTGCCACGATGCCGCTCAAGCTATCCCGCATGACCGAAGACGACATACACGCCTTCGCAGTCGTAGACGCCGCAGCAGCCGAGGGATGGCCTCTAGCTCAAGCAATGGATCAAGCCGCCAACGGCGGCGAACCACGCCAGAGAATGATTGAACGCTGGACCCGCGCTGACTGGCGCAATGACGAAGAGGTAGCGTGGCTCAAGGTTACCGACTCCGACTTAAGCGACGAACTAATTGCGGCCGCACTGTGGCGCTTCCACCCTGGCGAAGAGAATCAAGCAGAGGCCGGTGCTGCTGCGATAACGTCTACCCCAGTGGTAGAGGTGACTGCGGCTGAGGGAGGGGGAAAGGAGGAAAGTAATGCTAAGGAAGAATTTCCGGCGGTGTTTGATGCTATGCGAGCTATTGGGGAGAAATTCAGGAGAGAGTTCATTGGCGGGAAAGCGCACGCTTGTACGCTATCGTTCTACCTGCGCGGTTGAAGCTCGCGCGTGGAAGGTATGGCTGATACTGCCACAGACCTTCATGTCCTCGTTACCCATCCCAAACACCAAAGGCGCGGAGCTGGTTCCATGCTAGTGCAATGGGGCTGCGAGAAAGCAGACGCTCATGGCACAATAGCCGCGCTCTTCGCCTCCACTGCAGGTCTGGCCGTGTATCAAAAATATGGCTTCGAGGTCGTCCAGGAAACGCCACTAGATCTCAGACCGTTCGGTGTTGATGCCACAGACGTAAGGCGTGCATGCCTTCGACAGCCAAATCCAAGACAGGCCGTGGAATCTGCACAGAGAAATTGCCTTTAGCTTGCGGTCAGCGCATTCGTAGCTTCAACAAAGCCCTCCCACTGCTTCAACGCAGCGCCGCTTTCGATGCACCATCTGGCCCTTCTGAGGCCCTCTTTCCACCTCAAGCCGCCAGGCCCTCTCTCCTTTAACACGTTACCGTCATCCCCGGGACCCATATGGCTTGTGCCTGCTTCACATATGCCGCTCACAGTGAGCAAACAGGCAGTGTTTAGCAGAACGAAATGCAAGACAGGGTCGTTAGCCGGCAGCTCGTTTCGCAGAATCTTCATCAGGATCTCTGCATTCTCCGCTGGACCTTTACCGCCGTGCACTTCGCTCAGTGGGTGGCACGGTAGGCCGAAGTCGGAGGGGGACATCATTAACTCGGTAATGGTGGTATGCTTCTTCGAATGAGTGCCCGATGCATTTTCAGCTTCGTCACCTTCATGGATATACCAGCAGTGGGTCGGTCCAGCACACGAGAATTCATCGAGGTTCTCATCCCCACAAACAACCAGGGCTTTCTTCGCGCCGCTCAACAGGAGCGCCTCCGCGAAGTTCGGGCCGATGTCTTTGCGAGCAACCCCAAGGATGCGCGCTTCAATCAGACCCGTGTCGTGCACTGGGTTCGCGAGCGGTCCCAGAAGATTGAAGATGGTTCTGACAGGAATCTCTTTCCTTGTGCTCGCCGCATAAGCCATGCCTGGGTGCCATTCTCGAGCATATAGGAAAGCGTAGTTGGTCTTCCCATAGATTTCAGCTAGTGATGTATTCGTCGTAGCTTTGATGACTGGGGCTGTTGGCTGGGCATGCTGCAGTAAGTCTGCGGATCCAGAAAGAGAGGTTGATGAATTGTTCCCGTGTTTCGCCATCATGAGCAGCGCTGACGCAATGATGGACGAGGTTGTTGAGACGTTGTATGTATTGTGGCCATCGCCACCAGTGCCCACTATGTCACACTGCGAAGAAGTAAGTATATATCGAATCTTGAAACGGCCTTCTATAGCTGGGCGTACCGTACCAGCCCACCCCTATAGGATCCCTCAGCCAACGCCTTGTGCTTGACGACACCATGCAACAATTTTTGGTCGACCTGAGTAGCCGCATTGCGCATCGAGGCGCCACATGCTGCCAATATACCTGGCGAATGGTCCTGGCCGGTTGTGTGCAGAGCCCACAATAACAATGCGAACTGGACTGGTGAAACACTGTTCGTGAATATCAAAGCAATAGCAGCGGCGATCTCCTCTGCTCCCACTTGTCTGGCTGACTCAAGGGTCGCAAGCCGCTTCAGCAGGGGCGTTATTGATATGAAGCCGGTGTGGTTTGCCTGCGCCATTGATGCTGAAGACTTTTTCCGGTGCACCAGTTGAAGACTCGGTTCCACGGCGCGGTCGTAGGATTAACCACACTTGACTTTCTCCATAGGAACTTTAGGAGAGTTTTGGGAGGTTTATACGACAAAGTAAGCGAGGGAGCTCGATGTCAGCACGGAAGAAGCCGAGAAATTCCCCTTTCATCTCTTCGCTGCGGCGGCCACGGAGGTCTTGAATGAAGCATACGACCATTGCCCAGACGCACCACTCATTGGGCTCTAAGAGTAGCAGAAATGCCACCACGCTTACGAGTCGCTCCAGAGCAGCTGCGGAACGTCAGACCGCAGTATGTATGCTGGCAGTGCCGACACGCTTCACTGGCCAGCGCGACTACTCCAGCACCACCCATTGAGCAGACGGTACAAGCCACCTCGCCCATTGCGCGCTACCCACCATCACAGCCACCGTCACATAAACCTGCCGAGTTCCGCAAAACCCAGCTGCATCGGCAATATCAGTCACTCCTGCGCTCATCCCCGCTCATCGTGATCTTCCAACACAACAATATTAAAGCCACGGAATGGGCGGGCATACGGCGGGAGCTGACCGCAGCGTTAAATAAGGTGGATCAGGATGTTGCCAAAGAAGGGAACAATGCCTACACTGGAAGTGCCATCAAGCTGAGCGTTGTTCAAACCGGCATCTTCACCTCCGCGTTAAGGGTCGTTGAGTTCTGGGAACCCAAGTTCGAGCCGGAATCGCCTGCGATCCATCCTTCAGACCCTAAAACACGATCATCAGCAAGCGTGGAGGATACGAAGGGCAAGGTGAATGATCCTATCTTTACGCACGGCCTGTCACGGCACGCTTGGTGGCAAGCGAAGAACAAAAGCAAGACGGCCAGACATGGTCTTGAGCCGCTGCTATCGGGTCCTCTTTCCCTTCTAACCATGCCAGAAGTGTCGCCGCAACACTTGAAAGCCGCATTGTCTATCCTTGCTCCTTCGCCGCAGTCCCCGGCACCGAAGCGGAGAGCGAACCCAGGGTACTACGAGAAGCCCGTCCAGGATGGATTGCAGAAACTGATGCTTCTTGGCGCACGGGTAGAGGGGAAAGCATTTGATGTGGAAGGTGCAAGATGGGTGGGCAGTATAGAAGGCGGGCTTTCTGGGCTGCGAGCACAGTTGGTGGCTATGCTTTCGGGACTTGGAGCGCAGCTCACTAACACGCTCGAGGCGGCAAGTCGGAACCTATACATTACGGTGGAGAGCAGAAGAGGCATGCTTGAGGAGGAACAGAAGGGTAAAGGTGGTGGTAGCAACGGTAACGATGAGACGGCGGCAGAGAAGGCGGCAGAGAAGGCGGCTTAGTCTCACATAGATAGTCCGGAAATGATAATGCTAGAAGCCATGTTATTGTCTGTCATTTAACAACTATGCAAGATTCGACACCAATGTAGACAGTCCCCAGTAACCAGCAGAGTGGCACTGGAGCAAGCGCTGGCGCAACTAGAAAGATGCAGACCGTTGACAACCATGACTGCACGTGACTGGTACGCGCACTGCGGGAGGTGCTACGCAATAGTCAGCATGCAGTTTGTTGTCTCAATCGCATCTGAGCGGGCATTTGGTGAGGGTCAGTTCTCCAAAGTGAAATAAGTTTTTCTTCAGCGAGGTGTCTCGGAAAGAACACAGCGAAATATGTTTGTTCATCAGGTAAGGACAAGGAGGGTAGATACTGTAACTCACCATCAAGCTCCTAGGGACAATGTTCGTCCGATATCTGTAGAGCACGTCAACACCGAGAATAACCCGACGTCACCAAAATATTCGGCACAAGGATTGTCGAGATCAGAGTGTGTAACATTTTTTGAGTGTCTTCAATAATGTTGCAGATGAATCCGCTAAGATAAAGGTTTGACATCATCAATAGAAAAGGCTGAGAACGGTTTAGACATACCGAAGCGCTGGTCGTCTGGCTGACGTAGCCGAGATGGAGGCATGAAGACCTACAGATGCGTCCTGTTAGCGGCATCCTAGCTTATTTGCAACGGGCAAAGGGCGACAAGGCGGCAGCAATGCCAGTCAGGCTCATTAAATCTTTGACAGATCATCGCGGCACCATTGAATGGTAGCCGATCAAACAGTGTGAATAGTGTTCATCAGTGCAGAGCTTCGGCTGGAGCGGAAGTAGGACGACGAACATACCTAGCTGACGCTGTCACTATGCTTCTCAGGACGTCAGTGCTGTTCAGGAAAGGGTGCAAGGTAGCAGTGTTAGTTGCCGGTCTCAGATCAGAATTTTCAGTGTTATATTGCTCATCTCGGCACCGGTAAACGGTAGTCGATCAAACAGTGTGAATAGTGTTCATCAGTGCAGAGCTTCGGCTGGAGCGAGCATAGGTTAACGGACTCACCTATCATACGTTGTTAGTATGCTTCTAGGGCGGCCAGTGCATTGAACAGAAACGCGCAAGGTGGAGTGTCAGTTGACGCTTGCTCAACAAGCATCTCTTCGTCTCACCATCCACGAGGGTTGTACGGCCTCGTTTTAATGGCTGGCGGACTTGGAGTGCGCAGTCTGTCCGCCCGTTGCGTTGTAGGGCTCATCAGGTAGGGTGGTGTCGAATTGCATCAAGCATATCGTAACGTACCTACGCTGGGTCAGCACGGTTGACATATACTGACTGCTAGACGGTAGGCGGGTGTAGAGGGAAATCAGACAAGGCTGAAACTAATCGACAATCCACAGTATAGTTCGGTTCGAGGAATGCGTCGCTGTGTCATCACGAGAAACTTGGCGAGAAACGGGTCTGGGAGCCTGCTTACCTTGTTTACTGCGATGTAGTCGCAGGCCCTGCAAGGGCGGAGCAAGGGTTACGCTTTCTCAGGGTGCCGTAGTCGTTCGTGTGCCCCGTGGCTGTACTACATCTGACACCTAGTGCGTGACGTTCGTCTACTTTGTCTGAGTTAGCTTCGCCTTTCAGGTTCAACAATCGTACGTTATGAAGGTTGGGTATCCGAATCAGAGTAATTCTAGAGTTGATGTAGTCCTGCATGACGCTATAGGATTTGGATTGTTCGTGAAAGAGCATCATTGCATGGTAGAACTGCCGGTGAGTGTACGTACACTGCATTCTCCGCACGACAGCCAGCAAGGACAGGCGTGTTGAGGCCACGATTCTGTTCGTTTGGAAGAGTACAGGGGCTCAAGGTCCCTACTCTTCAAAGTTGCAGCTCACGGCGGATGTCCAACGGTAACGACGATTGGCGTACGCAGGCGGCATGGCTGGGTCAGCTGGTCGAACATCTGGGCGAGGTATGCGGATCGAGAGATGATGGGGTTTCGAAGAAGCTGCAAATGTATTGGCGAAGTTGACCTCAGTACAGAATTTCCGTGAAGTCCGTGCGCTTCTCGGCAGTCGGCCCGAATGCTGAACAACAACCGCACTCTTACATTCATACAAGAAGCTGGACGCTGAAGGAAACAGCAAGGCGCATTGCCGGAATATTGTACTGCCATGATATCACACATATATTCTACCATCCACCGCCGGCGGCTACCGCAAGCGCTGACACCTTCTCCATCTCGCTCCCGCCACTTTGATTCTTACCTACATCGCTCTCGACCACTCGGTACGTCGTACAGACAAGCTTGTCCAACTCGACACCGGTAAGTCTTGTCCAACGCTCTAGGAAGGCTTTCACGGACCGTCGATCGATGCCGTCGATAACGTCCGCGGCGTTTCCGACTTCATCCATTGTGTGTGCCTCATTCATGTCAACATCTCCATCGTCAACCGTAGAATCAGTGTCGTCTGCATCAGCACTCCAGTACGCTTCATCAACCTTCGCCAGCCATTCGCGCTGGGCAGGTAACATCTCCTGATCAATGCTACCATTTTCAATGCCTGTACCGCCAACCTGCCGAAGGGTGGCTACGTCTCCCACCTTAATCTGCCCACCGCCGTTGGTACATCCGCCTGGGCAAGCCATGACTTCCACATAAGCATATTCGCCCTCGTTAGTACCACCACTAGCAGCACCGGGCTTTCGTGCCCCGCCAGGCTTGCGCGTTGCTCCGGGCAAGCGGCTCGCTTTGGCGGGCTTCAGTCTACGTACGAGATTCTGTATGTTGCGAAAACCGTAGTAACGAGCTGCTCTGAAGACCTCTTGTCCACTTGAAGACAAAACCGCATATTCTGAGACATCGACGTTGCGGCCACGGTGTCTCGAAAGGATAGATCCTGGGTGCAGAGCCTGCTGAGTCTTCAGGACATGATGAAGGTAGCCACCACTCGTGCCAATCTCCGCGTCAGCCTCCTCTCGCTTACGCTTGTGTCCTCTTCGACGGCTATTCAAGAAGCGGTCAACATTTGCGTCCGGGAACGGTGGCGCATACTGCTCCGACAAGGGTGCTCTTGGCAGGTTAGGAAACCTAATGTTGCGGCTTTCAGCCAACATAAGCAGCTCACGTGCTGTGATGACACAGTCAACGTCGCGTACGGCATCGCCTTCCTGTCCATGCCAAGTGTGGGACGTCAGCTCGCCTCGTGACGCTTCCAACTTCTTGTCGAAGCATGGCATGACAGCCATGTGCCAGACTTTCTCCGGTGGAATGCCGAACTTCTTCGCTAGGACGGTTTTGATCAGCGTTCCTGTAAGCGCTTGAGGTGACTTCAGCTTGCTCAGATGTGGCAAGATGTGAGCATGTGTTTTTTCGGCGTAACATATCCAACCAGGGCAGGCAGAAGTCAACACGGGTCGCTTCAAGCCATCACTAGGCGCATTGAATGCTTGCTGAGCTTCGTCCGCAGCAGCGACCAGAGCAACTTCGCGCATAGCATTCGTGTCTATGGTCCAAGTAAAGCCCGCTCCTTGTGCGCCGCCAGAGCGCAGTCCATGTGGCCCGCTCAATAGCTGGCTGATCATGTAGCCTGCCTCCCGCTCGGTAATATTGTAGGTGGCTGCAAGACTCGCTCTTGCCTGCGGCGAAACGCTCGCAACGAAGACCTTCGCGTCCGACGTATCACCACCGTCGGTCGCGTCCATCCATGGTGCGCGCAGCTCCCTGTATCGATCAAGTGTGTCCAACACTTCGCCATGGCTCTGCAGGCTGACCAAGACCGCCTCTGCACTAGTCACGCAACCCGAGCATGCTAAGCAGTCCGTGAGCGAAATCTGCGCAGGTGGTGCGGTCCCAGAATTGGCTCGGTCTTCTGTCGTAACTTCATACGTATCGCTAGCATTATCAGGCTGCTGTTTAGGTAGAGTCTCGACCGGCTTGATGCACGCGACACCAGGATTGATGAAGTCGTTCAGGTCATCGGCAGAAAGTATCGCTGACATCGCAAAGTCCAGTGGCCTCTAGATGGACACATGAATGCAGCAGGTCTGCCTTAAAGGAGCAGAAGAGAAACGCAGTGATAAGGGTCCGTTGTCTCTTGTGAATTGTTTGATTATTTCTCAGCAATGCTATCCGCCACCAGCGACCTCGGCCCGCTTTCTGCGTGTCCACTTCTGATTGCATGACTCGAACATAGCATCAATCACCACTTCTTACCTCAACGAGAAAGACCCGCCAACAACCTACAGATATCTGACACAAGCCTATCAACATGTCGCGCGAGCAGTATACTCCACCTTCGCTGTCGCAGCAAAATCAAGGTGGTGCAGCCGCCGGCGCAGGAAGCACGTCTCTCGGAAGCTTCAACATCACCGGCAGTGGCAATTTCGAAGATACATCGCGCCCCGTCCACTACCTATGCGGTGACTGCGACGCGAAAGTAGTGCTGAAGAAGACTGATCCTATCCGCTGCAAAGAGTGTGGTTACCGTGTGTTGTACAAGGAGCGGACCAATAGGTGAGGATACAGTACACTTTACCGACCCTGTTATTGTGCTAATATGATAGCAGAATGATTCAGTTTGAGGCTCGCTGATCTACTCATAAAATGCGTTGAGAGCGAGTGGATACTGCAATAGGGTTGAGCAATTGACACAGTCGACCATGTCTCCAGGCGCATGGGGCGGAGAGGGTACTGCTTGTGTTAGCGCGGCGTAGGGCACGTGAGTGTTGATGATGATATTCAGAACGGGCATGGCACATATTCACTTGCTATGCTACACTTTCCGCCACTTCAAACAATTCTTGAGCAGGCTTTTCCGACCCACTGCTTTCGCCGCAGCGTCATTATCGTCCGCTGTAGCTGCGACCGCATCGAGCTCGTCCAGACTCTGCCCTTTCAATCGAGCCAATTCGTCCAACTCGCCGATCTTCCAGCCACGCATGAGCACCAAGCAGCCGGCGGCAGCAATGTACATGAACCCAGTGAACAGCTGCGTGCCCAAGTAACTTCCCGTCCTGTCAACTATCTCCAGAGCGATAGGCTCGCTGAACGTGGAAGGGAGTGCAATGACCAGCCACTCGAGATTGAGGGCGGAAGGTGCATTTCTTAGGCCCACTACCTCGACTGAAACGGGTGCAACGGTGACCCAGAATGTGCCGGCCACCATTCCGCCGATGACAGTATAGAAGAGCAGTACTCCGTAGCTCTTGGCGAAAATCCAAATGACGAGCGCGAAAAGGCCGCTTAGGAAGGTCATTAGTGCAGCCATATTTATGCGACCGAAGGTGTCACTGAAGTACCCAATAGGTGGACGGCCAAGCGCTTGACCAAGGTTCAGAATTGCGGAGACGATTGAAGCCTGCGATGCTGTCAAACCAATCGCATTGGCGTAGTTCGCCAGCGAGAAAATAAGGACGACGTAGGCGAGCAAGCTGAAGAAGCCGTAACCGTTGAAGAGGAGGTACTCCGGTCGCTTAAAAAGCCCAACCTCAAAGGAGAGCTGCGAAGCGCCTATGATCTTGTTCCGGTCTTTGATCAGTATTGCGCATATGCTGTTCACAGCAAAAGCCACAATGCCCAGGATACGGAACGCCCACGCAAGACCGATACGCTGGATCATCGCACCGGTTGCCAAAGAGTACACAAGACCGCCTAATCCGCTTCCAGAGGTCGCAAATCCATTGGCCAGTGACCGCCGAGTTGTGAACCATTGCGGTACGATGCCGACGGAGCCGACGAACAAGAAGCCCATACCAAGACCAAAACAGACACCTTGACTGAGAAACAGCTGCCATATAGCCCAAGCGAAGGACGCTCCGATCAAGCTCGCCGTTTCGAACGCCACGCCAATGAACAGAGTTGTCTTCGTACCGTACACTCGCGTTGTGTAAGTAGCAACTGGTGAGATGAGCATGGCACATGATATGGATAGTGATCCAACAAAGGCATATTCCAGGCTTGTTGCGCCAGGAAACGTGTTATTGGCGAGATAGTAAGCGAGGAAGACACCGTAGCTTGAGTTCAGACCCCAGGTGTGTGCGTTAATCAGACCGCAGCATGCAGTACAGACCCATCCGTACCCTCCGTTTGGTGGAGGAGGTGGGCCAGTCGCTGCTGGCATCGAGGCTTCCTTCTCCATGTCGGCAGGTCGTTGTTGGGTTGGCAGTGCTGAGTCTCCGCCTACCGAACTGAATTCCGGTGACGATAAGTCATGATCGCGCTCCCTTGGGAGGTCTTTCTCGGCTTGAATCTTACCATCGTCCATCTCGGCGCGCTTTCGAAGCTTTTCACCTCGAGCCGACAACCGTCTCACAGCTACTCCCGGATTGTGACTGGGACGATGCAAAGGGAGAGGGACGACAGCGAAACAAAAGAGTCATTGTATCACTTACGCTAGTGGTTCCTACCGTGCCTTTCCCCTCCATGATCGGACGTTATGTTAGGTAAAGTTCTCCGCTGGAAAGCGTGCCTTCTCTGCCATGCCGACTGCCGGTTAGCGGCCGTGTGCGGATCAACGCGGAGATACTCGCCGCCATTCCTTCTCCAAGCATTACCATAATTAACCCCATGCTGGAGGCGCGGAGTGTTTGGGACTGGCGGTGGTAAGTGTCAAGCGGGGTACGCTCCACGTCAATAACGTAGGTGAGAATTGCCCAAGGACCGCGTCCGAGATACTGTACCAACATGAAAGTTCCGGACCTCAACTCCGCCGATCTCTAAGAGTATCACTACGTCACCCAAAAGACAGCAGTGGTATCCAACTTAACGTACCACCAAGGTCCTCTTATGACCGAACCCTTTGCTACTGGGAGATGTACTCTGTAGAAAGACCTCTATAAGATTTACGTTGTTCCTCGCTTCTCCTCTCTCACAATGTCCTCACGTGCGCTCTCATCAGCCATACACAGAGTCTCTCAGGTTTCACAGCAGCTATCTTCACAAGCACCGATCAAGCAGCAGCTCAGGATGGCTTCTACCGCAGGTACTACGCTCAAGCTGAACACCGGAGCGAGTATACCAGCACTGGGTTTTGGAACATGGCAAGACAAGGATGCGCAAGAAGATGCCGTGCTCACAGCTTTGAAGTGCGGTTACCGTCATATCGACACAGCTCGTGTTTATGGGACCGAGCCAGCTGTGGGTAGAGGAATTAAGAGGAGCGGTGTGCCCCGAGACCAGGTTAGCGACTGCAACACCGAAGCCTTCAGACCTGAAGCGTACCGACTAACAAGCAACCTAGATCTTCCTCGTGACCAAGCTCTGGAACAACGCCCACGAGCCAGAGGATGTGGAGAAGGCGATCGATGCATCGCTGAAAGACCTCGACACTGACTATGTCGATCTCTACCTCATGCATTGGCCATCACCATTCAAGCAGGCTAACGAGCTGATGCCAAAGGGTGATGATGGAAAGATCATCCCGGGCAAGGCTGACTATGTGGATACATACAAAGCAATGGAAAAGCTCGTGAAGAGTGGCAAAGCAAAAGCGATCGGCGTCAGCAACTTTTCCAAGGCAGAGATGGAGCGGTTGCTCAAAGAGACGAGCGTAGTTCCTGCTGCGCACCAGATTGAGTGTCATCCATACCTCGCCCAGCACGACTTCGACGCCTGGCACAAACAGAAGGGCATCCATATCACGCAGTACTCTCCTTTCGGCAACCAGAACGAGATCTACTCATCAGGCCAGAGTATGGGCAAGCTCATCGATGACCCCGTGCTCGTCGAGATTGGCAAGAAGTACAACAAGTCCGGTGCTCAGGTTGCGCTGGCTTGGGGTATTGCTCACGAGCGAACGGTCATCCCCAAATCCAAGACGGAGAGTCGGATCAAACAGAACCTTGAGGGTGACTTTAAGCTCGATCCAGAAGATGTCAAGAAGATTGATGGTCTTGACAAGAAGCTGCGCTTCAATGACCCAAGTAAAAACTTCGGCTGGGACTTCTACACGGATTTGGATGGCAAGCAGCACGAAGTCAAGTAAGGTCGATATTTACATGCTTGTTGGCAATATGATGTGGACTTGTGGACAACGTAATGTGCTATATCGTGTATTATTATTATAACGGCATATGAAGCTGCAAACGAAGGCGTTCAGCTGTGCTATTTGTGCGCACATGATCTTCCATGAAATTGCGGCAGGTGAACCCCTCGGACCCCTAATCTGTCACATCGTTCCTGACTAGAGATGGTAGCGCCCGTTGACTCGACGCCACGCAGATCGTCCTTCCGCCGCTTGACTCTCCTGACTGGCTGAGAGCGTCGAGGACTCAGGAACGGAGAGATACGCGGCGGCGGCTGTTCTAACCACTGCAACCGCTCTACGTTGGGAGCTTTATGGCGTTTAAGTACGGTTAATGTATACTCCTTGGTCGCGAGTATTAGACGCGGTTTGGGATCTTCATTCCTCCATCTTCACGACTCACCCTACAGCCAGCCTCAACTCCACGCGCTCGCGCTCGGACGCAGCCACTACTCCTTGTCAGCTATCTGTGCTCTTCCGAATTTGTTCGAATAGTGAGAGCCGTTGCCGGCGCCTGAGCTTGTCCGCTTTCGAGCAGTGCGCCATGTCGGTCCTCGGCGCGTGCTATTCGCCTCGCACGACCGAAATCTAACCTGCCCATTTCCGAACGCCCTCTGGGCGCTTGACCGTCGATCACAAGCCTGGTGCTGGGCTTGCTGGCTTGTCACAGGCCATCAGGCATGGCGCACTCACAGCGCTGGCCCTTGGCTGAAGACCATCGCAACTTCGCATTCCCTAACAGAACCCAACTGCAAGACGACTTCACGCATTCTTCGAATGGAGTGAGAAAGCAAGCGTCGCTCGCACAGATCCACGTGCCTTCATTCCGCTCCTTCACCTCCAGTATACCGGTACCGTCACCTCAAGGTACCAAACGACAGCAGGTACACCTACCAGCTCGCTCGCCAAGAGCTGCTTCCTTCTCCATCGCTGAAACCGCATCACCACGTCTTGTTGCACCACCAACACCAAGGCCATATTCGCTTCACAGTCCTCTGCCCACTTTTAGCGGCACACCTGTTGAGCCGTCCCCTCCTTCGATCGAACAGTTTCCGGTTAGGCAACAGAAGCGGTAGGCTGACAGGCACTTCAGCTGTTCTTCAGGCTGAGAGGCTAACATCCTGTCAGGTCCTCGTACACGTTTCGGACCGCAGCACACAGTCGCAATGCATCTATAGACTCTCGATTGGCTGGCAACGATCCATTCCCATCGAGCGTTGTATCCCGGCGGTCAAGCATTCCAGTACATGAACGCTATGCTCAAGAGCAAACCATAAGGCACGCGCCGGGGCAGTCCGCGTCCAGCATTGATCTTAGTGATTACGAATTCTTACAGGGCCAACGAGATTCGATGGGCAAGCTGCCAGCGCCTGACATGACGCTGGAGTTCAATGGCGTGCAGCGGACGTTGTCAGACGACTCTCTCCTGTCGGAAGGGTCGCTCAAGGACAGGAGATCGAAGTCTTCTGGAGGCAGACGTGGTATTTTCGGGTGGAAGTCGTCTCCGAAGCCCTCCGGAACAGAGTCTCCTACCACCACTTTCTCGGACCGCTCAACCTCGCCCTTACCGTCACCCGCAACCGGCAAAGCTATAACTATGGATGGCATCCCGCCGAATAGCCGCTTGTCTCCACCCACAGGTCTTGATATCAACGCAGCAAACTCACCACTAACAGAGTATTTCGACAACCCTGACACTCCGATCCTCCTCGGCACCCCGGAAAGCAATGCTCATGTTCGAGAGTTAGAGAAGGAGCTGGCGGAGGTCAGTGTCGAGCTGGCCCAATCGATCAGGCGTGAGATGGATCTTGAAGATGAGCTCGAAAGGATACGAGCGGATATGCCTAGCGCTGCACCTGCAGATATGGCTCGTCGGGGCAGTGACTACTTCTCCGACTCCGGCGCGAGCTCAGTACGATACCCAGTCACCGATATCGATGCGAGGCTGGAGCAAATGGAGCAGAAACTCCGGAAAGCGGAGCAGGAGAAGGCCCAGCTGAAAGTGGACACTGCAGCGACTTTGCAGGCTGAGCTGTCACGCCGCCGCGATCTAGAACAGATGGTGCACGCCCTTGAACTGCAACTGGCGAAAGGATTTGATGATGACGAACGGATATCGCAGCTTGAGGCTACTCTGGAAGAGACACGAAGACGTTTGGCGCAGGAGCGGCAAGCGAAGGACACGTTTGGCGAGCTGTACAGCGCAACGAAGTTGGAGCTCGAGCAGCACAAAGGTGAGAAGGACAATCTTCGCGATGAAGTGGTGCCACAGTTGCGCGCACGCATTGAAGGGCTTGAGCATGAAGTCGCCGACACTCAAGCATTGATGTATGAGAATGCACGTTTGCAGCAGGAAATGGTCGCACTTCGCGGCGAGACGCCGGGAAGTGCTCGTTTTGATAAGATCCGTGAAGAAGGCGACCTTGCTTCGCCGACAGCAGCGCCACGAAGCGGTCTTTCAAGGTCGAACTCATTAGCCAGGAACCGCACAGCCCGAGGCGGATCGATGTCAAGATCAGGTACTGTCACGGAGGGTGGACGTCAACGCGCAGGATCGTTCAGCGGTCATCCGGTGTCTGTTGAAGGCGTCAAAGAAGTCGAGGACCAACGTGATGCGTTGCACAAGGCGCTGAAACTGCTCCTCCGCCGCCATGAGAAGCAACAAAAAGACCATGAGCGCGCTATCAGGAAGCTTCGAACTGCCAAAGACCAAGCCGAGCAGATCTCGCCCAAGCGAACCGCCTATCAGCGAGAGGTTTCTTTCCTCAAAGAAGAAGTCACGACGCTAAGGAAGCGCACTGAGGATGCTCTTGAGCAGAAATGGCAGTACGAGAAGGGTCTTTCCGGCCTGAAGATGGACCTTGATCGTGCGGAGCAGGAGACGAGGAGTCTCCGAGACCTGCTTCAAGAACACGATATTCTTGCGCCAGCGCGGCAGTCTCCATCCCTCGCATATGACCGTGATGGGGATGCTGAGCACGAAAGCATCAAGCTTAGCATTTCCACCGCGGAGAGCGAACGCGACCAAGCACGACAGGTGGCGGCAGTATACCGACAGCGTGCACAATCAACAGATGGCAGTAACTCACAGGAGCTCTTGAGCTCTGCTCAAAGAATGGACGAGCTTGCTGATGAGCTCGAAAGTCAAGTTCAAGCGAACGTGGAGCTACGAGATCGCCTTGCGGAGGCTGTAGCGAAGGGAGAAAGGGAGCAGAGGGAGTCCACTCGCCAAATCCAGGACATGCAGAGCCGACTCGCGGGTATGGAAGAGAGCGTCCTCTCAGCCCAGCAACACTCCGAGACTCTACTCGGCAACCACGAGTCCGAAGCGCGTCGTCTGGATGAGGCGACATCACCCGCTCTTCAGCGCCTTAGAATCTCCATTCCAGACGCGAAGCGACTTTCACCTACATCGCCCATGTTCGCAAAGTCGCCTAGACTCGGCTCAAAGAAGGGTTCGGAGACGTCATTGCTCGAAGCCGGCCGGACACAGCTACTGGAGCGCAAAGTCAAGGACCTGGAAGGCGCGCTGAGGGAGGCCGAGGAAGATATGCAGGCCGTCGTCGAGAGGGTGAATCGGAGTCAGCTCGACGTTGCGGATTTGCAGACGCAGAGGGATGCGGCGGTCACGCAGATGCGGAAGTTGCAGCGGCAGATTGTCGAGGAGAGGGAGAGGGCTGAGGCGTGGATGGGGGAGTAGGCGTGATCTGAGGGTTTGGAGTTTGGAACGGGGTACTCCGTATTTGGAGGCCAGTTGCATTAGCCGTAGCGTTGAGCGAAGCGTACGGGGGTCGGTTGGCTTGGTTGCATGGCCGGCGGTGGGATTTGTTCAGGATGGGCGGGCGGGTCCTGGGATACACAGCCTAGGAGGAGGAGTTGGGCGAAAGCATACCTTGTGTCGTGTCACTTCATGGTGTTCCCCATCAGGGCACCAAGCCCGGTATTTGTTAGGGTTCAGCGCCGATCTGGCCCGTGAACCCTTCTTTTCCGACAGGGGAAACAGCAACAAAGTTGGGCTCGTGCAGGTTGTGGGGAAGTGCAGCATTGAATGTGGAAGCGGTGGCACATGCCAAATGCCTCCGTCGCTTCCGCTACAGCAATTTAGAAAGGTTCATTACTGCACAAGGTGCTCTCTACTTCACTTGCACGCTCAGTGTTGCTCATGGACGATATTCCGTGCCGCTCATGGCTCTGAAGTCCACGGTTTGGTAGCGAATAGCATCCCACCGCGCTTGTAGCCCCTTGGCTGGCCATCCTGCATAAAATACCTAGGCCCCTTCACCACTTAGACCCTAGGAGTTCCCCTCTGCTGCCGGGTCCACCTCACTGGGAGTTGCTTTGCAAAGACGGAGTCTTACTCCTCGGTCATAGAGACCACCTCCCACGAGCAGGGTCTTCCACCACCAGTCTCCAATCATGGCGTACCAACAGCAGCAAGACAACCGTAACCAGAACCGTCTGCACCTCAACTTTGGCTTCAACAACCAGCCCAACTTCGCCGCTGAACAAGGCCGTGCTTTCCCAACCACACCTTCTACCTTCCCACAACCATTCCCGAACGCTCGAGGTCAGCAAGATGTTTGGGGCACGGGTCAGACAACGAGCGGCATCAATGATCAAGGCTACTTCTACAACAATCCTACATTCCAGCAGTACCAGAACCTGCCCTCTCCAGGCACCTCGGGCTACCGCTCGCCAGGGGGCTTTAACAACGACGCTACAAATGGCTTGGCCCACCAGTTCCAACATCAGAACTTGGGTGGTGGCTCCACCCCGAGGTCAGCTAGTCCCTACCAGAGGCAAGGGTCTCCGGCAGGCATGTCGAGGCCACGGACGGCAGGCCAGACGGGGCAGAGTGGGTTGAGCAATTATCTCACCCCGCCAATGCCCAATCAGCCCGCTCAGCCTGGCCTATACGACGATGAGCCGCCACCCAAGAACCCGGAGAAGTACTCGACTGGTATCACCGAGAAGGTGAAGCTGAACAAGATGCTTACGCAGGAGTTCTTCAAGGAGAACGTGGAAAGAGCGAAAGCAAGGAATGAGCGGTAAGACAGTGTGCACTCAGACCTGGTGAAGACGCTAACGGGTCTGCAGAGCCAAGGAGCTTGAGGGCATCCTGAGTTCAAGAGAGCTGTCCGATGCTCGCAAAGAGCAAAAAAAGGCCACCATGCGGAAATCAGAAGCAAACTTCCTGCGGTTCCTACGCACTAGCGAAAGGCCGCAGAACTACAACACTCTCAAGATCATTGGCAAGGGTGCCTTTGGCGAGGTCCGGCTGGTGCAGAGGAAGCATGACGGAAAGATATATGCGCTCAAGTCGCTGATCAAAGCTGAGATGGTACGGCTTCGCCTCCGACGTGCGCCGGAGACGATTGGTTTCGCTGACTGTTTGTATAGCACAAGAAAGATCAGCTGGCTCACGTCCGTGCCGAGCGTGACATATTGGCGAATGCGGACAGCCCATGGCTAGTCAAGCTGCACACTTCTTTCCAAGACTCCACATTCCTCTACATGCTGATGGAGTTCTTACCGGGAGGCGATCTGATGACGATGCTCATCAAGTACGAGATCTTTTCCGAGGACATCACGCGCTTCTACATGGCCGAGCTCACCCTTGCTATCGAGGCGGTACACAAGCTTGGCTTCATTCATCGGTAAGTGTCCGATCAGAGTGTGATCACGGGCACATCTGCTAACACCGCATCAGTGACATCAAACCTGACAACATCCTCCTGGATCGCGGAGGTCATATCAAGCTTACGGACTTTGGCCTTTCGACAGGTTTCTCAAAGGAGCATTCAGCCTCGTACTACCAGCAACTCATGTCGCAGACTCGGCCCAAATCGATCGCACAGAACCGCAACTCGGTCTCGATCGACCAAATACAGCTTACAGTATCCAACCGCAATCAGATCAACACCTGGCGCAAGTCGAGACGTCAGCTCGCGTACTCCACAGTCGGTACGCCAGACTACATCGCGCCCGAAATCTTCAGCGGCAAGGGCTATGACTTCGGCTGCGATTGGTGGAGCGTCGGCACCATCATGTTCGAATGCCTAATAGGCTGGCCACCCTTCTGCGCCGAAGAGCCACATGACACCTACCGCAAGATCGTCGACTGGCCCCGCCACCTTCACTTCCCTCCAGACCAACAACTCGGCTCAGACGCCGAGCACTTCGTCCGCGGCCTGATCTGCGATGCACAGAACCGGCTCGGTCGCGTCCAGGGCGCGCAGGAGCTCAAGGCGCATCCCTTCTTCCACGGTGTCAATTGGGATAGTCTGCGCAAGATTCGCGCGCCGTTTGAGCCGAAGCTGCAAAGTAATGTCGACACGCAGTACTTCCCCATCGATGAGATTCCGCAGGTGGATAACTCGGCGGCGTTGAGGGCGCAGACGGAGGCGAGCATGCAGAATGATGATACGACGTTGAGCCTGCCGTTTATTGGGTATACGTATAAGCGCTTTGATGCATTTAGAGGGACGTGAGGACATGTTCCACTGCCGGTGGCAGTAGTTCGATCAGAGCAGCGGGCACTGCTTAAGCGGAGCGTATGCGTGATCCAGCATTCGACGACGAGAGCATAGCGGGAGGCCAGGGCGTTACGAGCATGCAGGACTATGTACGATGCATCTACGTCTAGATCTGCTTTCAGTATGCAAGGCTGCTGAAGTCATTATGCTGTAAGCCTATCTTCGGCAGTGCCTCACGCTTGCTTTCGTCTCACGATCTTGTTGTAAACTGCTACGCAATGCGAGCTGCTCGCGCTGCGACTGCATCCCGCTTTGCCAAGAACGCCAACTGCGTCAACCTCAGCTAGACCTGCTTCCTTGCTTCTTCAAGGTACGTAAATGTCAATGAGCAGATCGTTTCGTCGCCGTAAAGCTGACACAAACACCATAATGTCAGGACCGATCACGATCCGTAACCTCACGGCACAGCCACTGACTGTCAAGCTCATCGAACGCTACGAAGCTCCCAATGCAGCTAACTTTCCTCCCCATGGCGGCTTCTCAATCTCGAATCTGACCTCCAAGGCCACCACTCTGCTTAGCAATGTCACGTCTACGGGATCTCCCAGCCAGCCTAGTCCGGGACAGCTGAGCGACAAGGCCGAAAGCTTTGCCAAGCAGGATGTCGACCTCCGCATGGAGCCCTTCACGACATACAAGACAGACGTGCAAACGACCGAACGAGGTCCCAATGAAATCTTGCGGCTAACGTTCGAAGGGGAAGGCGGGCAGAGATGGAGGGTAGACACGCCTTCGCCGTCGCCAGCCTCTCAGAAACTGGTACCGCTTACTCCGGAGCCGCAGCACGATTATACCGCCATCTACCTTGCCGACGCACATTTTCTGGCCTTGTTTGAGAGTACCAACCTGCAATGCTGGATGAAGGAGTTCAAAGACGAGACGCCGCTGTCCGCCCTCTCCATGCCCGGCACGCATAACAGTCCCACGTGCCATGTGGCGCTGCCGTCTGTTCGCTGCCAAGCTGTACCCCCGAAAGACCAGCTGGAGAACGGTGTTCGCTTCCTCGACATCCGGGTGCAACCTGTCAAGCCCGAAGATCCCAACGATGATTCTCTCAATCTAGTTCACGGTGTCTTTCCGATCTCTCTAACAGGACCGAGGAAGTTCCGTGGCATGCTGGAAGATGTTGAGAGTTTCCTCCAGGCCAATCCCAGCGAGGCAATCATCATGTCCATCAAGCGCGAAGGCACCGGTGACGCCACTGACCAGCAGTTAGCGATGATCATGAAAGACCATTACGCCAACTCTGACCGCTGGTGGACTCAGCCTCGCATACCTACGCTAGGCGAGGCGAGAGGCAAGATCGTTCTCATGCGTCGCTTCGCACTCGACGATCGGCTGAAGGGCGAAAACGACGGTCACGGCTGGGGTCTAAACGCTGAGAACTGGCGGGACAACACGCCCGACGATACCTACGGCGACGTGCGCGTTCAGGACTTCTACCAGGTCACCGATACCGAGAACATCGACAAGAAGATCCAACTATGCTGCGACCACTTTGAGCGGGCCGCGGCCGTGGTCTGTCCCATCCCAGGCGTCACGACAGATAGTACGGACCCAGTACCAGCGGGCCCCCTCTACCTGAACTTCCTATCCGCGTCGAACTTCTTCAACGTACAAACGTGGCCGGACAGGATCGCAGCGAAGCTCAACCCGGCTGTGACGGCCTTCTTGTGCGAGAAGCATGAAGTCGGAGACAAGGGCATTGATGGACCGGGTCAGGAGTTTCAGGGTGACGGTGGCGTCGGGATCGTGGTCTGTGACTGGGTGGGCAACAACGGGGACTGGGACCTTGTGAGATGTATAGTGGGCATGAATAGCCGAATACTGCTCAAGGAGCGCGGCAGCTGGCGATGATATGTAACGGTCGAGGAATGAGTGACGAAATGCTACTTCGATGATAGACGCTAGAGCGGCATGCAGTCTACGAAAAAGCGATGTTTCTACGCGGGCTGCACTCCTCTCTGGGTCCAATGTCCAGGATGTAGCCCTGGATCACGCTGCTTATGCCGTAGGCCACGCTTGCTGTTGGTTGGTCTTTGTGCGGGACCTAGAGGCAGTTCGCATCGTTGGAGCTGGAGACCGTTTTGGGACACCTAGCCGCTCTCACTTCGGCAAGGTCGTGGGTGGCGTGCGGGCCAGAAGCATAGCCGCTCGGTGAACGCGAGCATCGTCATGGCAGTGCACGTTCTTCCGGATCAAAGTACTTCTGGTTGAAGGTGATGAAGCCTGTCTCTCCCTTGCCCGTCAAAACCCTCGTGTGAACTGAGGTTAATTCGGAGCTGGTTAGCGCGATGCTGATGATTGTCAAGCATATGCGCCTCACAACCCTTCAAATTGCGTACTAGGCGATGTGATCCTTGCCTTCACTCTATAGCAATCACGAGTAACTCATACACGTGCATTGTCCGATATGGGTGAGCAGGGTGTAGGTTGCGGAAGGTACATGTAGGGATGGTCAGTTTGCTTGGCAGATGCCCCGCGTCGCGTCGACGCGTCTTCCGCGCGAAAGCATTTTCTCTCTTGAGTAGAGTGTCTAAGTACGATATACTGGCCTCTTGGATGCCGCTAGGCGTTAGTGTAATGTTGCGAGGATGTCTGCTTGGAACATGGTATGCCCGGTGCCCGTACCTTCACTGGATGGAGACCTGACGAGCAGCAGAACGCACGCGCTCTCCGGCGTCTAGCCACAGATCGCAACGCGCTCTACAGCCAACCCCTACCACCGAACTACCTTCTCCCATCAGATGAGCAGTCAGGCGATGTACTGAATGAGGTCGATGTTCTCCTAGCTGGGCCCGCGCATACACCGTTCAGTGCTGGAGTCTTCAGGCTGCACCTCTCCATTCCATCCACATATCCAGATCAGCCGCCGACGGCAGCCTTCCGCACCCCCATTTTCCACCCCAATGTCGATCCTACAACAGGGGGAGTCTGCGTGGAGACTCTGAAGCGCGACTGGGATTCTAAGCTAACCCTTAAAGACATCCTTTTCGTCATCAGTTGTCTACTAATACAGCCAAACCCAGATAGTGCGCTAAATGCGGAAGCCGGCAGCTTGATACAGGAGGATTACAATGCATTTGCCCGGCGAGCAGTGTTGATGACCGACATCCATGCGTGTGTGCCGGGTACACTAAAGGATGCCGTGAAGGAGGCGCAGAACCGAGGCCAGGTGGCAGCCGACGAAGCTCCTGTTGTCAGTGGTGTCGATGTTATCGACTTCGCCGCGGAGACCGCAGTTCCTGGCAAGAGAAGACGTTTAGGCGGTACAGCAAGGCAAAAAGGGCTGGTTGCAAACCGAAGGACTGCTGTCTCGCCGATCCCTGGCTCATCACGGATGCAACATGGTATCGTTAACGGTCGGCCTTTTGTCCGTGAGACCAACGACAGTGACCCGTTCGGCGGTACTGTCGGTCAAGCCGGCCCTTTTGATCGCCGAGCGCCCGCATCAGACAGCAGCAGTGTCGCTGGCGAGTCCGATCGGGAAAACGATGAGTCGCTTTCGCCCACGAAGATACGCTCACCCAAACTTCCAACACCGCGGAGACCGCCAGGGCAGCCCGTGGCACTTGGCGAGCTTCAGACGGAAGGCTTGTCGGAAAGTGATGGAGATATGGAGCCTGAGTATCCGCCGAGTCCAAGGAAGAGTCCGTCGAAGAGTCCACGAAAGCAGCTACCGTGGACGGCGTCGGCACTGTCGGCACGACCTGACAGTAGTCGAGATGCAGCTGCGCAAGCTCGTAACATCACCCCTGCCAACCTCACCGACAGACCCTTGGCCGCAGATTCGCCCTTTGCGCAAGCAGCGAATGCCGCACCATCTCCACGTAAATCAAGACTGCGGCAGACGGCAACACCAGAGCGGAGAAAGGCACAGACAGAAGTCTCAGCAGTCGTAAGCTCGCCGGAAGTCCAGAGTGACGAAATCTCAGAAAGGGAGTCTCCATCGTCATTGAAGCAGGAGAGCGCTTTCGACGCAAGGTTGTGGCGGTTGTGTGGAGGAGATCTTCGGCGATGGAATCGAGCAGACTTCGATGGCGATCCGTTCAATAAGATAGCACCAAGGTGGTGAGTCGAAAGTGCTGTTGCAACGCATTAAGTCAGGTTCGGTTGCGAGGCTTTGGGCATCCTGGGGAGGAACGCCTCACTTGGTAGGAATGAATGATCTGCTTGGCTTTAGCACATGGCGACGAGCTCGCTGTCAGACACGCCTGGTGGCCCATTGATGTGAAATTATGACACGGCCTGTCTATGTCCCATGATCAGGCTTTGCTCTCCTAGAGCAAGGGTGTTATATGCTGACGACTTTTGCCTAAGACTCCGACGCCCATCGCCGTTCCCTGAGACTCATCTCCTTGCCCTCCCTTTCGCGTGACCCGTCCAGCTCTGCCTTCCATGCCCAGTACTCCGCCAGCCGCAGCTCAGCATAAGACGAATAGTCAAAGTCAATCTGACTGATCATCGCCTGTATCAACGACCAAATGCCCCAGTAGAAACCCGGCACGCCCCGGAACAAATCAACCTGCTTGTTGAGCTGCACGACATCGTTGTGAAAGTCTACCTCCATCGCGACATTGTCGTTGTCGGATATCGTGTGGGAGCGGAAGGACCCAACGTAGTGTTTGTAGAAGTCAATGCGCTGCGATTTCGTCGGAATGCCATTGTAATCGCAGTCGAAGCCGGCCCATTCGGCGAAATGGTTGGCAATGTCGAACGCTGCTGGTGCGGGCGTGGCATACTCGTAGTCGATGAAACTTACGGGACGCTCGTCGCCCTCGCCGTCGGCGCCCATTGGATACTGTATTATAACGTTGCCGGAGAGTAGGTCGCAATGGCTGAAGACGTAGTCCCGGCCTTCCACGAGGCCAGGGGTGTCTCCCAGTGTCGTTGAAAGCCAGGCTAGCTCTTGGTTTAGTGTCTCGTTTCGAGATCGCTCGGCTTCCGTACTGCTGGGCAGGGCTTCGATCCACTGCTGCATGACTGTCCACACGTTGGGGTACGGTCGAGACTGCTTGCCATCCTTCACGCCGCAATGCTTGCTCGCTGGCATCACATTGAGATTGGGGGTCGAGGTGATAGCTGAAATGGGCAGACTACCGTGCCATTGACCCAGCCGCCTCGCGACGGCTCGGTAGACCTCCGGTTTGCGTAGGTCCTCCGGCGTGCAGACATCTCCCGGTATAAAACGGTACATCAAGCCATTGTCAAAGCGAGCAAGCAGCGGCGGCGCCAAGCCCATGCTTGCCAACAGATTGTGCGCTTTTAGCTCCCGTTCGCGATCAATGATGACATCTGTCCCTTTCCCATACGCCCTAATCAGGACCGCTTCCCGGTCAATCTCCGACTGTCTTCTTCCTGGCTTGCGCTTGACAGCTTTTGTTAGGGTATTGGTGATGCCCTCGGTGAAGCGGACGAATACCACCGGACCTTCTGCCGTCTTCCACTCGCCATCCAGGGTATGCACAAGTTCCAGCGCCGACTTATCGGCATCCTCGTTGGTGAAGTGGTATGGTATGTGCCGCAGGTTCAGGACACCGTTTGCGGTACCCGCAGGGTGGTCGGTAGAGGTCATTCTGTCTACGAACGATGTGGTAAGAGTTGCGGGTCAAGTAGGGCATGTTAGCATACGTTGTCCGATACTAAGCTCGCAATCGAGCGAACAGATGTGTTTGAAGATCGAAAACGATCGCACAAATGCGTCTGAGTCAACAAGCTTTTGTTGGTAAAGACGTGCGACGTGTGTCGTCAATGCCATGGGTGTATGGGGTACCTTGGAGCCCAGAGGCTCGGCATTGGCTGCAGTGGTGCAGACGGTACCTGAGCCCGCGGCCGGAGGTGTGACGTCGGGTAGCTGCAGGTGAGTGGGGATGGGACGGAGTTTGTTGCGCAGAGGGTGATGGGGATGGAGGGGTTGACCAAAACACGACAACCACCACCTACAACCGGCTGTGACCGTCGGGCAGACACTTCCAGTGATTCGAGACGGCTCACCCCGAAGCGTCGTGATGCCGACGGTATTCGTACACTACGTGACAGACCATCTCTGCGGATCTCCAGTCTTGGCGGGGCATCTCGCTGCCAAAGCAAAGCGAGCACTACTGATGCCGCAGTCAAAGTCTTCCTTCAGAGCAGACCACTCGGTCGTTGTTCATGAGACTGAGCTGATCTCCTTAGAAGAATCACACATCTATGGCCATGCAGAAGATCTGGCCTTGCTGACAGTATGCATATGCACGGGCCATCCATAGCTTTTTGCCCTTATCTTGCTGCTTCTGATAAGACAACCCAACGAGGCATTAAAGCTACTGGGCACCGGAAATGCATATCGTCAGAGGCGGCGGGTCGTGTTTGATGTGGTTCTCCCTCGCCTGCAACATGCCGTTTTTGCCATTCGCTCCTCCAGCGAAGTACTCACCACGCTGGAGGCGAGAGGCGATATGGCGGCCAGCGAACGCAGTCCACTGCTTGGAGCAGAGAACGGAGGCCACAAGCCCACGGACCACCGACTCACCAAGCTGCAGCAGGATGAGGAAGCGAACAGTATCGTTAAAAGCCATGTCTCCGTTGAAGAGCAGAAGATGGCGGATAGCTCGGTGGGAGAAAGGCTGGCCTACAATGACTATACCACTATCGATTGGCTGCACGACCTTGTAAGCACCATAGCAACGACGAGCTGATGTTGAAGGCTGATGTACAGCGTAGGTGAAAGACTCGTACCGACTTCGCTTCATCCACAGCCGCAAGGGATTGCGCTACAAACTCCTGAGCTTGTTTGACGAAGCCTCGGGCTGGATCGCCGCAGCCTTGATTGGCACTCTGACCGCTTGCGTAGCCTTTCTAGTCGACGTAGCAACAGCGACAGTGGCAGATTGGAAGCTTGGCTACTGTTCTCGGAACCCGTTCCTCAACCGCGAGGCCTGCTGTGAGGGCAAGACACCGCTTCTCCTCCGCAGAGGGAGTCCCGGGCCGGAACTGGGACCAGACTGTGACGGCTTCCGCGAATGGTCCAACAGCTATGCGCCTCAGTTCGCCATCTACGTCGCGTTCGCGCTTGCATTCGGCATCATCAGCTCAAGCGCCACGATGCTCACGAAGCGGTCACTGCCGACCGCCTCTCCAGGCGCCGGCGACAAGAACCAGTACAGCGCACCTCCACAGCCCGTAGTGAGCGGCAAGAGCATGTACATGGCCGCTGGGTCCGGCATACCCGAAATCAAGACCATCCTCTCCGGCTTCGTTATCCCCAACTTTCTGGACTTTAAGGTGCTGTTCGTCAAAGGCTTCGGCGCCATCTTTGCCGTGTCCACGGGTATGTGTCTCGGTAAAGAAGGTCCGTTCGTGCACATATCGACCTGTGTTGGCTACCTCGTTGCGAAGCACTTTCCAAAGTATCGCGACAATGGGCGCAAGATGCGCGAGATCCTGTCAGCCGCTTGCGCGTCAGGTCTCAGCGTGGCCTTCGGTGCGCCAATCGGTGGTGTACTCTTCAGCTACGAGGAGATCAGCACGTACTTTCCACGTAAGGTGCTGTGGCGAGCATTCCTGTGCTCGCTGACGGCGGCGATGGTCCTAAAGGCGCTGAACCCAACAGGCACAGGCAAATTGGTCCTGTTCGAGACACACTACGGCACGTCGTACAACCCTGTACACTACTTGATCTTCGTCGTACTGGGCATTGCAGGCGGCATCTTTGGTGGTACATTCTGCAAGGTCAACTATTACTGGTCGAAGTGGTTCCGCAGCTTCAGTCTGATCAAGAATTACCCAGTGTTCGAGGTCTTCTTGGTGGTTGCCGCAACCGCTCTACTCCAATACCCCAATCCACTCACTCGGGAGCCCGGCGATGTCATACTGAAGAACCTCCTCGTTGACTGCCGTGAAGCTAGTTCCGCCAAGACTTGGGTTTGCGTGCAGGAAGACTTGCCGGGGAATGAGCGCGGCGCATATACTGGCTTCTTAATCTACGGTACCTTGGCGAAGCTGGGCTTGACCATCATCACTTTTGGCATCAAGGTGCCGTCTGGCGTCATCATCCCTGCCCTTGATGCCGGTGCATTGTTTGGTCGCCTGATCGGGCAGTGGATAGGTGGCATCTCCCCAGGAATCTTCGCCATGGTCGGAGCAGCTGCTTTCCTCGCCGGCGTGTCCCGTATGACCATCAGCCTGTGTGTCATCATGTTCGAGCTGACGGGCGAATTGGAGTACATCCTGCCACACATGATCGCCATCCTTGTCGCCAAGTGGGTCGCTGATGCGCTAGGCAAGGAAAGTGTTTATGATCTGGCGCAGAATGTGCTCGGGCATCCGTTCCTGGACGGAGATCACGCGATGCAAGTCATACAGAAACAGGACGCGCTTGCGGAGGCGCTCATCCCGCCGAAGCAAACGATGGACGAGATCACCGTAGTGGTCCCCAGCAACAACAAGGTTCCACGGAGTGTGTTGCAAACAAAGCTGGACCAGTTGAAGAACCGTGGACTCATGGATGCGGGACTGGTGCTTGTTCAGAACGGTAGCATGCTCCAGGGCTACATCGCAGAAGGCGAGCTCGAGTTCGGCTTGACAGAGCTTGGCCAATTATATTCTGCCGACACTGAGGTACGCTTACTGGGCAATGCCGAAGAGGGAGACTTCGACATGTCACACTTCGTTGACCGTACGCCCGTCTCGGTGTGCGCAAAGGCGCCCATGGAGTACGTCGTGGAGATGTTCGGCAAGCTGGGTTTGCGACACCTGATGGTCACGGAGGAGGGCAGCGGTCGGCTCGTGGGCGTGATCATCAAAAAGCGACTGGTCGCGTACCTAGATCATCTGCATGATTAGCTATGTAAGTTTGATTAGGAATGCATTGACTTACCACGCTCCTGTCAACCGAGACCGATGTCCACCCCGAACCCTAGCAACTTGTCTTGAGATGGCGTCTCTTGGAACTTCCAGCATGCCCGGCTGAATATGGTACGAGGCACAGTCGAGGTTGCATCGAAGGTTGATCAATATTATGCGTGTGATCAATTAGCGCCATCCACCAACTCGCCCTTCATCCCATCGTTCCTTCCTCTCCCTGCGCAAGAAGGCAGTTTTCTTGGCTTCCTTCACACGCCTTACAAAGTCCGTCAGCTCACGTTCCGTCGCTACGCCTTCTTCCTCGAGCCAGCTGTCTTCAATGCCACGGACCAGTTGGTCTTGTTCCTGCATGCTGGCATTTAGGCGCTGGTACAAGGCCATCGGGCTGAATGAAGAGAGTGCATTCTCCGTCTCGGACAACTTGGAGCGGTGTTGCTGCTCTAATGCCTTGAGAGCAAGGAGACGTGATTGGGTCGCATCTCTTAGTGAAGTCAGATGCTTTTCGAGCTCCTGGACGGACTCCGCAAGCTGGACGTTACTTTCAATAACCGGCCGGAGCGCTTGCTGGGAGCGCAGTACAGCCGGGTGTGTGCTATTAGGATCGTCTAGAAATGCTGCCTGTAGACTGTGATCTTCGAGCAAAGTGTGCAGGTCCGCTGTTGTCTTGTGCTCCAGTAAGTGGGGCAGCCAATTGTGCTGGATAGGCGGTATCTGCGGCAGGGCCGAATGCTGCTGAGCTGAATAGGCCTGACTGCCATCTAATTCTGACGGTTCCAGTTGACTTTGAGCGCCTGGTGGTGGCGGTGGCAGTGGCGGACCTCTAGCTGGCGTTGAAGTACCAGAAAGCGGCTTGGGTGGTGGCGCGGGTGGAGTTGCAGCATAAGCATCTGCGACCGCATATTGGGATGAGGGTGGCACAGCATACTGGTACGTGGACATTCTCGGCACGAAATCCCTTGAAGGTAGAGTCAGCTGTTGGGTTAAGAGGGGATGTCCGAATAAGAAGGCACGCTGATATGTTGCGCTCAGATTGTTTAGCGTCACGCTTGCACCCCTTTTGGAACATATTGCTAGGCAGCCTCTTACACCACCCTCCTTTACACCGGCCTAACTGCTTTGACCTCTGCCTTCACAGCCGTGGTTGCAGCATACTGCGGAATGTACATGTACCTTCCGTTTGGAAGTGGAGTTGCGGCAGGACATGACGATTGCGGAATGACATGCAGTATGCAAGCTTGCGTATCGCTATTACAAGCTGCACGAATACGACCTGCGAGGGACTCGACCAGAAAACCGACACCTCCATGCAGTGCTTGTTGGCTCATAAACTACAGCGGATGTAACAATGCGCCTTCCATCCTTGTCCCATCGACAACACTAAGGAGGATATGTCGAATATTGCAGAGTAATCGGCACACAGCCCGCGCCAGGTATATTACCGGCAGAATACAGGTACACCACATCTTGACACAACATGACTTCCGTCTCCCAGTTATTCAAGCTGGTCACCTCGAAGGAATTGTCGGGTTGAAGGCAGAATTGTAGTGGTACAGAATAGGTACCTAGTGGGGTTAGCGCAAGTCACGATAGTCATGTTCGACAGATGTGCCTACTGTATGGCCAGTTGTATGTTGCGCTGTGGAAAGTGATCGGCCCATCGCCAGCCTCGTCCGATGGCTGGTCCGAGTAGAAATCATAAGCTGTGTGGGGGGTGTTGAGGGTGGCAATCTGTCCATTCCCAACGGATTGAAAAGGCGCGCAATCGGTCCCAGAGTTTCCGCTGGTATCGATCGCCATTACGACTTGCTCACCATCTAGGCCGGACGCGCCTCCGACGAAAGTGAGGCAAGAACCAACAGCATAATCGCTAGTGATGTACCACTGGCCCATTCCGTACGGTGGAGCCGCTGCAACGCAAGCGGTAGGGCTCGGCCATGCTGTGGAGATGCTGGAGCTCGAGCTGGTACTGGCCGTGGAGCATGTAGCCTGCGTTACCGTCGCCGTGGAGACGGATGTCATTGAAACGGTGTTCGTCACTATGCAGCAACAGCTTGATCAGCCGGTCCCTGCGCTTCCTTTTCCAACATGGCTCACCTGTTACTAGATCGGTGACTGTACTTATCTGAATGACTGGAACGTGCTGTTAGACCAAGACATCATGTCTCGAAGTTATTATCTTACTGGTGGACGTTGCGTAGATATTGTTGGTGCTGATGAACGTGGAGATCACGGTAGATGCTGGCACCGAACTCGTATCTGTTGGAGACAATCAGTGAGCGATCAGCAGCCCAAGATTTTGCGGCCTCACAGATAATAGTCAGCGGCAACGTTGATGCGGCGAGCTGCGTGGTTGCTGCTTTCCGGTAAGATTGTGTCTGCCTCTGTGCCGGTCAGCTTAGACATACCAGTAACGGTGTCGATCAGTGTCGTCGTCATTGTCTGCGTGTCCGTTGCTGTGCCTGTCGAGTATATGTCGGATGTTGCTGTTTGCGTTAAGAAGGCGCTAGGCACAGTCGTTTCAGTCTCCGTCACGATGGCTGTTGTTGTTATTGCGGCTGGAGTATTGGTAACAGTCACTATAGAAGTCAGACAGGTGTCAGTCTTTTGAAGGCCGTAAGCACACGGACCTGTCGCCGTACTGGTAGTCGTCGTAGTCGAGAGAATAGAGGATGTATAAGTCTGTAATTGCGTTGACGTCTGCGTTGACGTAACTGTCTCCGTCGAGAGATACGTGGTCAAATCTGTTGCGGTTTGCGTCGCTACAACGATGGTCGTTGCGGTCGCTGTCGACGTGACAGCTGGCGGAGTCGTTGTAATGATCACTGCCGAAGTCAGAGAGGGGTGTGAAGTGTTCAGATTGTGGCGGTGCAAACCTGTTTGAGTACTGGTTGCGGTCATCGTAGATAGAGCGGACACGACGGCTGTGATCGTAGCGGTCTGCGTTGTTATGGCGGTCGTTGTCAAATACGGAGGCGTCGATGTCACTGAGACAAGGTGAGCTTTCTCCTTACTGCGTATAGCTACCTACGCCTCGCTGACCTGTCAAAGTTGTCACTATGGTCGACGTGCCATAGTATGATGCCGTCACCGTTGCCGTGCTCGTCTTTATTTGCGCCGATCCTGAAACTGTAGTGAGAGCTGTGGACACCGCGAGCGTCGGATACAGTATTGTTTCATTACTATACTGGGTGATGGTGGCCGTGACATTCTGCGTGTGCCAGGTAGGTTGCGTATAGTACACGGTGCTCGGAGTACAGCTCGAAATGTAGAAGGTGGAGCCACTAGAACTGTATGGCGTAAAGCTGCTCGTGGCGCGGCATACTGACACTGTTTCAACCACCAGTGCCTGGTTAGGCTCTGTCTCGCACTCGCCACACTCGCAGCATGGCTCAGTGGTGATGCCCAGTACCAGCCTAGCTCCCAGTATTCCGGCATCTCCGATTGCGCTTGCAAAGACACAAGGAAGGAGCAGGATTGCAGAAGCAAGCGAACACGGAAAAGGAGAGAACATCTCGAAGACGGAGCGAACACGACTTGCCCGCCTCAGAGAATATGAGGCACAAAATGGCACAAGCACTTCTTCTACGCGTTGGTGTGGATGAAGCATGAAACGATGTGTCAACACATTTAGACAGGCGTCGAGGATCATTGGTGGATACTGCTGCTAAGGAATGTGGCCATACGCCGATCGCAGGGCTCCAGGAGTGTGGTTTGCTGTCGCCATATCGAGACTCTTGCCATAGCTCGCGTGCTGACAGAACATGTTATACCGATGGCGCTTAGCGGCGTTGCGACCGATGTCAGAGCATTGGTGTTTAAACAGAGTTCGCGGTCCTTTGACATGGTCGCGAGTACACTTTCGTGTTGCAAGTGCAGTGACACCAGCATGATACTGCACGTCACACGACATCATGGGCGACAACACAGTCTCACATCACGGTCGAGAAGTTCTTGGGGCTGCGGGGGTATATAGCATTGGGCTGTCTTTAGTCAATATTGATTGGTCTCGCAGACCTAATCAAAACGGCCGGCTGCGACGCCGCGTACCCCATTCGCGACGTCTGTTGTCTGTGGCTGCATATCAGTCTGTCGACACATACTTCGGCACATGGCAATCTCCTACCTTTGCCACCGCCGGTAGCATGAAGTCTGCAATGCGTCGGCGTGAAAGGGCGCCACTTGCAAGTGACATTGAAACATGACATCGCCAGCGAAACAACCGCAGAAGAAAGGAGGATGGGGCTCACTGCTGTCGGGCGCGGTAGCCAACCTAGAATCTCGCCTGGACACCATCCTAGCGGAGGATGGCGAAGCGTCAGCTCGACAACGCGCGGCCGAGGCAGCGGCGAAAGAAGCGAAGCAAACCCAGCGGACCAATTCTGGTAACCTAGCCCCCCGTGCACCAAGCTCTGCAGCAGGAGCCAGGGAAGCGTCAAGGACTCGTGTCAATGATCGCTTGGCGGAGCGTTTGGCACGAGCTACAGCGGTCAAGGCTTCGAGCAGTGCAGGCTCGGTCGTGCCGTCGAGAGTTGCAAGTCCGGCGAACGATGTGGACAGCGTGCGAACCAGTGAGGATTCGGTGAGGACTGGAGACATGGCCTTATCCGTTCCTGAGTTGGACAAGGCAGCGGAGAATGCTACGGTGGAGGAGGATGAGGCGGCGCAGGCTGCCAGCAATGGCAGGGCTGTCGCAGAACCAACATTGTTGACTTCGGGACTTCCCATCAACCCAGCCAAACTTTCCCTAGACAGTAGTCGCCCGTCAATAGATGAGGTTGAGCTTTCTGGTCCCAGCCGGACCTCCTCTGATATGCCCAATGGCCACGCCGCCCAAACGAGGAGTAACGCAGAACTTGATGTTGAGACACAGCAGATGCGTGAAGACTATGCCAAGGCCGAGAAGCAACGCCAGGAAGAGATGCACGCTTATCTTGAGAAGATCGACGCTCTTCAAGCCAAGCTACAGTATCTGGCTAAGGAGACAGTTGCTGCTGCCAGAGCCGCAAACGCCGAAACCGCTGCTGGCAGCCACGAAGCGAAGCTGTCAGAGAAGGACGAGCGGATTGCCTTGCTCATGGAAGAGGGCGAGAAGTTGAGTAAGAGCGAGCTAAGGCATATGCAGACCATTAAGAAGCTTCGGTTGAAGGTTAGCGACGATGAGAAAATTGCTACGGAGCTGAAAAAGAAGCTTGAGCTTGTTGAGCGGACGGAGAGCGATTTGAAGCAGAGGCTGAGGAGAGCGGAAGTTGCAGAACGTCAAGCAAGCGAAAAATCAAAGCAAATTCAGAGCATTGAGCGGCAGGTGGAGGAGCTGCGCATAGACCGTGAGAATGCGGCCGAACTGATACGAACTCTCACTACGCAGCTCAGGGAGAGTAAGGAAAAGGCGGAGAGTGTTCAGAATGAGGCAGCTAGTAAAGCCGCCGAAATCGATCGGAACAGAATCGCAAGTCTGGAAAACGACCTCGAGGACGCACAGATCGAGAAGAAGCTCGCCGAAGACCGTGCTTCAGCAGACATCAAGAAGATGCGCGAAGATGTCGACAGGCAGAAACAGCGTTTCGAAGTCACAGAGACGGAACTCAAGAATGAAATTGCTGCGCTGGAGTCAAGATTGGAGGGTATGCGAGCTCGAGCCGAAGAGGCTACCTCCGTAGGCGGTGCTGGCGAAGAAGGCAGCTTCAAGCTTCTGCGCCAGGTTGAGACACTGCAAGGTCAGTACAGCTTGGCCAAGGAGAATTGGGAAACCATTCAAGGCAGCCTCAATGCTCGGATATCGGCTCTGGAGCATGAGCGCGACGAATCTGTACGGCGGGAGACAGAGATGCGCAAGCGGCTGAGAGATGTCGGGCAGGGCAAGCGGAAGGCTGAGGATGAGCTTGAAACTGCGAATGAGACGGTGAGGAGTTTAACGCGGGAGCTGCGAAGTCACAAGCAGGAAGTCCAGGCGCTGCAGAACCGCCTGAAGCAGGTCGAGAGCGCAGCGAGTGACGCGAAAGCGGAGTATGAACGTCAGCGGATGTTATTGGAGGCCGACGCGAACCGGCGATTAGAAGAGGAGAAGCAAAAATGGCACCGTACCCAGCCAGGCATGATCCCACAGAGCATCTCGCCAGGTACATCGACCCGCAAGACATCTGCAGCGGATCTTATCAGCCTCCACACGAACGGTCGCCGGCAATTAAACCGCGTCACATCAAACGATCTCGCCGGAATGCACCCCGACTCCACATCCCGACCATACTCACGCCGCCCATCCGCGCTACCCACACAGAACACGCCCACCTCAGCCCGCCACCAGCACGTCCCCGAGCCCTTCCGCTCCGCCGAAGCCTCACCATCCCTCAGCCGGCAAGAAAGCACCTTCAGCCTCGATCCGCCCCGCACAGCCAGCATCCCGCCCACGCCATCCATCGAAATCGACCCGGATTTCGAACGAGCCTCTGATTCACCTCACCGCACCATCAACGACCTCGTCTCCACCTCCACCGCCGGCGCGGGACCTTCAGTCCAACTCGTCGAGCGAATGTCGGCCGCTGTTCGACGACTCGAGGCGGAGAAGGCGACGTTCAAGGATGAAATCAGTCGGCTTTCGTTGCAGAGAGATGAGTCGCGGAATGAAGTCGTCGAGCTGATGCGTGAATTGGATGCGCGGAGGAGCGGGGATGTGAAGTTGGGGAAGGCGCAGGCGGAGTTACGCGAGGTGAGGGAGAGGTATGAGGCGAGTTTGGAGATGTTGGGGGAGCGGGAGGAGGAGGCGGAGGAGCTGAGGGAGGGGATGAGGGAGTTGAAGCGGATGTATCGGGAGTTGGTTGAGGAGAAGATGCCTGCGAGATGATGATGGATGGTATGATATTGCATGCTATTTTTGTTTCACGTTTTAGCGAGCATCTGTGTTCCGAGTCTACCTTTGCACTTTGTCCAGAGAACCTTACGTGCTTCGTATAATCCCCTCAAAGCCTACATCTTAGGTGAATGCGTACCGCAGCCGCAAGAGGAAATTCTCGCACGGTATCATGTGAGGGGGACTGATCTGCCGCCGTGGTCACACCGTAAGGGATATGGAGGCTGTGATTGTTCGCCTTGAGATCTACTGTATCGGTTGCTCCAACGTAGGAACGGACCGTCTGTGCTAGCGGGCCCGGACCCGTTGCTGCGCTATAATCACAGCACTCAATCCGACCACTCGAAGGACATGATCTTCCACTCTCAAATGCGAGCAGGTCTTTGCGGATCCAATCAAGCATGCGGCTCGCGAGATGCTTTGATCTAGCGGCATGACATCTGTTTTCCGATCCGCCGAAGCCGTGCCGGCCTCCGTCTGTGATGAAAGGCGTGGAGCAGTGATCATGTGCGGAAGACGTGATGATCTTCTAGCTCAGGCTAGGGCGGAGAAGTTACGATTTCTTCACGTCCGGAGAACGTGGCTGCAGTGCGGAACACTCGCGCAGACTGGGCTTAGTCGCCCTCCACCGCCATACTGTCACCCTCCAGGAGCGGCGTGCCGAGAGTGCAGTGCCATCGCGCGTCTCCCAGCCAACCGAGACTTGGACGATTCGGTAGAGTGTTCTGATTTCATTACACCGCTTTTCCCCCGCTGTGTGCAAGCCACATCATAATTCTTCCCATCCCCATCCTCCCCCCGGATCACAGGCAGCTTACGTCTTCACCCCACCCAAACCCCCCAAAACCTCCGCCCCAACCCCGTCCTTCTCAACCACCATCCTCACCATCCGGGCAATCACCCCCCGCTTCACCCCACCCCTCGGCGGCCTCCAAACACTCACCCCCTGATCCCTCTCCTTCATCGCCAACACCTCTGCCGCGCTCAGATTCTGCTGCGCACCCGTAGACCCTGTAGTAGTAGTAGTAGTAGTGTTAAGCACATTCGGCACACCTGCCGCTGTAAGACGAGAAGGAGGGTCGATCGTTCTTAACGCGAGGAGTGTGAGCGTGCCATCCTCCTTCTTACTCGTGGTGGTGGCGGTCGAAGAGGAAGAAGCGACAGAGATGGCGACCACCCCGTCCGCGACCGCTAATTCGTCTGCACTCGGATCGAAGAGGATATTGGCTCCTACAGACATCACGAGGAGTGTGATTGGTGGTTTGCTGGATTGGGTGGTTGGGGTGTGTGGGTAGAGGTGGGTGGAGGCTTCCCAGTCGTCGTTGAAGAGGGGATCTTCGTCTTTTTCGGAGATGAGGGATGGAAGGCGGGTGTTGAGGAGGGCGAGGTGGGTTGTGAGGGAGAGTAGGGGGAGGGGGTAGGAGTGGGGTTGGGAAAGGAGGAGGATCTGTATTGTTCGCGGCAGTGTGAGCATGATGGTATGAATGGGATTGGTGGGATGGGCGTGGGAGGCTTACGTCGATGTATAAGCGCCAGTGGAAGCGGGTGTTGATCCACAATCTGTCTTTTAGCCCGCCGTCTGCGAGTAATGCTTCCGTGAGCATGGCCGCGAGGAAAATGGGTAGAGCGTCGTCGTCACGCATGCCCGGGATCTCGATGGCGACCTCCAGCCAGTCGTCCTTGCCTCGCCCTGTTTTCTTCCCACTCAGACCACCGCCTTCCCCGTCATCCCCCTCAGCCATCTCATCGTCGTCGACATCACGCCCACCACCCCTTCCCCAGCCAAGCACACCTTCCGCCTTTGTCTCCCCGCCGACTCCAAAATGTGCTGTGCGTGACTTCTCCACTTCCGCCTTCACGCCGACGATCGCTTCCGTGCCGTCGGCGAAACAGATCCTGGCGCTGCCGTTGGCGGAGGGGAGGATTTCCGTCTCAGCGATCAACGGGCGGAATCGAGTTGGTGAGCGAGCGTCTGGGCGGATGGGCGGGTCTTGTGACAGAGAGGTGTGGAGGTAGGAGAGCTCGGCGGGGGAGAGGGGGATGCCGGTGTAGGGTGCCATCTACCAATGCCGTGGGGCGGAGGCTCTTATTGTGTGTGCTGCAACTCAGTGGGTGTTAGGAGTTCAAGGATCCTCGAGTAGCTAAGAGAATGCGGTATTGACTGAAATTTGCGAAGCCCGAGCAAACGCGATGCCCGCCCACGCGCTCTACCAGACCTACCTGATCAGGAGGAGATTATCATGTGTGGTGACGGAACACCCCGAAACAGTGATGCTTCGCTTGCGGCCTCTACTTACACGACTTGCAACACCTCTCTTATGTAAGGTGAGTGAGTGGGATGACAATAGATGTGCGGCATGGATACCCCATACATCTACAGTCGGGTGGATGCATTTCCGCGCAGGGACGATGCCGAGCCCAACGGTACATTACCACTGGGACTGCCGAGCAGCCAAGCGAAACAAGAAGCGGGAGTATACCCGTACATTGCACATTCTCTCATTCGCTCATCCTGACCGCGCCCAGCCGTGTACCTTTTGCGACGGGTGTGTGTACTCCCCTATTCAGCCTTGGATTCTATACCACACCAGTCTGCAATAGAATGTGGTGAGAAGACTGTCCCGCGCCGAGCCAATGGCCGCTCTTGCGAGAATTCAGCTGCAGTCCCGTCTTCTTCGACTTCCCGTGATCGTGCACGTCAACGTCAACGGCTACGGAGCTCCCGTCAACGCTTGCCGTCGCTGCCGAGCGCCACGTTGAAAGTCGCGTCGCACCTTCTGTCCGTCACGCATGCATGCACACACACGCCCGCTTCCGCTTCTTGCCCCAGATTCTTCCCTTGCCCTTGCCCTACCTTGACTCTCCATCATCATTTCTCCCAACCGACTACCCGATTGTTTACTTTACGTATAGTGTTTACCACAACATCAATTGCTGTCGTCGTCGTCGTCGCATGTTTGTGCGGAGCAGCGCTTAGTGGTTGCATCTTATACTGCTCGGCCAATCGACAGCGTTTCGGCGAGTCGTAGTAGTATCATCCACTCCGCATTGGCCTCGCGAGCACAAGGCGTGACCCGCCAAGATGCCCACCATCCTACGCAACCCCTTCCGGAAGCAGGACGAGAACGTGCGACCGCCTCTAGCCGTCACCGGCGCGCAGCCAAGGGTCAATGGAGACGCTGCTGCGAAGCCGGTGGATGTTCACGACAAGCCGGCGGAGTACAAGCTGAGCGGTAGGGATAACCATCCACCACCACCACCGCCCCCGCCCCCAACCCTAGGCTAATTATGACCACGCACAGAGATCAACGACTCCGGCGTCTACCTCCCTCCCTCCCCAACAGAAAAGAAGTCCTTCTGGTCAACCCACTCCTCCCGCACCTCCACCAGCACCTCCAACCACCGCAGCTTGCTAAACGACAGCGAGCAATTCAACATCTCCCGCGAATCCTTCGACTCCTACCGCCGATCCTTCGACATCTCCGCCCGCAGCCCCGTCCTGCAATCCTTCGACAGTAGCAGCGGTCGTCCGCGCGCATCGCTCGACAGCAGGTCCTTCGCCCCCCCACCCCCCAGATCGAGCAGTTCCTTCCAACGCTCGAGTCAGCTGCCCGCGCATACACAGGAAGAGCGGGAGCCCCTGCCTCTGCCTCCGCCTACCCAGCAACAGCCGCAAGCGCAACAGCAGCAAAGTAGTGGAGGAGGAGGAGGCGCCGACTTCGAAGACGTCGACATCGCCGACAAACCCCTCGTCCCCGCCCAACATAAGAAGCGCGGGCTCTTCGCCCGCATCACTGACTCCGGCGGCGATCATCATGCGGGGGACAGGCCGGGGAGCCAGGATGGGGCGAGTATGAGTAAGACGGGTGGGGTGTGGAATCATTTGACGGGGAGGAAACGGGGGCAGAGTGGGCAGGGGGCGGAGTTGGGCGCGATGGCGCCGCCGAAGAGGGAGACGACGCCGAAGCCGGAGGGTCAACTGAGGGTGCAACAGGGGCAGCAATCATTACAGCAGCAGCAGGGGAAACAGCAGTCATCTGTTGACGTGGTGACGACGCCGGGGAAGGCGGGAAAGAAGGTCGACGCTCAAGCGAGTGCGGCCGCCGCCGCCAAAACTGTGCCTGCGCCCACGCCCGCAACGGCGGCGTCGGAAGAGGCGGGAGAGAGCGCGAACGCGAAAGCCGATTCGGGCGTTGATGTGGACGTTAACCGCGCACACAGCCGACTCAAAGACGTTGCGCTGCATGATGATGATGATGATGATGATGCGGAGGAGACGCCGAAGAAGTCCGCTGCGAATGCCAATGCGAATGTGAAGAAAGACGAGACTTCCCAAGCGCTAAACACGAAACCGCGGACTGCTCAGGCACAAGAGGTCGCGACGAAGGTGGTGGATTCTTGAGTAAGTTTTCGGAGCGCTGGGAGGATCTTGTTTGATTTGCACCAGGGTTGGGCGTTTGGGGACGTGTAGGGTGGACGGAGGTTGCATCTGCGCGGGCTTGGCGGTGTTGGGGTTATTTTTGGGTTTCGGGAGTGAGGTGGCGTGTGGTGTGGTGTGGTGTCGTCTTGCTATTGTTGGGTTTTGACGGAATGGGATGGGATGGGAGGAGATGGGTTTACGAATTTCAATGGGTACATGTCATGGGTTCGGGACTGGGGATCGGAATTGAGGTGCATCAATGACGGGGGGTTGAAGTACATATTTGAGGGTTCCTTGAGTATATGTAATGCCAGAAATTGATGGCTTTTGGATTCTGGCGTGTGCTGGCTGCGAGTCATATTCCGCTCATTCTTTACTCGCATAGTAACGCGTCATTGTTTCGGGCAAATGTCGGGGCGGTGATAAGATGTATATATGATGACAAAATTTGAACATGCAGTAATTGCCAATGCATGGCGTTGTAGCAAAGTGGTTACTGCGATTGACTAGAATCTTGTCTTGATCAATCAGGTCGGGCATTTGCTATCAATTCCCTTCGGGGGCGTAGGTTCGAGTCCTGCCAACGTCGAGAGACAATTTACTTTTGCATTTGTGAATCGAGCTTCTTTTGGGCTTTACAAATACCGCATCCATTGCGGAAGCACACACTGCCATGTGAAGCGTACGATGAGTACAAACCGTTGGTCTTCGATGAAATAGTCATCATGACGCGGCGTTCCCTTGCGATCCAAGACTACCTACATAAAGCCAGTGCAGTATAAGTGTAGTATTTCCATCTCACTTCCGGATCCATATACCCAACAAAGTACGAACGTCTATAGACAAGATGGAGCACCACGCACCGCACTCAAGCTCCAACTTCGAGGGCTACTACAGCAAATTCGACCTCCCCTCCGGCGCCCACCTGGCCTTGATCATATGCAAAGTCCGCGGAGCAAGACAACGGCCGAACATGGTCTCATTCACCTACGTCCCTCCCGACGCAACCAAAACGTACCAAAAGGAAGTCTGGGCCGACGACCTGCAAATGGTGACTTTCAGCAAAGACAACGCCTTCGGGCTAGAAGTGCCGGGGATAGGCTACGCACGCTGGCACGCCGACTCAACGACCGAGTATAGTCTCGAGCATGAGGACTTCTCTTTCCACGCCAAGACCACATCCCGGACCCCCTGGTCGCCGCATACGAATACGCCGGAGGCGCTTCTCGTCAATCTGCCCTTACCACTCCACTGGCACGTCCAATCTCTCGCCTCCGACTGCGACTTCAACATGAAACTGCCGGGCTACGACCTCCCGTATGCGGACCGCTCGGGCAAAGCCATGGTGCACCAGGAGAAGAACTGGGCCCACAGTTTCCCCCAAGCGCACATCTGGATCCAAGCCTACGATCAAGACACCAAGCACGGCTTCTGCTGCGCCGGTGGGCAGATATTAGGCATGGAGGCCTTCCTACTCGGCTACCGCAGCGAGGATCTCACCGTCGATTTCCGCCCGCCCTTCGCCGTTCGCGTAGCGGGGCTGAGTCCGTTCATGAGCTACACCGCGGACTGGGAGCGGCGGACCTTTGAGCTGAGTGTGCAAGGACTGTGGCAGAAGTTGGAGATCAAGGCGGTTGCTCCGCAGGGGAGTTTCTTTTCTCTGAGTAGTCCCTTTCCTGAGGGCCATAGGGAGAACTTTCTGGGACAGAGTTTCCAGGCGAGGATTGAGGTGAGGGTGTTTGAGAGTGAGACGTGGTGGCCTTGGGGTGGGTGGAGGTGTGTTAAGAGCGATGTGTTTGAAGGGGGGAGTTTGGAGTTCGGGGGCGGTTATTATCCGCCCAGGGGAAGCGGGAAGAGGTTTAACTGAGTGCATGCAAAGTCAATGCCCGAGCACTAGAGGGGACATCAACGCTGTGGCTCCTGTGTCCAGCTTTGGATTGCTATCGCCGAGCATACTGGTTTGAAGACTGCAGCACGTCAGCTTAGAGCGACATATTCGAGTCATGTGGCAAGGCGAACGCCATGGAAGGCAAGATAACGACAGAGGTGGTGGAATAATATGCGACACTACGAGCATCACGCCGTAGACTTGGATTCGATTCCACAGGACCAGCTTCATACCCGCGTGAGCTAGCGGAGCACCGGGAGTCGTCCGCGGAGGGATTCAGATTGTCATGGCGACCGAGTCGTTCCTACCCAAATATCTCCACCTCAATGTGGCAGCTGCAGTGTCTCCACCAGCATGTCCAGGA